CATGCAGGGGGCTAGAAAGGATGCCCCGCTGCGAAGGTGGAGGGGGGGGTCCGGGGGGGGCTTGCCCCCCCCGGCCACATACCTCCCTGGCCAGGTGGCCAGTTTGTCATGCAGGGGGCTAGAAAGGATGCCGGAGCACGGCCGAGCCGGAGGAGGCAAGCGACCCAGCCGGAGCACGGCCCGAGCCTCACCTTGTGGACTCCTTGCAGGATGCAGTGTTTCGAGTGCGCAGAGCAGCGGCGACGGCATCCTCATCCAGCGACGCAACAAGTACCCCCGACACCACCACAGCGACGCTGGACGGGAAACAGCGAGCATGTTGTTGGCGAAAATCCGAAAGGAAAAATCGAAACAAACGACCGAATATCAAATGCAAAAATGTCTGGGTCTGGAAGAATACAAGTTTGTCATGCTTGGCCGGTAATACAGAAAAGTCTGTGATGCTTGTTGCGCTACAACGTCGCTTGTTTGTCATGCAAAGAGGCCATTTGTCATGCGCTTAGCGCTAGACATAGCCGCTCAGAAACTTGTCATGCACAGCTTCGCAACACAGTTTGCGGAAACACAAACCTTATTGGGTTTTCGCCGGAAAAATGTAAGTGATATGAGGAGTATGACATCCTCAAAGAACACAAATGTACAAGAACACGCTACGACGTTGAATTTTCATCCAGTACTTTCACAAACTGTTTTAATTTTATAAGTATACAGGTATCCGTCTCGCCTAAGGGTAAGGGATAAAAAAGTGCAGCGCAACTCAAGAAAGAAACGTGTTATCATCATCGGCCATTCAGTCACGCTTTCCAAAAAGCTTTAACCTAATGGAAAACCTCGGCTACTGATGTTCGTTTTGCGGCAGGCCAAGGATTCACCTAAAAATACAATGGAGGTTTCTCCCTCGCCGATTCCATAAAAGCTAAAGCGTTCACTCTTCCTATGGTTCGGATCTGGAGGCACAGCCCAGGAGAAGCTCGCTCAACCTCCAGAAGCTATTGCATTCGACATCGTTTCTCATTTTTGACTCCGTCATCCTCTCACACAGAATCCGCAGAGGATCGATCCGGCCAAGGAAGAACACAGAAGATCTCCTGATTGCGTTTCATCTATTCTATTTTGCGTCCGATGAATCCATTCATATATGGATTTTTATCTTGTTTGTGTCCTTCATCGAAAAAAAAGATGTCGAGGAGCTAAATATTAAATCAGTCGGATGAAAAAGCTGGACGTGATAGCGACATATGATCAAACGCTGCTAAAAGCCAACAAGTGAGAAGAAATTTAACCTCGCACCCCATCATGTCGTATCCGTTTTCGTGTCATTTCTGCGTTTGATTTTTTCGTGTTTTGCAATTTCAATCGTTTAACCCCGGCGCTCGCAGCATGCCGCTCGAAGGAGAACGAGGAGAGGGGATCGTGGATCCCTACACCAACGGAAACGAAATCAACCCCTACGCAACTGGGTTCGGAAACCAAAGCACGCAGATGGTCAACCACGAGGAGCGGCGCCAGATTGCGCTCCTGCAAGACCGGAACAAATTCCACGGCGATCATCTGACTTCGGATGGAAATCAGTGCCAGTATCACGATCCCGATGGAGTGAAAAACCCCTCGTCCAAGAGTGGCAACTCGGCCCTCTTGCCGATCCTTGCCAGCGTTTTCGGCGGTATTTTGCTGTTCCTGGGCGGCAGCTTTCTCCTATTTCTCAGCCAAATCGACTGGGACGACCCAGAGCTCCGAGAATTCACCTTTGATACCTTTTTCCACCGGCATATTCTCTTCGTATGCATTGCAAAAGCATCGCACTCGTAATCAACAATTTAGGGATGCATGACAAAGGAAGCAGGCTTCTTAGGTCAATCAGCATCAGCAAAGCAAAATCCTTGACTTAAAAGAAAATTTGCATGGCTTGCAACCTCTAAAACAAAACTACATCGGAAACTATCCTCGTTCGGGAACGAGGCGCGCAGACCCCGGATTTTTTCAAAAAGTGAGAACGCAGTGAGTTTTCGTGTGGGCTCTCGTTCCGGAACCAGAAACGCTGTGAGAATTCACTGAATTGCCACTCCAGGACTTTACAAAAAGTGAGAACGCAGTGAATTCTTGCGCGGCTTCTCGTTCCGGAACGAGAAATGGAGTGAGAATTTACTGAATTCTCACTCCAGGACTTTTCAAAAAGTGAGAACTCAATGAGTTCTCGCTTGGTTTTCGTTTCGGAACGAGAAATGGAGTGAGTAGAATTCACTTAATTCTCAATCCTGGAAAATTCGCGATCCCAAAGTGGGACTTTTCAAAAAGTGAATATTCACTGAATTTTCACTCGATTTCTCGTTCCGGAACGAGAAGCCGAGTGAAAATTCAGTGAGTATTCACTTTTTGAAAAGAGTCACTTTTGGAGCATGCATGTTTCTGGAGAGAGGCTTCAGCTCCCGGAGTGAAAATTTTCCGAAAGTGAAAATTCACTGAATTTTCACTTTTTGAAAAAAATCACTGTTGGATCACGAATTTTCCGGGAGAGAGACTTGAGCTCCCCGAGTGAAAATTTTTAAAAAGTGAAAACTCAGTGAATTTTCACTCGATTTCTCGTTCCGGAACGAGGCCTCGTTCTGGAACGAGAAATCGAGTGAAAATTCACTGAATTTTCACTTTTTGAAAATTTTCACTCCGGAGGCGAAGTTTTCCCGGAGCGCGAATTCGGGAAGCGGGATTTTTCCAAAAGTGAAAACTCACTGAATTTTCACTCGATTTCTCGTTCCGGAACGAGAAACCGAGAGAAAATTCAGTGAATATTCACTCCTGGAAAAATCTCACTCCGGAATTTCGAAAAGTGAATTACTAGGCTTCTGGTTCTTCCGGAACGAGGCCTCGCTGAATTACCACCCCCGAGAAAAGCTATCTCATCCCGGAATCATTCTGGAAGTGGGATTTTCGTAGAGTGGCAATTCAGTGAGTTATGACTACATGAACAAAAAAAAACCGCAAGCGCTGACCTTTTACAGCACACACGGCAGAAATAGGGCGAGGGCTACCGATTCAAATTGCAGGAAGTTCCGTAAGCGTGTTGCTCTGTCGCTAGTAGCGTTTGCTGCATGGCGCGAAAAATTTTTTGCGAGCCTTCTAATTGCAGCGCGCTATTGCCCGCGCCACATCGCCGAGAGGAACGCCCTGCCACACTGCCTGCAAGGTGCCTGTGGTGTCGTTGGTTCGTAAGCCACGCCTGATTTTTGTGGTTCGCAACGTCGCCCGATGTTTTGGCTTCAGTATGTTCAAAACGCTCGAAGTTGTAGCATTTGGGCTCTCGTTCCCCAACGAGGGGAGTTTCCGACGCGAAGCGGGGGGGTCTTTGCAAGTCATGAAAATTTGCATATTCAATTCCTACGTAGCTTCGAAGTTACAGATACTCTTGCAATGCATACTTCGATTTCAGCTACAACTACCACACGCGTACAATTTTCGAAAATTACACCTGCGACGATGGCACGGCCGCGGTTGGCGGGGAACAAGTCCCTATCATCGGCACGTCGGGCTTAACACGCCGTTACGACGTCCTCACGGTCTATGACCCGGCCACGAGCGGCTACGTGTTGCAGCGCGGCCAGTCCCGGCAGGTGCGTGGCCCGTACGGCAGCAAACCGGTGAAGTGCGTGTCCTGCGACCAAACGTGGCGCAAGTGGTACAAACTGCTGGAAAATCAGCAGATGACGGTCAACATGGGACCATTCGCCTCGCCGCAAGACCAAGCCAACCCGTGGGTCAGAACGACGAGCGTGTGTGTCGAGGACGTGCGCGAGTGGCCGCTGTTCAAGTGCTATCCTCTGCAAAAGTGCAGTACTAGCAGCACAAATCGCACTACTTAACCACAAATTTGGTCTGCTTGTTCACAGATAGAGATAGAATTTGTAATGCGGGTTTATTTCCTTCCGACTCAGAGAGTGAAGACAAAGAGATTTGTCAAGGCATGATTGCAATCAGTAGGAGTAAGACGCTTTTGCAATGCTATCCGGAAAAAAAAGTGTGTAAGTGTAACTTTCTTTCAGGAACAGCATCACAAATTTGTTCTACATGACAGAGAAAACCTGTCGTGCGTGGCTTGTAAGGGAAAACACACATGAAAAAAGGACTTCATGGCTGTGTGGCATGACAGGTGTAAACTGTTTTGCATTTTCTGCATCAGAGATTTACACTTACACAGTTTTTTTCTTGCATAAATGCATAAGTACAAGAAGGAAGCGACCAAGCAGGAGCGGTCCGAGAATTACCCGCACCTTATCACGCAGAAAGAAGCTGCCGGAATGAGCATATTTCTATTTGCATTTGCAATGGAAAAATAAGTATAAACAAAAAAGTCTGTCATGGGAGAGCCCATAGCACGCTGTTTGAGATATGCAAGACAGAGAGATCTTCCTGTGTGTTTGTCTTTGCGTTTGTTCAAGCATGCCCTGCCGGCTTTTCCCTCTGTGATACACCTGATGCAGGTCGATCCCGCGACCGGAAAAAACCGCGACCCATGGTTGTCCAGCGCGAACGCGGGGCCGGACGACCTGGGCGAGCCCCATCCGGGGGTAATGGTGTCCGCCACGCCACCTACCATGATCCACAACTGCGTCACCTGCAGTGGCGCCCGCGGGGAGGAGGCCTGGACGTGGTATGGCGTTCTCAAACGTTACATTCTCAACTGTTACATGATTTGTAATGCAAATTTACCAGCAAGATCGCATCGCCACGATTAAGCTGCTTCGCATGACAAATCTCCGAAGGGACAGACAGCAGCTAAATCTGCGCCAAATCTGTAAGGCAAAAGGCGCAATCTTCCGCCTTTCACTTTTGCCGTTCTTGCATTTACAAATTCGTGTAACAGTTGAGAATGTAACACTTGAGAACGCCATACGTGGAATCGCGAACTTGTGAAAATGAGCCCAGTTTTGGCAGAAACGGTATCAAATGTAAAAATGTCTGGGTGGTCTGGAAGATTGCAACTTGTCATGCTAAATCTGCAGCATGCAAAAATCTGTGTTGCATGATTACCAAAAGTCGTCCAGTTTTGACCAAGTCGGGAGGTAGTTTCTCATGCAGGATAGGCATTAGAAAGGTCTCGCAGAATCTGTCACGCTAGGTCCTGCATTCCAGACCTCATGGGTCATTGAAAAGCAGCATGACAAATCGCGCATTCTTCCAGACCCAGACATTTTTGCATTTGATAAACGGAGGTGTTCAACCATACCTTAAAGCGGATGGAAAAAGTCAAAACCTACGATCCCCATCGCGTCATCGAGGTCTACGTAGACATCAAGCGGTGCTCTCCCAAAACTATCCTGTGCAAGAGATGTAGTTCTTGAATCGTAGTCGTGTATGAAAATGAATTTATCAAATTGCTGTTTTGCAGCATGTTGGCAGATCTCGTCCTTTCCGATCCGCCTCTACACCATGGGAAATAATTTAATTTTCTTTTTAAAGTACAAGTTCGTAAAAATGCCATTTCGACTAAAGAATCCGATACTTTTGCAATCTATGAAAAAGTATGCGCGGCAGCGACAGCTGGAATGGGAAACGGGGCAGAGCCAGTCAGTCACCGAGACGCTGACCCGGATTAAAGAGCACCAGCCGCACGGCGACCGGCGGCAGCAGGAGGAGCGCTCCCGGGAGCGCGATCCCGAGTCGCGGACCGGGTTTTTGGCCCCGGAGTTGGCGCAGCAATTGGATGAAACGCTGGCCGAGGTGGGAGCCCTGCGTGCCGAACTTGGCCAGGCGAACGCAGCTTTGGATAATCAGCTGGAACAGGCCGGACCGAGTGCGTAGAAAATGATTTACGTATAGTGAGTGCCCTGCTAGCTTCCTCTAGCTTTAGACGGACATAGAAAGTGGATAAAAAAGCGTGCGCTCAACTCTAATTCTAATTGTAGTACCTACTCAACAGGACCGTTCTGTAAATACCCGAAAATGATTTCTTGAGAATTTAGCATGCTGCGAGGATGATGCAGATTCAGGTAGTATCAATCGATTTGCTATATTTTGTGGACAATTTGCTTGTGCTGTACGTCTGTTATGATCGAGCCAATCGATGCCACGATCTGCTGCTCCGTGGACAATGAATTATAATTTTGAGAATTAGGATGTAGTATCGCATTGCTCAAAACAATTACTTTAAAAAACGGTTACACTTATCTTCACCGATAGGACTTTTTGGTTTTGGAACTTTTGGCCAACCCCGATGACACTGAATCTATCTGCAGATAAAAGTCCCGGCGAATGCCATTCTGCCAGAGGTCATGGACATGAAGCTCTGGCGTGTAGTGGTCGTCACCGACACGCCTCACACTGACTTCTATGCAATTGCAAGTGAACAGTGTTTCCTTGTGTTGAGATCGTCATCTTTCGAAGCCAATTGTGTAATCTCGTATAGATTGGCATCCCTGCTGTCGAGCGAATTGTGAGAGCGACGCACGTCGTGAGCAGTTTTAGCCATGTCATTTAGTTGTAGGCGATTGCAGCTATACCTAAACCTATACGCACATGTTCACACAGGTCGACAATATTTGTGGGCCAACGTGCAAAGTCGAAAGTTGCGAGCCAGTGCGCCCCCTGGTACCGCCCGCACGTTTCGGTGCTGCATGCAACACAGTCGCATCGATCTCCATGTGCATAAACGTCGAGGGTGTTTCTCGGAGAAAATAACTTCCCAGTGCGTTGTAAATCGAAGAAATGTCCTCGTGGCTCCGTCGTGCTGTGGGCGACGAAACAATTTTTTCAAACCTCATACAGCCGACTACGTACTCGCCGCCTGTCTTCTTCCGTACGTTTACATGTAGCATGTACTCAAAACGCCTCTTTGCGCGATAAGTCTTAGCTTTGCTTTATGACACTCGCATCCCAAGAGTGTCTGTTCGTCGGAAGGATCGTTCCAGCGACGTCAACCTTAATGGCACCATCAGCGTCCACATTCTGCCCTACCAGCAGTATCTTCAAAACATTGCCGGCCTCGTTGGCCTTCGTTGCAGTAAATCAGTAACAACTGCAGGACCATCACAGCGATAGGTAAGGATGAAGCAGGTCCAGGTCCAGTAAGGAACTTTTCATCGCGCCTCATCCCCGTGCTTGGTGTAATTCCTGTGCTGTTGACGCGACTAGGACTACTTAGACATCATGCCGTCTCTCACCACAAAAACGAGTCCTGGAAAGGAGCAAGCGAGCGGCTCGTCACTGCTGAATCCACCGGCGCGTTTTGCTGCAGGTAAAACTATTGTTTCTGCTTCATCACAAGAACAGCGGCTTATTGATAAACCTTTTTTATGATCCATCGGAAGGGACAAAACTAATCAAAACTGTTGTCGTGCTTCTACTTACGCGAAGTAAAGCGCAAGAAGAATTTATACCAATCTACTGTAGGACGTACGATTTCATGCGGACAAAAAATTATGAAAAATGATCCCAACGCTATTTTTTTTCGAGAGAGTTTTTTTTTAAACGTACGTATACTTTTCATTGTCAACCAAAACCAGGCTCCACACAACGACCAACTCCGTCCGTCTCCGGCAAAGTCGACCCGAATAGCGCCGCCTCTTCCCTTGTCGGGCTTCCCGCGGCCCGAATCGGCATCGAACCGCCACGGCGCACGGCGCATTTGATTTCTCCGGTGGATCACAGCGTCGTTGGTGGAAACAAGAACAGCTCTTCGTCTTCTTCCTCTAAAGGAAATAATGTGCAGCCCTCGACGTCAACGACCACAAGTGCGTCTAGAAGTGCAGCGGTCGCAAATGATCCATCCGCCGGCGGGAGACAGCAGAACCAGTTTCTCGCTGCCGCAAACAATTCATTTATTTCTGGCAAAAACATCAAACCGAGCGCCTCTAGTACAACTGCAGGCAGCGCGGTTGTAGCACAGCAAACCGGGGGCAGCTCCAAGCGCACGACCCGTGGCGACACGCTCTACGAAAGTCCGCGGAGCCAATATTCGACTACACGGATGGACGAAAATGCGCGAGGATTATACGACGAGGATGACAGGAACACCACGAACGACAACTACGTCCGGGGTACCATGTACGAGAGCCCGGAGAAGGAACTGCAGGAGCTGCAACAGGAAAATAGTACTTACTCCGACCGAAACGGAAACGTCGGAGGACCCGTAGTAGCGCCCCCTGCTACCACGACCAGCGGCGCCGGTACGTCATCCTCCTCCTTCCAAGACAAAGCGGAGCTGTTCCAGAAAGCGCAGCACTACCGACCCCCCATCAGCATGAACAACGCCAACATTCTCGAGCAGGCCGCCGTGGGACGGAAATCAGTCGCGGACCTCTCACACCGACAGCACTTTCGTCACGCGGACGACTCGAGTATGATGCGGTGCAGAAGTGTTGTCGTCGCAGTAGTGTTGTCTTAAGTTTGCATGACAAAGAAGGCATGATCCTGTACGTATTGTCTAAAACATTTCGGACGATCAGGACGGATCGATGCCTTTGTCGAGGAAAAGGGAATGAAATTATCGAGAAAGATTGATGATTTACATGTTCGTACACGAGAATCTTCCATCAATCTATCCGTACTTCTACCTATGTTTAGTGTACTCTACGATATCGATTCCGATACTTTTGCACCGAATATCAGGGAGCATGTTGTCCTCGTCACACAGCAGTGCGCAGGACGGATCAGAAGGCGGAGCTAACGCGAAGGAAAAGCTGGTGCGGAAGCTATGCATTGCAAAAGTATCGTACTAGTATAAATCGCATGACAAATTTGCTCAGCGTGAGAAATGAAATTTGTCATGCTGTTTTACCTTGGAAAGGAGATTTGTAATGCATGATTGCAATTACTACGAGTACGATACTTTTGCACAGGATAGATGCCTGATGGTAACGATCATATTTTTAGAAACACGGCTGTTGCAGCACAGGCACAAGACATGTAAGACCGGTGAATGAAACAAGTCACTTTTCTGAGTAGGGACAGAGTAACACTTGTCCTTGTCAACCTTACCTTTGACAAAGATAGAAAAAGACCAACGGCCCCCGAGGCTCGCGGGTTCATCTTTTTTTCGTTTTTATCCTGCAAAAGCAAAACACCACCGGTCTCCGTCTCATTGTTTGAATATAGAAATTGTGCCGGTCTGCTGGAACAACAATCAAGTCGTTTTTTCACGTTTCCTATGCTACTACAGGTACTCTGCAGCGTTGCGGCTCTCCGTCGAACGCCACGAGGCGCAGCATGCACAACTTGCATCGCAACTTCGAGAACCATCCGCGCACCACCCATATTTACGGCCACAACTACCGGGGGGCGGACGCGGCGGAGGCCATCCAGGCCGGCCGGAAAACCGCCGTCGCCGGGCAGGCAGATGCCAAATACGAGTCGCCAAAATACAAGTTCCAAGGCCCCTCGCCCGACAAAATCGACGGTCTGGCGCTTCTGAAACAGAAAAAGCTCGAGCAGGACATGAACGAGGATGGTGGCAGTGAATCCATGATGCAGAGTCGCAAGAGCCAGAAGCCGACCCCTTCGCGCTCCCTTTCTCGCGCGGCACGTGTTCGCAGAAAAAGACGGCGGACTGCGGTGCGGGAAGCGACCAAGCGCCGCACGGACGCGAGGCGAAAGCGCAATCTGGAAGACTCGACGTCCTCGTTATCGGGGTGCACAACTCCCCGTCCTTTCCGTCCCCACCGCTCATTTGTAATGCAAAATACCAATCTACCCCGCCTTTCCCTATCCCTTTGGTACTGCCTGCATGACAGGTTCTTCCGGAAGCCGAAACAGCACTAGAGTCGGAGGTCGTGAAATTGTCATACAAGAAATGCGTTATGTTGCTGTAGATGCCATAGCCATCCAAATAAGAGGGAGCAGGGGGTCGGAGGACTTGTGCACTTTCATACTGCTCGGAAGATCATGAGGATGAGGAGCACCAGGATCACGACTCTGAGCTGGACGACATTGACGGTCAACACGAACAACATGGAAATAAATCCCGCAACTACCGACCGAGAAACGATCTCCACGACATTTCCTTCTCTCCCGACCAAGACCGCCAGCAGCAGTTTCAGTTTCAGCAGGATCATCACGATGCTCCTCGCGAAGAGGAGCTCGGTTTTCTTGACGATCGGACGCGTGAGCCGCGAGGTGGAGGCAGCGTTGCATTAAAAGAAGGTCGACATCTTCACCAGCAAAACAACGGCCACGACACGCGTCGTGAAGAGCTGCACTATGACGAATTTCATCACGACAGAGACGTTTATCTCGAGAACTACAACGACGGCAGCGCCTGCTCGGAGGTGATCAATTACAACAACCGGCAAAAAGATATGCATTGCAAAAGCACCGTACCAGTAGTGCGAAGTGCATACACAAATTTTTTCAAGAACACGAATACAACTTGCCATGCTATGTCAGGCAGAAAGGATACACTTGTATGTTATGCATGACTGCAATGACTACGAGTGCGATATTACTTTTGCAAAGCATACAGAAACAACAGCCTAAGCTTTTCACGCCAGTCGAGCTTGAGCCGGGGCCCAACTTTTACGGGTCTTCCTCCCGAAAACTGGCGCAGCACGAGGAGCTGCAGGCAAGATCACCACCCTTGCTTGTTCCCGGCGTCGGAGGGAGAAGTAGTTCTAGTCGGCGAGGTGGAGCAGGTCAAAACTACAGAGCCGATTCGCTCGTCGTGCAAAACGACGAGGACGCAACATTTACTGTCGAAAATAACGAAGAGAAGGAACAAGATGCACAAAGCTACATGAGTCAGCGGGATAAAATCGCGAATTTCTACCCACCAGCGCGTTCCTCGTCCCGCGCTTCCTCAACGGCGTATCGCAACGAGACTCTGCAGCCAGGGCAGCTCGAGGACAAAGTGCCGCAACCCAGAGGGAGTTTGAAACGCGGCTCTCCGGTGGTCGACCAACCAGCTCCGCAGTATGGCATGCTGGACGACAGGAAAATGCATTATGCCAACGATCGCAGCATTGGCGCAGAACAAAGGACGGGCCGCCCTGGTTCACAACAATTCCGCAACGGATCATTACGGCAGGAGAACAACGACAGGCTCTTGTACAGCAACCACCGGGGGTCCACCCATGCTGCGGAACTACAACCGGCTCGCGGGCGGACGCCTCCGCCCGGACAGGGCGCCTCGCTCGTCGATCAGCGAGAGTTCTCGTCGTCCGTTTCGGGGTCCGCCTTGCCCTCTCATCTCTATCCCCCCACTTCCAGTTTGCTGTTGCAAAATCGCCAGGTCAACATTGCAGAAAATATCAAAAGGAAAAATCCCCCCTCCCCATATTGGAAACGGAAGATGCGCGAATTTGTGATGCTGTATTTGAGTACACAAATCGACTTGTATTGCTAAGAGGCCAAGAGACGAAGCTGCGGCCTAAATTGCAGGTAATCTGTCATGCTGTTTCCCACTTCCAGCTGCCTCCTGTCATCCTGGAGCTGCAAGGCTTTCCCACGCTAGACAGCACTACAGTCCGCATCTTTTGCCTTCTAGCATCACAAAGCTGATTTGTGACCACAAATCTGCATCACAGATTTCCGTTTTGATATGGGGAGGGGGCATTTTTCCTCGCAATAGAAAACTTCCGGAATTCACTGGCGGCGAGGGGCAGTGGCGGGAGTTTAACGGGCATCAGTGGATTGAACGTTGTGTCGAACCTATGCAAGGAAAAAACTGTTTCACTGTGAACTTGTGATGCAGAAAATGGAACACAGAACTACTTGTCTTGCTACACCTGCAAGACCTTGGATTTTCAAGCGTGTTTTGCCTTGGGAAGCGCGCATGACAGATTTTCAGTGTCACGTGTAACAAACTTGTGATGCAGATCTTGCAAAATCATCACAGTGAAGTAGTTTTTTTGTGTGATAGAACCTGCTGAAAGCGAAAAAGTTTGAGTCATCTTCAGGTAGCGGTGCGGCCGGCGCTGCTACAGGTGGCTCATTCAACAACGGAGGAGGAGGACCTGCAGGGGGTTCTTCGCACTTTGTTGTAAATCAGAATCGCAACGCGGCAATGATGAGTCAACGAAGCATGACCGCCCACCCACGAGCGACCGGACCGCTCGGGGCCGTGGAAGGAGGTGGAGGCAAGAACTTCAACCCGATAGTGAATCAGATACAGATGAAGCGTCAGATGAACCCTGAGCAGATGAAAAATATTCGTCGGGAGCAGAGCGCGAAGGAGCTACAGCGGCATACGAATAATTCTACTGGGACGATGAACTCGAATTCCAGTTGGAACTACGATCCGCAGTACGTGAAGCGCGACTACAGTGGACCAGCCGCCAGCACCATGCACCAAAGCACCGTTTTCAACTCCCAGCCGTTGCCGTACCCTTACCAGGCCCACGTCGCCATATGAATTGCAAAAGTATCGTACTCGTATTGCAATCATGCATTACGAATCTTGTTCTTAAGGCAAATCCGCATTACAAATTTCATTTCTCATGCTGAGGAAATAATTTGTATATGCATTTGTACGAGTACGATACTTTTGCACAGGATACGCCATGCAGCCGACCAATTCCACTACGTCTGCTGGGGACGACGCTGATGGTGCGAAGAACAAGCGCGTGTGGAGCTACACATTGACCACTGCTGGCGTGTATGGATTGCAAAAATGTCTGGGTCTGGAAGATTGGAAGACTTGTCATGCACATTTTGCATGACCCATGACGCCTGTAATGCATGACTTAGCATCACAGATCTTTGGAGGGCTTTCTGATGCCTGTTTCGCATGAGAAATGCCCTTTCCACGTAGCACAAAGTGAACTCCTCTGTCCGGTCATGCAATACAGATTTTTTTAGAATCCCAAGACAGCATCACAAGTTCCAACCTTCCAGACCCAGACACTTTTGCATTTGATAGGGCGCGGCAGAAGGAAACCGAGAATCTTGCCAGTGCTGGAGCCGTACCAGTGGGAGAGGACTTTGGAGGAACAAATGAGAAAAAACCCACTAGTGGTCCCTCCGCTGCAGGGGCTACAACTGCAGCAGGTGCTCTAGTGTTGCAACCCTCGCCTAGAACTACGATGGTGACGAATTGCAATCTTGCTGCAAGGAGTAGTCCTGTAGTTACAAGTACCAGTGCTGCTTCTACCATTGGCTTCCGAGCAGGACACCCGCCCCAGCTCCGGCCACCCTACCTGGCCTCACCTATGGGAGAGAGTTGTACTTCTTCGCTTGTTCGGCACCCGCAGTACAATGGACGAGGACCATATGCAAGAAAAAAACTGTGTAAGTGTAAATTTGTGTTGCAGAACATGCAACAGAGTTACGCCTGTCATGCCAGACAGCCATGAAGTCCTCTTTTCATGTGTGTTTTCCCTTACAAGCCACGCATGACAGGTTTTCTCTGCCATGCAGGGCAAATTTGTGATGCTGTTTCTCAAAGAAAGTTACACTTACACACTTTTTTTCCTGGATAGACCACTGGGGTCCCTCCGACCGAGTCCTATCGGCAGCGCTGCGCCTGCTCTGTATCAAAACCAAATTATGTGTCTGGGTTTGGAAGGAAGCTTTAGCAGACACTTGCAGTCATGCAGTTTTTTGTTTTTGCGTATATAGCGAAGGTCTGGAAAAGAATGTACAGACCGCATGACAAATTCTGCGGGATCCCCTCCAACATGCCGATTCTGCCTAAGAAATACCCCCACATCATGTCGGAGACAAAAATCCCACATCTACTTTTGCGGACTATGCAACACAGATATTCTTTGCCTCTTCAAGAATCTTTCGCATCAGAAGTTTTTGGTTTGCCCGACTCTTGTTCCAAACCCAGATGGATATTTGCAAATGCATACTCTGCACGTGGCCGCCACCTCCACGTCCTCTCGGAGTACGTCGAAATCAGCGAAAACAACGGATTATGCTGTGCAAAAGTATCGCACTCGTATTACTATCTATTATATTCATGCGAAAATATGGGTTTGTAGAGGGTAGACGAGAGGTGGCCGGGAGGTAAAACAGAGGTCAAAAGAGGTCAAAAAGAGGTCGACAGAGGTGGAGAGGTGGCGCGGGAGGCAGTTCGAGAGGGTGCGCGAGAGGTGGCGCGGGTATAGCCCGCCGAACCGCTCGCCCTTTAGGGCCGCTAAGCGCCTCGGAGGGTGCCGAGAGGAAAAAAAGAGGGCAAGCGAGAGGGGGACAGAGGTGCCGAGAGGTTGCGCGAATAAGGGGAGACCTCTCGCGCACCCTCTGGGCCACCTCTCGACCACCTCTGTCGACCTCTAACCGCGAGTATAGCCGGACTATTAGCAACACCTCTCGGAAGAGGTGAAAAAGAGGGTCTGCGAGAGGGGTAAAAAAACCCGAATCCGCCCGAGGCAGGGCTGTTTTTTTGCGGCCTTTTCGAGCATAGGCCCGAACCCTCTCGCGCTACCGTCTCGCGCACCCTCTCGCGCACCCTCTCGCGCCAATCTCTCGCGTCGGGCGGCTTCTGTTCGCCCCCGGTGTTCTTTGCAGCTGCCCCCTGCGCAGAGCGCCCGCAGGCGCGGGAAGCGCGCAAGCGGTCCTGCGGGTTGGCGCGGCGCAAACAGGCGGCCGGACCCGGCACCCAGTGTGCTTCGTCGTGCATTATAATATTGGGCCCGTGGCATTGTGGCCCGATTCGCAAATAGTCCTGCCCCGCCCCAACAGCCTTGCGCCCCGGCGTCAGCCGGGGCATGGCTGGTAACTATAAATGCAAGCCTTGCATTACAAATCCTTTTCTAAAGGTAACTCCGCATTACAAATTTTACTTCTCATGCTGAGGAAATTTGTAATGCATTTATACGACTACGATACTTTTGCAGTTCATACGGACTCCGCAGCTGCATTTCCGGCCCCCGTCGCGGCCACGCTTTTTCCCTCCGCGGTCGTGGTACATCAACCGAGAAGCGACCCGTCGAGTCGCGGCCCAACCCGGCAGACGTCGTCCGGTTCTTCCATGCGCCAGAGCATCACAAAACTGATCGACAAGGCAAAGCAGGTTCTCGACCATGATAAGAGCTCTTCGAAAGTGCTGGCGAACAAGAGCGTGGAAGAGGAGCCAGAGGCAGAAGAGGAACTACAACTCCAGTACGCGGATCGCTCTCTGCCACCAAAACGGAAACCGCGAAATCACCGCAATCGACCACAACCCTACATGACCACCTTCATTGCAAGGTACGATGGACTAAGTACGGTTTTGCATCTATCACGAATGATCTACTGAAAGAATAGAACAACAATTATGCAGATTTTTGTTCATTGCATTTGCAGATGAACATATGCACGACGGCCCTGTTCCTTGTCCCTCCAATTGTCTGTAAGCCCTCTGCTGGTGCAATTGGCTCGCGATTTGATCTGCCCTCGCCCTTGCGGTTTACCTCGCACAAACTCAGACTCACATCTGGATATTACGTTGCGCCGAGGTAGTGCTTACTCGAGTAAATGTATTGTAAACAGATCACATCCGCCTAGAAGAGAAGAAGAAGCGAATGTCCAAAAAAAAAAACGCCCATCAACATCACAGATACGAGGAGAAGCTCCGCAACCTCTTGTTGGAGCAGGATGCGTGGAACGTTTTGGAAACATGCGAAGAGCTCGCGCTGCGCTCGGATCACCGGAGGGAATTCAAGCAACATCAGAAGAAGCTGCAGGCCAAGAAGATGGCTGACGTCGGTGGCACGGACACAAACCCTGCTGTCCCAGCTGAAGACGAGGAAGACGACGAGGACACTTTGGACTATCAAAGTGGAAAAAGCCCCCTCCCCATATTGAAACGGAAACTTCTGTTGCTGGATTTGTGTACACAAACCAGCCCTGTCTTGCAGCGAGGCACTACAGGCAAAGCCTCAGCCTGCGTAGGGGTGTTTTGTTGTAGGCTCTTGGCATAAGAGAGGGCTGCCATGTAGGTGAAACAGCATTACAAATCGCCTCCATAAGGCGGCGGATTCTTGTGGTTTGCCTTCTTGCAAGACAGATGTGATTTGTGGCCTCAAATCCGCAACACAAATTTTTGCAAACATACCTTTTCGATATGGGGAGGGGGGATTTTTCCTCTCAATATGGACGAAGATTTGTTTGAAACGGCCAAACGCCAGTACTTATGCATTGCAAAAGTATCGTACTCGTATAAATGCATTACAAATTTCCTTAGCATGAGAAATAGAATTTGTAATGCGGATTTGTTGAGTTAACAAGAAAACCAGCCACCCCCCGGCGAAGGCCGCCGGGGAGGGGGCTGTTCGGTGGAGGTGTTCCGGTGGGGAAGGTGGCGCCAGCATTGAATCGCTGCGCGCCGCTGCGCAACCAAATAAAAAGAGCCCGGCCCATGTTTCGGCATCGGTGGGCACCCTGGGGGGCGCGCCTCTAGGGCGCTGCCTGTATTACTAATAGACGGCGCAAGGGCGCGTGCTACACTTCCACCTGCTGCTGCATGCCCCGCCTTAGTAGCTGGCTGCGCGCCGTAAGAAAATGCTTACAGGAAACTATTTCCGGGCGCCAACGTTCAAGACGCCACAAGGGCGACGCACCTGCTGCCAGCCCGCGCGGGCGCTGTGGGAAAGAAGTTGCGGCCACCCTAGGTGGCCGACCAGGTTAAGGCGAGGCGCCGCGCCCCCTCTGGGGGACGCAGAGCGGCGCACGCACTTTGAACGGCCGCTCTGATCTGAAAGCGAAAACAATGCCAGCCGATCGCTGCGCCCTAGCGAACTTCTTAAGGGGGCGCCGCGCGCAGACAAGTGGGCAGGCTGTGCAACTGGAGGTGGTCCACGAGAGGGTCCGGGAGAGGGTCCCGGAGAGGTTCGGAGAGGGTCGGGGAGAGGTTCGGAGAGGGTCCCCGAGAGGGTCCGGGAGAGGTTCGGAGAGGTCCCGAGAGGGTCCGCCGAGAGGTAAAATAGAGGTTCCCGGAGAGGGTCACGGTAGAGGGTCGCCTAGAGGGTCGCCCTATACTACGAACCCTCTCCGACCCTCTACACCCTCTTCCCCTACCCTCTATTTCACCTCTCCCCAACCTCTACCCAACCTCTGCGCGCGTATAGCTCCGCTTTAACGGCGTGCATACTACGCACCCTTTCCCTATCCTCTCCGCTACCTCTCGTTTTACCTCTCCCCGACCCTCTCATTTTGGCCGACCCTCTATTTTACCTCTCCGACCCTCTATCTTACCTCTCTAAAACCTCTCCCCAACCTCTACTGTACCCTCTCCCGCCCCGTTTTCTTCCATATGTAAATATACCAGCCACCCCCCGGCGGAGGCCGCCGGGGAGGGGGCTGCTCGGTGGATGTGTTCCGGTGGGGAAGGTGGCGCCAGCAATGAATCGCTGCGCGCCGCTACACAACCAAATAAAAAGAACCCGGCCCATGTTTCGGCATGGATAGGCACCATGCCCGGCCTCGGTAGTTGCGCGCCCTGGGAAAATGCGCATAGGAAACTACTTCCGGGCGCCAACGTTCAAGACGCCACAAGGGCGGCGCAGCTGCTGTGAGCGCGCGCGGGCGCTGTGGGAAAGAAGTTGCGGCCACCCTAGGTGGCCGACCAGGTTAAGGCGTGGCGCCGCGCCCCCTCTGGGGGACGCAGAGCGGCGCACGCACTTTGAACGGCCGCTCTGATCTGAAAGCGAAAACAATGCCAGCCGGTCGCTGCGCCCTAGCGAGCTTCTTTAGGGGGCGCCGCGCGCAGACAAGTGGGCAGGCTTTGCTCCTGGAGGTGGTCCGCGAGAGGGTCCCGGAGAGGGTCGAGGAGAGGGTCGGGGAGAGGGTCGGGGAGAGGGTCCGAGAGGGTCCCGGAGAGGGTCGGAGAGGTTCCGAGAGGGTCCACCGAGAGGCAAAATAGAGGTTCCCGGAGAGGGTCGCGGTAGAGGGTCACATAGAGGGTCGCTCTATACTACGCACCCTCTCGGACCCTCTCGACCCTCTCCCCCTACCCTCTATTTGACCTCTGTCCACCCTCTACCTACCCTCTTCGGGCGTATAGCGCCGCTATAAGGGCCGACATACTACCCACCCTCTCCCTACCCTCTCCTTTACCTCTCGTTTTACCTCTCCCCGACCCTCTATTTTTTCCCGACCCTCTACTTTACCTCTCCCAACCTCTATTTTACCTCTATCAAACCTCTCCCCACCCTCTACCGGAACCTCTCCGGCCCCATTTTCTTCCATATATAAATATATTAATTAATTTGTAATGCATGATTGCAATACGAATACGATACTTTTGCACAGGATAATACTTCGTGGCCAACCACAGTTTGACGGAGATGAGTTTCGACTGCTCCATATCCTGAGTAAAAACGTACCCACGCCAGAGTTGTAGCGCAGATTTGCAAAGACAAGAAGACTTGTAATGCGCATCCGCATGAGAGCCATTTCCAGTCGTGTATTGGAATTTGTGATGCTGTGAACAGGATGAGCAGATGCATCTGTGACGCGGCTGCACTTGCTAACCTGCACAACACTGCAGAGTGCAACTTATCATGCGTGACTCACAAAACTCCTAGGCTTGTGTTGCAAAATCCCCATCCTGACTCTGGTGTGGGTACGTTTTTACTCAGGATACTCCAAGGATGAGCTAACCCAACTGCTGAACCAGGTCGAGAGCCAGGGGAAGAGGTTGCACAAACAGCTGGTCAAATGCCTGCAGAAGTTGAAAGACAATCCGCAAAGTAGTATTCATTTGTTCCATGACACTACCGGCCCGTCGGAGCAGAATTCTCTCGCCCCCAGATCGGGACCTGGTTCCGCTTCCGTCTCGCGCGCGAGCAGTACCGCGGCGGGTCCCCGCAGCGAGAGTCGGGGAGGCAAACAGGAATTGCTGCAGCAAAGCCTACAACGGTACAACGACGAGACGGAGTTAGCGCAACTGAAAGACAAGCTGATCCAGGTATCATTTTTTTTTCAGAATTATATTGAAAATGTTCTTTCGTGTTGACAGACTCTGGTGTCCTACTATACAACGTACCTAGATCATCTAGATGATGATGTATGCAAAAGACAACAGATCCTTTTTATTTTGTGACGCACGTGCAAGCGCAAGAACGTTATTTATCGCAGAAAAATGAAATAAATCCGCTACAGGCCCGCAATTGGAACTCGAATGTCGGAAAAGACTACCTGCGAGTCCCGGCCGCGGTTTTGAAAGAGGCTGTGACGGAACTCAAAAAACGCAACGTAAACACCTCATCGAAGCCGACAACGCCCGTCTTCACTTCGTCGTCACATGGCACAACATACGCAGTGCAAGAGTGCAAGATTATCGTACCAACACTGACCCTAGATCGCATTTTTCAAAAGGAGCCTTTCGCAAAAATTCAAATTGGAAGATTTGTATCAAGATGCTGACTAACGTAGACAATTTAAAGCGGCTGCATGTTTCATCTTGTTCATGAAAAAATATTGCAATATGCTTTATGCGCGTACGGTACGATACATTTTGATTTTTCCCGAGGATAATATCACGAAGCCGAAGGGTGCAGCTGCTGCCGGTCCTACAGCTGAGGAGCAGAAATCCCTGAAAACATTTAACCGACACGCTGCTCGGGGAGCCACCGCAGAAGACAGCAAAGAAACTTGTACTTCAAAGGCGGAGGACAACTTCTACACGGTTGGCGCTAGCGTGGACGAGGAATTCGTAATTATTTGTAAAATTTTATTTCAAGGCTTTATGTTCTGCTCTACCACAAGCACAACCGTATATCTGTTCTACGAATTACAGAGATAAGAGTCTGTACACCTAAATGTGCATATTGATATTGTGATCAAGCACCTGCAGATGAAAAGTCATCAACTACATTCACAGATGATTCCGGGGGCGCGCAAAAATCCGAGAAAAGTTTTGTTCCGCAAACTGTATTCGCTGTACCGGTTTTCCATTAGCAAGCTCACTGAGGCGGAGGCGGAGGAGGAGTATGAGAGCATCAATTACAGCGGTCGGACAAAACAGCCCGGCAGTGACGGTGTAAGAGCATCATCTTCAAGTAGACGCAGAAGAAGTACGACAACATCCCCCGGCTCGTCGTCAAAGGGCACTACAAGAGCAACGACGAAAAACATCAGCCCAGCAAACACGATCCACACCTTCCTGGCCCACGAGCTCCGTGCCTTGTACGATACCTACAGTGCCAGTTGCAGGAGCCTCGCAGAAGTAGGGGTGGCTTCGAAGATGCAACCAGTGGTACAGCCACGACATGTTGCCAAATTTTGACTGTTGGGCGAAAAAGAATACCAATACGACCGTGCAGGGGAACATGGTGTACTTTTAAACGTGAAGCAATAGATCTGCACGACCAGCAATGCTAGGATAGAAACAAGAAATGATTCTTGATCATCATGAGATTTTTTGTACCGAAAAGAAGTGAGATGTAATGACGCAGGTAGTTAACGCTGTGGGTGGGAGAGAACGCATTAGTGATTTTTCTTTGGAAATGTTTCGACTGTCATTTGTTTTTTCTTTAAAGAGGACCTGAGAACATTAACTAAGGCACCAAACATTGAGTTGTTTTGAGCCACTTTTTACACAAAGTATAGTGGCACTTCTTCACGGGTTATTTCAATTATGTGGAAGAGCACCCAAAGAGCAGACAGGCAAGCAACCCATCTTCGCCTACTCTTCGCCGGAGGCGGTGCGCATGCACATGATGCACAGGATCACATCTTCAAAATCGTCAGACTAAAAACCAAATCGCCCACTACTCTTGTGCTGCCCTTAGTACTCAGTCACGACACCGACGCATTGGCGGCTTGTTCGTCAGATCTGCTGGTTGGTTTTTCGATTATCGCCGGGCCTGGCCTTCGAGGTGGATCAAACAATGCTAGGAAAAGTAAGTACCGGTGTCGCCATGGCGGCAACAGATCTTTTCGGTGCTCATTGCCGCGAGTGGAGGCCTTGAAGATCAACAGATGACTGAGATGATGTTTCTACTGAAGTGGTGTCTACTATTTCCGTATTTTTTCTTTGCCTCGTCGATGGCCCATCTCGATTGAAGACAGTCTTCCCAGCCAGATAATCCACGACGATACCACTAATGGCAATGACCCCGTAAAGTGAAAGTTATAAAAACGTAAACTACATATTCTTGAGACAAATTCTGCCTCGTGCAATTTGAATTCTGGCTCATTATAGTCCCACCAGTAGCTCCTTGTTGCTCACGGTAGTTCTCTTTCACCACAATCCCCGTCACCCAGTAACGCCAGTAAGGTGCTGGAAAATGGCCGACAATTGTTGTCCTCCGGGGTCCTGGCCCTTATTGCTCCAGGACGCCAATTACACACCCGCGGGCGAAGTTTCCACCATCGCCACCGACCTGCCGCTCTACGTTGCCAAGCCGGATGGCGAAACGGTGGGGGCAGTGATTGTGTTACCGGAAGTTTTATCGAACGCAAATATGTCTGGGGTTGGAAGATTGCAGCTACCAAAAACGTCCTCTCATCTGTCATGCAAAACCGTCGTTTGCCACGGCACGGCATGCGACACAATACGCAACAGATAGCACCCCACAAGTGAGTCATGCTTGGCTGCGTATCTATCATTTTGTGCCTAAAAAAAAAGTTGCCAGACATATTTGTGATGGATAAGTGTTTGGATTCGAGGGCCGGCTGAAGCAGATCTGCGACACGCTGGCCAGCAAGGGTTACTTCGTTGCCATGCCCGATTGCCACCGAGGAGACTCTGCCAAGGGCAAGCCTTCGGTCCCAGACTGGGTGGTATGACAGGCGGACAAGCGGCTAGCATATAACTCGTTTCGTGGTCATGCAACTCATGTTACCGAGAGCGATGTTATTCTACAAGAACCCATTTGCATCCAATGGATGCCATCCATATCCACCAATCAGTTTTCTTCAGAGCCATACAACTAGAAGGGGCCGCAAGAAGTAGAGCATCGCGCCTGAGCCTGACAAGCGTCTACTCAGCACACATTCTAAAAACGAGGAGTCTTCAACTTCATCTCGTAACTTCAACTTCTTGTGCAGCAGCTGCATCACAAAAATCTTATACGCATGTATGCTGGCGAGTGTCTGGTTCATAGGCGAAAGACTGTGAGGAGAAATATCCGGTCGTTGAGGATCTGAAGCAGGTACTTGTAGTTTGTTCAACTTCGAGATCATGTCCTGCTTACGTGGAGGCATCGGGGGTGTGCCCGTGGGTTCCAGGTCTTCGGGGACACTTTTCTCCGAAGCGACCACAGGATGGTCGTGGTGGACGTAGACCTCCGGATACAGCGCAGGACTAAAGTCGCAAGGGGCGCCGGGGCGTGGATACGAACAAAGCAAGCCGCGGAAGCCGTTAATCACGAGCTACAGCAAAAGTATGGGACCGATCCGGCCTCACTGCAGGAGCGGATACATAGAAAACGGCGACCGAACCGCGAGCGATTGGTGGGGGGAGTTCGAGGAAACACTCGCCAGCACAATCGAGAAACTCAGCAAAACAGCACCCAGAAACGGACCGCGAAAGCCATGGGTTAGTAGTCGCACGTGGGAAAAAATAGCGGAGCGCAAGAAACTGGCAGCAAGGACCGGGGGGGCAAACAAAGCGAAACTGAACAGGCTGGCGCGAGAAATACGGGCCTGCGTCAAAGACGATAAAGCCACCTGGGTCCGGGACAAGCTGGAGGACCTGCGGAAAGCCGACAGCGCCGGAAACTCCCGGGCGGTCTACGAAGTAGCGCGGCAGCTTTCGGGCAAAGCAAGGAAAGCAGCGCAAGAACTTCCCGGGCCCCCGGAAATGTGGGAGACATTCTGGGGGGGCATTTTCGGCAAACCCCGGCCGGCACCAGGAGAAGAGGCCCAGCAGACAGAAAGCTACAAAAAGTGCAGCGCGGCACTAGAAGCGGGCAAAAGCAAGGAACCTTGGTGCCAGGGGCTCGACGAAGTCCCGAGCAACGACGAAATAGGGGAGGCCCTGCGCGGACTCAAGTCGGGGAAAGCTTTTGCCGGATTAGCACCGGCGGAACTCATCCGCGACTGCGAGCTGGCGCGCGCAGTCGTGGCTTCACTTGTGCGGCGCGTGTTTCGGGGCGAGGATGTCCCCGAGGCATGGGGCCGCGCGGTGTTGGCAATGCTCCACAAGAAAGGCAGCAAGGCGGAAGCAAAAAACTACAGACCCATCGCCCTGCTGACGTTCGCGGAAAAGCTCCTGGGCCTGATAGTGCTCAAACGGATAGAGGCCGAAGCCATGAAGACGATCGACAAAAGACAAAAAGGATGCACTAGGGGGCTCAGTTGCAGACATGGCGTCTTCCAGATCCTGCGGGACGTCGAGCGGTGCAAGAGAGAGGGGAGGCGGGCGTACTTGGTGTTTGCGGACTTCCTTAAGGCCTTTGACAGCTTGGGGTGGGACGTTATGCATCGAGTGCTCCGCCACCAAGGTCTCCCGGAGTACATTGGCCAGGTGGTCCAGGGCATGTATGATGGCAGCGCTCGGGTCCGCATCCGGCTAGGCAGCAACCGGCACACGAGGGATATCAAGCAGCGGGCGGGGATTAGACAGGGGAGCTCACTTTCCCCCCTTCTCTTCGCCATCGTTCTTGATTTCGCCATCACAAATTTTGCGGAAGTGATGCGGGAGCAGAAGAAGTGGACGGCCGCACAGGCTCGAGGGGACGCAATGAGCCTGCTCGGGTTTGTCGATGATTTGGCAATCAAGACAAGCTCGGAGGAAGATGCGCAGTTCGCAGTGCGCGAACTCGCAGGCGCCTGCAGGTTCGTGGGGCTGGAGCTCAACGCCGACAAGGGAAAAACAGAAATCCTAGTGGTGAACCAAGAAGAACAAGAAAGGCGCAACGAGCTAGCCATGACGGAGGACTGTATGGTAAAAACCGAAACAGGGGGCGAGCCGACCTATGGCACGCTAGTAGAGTGGTCGGGGGTGGGATTAACGAAAGAGCTGCGCGCCGCCGCGGCCGCAGTTGACACCCGGGCAATGGGGGACGTCGTTCCCACGCACCTGGTGCTGTGGAAAAGCGGCCACCTGAGCGTGATCAAGTTGAAGGAAGCGGGGTGGGCTTTGCTCGACAACGGCAAGACAATGCGTATTACGAGAATGGGGAACAGGCAGAGCATCCTGGAAAAGTTCAACGAGTGGAGGTGCCCACGGTGTGGGGACGTCCTTGCGGATGAGCTGGCGCTGAAGTTCCACATAGCAACGGGCTACTGCAGGGTAAACAAGACAATCCACGAGCGGAGGACACTACGGGTGTCCCGCATGGTGGAAAACAAAAAGAAGGACGAAAAGAAAAGAGCGGGGCCCTTGCCGGTAAACGTATGGCACAAGGGAATGCAGATCGAAGCGGTCGAGCGGTTTACCTACCTGGGGACGGAGATCGACCGGGACGGGTCGACATCCTCAGAAATCCGCCGGCGCTGTGCCATCGCGCACAGCGTCGTGAAGTCCCTCGGGAAAGTGTGGCGCGACAAGGACCTACCCAAGCACCTGAAGGCAGGACTTTCTCGGGCTTTGTGCATCAGCGTCGCGCTTTACAATGCGGAGGTTTGGGCGGTTTACGAACACGACGCCAAGACCCTGCGTGAGTTCCAGCGCCACACCCTTCGCTACATTCTTGGGCTGTGGAACTGGGAAAATGCTCCAAGCACCGAAGACATGTGCCGGGCCCTCGGTGTGCAAACGATCGAGACCGAGATAAGGGGAAAAAGCATCGCGTGGGTTGCCCATGCGGCGCGTGACTCTTCGGGCGAGGGGTCTCTAGACCGAATCAAGGAAGAAATCGATCAAAAAACACACTGGGGCAAGCTGGTAGCAGACGACCTAGAGTTTTATGGGATTAGCCTGGAGGACCTCGCACTGCAGCGACCGACCGGGCCTGTGGTAAGAGAGCTGCTGACCAAGCGCAGACCCTACGCTACAGCGCGGCGGGAACAGGCAAAAACCAGAAAAGGGCCGGAGCGCGGGAAGAAGTCAGTAAAAACGCAAAAGGCGCAGGAGGATCGGCGCAAGAGGCTGGAACAGCAGAAACAGGAGCAGGCAGATGCAAGGCAGGAGATGGTGAACATGTTAAATGGAAAAAAGTGGACACCACCGGCGCACGGGCAGCGAAGATGGCAGCTGCAAGACAACCCAGATGTCGTTTTCGAAATTTCGGACACCTTCTTCTGCGAAAACTCGGGCAAGGAGGAAGTGAGCGTGGGTGGAGTGTGGTTCATAAAAGAATCTGATGGAACGTACATCGTCAGATAGTTCAGCCACCCCCCACGAGAAGGAAAAGAAAAAATTAACAATGGTGTACGCACAGCCTCGATACAATCGATCAGTTACTTTTGACGAGAACTTCTGAACAAAAGGACACGGCTAACGCGTTGATGATGATGATGATGATGAACTTCGAGATGCAAAGAAGCATGTCAACTTGCAGGTTCATCATCAAAGTACAGCATGTGCTTACGGAGTCAGCTCTGAATTGTCGTCGCTCTACTTTGTATGGAGGAACTAGAAAAGAGCCACTTATTCAATTTTTCGACTTATTTTTCAATAAAAATGACATATTTAATATTTTTAGATATTTTCCGTTCTTTACTTCCTTACTTTCCACAGGTGATCGCCTGCATTCAATCTGCTACGACGCCGGACATCAAAATTTCCGCGATCGGTCACTGCTGGGGCGCCTGGGCGTGGGCCAAGGCCGGGGAAGCGGGGTTGCCCTTGGTCTGCGGCATTTCCCCCCACCCGAGCATAAAACTGGAGGAGTTTGCGTTCAAGAAATCGCAGGAGGAGCTCTGCGAAAAGGTGAAGTTCCCCACCCTCCTGATGGCGGCTGGAAATGACCCCGATAACATCAAGCCCGGCGGCAGTCTGGTGGAGATTTTCGCGAAAAATTGTCCGGGCTCCGAGGCGGTGCCGTTTCCCGACATGCTGCACGGCTGGTTCTCCCGCGGCGACCTGGCGCAGCCCAACGTGCAACGGGATGTCGAAAAAACCATGCAGCTGGTTTGCGATTTCCTGGCGAAGTACCATGCGTAGATTAAGAGAAAGTTATAGGGATAAAGAAGAAAGGTGATGCCGCTGCGTGGCCTGCACAGCAATTACTAGAGATCAAAAAAGTGAATCTTATCTTCCGAGAAGATGACTCACAAGAGCAGCGGTGCTACAAGAATGATCGGGGATTGCAGTTCTACTTCGATTGCTTCTTGCTGCTGCAAAACGGTGACGAGAAAATTTCGACCAAGAATGAATCCATTTTATCGAGTTCACAGCTGTAGATGCCGACGCTAGGGCTTTGTTTTAGCATGATGCGCCGATGTTAATGATAATGACACTACCACTAGCGCATCAGGCTAGAAAATGAAAGTCAAATGCACGAATATGGATGCGCGCCTGCGTCATCGACAAAAGGACAGGCTCCGACGTTTCTTTGCTGGGTATCGGCCACGGATCACTCACTGTCGTGAGCACCACATTCAACTTCCCCTGTAATGTATGTAAGTACCTACTACTTGGTTCTCCTTCTCGTTGTACACTGCACCAGATGAATCGGTAATTCAGTATTTATTGATTCGTTTTTGTGTTTGCAGACTCCTACTTGTACGACAGTCTCGTAAAGATAAAGATCCACAGAGCTGGCTCGGGTACTCGTCGTCCTTCGTCTCTTGACGATTGATCATCACACCACGACCTAGGTTCTTGCGCTTTGACAGAAAGATCCATGATCAGTGTAATGAAGATCGCTGTGATGTCGAAAATAGTTGAGTTTGACGGTAGCCGTTGCACGCCCCCCAACAAGGTCGATCACATGCTTGTTATCCCAGTGCACGTCGATCAAGCCTGCTCTCTTCTACATTCTTTCCAAAAGAAACATACCACGAATTACTAATAGTTACTCAGATAGCAGTCGAGACTCAACTCTCTTTGACGACGTCATGGAGATGGACGTCCTCTTGCGATCCAGCTCCCCGCCGAGTATTTTTTCCCGTCTCGTGCTCCAACTGTCGGTGTTGAACATTTTTTCTTCAAATGTCGTCGTCCCGGTCTCTTGCCAAACACAAAGACGCGACGAGCGGCAACAAGGACACGCTAAACTCCAAGCTAAACCAGCCCAAGTGCTAGAAGACCCCACTAGAGTCACCATCCAGCCGCTGGAGGGCACGACGCATTGCGTGTGGAGCTCCGGTACCAATTTTTACCTGTACGACCGATTTTTTGTCCATTGGGACATTCCGCATTCCCACTCCTACGGCTGGGTGGCCCCGATCAATTGCTCTCAAAGTGAGTCGTCATGCAGCCAGCAGACTACAGTAGAAAGAGCATTAGTGGGGGAGCATGTCAGCAAGAGTGCCAACCGCGTTGGCGATGCGACACTTGATGATACAACTCGTCAAATCAGCTTCGGTCCAGTACCTGTAATTTCTGATCCGACGCAGGCCTTTTTCTCTTCCATCGACTGGACGTTACACGGCTACCAGAGCCAGCCTCTCCCGCAATTTGCGCCAAACTTGGAGGTGGGCTTCGCGACGCTGCTGGACCCCGAAATCGAGCTGGATTTGGGCGCCGAGGAGAATTATCAACTGCAAAAATGTCTGGGTCTGGAAACTTGTGATGCAAGTCCGTGAACAGTAAGCGCTCTGTAATGCGCCGCCAAGCATGACAAGTTTTTTCGTGCTTCTGTGATGCGTATTTCGCATGAGAAACTGCGCTTTTGCATGACAGGCAAGAGGACTTCTTGGTGGCCGCGCAATACAGAGTGCAGAGTCATGCCAGACTACTTAGCATGACAATCTTCATCCAGACCCAGACACTTTTGCACTTGATAAGGATGACGGTATTAATTGGCGAACCATCCGTTTTTCAGATGAAGCTTTGGCCTTGCAGAACACTAAGGAAGAGGAGAAAAGCACAAAGAGCAGCACCTCCACTACTCCAGCAACCAATGATGGTGATGGAGCTGCCTTGGATGGACCAGAGCAAGCATTAGCTGCAGTGGATAATGAACATCTTTACCCGCACGAAGATGCCTCCGAAACTACAAGCCCGGGGAACCAAGTTCCATCGTCAGCCGCAGCAGCTCTTGCAGGGACAAGTGTCTTGTCCACAGAGGACTTCAGCCCAGCTGCAGCAAAATCGTGGCTAAAAAGAACACTCGGCAGCTACTTCCCGTCGTGGTGGTCTTCATCAATGAATCAGAATCGGGAAATTCCAAGTAGTCGACCTAACGTCGACGGCCACTGGAATGATCAGAGTTTTCACCAGCTGCCGGACAACGAGGGCGAAAATGCCTTTCCCTTTCTGCATCTACTTGCCAATCATGAGCGGGACGAGCAACAACATGATTCCGCACGGTCGTCCCATGATTTCTCGGGCACCAAGCAAACAGCAGCTTCTCCTCCAACATTGCTTTCCGACCCCCCTTCGATGAACAACCGCTTACTATGGCGCGCCCGCAGTCTGATCGGTACCCGCATTACCACAGCGGAGCACACGAGCTGCTGCATCCAGCACATGACAGAAACGAAATCGAGAAGTGGGGATACAGTTTTTACTGCAGTAGTTGCACCAGGAACATCAAGACCCTTGATGCCGCATCATGATCTTCAAGGCTTCGTGTTAACCGAATACTGTGTCAAGGTAGAGGAACCAGCTGACAAAGATGATGAAAAGGCGAAATGGGACGAATCACCACTCACCTCGCGGGTAAAACTAAAAGACGTCGTAAAAATCCCCTGGTATGTCAACAAGACCCGAGCCGAGATTTCCGCGGGGATAAAACGCCGATGCATTGAGGAACAAGATTTGCTGGACCTGAAAAACCGCGACTTCCTGCGCAGAATCGTCCCCACAAACGCGACAGCGTGGGAGTACTGGCGAAAGCAACTGGCGAAGCAGGATAAAGATGTCGAACGAGCACGACTAGAAGAGAGGCCGCAAGCGCACGGGCAAGGAGATGGTCCTTCTGCGAGAGGCACATCCATGCCGTCCTCGCGGTCTGCCCGCGCGACGTTTGCAGAACCGTGGATTGAAGCCTATCCGCAAGGGTATGTGGATGTGAATGTGGGCGACGACGTTAATCTAAAGAGTCCCGTCGAGCAAGAGGAAAATGGAATGAAGAAAACCATGGGTGAAGAACTACAGCGTCAGGTGCGACAGGTCAAAGACAATGAACATGATGCAGCTCCATCAAATCTTCACCTGTTAATACCTTCCGAGAGCACACAACGAGCTGAAGAACCTTTCCGAGGCGAGGAATCCGACGTTGATCATGCTGAAGGTGAAGTAGAACTACTGTACAGCTGATGACTTTCATTTTCAACAAAGACTTTTCCGTGAATAGGATCTGCTCCAGTCCTTTGGCTTCCGTGTTATATTTTTCGAAGACGCAGCTCCCCGTACCCTGATCTTTTTTTTTTTCTGTTAAAAGAAAATCGATTATCATCTCGCTTGTTCCCGGCGGTGCTCTTTGGAATGTTGCTCTGGCTCGATCTACTAAAAAGCAGTTCCTTTTTCCGAATGCCACTCGAAGTACAAATGGTCTACATGCTTTTTGGATCGCTATCGTTCTCGGCTAAAATTCTTCTCGAAGAACCTTGCCCCTACTGTTTTTTTCTTTCGCTTTATGTGTACTATTACGCTCATTTGCATTTTTCAGATTCACTACGAGTACGTCGACCCTGTCTTTCTTTCTCGACCATCGTGTGCTGTGGTTGAATCCGGAAATCAATGTGAGGCCCCCTGGAGTAGATGATTATGACTGTGTCTGCAAAAATTTGGTGTGACAACATGTGCGGACTGTTGCGGGAGGTTGGCTCCTTGATCCTGCGTTCGCTTTTATTCCGTGAACCTAGTCGACGACGTCCACCCGCACGGTCGCCGAAGCCCCCAGTTCGCAGCCGTGGAAATGCAGTTGCAGTGGCATCGAGAAACGAAGGCGCCCGTGTTGACGAGCAGGGTCGTCGTGAAAAAACCTACGCGTGGTCAACCTGTGGTCTTCGTCCGTCCCATTGGGCGCTGCATGCGAAAAAAATGTTGGCAACTACACACGACATCGTCATCGTGATGACCGAGAGATTATTTTTCCGGACAAGCAGGAGGTGCACGTGCAAACTACATCTCTCCTGGACCGTTGCAGCGTTTTTGAAGCGACTGCTGGCCCGACGACCCGTCGGTTTGGTTGCGGTTTGGTGTCTGTGTATTATGAGCGTTCTCCTGGGCCTGGGCTGGACCAACCTGTCACACGCGGGGGCTCTCGCTGCACCAACATCTTCTTCGGAGTTCCAGTATCCAAATTTTCTTTCCTGCGAGCAGCACGAGGATTGGAAAGAGTTTCTGGACGCGCTAAAGGAGACAAACATAGTATCATTTGGAATAAAATCATTCAAATCACCACGCTCGTCGTCATACACATTCACGTGCGAAAACCTGATGGAAGATTTGTGATTCGGAACGTATTACATTTTACGTCGCATCTTGACAAATTCATTGACGTGCATACGGGGTGGTAGCGTAGTGGTTTTACGTTGCATACAGCGCGGATCTGCACGAAACCCTCGTCCTACAAGTACAACGTATTGAAATTTTTGAGTTTCAATGTGACGTAGGTCTGTTTGTGTTTGTACTTAGTCATGCAAAACTGTTCTAACGGAAAAACAAATCCGGTCATCTAAATCTATTGAAAATGCGCATGCCAAATTTCAAGAAACTTCCTTAGGCCCAGAAACTGCTGCACAAGCACGAGAAGCACTTCATGGTCGCCCAGAACACGATATCAAGTGCAAACGTAAGTATCTGGGTCGCGAAAAAAGAGAGGACGCGAGTTGCCAACAGGCTGACTCTTGCATGACAGCGAGGCTTTTTGTATGGTAGGAACGCATGACAAAAATTTTTCAGATTAGTATGTCTTCTAAGAAGACATACTTACCTGAAATTTTTTGTCTGTCGAACCGAAACTCACGTGCAAAAGTGCCTCTCAGCACGACAAAAAAACTCGCCAATTATCCTCTTGCTGTAAACGCAGATCATCCTAATCTCATGCAACTCTCGCACATCACAAATCCAGACCGAGATCGATATTTGCGATGCATACAGGAAGCGCATGTTCATCGAGTGTGCGTGGGAAACCCGCGACCTAGAGAAATCTGTGGAGGATGTTCGCGGCGAGCAGGCTTGGCTCGAAGCGCTGCAGGACTTGCGGGCAGAGGATGACAATTTGGCGGATTATGACGAAGTCGACGGGGAGGAGCACGTCGAGCATGCAGCGGAGACTTCTACAAGTCGCAGCAACGACCAAGCTCAAGCTAACGAGACGGGAAATACACAGATATCTATCGGTCCTAACGGCGACCACGCGGGGGCAAGAACGACTAGGACATCTTCAGATGATGTTGCAGCCGCGTCGTCCTCAATGAAACGAGACCATTCAGGTACTACAAATAGAAGCCCAGTACTAGTGGAACAAACAACGCAGCGGGGCGAGCACCGGCGGACCCGGACCTACGCGCTCTTGGACTCGATTGCTTTCCCGCAAGAAACTAGAGGAGATGGCTCTGGGCCGGAGGATCGTGGTGACAGGAACCAGCACAGCGCTTCTCGTCAAGAAAGTGAGGATCCGCTGATTTATGGCCCGCTCAGATGGAGCAAGAAGCTCGACTGTAACAAGAAAATTGCAAATCTGTTTGTTAGCCCGTATTTGTCTTGCATAACGGGCAAAAGCAGAGGCTACCTGCTCCAGTCTTGCATGACGAAGTCAAAGTCTGTTGCAGCTGTTGAGCAGGCCATACTCCTCCTGTTCAGGAAGAGCAGGAGGTAGCAAAAAAGCTTCTCCACTACCAGAAAACCGACTACCCGCTCCTGACCGGACGGGAGGTGCTGCGGTGGCTGAAGCAGCGCCCCTTCCACGACGGCCAGCAGATCACTCAGTGGAAGCGCATCGCATACAACATGCTGTATACCGAGAGACTAAACGCCGAAAAAGCAACGGATCGACCCAGATTGCTAGAAGTACAAACAGAAAGAGGAGCTGTGCGACGACCTGGAGAAGTGAAGGAGGATGCAAAGAACTCTCAGCCAAATCCAAATGAACAAGATCAACATGGCGCTATGAAGAATACTTTCGCGGACAGCACCTCCTCGAGCTATCGTCTGTCGCACAAGAAAATCCTCCACCACTACAAAAACCGGCTGAGCGAGCGCGTCCTCGATCCGAATAACGAGAATCCGCCGATTTGCTTTTGGGGCTACTACATCGCCGCAACGGTATATCCCACGAAGAAACTGTTTCACTGTGGTGATTTTGCAAAATCTGCATCACAAGTTTGTTACGCATGACGCTGAAAATCTGTCTCTGTCATGCGCGCTTCCCAAGGGAAAACACGGCACAAAATCCAATGCCTTTCGGGTGTAGCACGACAGCGAGTTCTGTGCTCCATTTTCTGCATCACAACTTCGCAGTGATGAAACAGGTTTTTTCTTCCCATACGATACGGACGAGAATGCTGGAAGCCGACCCGGACTCACCTTTAAACAGAGAACGAGACACACTCGTACCGTAGAGAAAAATTTGCTCCTTCACTGTGAAGAAATTGTCATGTGGGGATGCAGTTGCACTAAACGAATTTTATACGTGCTGTCTCGCAGCTTGGCAAATCGAACCTAAGACAGCGAATCCTATGCTAGGCATGATCATTCTTTTTTTTTTTCGTTCGGAACCACGCATGGCTGGTTTCGTGTAAGATGCAAAAAACACTTAATATCATGTTCGACCAGTCCTCGAATGAAATGAAAATCGCGGCAATGAAACGCTAATTTTCACTTCGTGCGATACCTGGTGACCATGGTGCAGCGCATGCTGATGGACAAATCCAATATTGGCAATATGGCGGACCTATCCGGTTGGCCGCTCGACCACGCGCAGCTGATTCGTTCGGTGTGGCCGGAACACAACTGGCGCATCATCCAGGGGCACATCCCGATAGATATCGCACGAAAAAAGTGTTTTACTGTAAGGATTTTGCAAGTTTTGCATTACAAGTTCGCTACACATGACCAAGACAACTTCCCATGCGTGCTTCCTAAGGGAAAACACGTTGAAAAACCAAGTGTCTTGCATGTGTAGCAAGACAAATAGTGGTGTGCTCCATTCTATGCATCACAAGTTCACAGTGAAACAGTTTTTTCGTGCGATAATAGACACGAAAGATACAATGCGCCCCGTGTCCGTCTGGCCGAGCCACTTGTTTCAAGTGCCGCATGATTACTACAGCTTTCGAAAAGTATCGGCGTCAACATCTTCACCCTCTGCAGCCGCTCACGACGACCAGCAAACACAGCAGCATCACTTGGGAGCCACGCAGATGCTCCAGCAGAACCAGTTGCTGCATGGCGCAGGAGGCCAGGGTGGAGCTCCTGCAGGTGTGTATGCAATGCAAAAGCGAACTATCGCACCGGAGATGACTAACTGCGAACATTTTGCACGGTAAATGATGATGGTGTACTTCCACTTTCTCAACCTTAAGTACCTCAATGTGCATGACTAATTCAGATCTACTCAGCTTTCCTTCTTCATCCGGTGGAAATGAAATTCGTCTTGCAAGAATTCGTATACAAATATTGTGCGATGGTAAGTATTGCTTGTTGCAGTGCATAAGGTAAACGAATTGACTATGTACGTAGTCGGGTATCACGCGACGCTGGCGTTGGAACTGGTGAAAATCTGGGAATTGCTCCCGGAGATAGTGTATCAAGTGCAAAAGCATCGTAGTTCTCGTACGCAAGTAAAAGGATACGATGACTCTCCTCAGCATGACGAAAAATGGACCTTGTGATGCTAAAGTAGGAAAGAAACTCGATCTGTTTATGCATCATTGCAATTTAATTGATTGTTGTACGAAATAATGAAAGGATAGACTACGATACTATTGCAAAATGCATACCGTGCCCAATTTGAAAGTGAAGATCACAACGCACGTGATCGACGACAAGCTGGACCACACACTGAATGCCGAGGAGGAACGCGACCGTGTGGCGAACTTGGTTACGCACGGACAAAATTTCGAACTCATCGATAAGTTGGTGAACGGCAGCTTGTATGCATTGCAAATATGTCTGGGTCTGGAACAAGGTTGGAAGTAACTTGTGATGCTGTCTTTGGATTCTAAAAAAATCTGTATTGCATGACCAGCAAGAGGGATATAGTTTCTTTGTGCTACGTGGAGAGGCCGTTTCTCATGCGGAATAGGCATCAGCAAGCACTCTAAAAATCTGTGATGCTAGGTCACGCATTGCAGGCATCACGGGTCATGCAAAATGTGCATGACAAACGACGCACTCTTCCAGACCCAGGCATATTTGCAGGTGATAGCTTGAGCGAAAACGCCCGGGGCCAATTCGGCACGTCCTCGCAATCAGGTCCCGCGAAGGATGATGAAAATAAAGATGATAACGCGGACGACCAAATAAACAAGAACGCGGACGGTGGGGAAGAAAACACAAACACAAACAGAAACACTCCACAAGACAATCCGCACAGTACTAGCGAGATGAAAGACGACGAGGGCACCACGTCGAAAGCGACCAGCACAGACGAACCTTCGAAAGGCGGGTTTCGACTCTGCGAGTATTTCAACGTCTGCGCGACGGACGCCCGATTGCTGTACTTGAACAAAAAGTTTCTCCGGCGGGCGTTTCTGCCCAAGACGAAACTGGCCAACCCCCAGTTTCCGGACTTTCAGGTATCAAATGCAAAAATGTCTGGGTCTGGAAGATTGCAACTTGTCATGCTGTTTTTGGACTCTAAAAAAAATTGTATTGCATGACCAGCAAAGGGGGCGCAGTTTGTGCTACACGGGCAGGGCATTTCTCATGCGGAAGGTGCATCAGGAAGCCCTCTAAAAGTCTACGATGCTAGGGCATGCATTACAGGCATCATGGGTGATGAGAAATATGCATGACAAGTCTTGCATTCTTCCAGACCCAGACATTTTTGCATTTGATATCAGGAGTGGCTCAACGAGTGGATTCAGCTGTTCGCCGAGTATTTGTATTACAGTGAAAAATGCCCCCACCCCCAAAGTTGCAAGAATTTGTGATGCGAACTTTCCAAATGAAATCTTTTTGTCATGCATGAAAGGAGTATGAATGCATCTTTCTGATGCAGACTCCAGGCGTATATGTATATCGCATCGCTTGCATGACAAGCGCTGCACTTGCTGGGATCTTTTGCAATACAAATTATTGCTATTCACGATTGGAAATCTGTGATGCTGATAGATGCAAGAGGGCGAATGTTTCATTTGGAAAGGTTTGCAATAAAAATGCTCCCAACTTCGGGTGTGGGGGCATTTTTAATTGTAATACCGAGGTGAACGTAGACGAGCAGGGCGGAGGTGGATCCAGTGGCATCAACGAAGACGCTGTTGACGCACAACGCAGAATTTTGCAGGATAGGCTCCAACGGCTAGCACTACCAGCGGGGAAGGAAAAAGAACCAAGAGACTATGACGATCAGGGATCACCCTCTAGTACTGCTGTCCTTGACATATGGATTGCAAAAATGTCTGGGTCTGGAAGATTGCCAGATTTTTCATGCAGGTTTTCCATGACCCATGAGGTCTGGTATGTAGGACATAGCATGACAGCTTCTGCGGGACCTGTCTAATGCCTATCCTGCATGAGAAACGGCCTCTCGATTAGGTCAAAAGTGCACTATTTTTGGCAATCATGCAACACAGTTCTTTACCTGATTCAGATTTAGCATGACAAGTTGCAATTATCCAGACCCAGACACTTTTGCAATCCATACGACACAAACATCGACAATGCGGAAATCCTCGTGTGCACGGAGCCCGCGGTGCTCTGCTATGAACTGCAAAAGTATCGTACTCGTAGTAATTGCTGTTATGCATGACAAATCTCTTTCCTGAGGCAAAACAGCATTACAAATTTCATTTGTAATGCTGGGCTAATTTGTAATGCAATTCATACTAGTACGATGCTTTTACATGGCATATCTGCCTGCCCCTGGCAATGGGGCAGCCGAAAAAGATTGTCATAGGATACTTCGGAAACCCGTTAGCGGCCTACGTGCCCGAGCGGTATTTGGACACCTGGTTCCGGTACTTCGTATGAACTGCAAAAGTATCGTATTCGTATAAATGCATTACAAATTTCCTCAGCGTGAGCAATGAAATTTGTAAATGCGAATTTACCTGAAGAAAAAGAATTGGGATGCATGACTGCAAGAATACGAGTAGAGATACTTTTGCACAGGATACCGCGGGAGTCTGGACAACTTCTTCCCGGTGGCGAGTACCCGGTTTATCGAATGCAAATGTGTCTGGGTCTGGAAGAAGATTGCGAGGTCTGTCATGCTTGTTTGGCATGACCAAAAAGTTTGTGATTCGTGTCCAAGAAAAGACCCATTTCTCTGCCTGTCATGCAAAAACGCAGTTTGTCATGCGAAAAGCGCAACACAAAGAAGCCCAGATATTTCTCATGCTTGGCTGTGCATTACAGAGCATTCACTATTCCCAACGCAGCATTACAAGTTTCCAGACCCAGACACGTTTGCACTGAATACGGTTCCTAGCGAAACAAATGGAGTACCAAACCGGGCGGTTCGTGAATTCGCAGCGGCCCCTAACGCTGTACGTGCAAACAGTGTATTCCCCCGTCACGCTAGCGTATGCAAAGAGGAAAAAAAATGTGATTGCACATCACTGTGTTGCAGGCCAAGCAAGACACACAAGTTCTGTCATGTCGAATTCTATATGCTCAGGAGCATAGTAAAGTTTCATATGTGAACGCGTTTATTTCCCTTTAATATAATCCCTGTACCGTTAGCTGCGAGTTGTTTGTGTTGCTGAATGACTTATGACCACAAGTGTGCAAGAACTGTGCTGCTTTTTCCTTGGGATAGGGCCCGGGCAGGAAACTGGAACTTTGTGGACTTTCACGAAAACTTTCCCAGCGGCCGGGATCGCGAGCGCGAACTGTACGCGAGACTAAAGGAAGGAAATCTACAAGAGAATGGAAATCATTCCACGCACGGCCGTAGCACTAGCGGCGCCGAAATAACAAGTACATCAGTGGACGACACCACAACAGTCACCTCACAGCACGATCTCGACGTGCCCTTTAGCAAGGACGAGTATTTGCACAAACCCGGCTTGCTCACACGAAGACTAAACCGGCAGATTCTGGTGCTGCGCCAATATCCTATGTAAAAACGTCCCCGCCTCATGGTCAAGATGGGGAATCGGCTAAACAAATCTACAAGATTTGGCTGTTTTGCATGACAAATTTGGATTCGTAGTGTTTTGCTGTTTGAGCTAGCTCAGCAGCATCACAGATCTAGTATATCATGCTGTTTGAAGCATTACAAATTCCAAAACACGGCTAGAAAATGCCTCTCATGGGGGTCCGCATGAGAAACATTTTCAGCATGCAGCTTTGCATTACAGCTATGGGGAAGGGACGTTTTTCAAAACGATAGCCAACCCTCGGTGTTTTGGGACGACACCTGCATCCTCAACCTGTTTGTATCAACTGCAAATATCTCTGGGTCTGGAAGAATGTGAGATCTGTCATGCAGTTTTTGCCTGACCCAGATCGTCTGGCATGCAAGCTCTAGCATCACAGATTTTGCGCAGGTACCCCAATGCCTAACCCGCATCACAAATCCGCTCTTTCGGTAACAAGAATTGGTGCCTTTTCCCAGCCATGCATGACAGATTTTGTCATGATGTAGACTTCGCATCACAAATTCGAACTCTTCCAGACCCAGACATATTTGCAATGCATAGTTTGCAAAGCTGAACAACTTCCCGCTGCGGTTCCACTACACCGACGACCTGGTCGACAAGAGTTACAGCATATGGGATTTCTCAATTGTTACATTCTCAACTGTTACATGAATTTGTCATGCAAAAGCACCATCATCATCCTCACGATCAAGCTGCTCCGCATGACAAATTTGCGAAGGCCTAAACCGCACTTAAATCTGTGCGGAATTTGTAATGCTACAGGTGCAACCTTCCCCCTTGCACTTTTCATCCAGTTCTTGCATCACAAGTTCATGTAACAGTTGAGAATGTAACAGTTGAGATCGCCATACAGCAGTTTCGCGAAGTTTGACGCGCTCGTTCTCTTTCCCTACGACATGTCGCAGATATCAAATGCAAAAATGTCTGGGTCTGGAATGTTGCCGGGTTTGTCATGCATATTTTGCATGACCCAGGATGTCTGTAATGCATGACCTAGCATCACAGATTTTCAGAGGGTTTCCTGATACCTATTCCGCATGACAAATGCCCTCCCCGCGGAGCACAAACTGGACTCCTCGTCTTGCTGATCATGTAATAAAGATTTTTTTAGAGTCCAAAGTTAGCAACACAAGCTCCAACCTTCCAGACCCAGACACTTTTGCATTTGATAACAGATGCGCTTCTACGAATTCTACGCCATGGGCATGCCTATTTTCCTGCCAAGAAAACTGGTCCTCGCAGCCTACATTTAGTACCCTCAGCAAAAGTTAGTATCCGATACTTGTAGTAATTGCAAGTATGAAGAATGCAGAGGGCTTTCTAAAGGTCAGGGTAAATCTAAATCCGCAATACATACGAAATGCTATTTCTCATTCTGACGCTAACAAGCCACTTTGCAAGGCATTTTTTAACTACTGTGTGCGATACGATACTTTTGCAATGGATATCCACCGAGGCATGACCAGCATCGAGGATTTCGACTATACCGTATCGTGAGGGAAAACGTCCCCACCCGGTGCCCATGTTTGTCCTGCAAATCTGCATGCCTAAAATGTTTATCTTCATGTTGTTCATCATGCGCAGCTGTACGAGATGAAGCATCAATTTTTGAAAGTGTTTTTGAAGTTTTTTTTTCTCGAGTCACGCTAGAGAAGTTCGGATCCGTTAGTTTGTGTTGCTGCGGGTGAACCAAATACACACGACAATCTTGACGATTGAGGTCGGGGGGGCGTTTTAACACAGCACACACGGTGGTGGAGAAGCACCTCTCGGAACAGGAAGCCGACAAGGAAAACGAGAACAAAAACAGGATACCCAACCCCTTCGAGCGGTGGAATTTCGACGTGGCCAGCTGGTGGTCGCTCTACACGCACTATCCATTGCAAGCATGTCAGTCAGGGTCCTCCGGAGGACTGGAATGCGCATGTGGAGAAGTCTAGCACTACAGATTTTGTCAGAGCTTTCCAAAAATGCGCACCTTCACGCGTGACGCGAAATATATTAATATTTATACCAAAGCATTCAGAGGCCGGCACCATCTCGTCCTTCTAAGTACCCGCGCACAACAAATTTTTGTGCCGTGCGGTCCTCTGCGGGCGGAGGACGCATCACAAGTTGCAACCTTCCAGTCACCCAGGGTGGACGATATGAATGTGATTTGCAATGCATACACACTATGTCTCCTTGCCGCATTTGTTGTACTTCAAATCTGCACCGGACCTCTTTCACCAGCTGGCGTACAAGCCGGCGGACGAATTTCTGAAACTTGTATCCATCGTGGGAATCCAGAATGAAAGAATTGATCCGATCTTCGATCGAAGACAGAAAAGATGTTTGTTTCTCGTAAAGATAACTAAGGATGCAACGAAGTGTATGCATTGTAGTTCTGCTGGTTTGAAATTCGATGGGACCCGACGGGGAGGTGTCGTTCTTTCGAAAAAAAAAAACGTCATTTCTCCCGGGGAAGAAACAAACACAAGCCGCTGACCACCACCAGCATTGTGCCAGATGAAAGCGTTGGTTAGAGTCAGACATGAAGATGCCCATCTACGAGGATCACAACATCGATGGATCGGATCCTACAAGGATTTTCGAAATTCCATAGCCGAGCCACGGGATGCACAAGAGAAACGCCCTGGATTTAACGCTGAGTTTGCAATTCTGGCGAGAAGCTTTGAATCTGTGACTGTGATTAAGTCTGCGAGCCCGCAGTCACCTGTGAATGTGAGAATGTGACTATCCGAAGCAACACGATCTGCGATGTGGAAAGAAACACACGAAGAATAATACACCGGGTCATACAGTGTTGATTTTGTGTTTCACGAAGGAAGGCCATGAAAAGATTAAGTCGAGACAAGAAAGAATCTGAATCAAATCCCATGGCGATGAAAATATTCAAGAATGATGGGTTTCCCAACATGACTTCCCACATCATCTCAAATCTGATTGATTCTATTCATGATGCGCGCAATCGAGTCATTGATTCAACTTGAAACTTCATATTCGAAAATTTTTCGACATTCTCATTCATCAAAGAATACGAAAATAAGAGATATCTGTCGTGGTGTTATGATAATTTGGATATCACCCATAATAATATCCTTTTGTAATATCATATCATCATGAAAAGATTCGATCGAAATTTATGTTATCGGTCCATCGATTAATCAATTGATGCTCGAAATAAATATGATAATCTATCAATCTTATATGAATCGATTAAATTTCTCTCGATGAAATAATTTTTATCGATGAGGAATTCATGTCATGTTTTCTCTTTGATATTTTCATATTTTTCTCAATATTTAAAAACAGAAATTTCATGATGAGATAATATAGAAAGATAGATAATCCCGAATATTTCTTGAAAGATATTCGAAGAATATGAAGACAATGACAATATGAGTCATCCCCAGACATGTCGTTAGATGAGTTGTCGTATAGGATGAATTGTAGCCAAATATGTATTAAGAATCCAGGAGACCTTAGATCGTATCGTATTATGGAACCATGAAAAAAACGAGCAAAACATTTCAACAGTTAATTTCTTCAAAAGGGAAAACGACGGAACTTGTCGACGGATCTTGTGTCGTATTTGCCCAAAAATGGAGGGAATAGTGGAGCAGCTGAATTGTCACAAAGCGAAGCAATTCAACGCAGAAAGGCAAAGCAATCTATCTCGGTCGATCGGGCATATACGATGTATTTCCCGGCAAAAGCCAATGACAAGTTTTACAGACACCCTCGATAGAAGCGTTATGGATTACACCAGGCGCGAGGCGTGCCGAAATAGTTAGACCGAGGGGCTTGCGGCAATTTGCTCGGAACACTGCCCCATCACACGCGCTCGCAACCATGGGAATGGTCCATGCCCAGGGCCCGGGAGAGCATTCCTCGGCAGGACCCCCCGCGAACTGGCTGCGGTAGAACGCAGCGCGTGCAACTTTTTACCCGTTGCGCCATGCTTTGGACCCCGAACAATCAAGCCTGCGCGGATCACATGATAATCACATTAGTAGTCACGACGGACATGATAATCACATGATTTTTGCGGTCCATAAACCATTTTGAGTTGTTTTCATCACATGACAATCACATGATTATCACATGATGACAACCCCGGAAAGGCGACTGCTAAAGTTGCAAGATATGACACGCCCCCCATCATATGTCAAACCCAAAGTGGCGGCGAAACAATAAGGATTCACGAAGAAAACGGAGCAAAGACGAAAATCGAACATATGAACTATATTGTGACAATTCAGATCGCGCCAGGAACTGCGCAAAAAAAAGTCAAAAAAGCAACTCAACATAGGAGGACAACTCAGATTACTACAGACATGACAAGAAAGAAAGAAAGATTATGGGGAAATCATACAAAAAATCTTCGAAATTGCATATAATAAATTTTTCAGATCATTTAATTTTCATATCAATCCAGATTGATTGAATATCAAATCATATTTCAAAAATTCAGAATCCATATCGGACGAATGAAATTCTTCGAGGATTATAGGATGATTTTATTTGGTCCTATGACTATATTGCGAAAAAAAAAAGAATCCTATTCATGAGATTGAATTCGGATGAGAATGATGATTTCCGAGAGATCTTGTGAATCAGAATTATGTCAGCTCCTCATCGAGACTTAACGAGGAAGCCAAGCGAATATGGTGTGTGGCCCGCCATGCGGATAGGGCCACCACTTCCTTATGCCACGAGAGGACCAACTGAATGAGAATGAATCCAGGATTCATGAATTAACAGGATGGATGGGGGAATCATCTTGCTATAATGATAACATCTTCAATCGTCAAAGAAGTATGTTGCATCAGGTCGAAATTGTTCGTATTCGATATCGATTTTATCGCTCTTGTTGTCTTTCAGGCATTGGTTGCCATCAGTCTCGTATTGTGTATCTATGTATTCGTTTTTGTTTCCTTGCCCTCGGTCTTTCAATTATCTCAATCGCCATCGGATGTTGAAGTTAGTTCACAAATCGCTCTTGGAGCTCGAGTCGCCGCCTCGTGTTGCACCGCCTCTGTTTATGTCGCCCGCTTCGGCTCGCACGTCCAGTGGGTCCCAGTATTCGTTCAGTTCCCCTTCCAGCGCGTCCAGCATCTCCACCGCTTCGCTCGTGAGTTCAAAATCCCAGATATCCGCATTCTCGGCGACTCGCTCCTCGTGCACCGATTTGGGAATCAGGGCGAGATTCTTCTGCAAGCCCCAGCGAAGCAGCATCTGCCCGGTGGTGATGGAACCCCGGGGTTTTTTCGATGAAGCCGGTACAACTTCACCAGGGGGTACTATTGGCCTAAACCAGCCGCTGCTGTGACTGATCGCTCCGCCGCGCTTCAGACCTGTAGTTGAGAAGAGATTCGTCATCATCAACTTCTACCCAGTTATACAATAAAACACCCGCTTTTCCTCTTCATGATAGGAAAATAGAGACGTCGCGAAGTTTGTATTTTTTCGGATCATGATTCTCGTCACCGTTCTACTTAGGCAGACGCCAACCCCAAGAACCCCTCCGCAGACAGCATTTAGTTTCAGATACAGATTCATTTTTCTCTCGGAAACAACAAAGAAAAAAGAATAGAAGTCAGAGCACTATTTAAGTTGTACCTAGTCGTTGCCCGAGCATTTCGTGGATTCGACCCGACAAGAGACTACCGTACGCCGTAATCACGATGGCCTGCTTTTCGCAGTACTCCACGATTTCCCGTCGCGCCTTGTAGTTCAGCGGGTGCAGCTCGATTTGGTTCACTTCCGGCAGTTCGCGGCCGTGCTTATGAGAGTGCACAATCAATAAATTCATTGCTCACAACCGTTTCCCTCATCATTCTAAGGGCATCATGGTCGGCAGCAACACAAGCAACGGGAATGGCATAATGAGACGTGTGGCCCCCACATGACAAATCTGTTTATTCTGCACGCGGACCGCAGTACCGTTTCTCAAAGTTTGTCATGCCGGGAACTATCCATACAAAAAGTACAATTTCCCATGGCAAGTGTAAGTAAGGAGAACAAGGGAGAATAAATGTGCACGTTGGCGCGTCATAATGCTGCTTGAGAAGCTCGAAGTGTTGGACGCCCCAGTTGCTGACGCCTAGAATGCGCACCTTTTGCTGCTTCTTCTTCTCTAGCAGCGCGTCCCAGGTTTCCACCAATTTTCCGCGATTCGGCGAATGGATCAGATACAGGTCGATGTACTCCAGATCTAGCGTCTTCAGGCTTTTTTCAAAGGCAAAGCTGGCTTTATCATACCCGTGGTCGGAGTCCCAGAGCTTCGTCGTGATAAAAAAATCCTGCCGAGACAGCGACTGACCGCTCATTTTGCCCGCTGCGGTAGGCTTTCCCCCTCCGCTACCAGTTGTACCGCTAGAAGGTGCACTGCTCAGGCCCGATCCCGGATGGCTGGATGAAGCAGGATCCTGGACGAGGAAGTTTCGCACCGCCTTGCCAACATCGGCCTCGTTGCGGTACAGTGCCGCCGTATCGATCAGTCGGTACCCGTGGTGTAAAGCGTGAGAGACGGCCTCCTGGGCGGCGTACCCAGGCGGAACGCGGTAGGTTCCGAAGCCAAATTGGGGCATGGACAAACCACCCCGGAGCTGAAGAGACGCCTGATGCATCGTGTTCGCGTCTGCGATCTCTGATGAGGTCTCCCCCTTTGGCGAGGTGGCGGTAATAGAACTCGGGGTAGTCGTAGGGGTACTAGAAGGGGCAGGCGAAGCGAACACGCACAATGAGAATACTTCGAAGTAGAACGGCGAGGAGGCCAGGGGTGTATGAAGCAGGGTAAAAAAAGCGAAAATCAAAATAGTACAGAAAAGGTGACAAGAAAGAGTCGATGTTCTTTTTAGTCTTAGGGTGTTCTTGTGTAGAAATATTACCGGAGACCACGACGATGGCCACATATCATTCTTTTTGAGGTGAGACGGAGAAGAGAAAGGAATCGCTAAGCGAGCAGGGCAGCTGTACCTGGTCGGGGTCATGCGCATAGTAAATTACCGGAAGTTGTATTAATATCCACGACCGTTATTTTATTATACCAAAAATGCTATCATGGTCGTGGTCGGAGCTAAAAACCGTGCAAAAACGATCATTATCATTTCAATTTCCACCATCTTGTTCCGGTGCTCCTGCTCGATGTGCCTTGCAATGCAATTTTGCTGTTTTGAAAACACGACTTTTTCGTACTGATCTCTTGTTCGTAACTACAGAGCTCTACCTGGCTCCTGTAAGGCCAGTGGGCGAGAAGCTAGCCCCTCTACCGGTGAACGAACAATGCTAAGCACAAGTAGGCTCGAGGATACCGCCCTGAGTGCAGGTACAACCGGTTGCGATAATGATATATCCTCCTGCGCAACTGATCAACATGGAATTAACTAGTTACTTCTATGCTGGCCGTCAAGACAAAAAGTCGGCCTTGGTGCGAACTAACCGACGCTTGTTCTTCACGCAAGTAATTTATCCTGTCAAAAAAGCCACAAGTCCTACTCCGTGAAGAGAATCCGGACAGAATGAAATTGAAATTGAAATTCCAACGTCGTATATATCGTCCACCTTTCCACACAGCAATTCTGCGAGAAGTTACGATTTCAAACTCTGCGGTCTAGTAGTACTCGAGGCGGCGGCTGATGCACTCGCAGGTGGTTCTAGTACACCACCTTCTTGCTGAGACTGAGAGTCACCAGCACCCGCATGATTGTTCTTCACCGGCAAAGCTCGTCCAGCGGAACTACAATCTGCGTTCCTCTCCGATCCGTTTCTTCGCGCAGATTGTCCAACGAGAACCTCATCATCCTCGGAACTGCTATTACCGCTGTAGTAGTTGTGGTCGTCACAAAGTTCTGGCTCGAAATCCTCGAAAACAGTGCTGCAGTCGTCCAGCCCCAAGCGCTTCAGCGCTTTGCCGCCCTTCAGCTGCCAAAGCATCAGCTCCACGCGGTCCGCGATCTGCTTAGCGGTCTCCGCGGCATGCTTTACCGAAGACAATTGCCCCCCGTCCTTCTCAAATATTCTGTGCAAAATTGCCTCGCGCTCGCAATAGTAAGTGAATTGCAATACAACTGCAGGACAGACGTATCCGGTGTTGTAAGTAAGTTCACTATAATCAAATCCGCATTGCAAATGAAGCTTTTCATCCCGTTGCGAAAATCCCTTTGATATTTTTGTGGCTGCAATTCTGAATTATAGCACGACGCTTTTCCAATGCATATCGAAGTCCTTCTTGAAAACTTGCTTCTCCAAGTCCAACTTACCGTCCGTTTCCAAACCAGCAATCAGATCCGCAAGTCGCGTGGGCACGCTGCCTGGTTTGGGTTTTTCTTTTTTCTTCTTGTTCATTACATATTTTCATTTATTTTGTGCGCTTATCCAATTGTATTGATGAAAAACGAAGTTCGTTGCTCGTTTTTTTTCGAGCAACTTTCGTACACTTGTCACCCGGTGCCGATTCATCTCTAGAAATTCAAATTTTCAATGTCACTATAAAAAATCACAAAAACGCACTAAAGTACGAAAGACTTAGCGACAGAAACCGTACCTGTGATCGGCTCCCCGGTATTCGCATCGAACTCATCGACATACGCGCTGCAAGTATCACGTGCAAAAATCGATCTGGAGGGTCTGGAAAATTGTCGCGCCAATTTTTCGTGGATGATAAAAAACATAAGTGAGTACTACAAACAGCGAGGGCGCGTCGCGCCCTGTCTGTGACAGGGCGCGTTCATGATGTGGCGGCATAAAAAAGCTGTTTGTGATGTGGCGGCATAAAAAAGTTGTTTCATACGTCACCATTTGAAAGGATACGAAGTCGTGCAAAATAAATCTCCGTGGTTTCCAAATAGACCGTCCAGAGGTGGAGGGCATGATCAGATCGACTTTGCATAGCACGCGAAGTGTCGCAACAGCGCCAGCTCGGCGCGCACCCCGGTGAGCAGAGCTGTCGACGACGAGGATGATGTAGTACCATCTCGTCCTGTTCTGGTATGCATCGCCATAGGGTCGTCCTCGTCATCCGAGGGGGTGTCGGTTTGGGTTTGGCCCAGTCCCCCGTTGCCGTTCTTTGGACGATCGGCAAACCTGTCAACATGATCCGCTGTACTGCCAGCGGTTTGTTGCGTGTTCGGCGTTGCTGGCTGGAAGATGCTGTTCATCTGATGCTGTCCCCGGCTGTCTTCGTCTTTGATCGCAGAGAAATCCCCTCCGGCCGTTCGGCTCGGACTCGTCACGCCGACGTTGCTCCGCTGGGACGCCTATCCGGTGCAAAAATTGTCGCACTCTTCAACACTAAGACCAAGTTGCAGTCCTGCATGACAGATGTGTTTTTCATTTTCTGGCTAAACCAGCTATACAAACTATCTGCTTGATGCTGTTGAGCGAGTAGTTCTGTGCGATGCAATTCTTACCTGTTGTTGTACGATAATTTTACAATGCATACCGCCTGGCTGTCGGTCGGTCGGGGCCGCTGGTTCTGGGAAATACAAGGCTGAACAAGATTGTCCGGCGAATGGGGCCCGAGTGAGGGCACGGAGGCGGAGGACGCGGCGCCGCCAGCAGCACGGCCAGTTGTCGCGGTCCTCGCTTCGAAATCACGAATTTCATCCAAGCTGTCGTCCTCCGACCCAGCAAGTCCGAGCTGCGCCTCCTCCATAGCCGTCAGAAGCCACTGGTCCTCATCAGGATGGGAAGCTCTTGTACTTGAAGATGGCCTCAGGTTACCACCTCCGTCGTTCCCGTCACTGGCATAGTTGTGCGCACCACGACTGGGAGAGCACAGCGAAACGCCGAACTTTTGCTCCAACGTGCTGAGGCGCAACCGGTAGTACGGGCGGACGTAGTCGATCAGCAGTCGCTGCTATCAAATGCAAAAATGTCTGGTTCTAAAAGATTCTGAGACTTGTCATGCATGTTTTGCATGGGCCATGATGTCTGTGATGCATACCCTAGCATCACAGATTTTTTGAGGGCTTCGCGATGCCTGTTCCGCATGACAAATGCCCTCTCCGCGTAGCAAAAATTAGACTCCCTTTGCTGCTCATGCAATACAGATTTTTTTGAAATCCAAATTCAGCATCACAAGTTGCATTCTTGCCGACCCAGACATTTTTGCATTTGATAGCTGCTGAAGGAAGCTAAAAATGCTGGCCGCGATCGGCCCGAGGTGCATGTCCAGGAGGCAGAGGCGAAACAGCGAAGCGACGGTTGTGAAAGGCGGGGAGCCAGGAGGGGTCGTTGCAGGAGCTGCAGTAGCAGCTACCACCGGCGCGCCACCATTTAGTTGATGTCCGCCACCTACACTACCTGTAGTACTTGTACCTCCTCCGCCGCCGCCCGCGCCGGCGTCGAGCGCCAGTGTCAGCATGAACTTCGCCACGTCCGGCAAATGCAACTGCACGGTGGCTTGCAGCGCTCCCCACGCCGCCTCGTCAACGAGCGCACCATCGTCAAACCGCCCCGTGCAGAGCATGCACACGGCAATGTACAGAGCAACGTCCTCGCCAGAAGCGATATCTATGTAGATTTGTTTTGTGATATACTGAAGTCAGAAACGAAGAAGATGAACTTGAACAACAGATCGGAGGTGTAGCAGAAGTGTTTGGCAACCTGTAAAAGTACTTCCTACCTTCATGCTGTATCGAAATTTTATCATTATCGTCACACGTACCTACCAAAAGATACTCGTTGTACATACTTAAATGCGGTAGATTACCTGGAACCGCGTAGTTGTTCGCACTTGCTTGGGCGGTCCTGAGTCCCGTGGCGAAGAAAGCCAGCGCGGACTCGTAGCGGTGCTGGCAGAGTTGCGCAATGCCAGCAGCCACGCAACAATCGTAACTGGCAGCGTATCTGAATTTTCGGTTCGGTAACAGCAGCAGTGATGTAGTTGTTGGCAACACCGTGGTGCCGGAATGATCTCCTGGCGCTCCCGCCGCGCTGGTCAAAAGTGCTGTTGCTCCACCGTCCCTATGCAGCTGGTCTTGCTGGTGCAACATCAACCCGCCAGAGCTACTACTTCCTGCTCGTCCACCTGGACCTCCCGTGGCGAACGCTGAGCCTCCTCCAGGTGGATGCTGCAACATCATTCCGGCGGCTGCGGTCGTCGAACCCGGACCCGAAGAATGGTCCACCTGAGACGTGGTCGTCGGCCCGATGTTCAGGATGGCCGCGACCTCGGCGTACTTCCCCATCCACAGGCCCACACTGATCAACTTCAACAAGGACTCACTCACGATTCCATAGCTGCTATCCATGGAGGTGCTGGCGCTCTGCTGCAGCAGCAAAGCCTGGTGCTCGTCCTGGTGACTCGTTGCACTCAGCAACAGCTGCGCGCTCATGTTGTTAGCCAGCGTGGTGTTTATTGCGTTCGAACTCGCTGAGAAGCCACCGCCAGAAGAACCTGCTGCGCTATGTTGAAAGGGCTGCACGAGGCGGTGGAGGGAGCGGATATGGATGTGTCAGGTTTGAAATCGTCAAAGTTGAAATAGTTTGTCATGCATAAAACGGATACCAGTTAGACCTCCAGTTTGTAGTCGGTGCATGACAAATTTTTCCGGTCCTGGAAGCGAGTCTGTCATGCGGTTTAGGGCAAAAGAGGCGCCTTCTGTCATGCTAGTCAGCAGTCCAACTTTTGACCCTTACCAGGACTACAATCTGCCTCCCGTGCGTCCTCTGCAATAGAGTCACTTTTTGCGTCGCATTTTATGCATGACAAATCATTTCAACTTTGACGATTTCAATCCTGACAGTTCCATAGCGGAACGCGGTTTCGTAGTCGCCAAACGCGATTAGCTGATCAATCTGCCTTATCAAATGTAAAAATGTCTGGGTCTGGGAACTTGTGATGCTGGGTAGCGTCTCATGATGAGGCTACAAATGCTGGGTCAGCATGACAAGTTTCTGTGCTCTTAGATGTTGCCTATTCTGCATGACAAACTGCGCTTCGGCATCACAGAAAAGCGGAGCTCTTGGGTAACGTGCATGAAAGATTTAAGACTCATGCCAGACAAGCATGACAAACACGAACTCTTCCAGACCCAGACATTTTTACAGTTGATATGCCTCGTCGTGCTGCTGGAGTTTTGCCGGTCAACATTCATTGCAGCGATACTTCTGGATGATGAAGCTGCTGCGGCGCGCGGAGGTGCGTATGCAGTGAAAAAGTACTTCTAGATCGTACTGGCATACACTCATCAGATGATGAAATAAAGCCTCTATTTTCATAAAAAAGGAACAACGCAACTTGTCATGTTGTGGTTGTGGTTGTGCCGATGTAATTGCAGCCTGTTAATAAAAATTTCAAGTTCTTTGTCACTCATGCGAGATTGCAAAAATTTATGCGACTAGCTATATACGATACTTTTCTCATTCGTAGCGTGGCACTCCTGTTGCGCGTCCCTGTTGTGCCCCCGAAGCTACTGGTTCCGCTCACCGCATCCGCTAAGTGGTTCCGGGTATTCTCGTATGGATTGCAAATCAATCATATGGCCCCCGGGTCTGAAACAGTAGAACAATAGATAAACAAGTTCCACTACAGAGCCACGAATGACATCAAGTGTTTCTACTGCGCCGCGACTACATCTTCGTGCACAACTAGTACTAGTGGATGAAACCGCATTATAGAAGTTGTCGCATACTTATTTTTCTCGGACAAACAAATGGGAGTGTAGCGGAAGCAGGTGCATGACACTCCTTTCACTTCTATCTTGATCTTGTCAGCCAAGCATGACAAAGAATCTTTTATACAAATTTACTCTTGCAGGCCCAGAGTCAGAGATTCAGTTCGACGCATTGGTTATCTCGTCCGCCTTGTCCCGGTCCACCCGTTGGGCCCAGGTCGCATACCCGTCGACGACATTTTTTAAGTCTACGCCCGCGGTGTTGTATTTGGTGCAGAGCTTTTCGAACAGCTGCACGTTCTTCGTCCCATTTACCAGAATCCGCGCCAGCAGCTCCGCGGCCTGCTGGAGGTAGGACTCCGGGTAGAGCAGGTTCCGCGTTTGTATCAAAAGGAAAAATCCCCCCTCCCCATATCGAAAAGGTACGGCTCAGAAGATTTGCAATGCTGATTTGTGGCCACAAATCGTCTCTGTCTTGCAAGAACGCAACCCCGCAGGCTCCGCTGCATTCTGCAGGCGGTTTGTCATGCTGCTGTCCCTACAGAGTAGACCTTTGCCATGCTCAGCGCCTAGCCTAAAACCTCGCTACTCAGGCTCAGCATAGGCCTGCAGTCCTCTCCAGCAAGACAAATCCGATTTGTGTACGCAAATCCAGCATCAGAAACTGCGTTTTGATATGGGGAGGGGGGATTTTTCCTTTTGATAGTTTGCTCCTCTTCGTTTTCGAAGTCGAGCACAACATGGGCGAGGCGATTCACCGCGCCGGAAGTCGTGTACTTCGCGGCCCAGCGGGCGTCGGGAGGAAAGGGGATCATGGCTTCATGTCGATCTTTATGCCTGTTCCCTTGGGCCTGGTGAGAGGTATCGTTCTGCTTGTTCACTTACCGTTTTGATGGTCGGGAACTAGTAGTAAACTACATCAACAATAAATATACCACTCCATGTATTTTACGAAAAAAGAACCACCTTAACGCTTCTGAATTTAACTTGGCGTTCAGAGATGAAAGTCACTGAAAAAGACAGCAGAACAGGACAGAAAAGGTGAATTCGCAAAAAAACCACACAAGCATAAATCACGCGACTTAATATTTTTACCGTACTACCCGTAACAAGTTCATCCGAAACCAGTATTTATGAAGTAATGAGGAGAAGCCAAATGGCAAGCCGCGATAGATGAGAGCAGGACAGGAGCAATTGGTGATCCGAGGTGGTGCAAGAAAACCACAATCTTTCTTCATCATCCAGATCGACTTCGACGCGCACGTGAAGATCAGTTGTCGTGTGAGTATTACCTACGGAAATTATGAACACACCTTCGCATAAAGCATAATAACGACAGAAAAAGTGTACTCTTAATCGCCGATCAGGTCGTGTTGACCCGATCATATCATATTCGGCAGATATAAGAGGCGGAACTCTTTCATTCGATACTTTCTTCGATAGTGGTTCATCTATCATCTTCTTCCCCCCAAAAGTATTGTTGTCGTGCGTGTCGCTGTATTCATAAGACTAAGACTTGGTATAATCAAAAAGATCGTTCATCTTGATCACTTCGTTCACTTGTTTCACTGGCGTAGGTTCGTCAGATATCCTCTTGCAGCTCTTGTCACGTCCTTTTATCGAAAATGGCCTGCTGCGTCGGTCTCGGTGTACTTCTTGTTTCACCAAGGTGCAAATCGTGAAGCTAAAATTTATCTACGCTACTGTAGTACTCGTCTCGGTGTAGTACTTGCTTTTGTCGCTAGACTGTAATTAGAAGGTGTACTGGTCGCCTGCCGCGACGGTGGCTGTCGCACGGTAAAAAATCCGAACCTCTTCTTGTTTCGCTATCATGTCGCCCGCTTACAACTTCTACCTGCACGGAGTTCTGGAGGTACAACTTCGACATTCATGCTGCGCCGGAAAAAAAAAGCGCCGCAGTGAGTTCGTACAATGGTCGTGTGCAGCAGCTTTTTCATGCCGCCGGGTATCAAATGTAAAAATGTCTGGGTCTGGAAACTTGTAAGTAATGCTGCGTTGGGAATAGTGAATGTTCTGTAATGCACAGGCAAGCTTGAGAAGTATCTGCGCTTCTTTGTGTTGCGTTTTTCGCATGACAAACTGCGTTTTTGCATGACAGGCAAAAGGGTCTCTTCTTGCTGGACACGCATCACAACCTTTTCGGTCATGCCAAACAGGCATGACAAATCTCAAAATCTTCCAGACCCAGACATTTTTGCATTTGATACCGGGGGTCCCTTGCTGGTTCCAACCCTGGCCGCCCGCAACATCCGGTCCTTCAACTTATCCTGAGTAAAAACGTCCCCACGCCAGAGTTGTCATGCAGATTTGCCATGACAGACACGTTTGTTATGCGCAACCCCATGACAGGCATTTTCAATCGTGTTTGGGAACTTGTCATGCTGTAAACAGGATCAGCAGATCGATTTGTGATGCGGCTTTCCTTGCTAACTTGCACTACCTTACGGACTGAAACTTGTCATGCGTGACTCCCAAAACTTCTAGGTTTGTGTTGCAAAATCCCCATCTTGACTCTAGTGTGGGGACGTTTTTAATCAGGATACAACTTCCTGTATCATCATGGAAAAATTTCTGTGCAGATCACACTGACTCAAACCTTTGCGACTTGGAAAGTTCTATGCAGAATCCGTATTTCGATTTGCAGCAACTGCAAGTACGTAGTTCTACCACATAATTACTCACCTGCTCGGTAGAAGTAAGTACTTTCATCTGTACATACACATGGGTCCAGGCAGCTGTGAACGCCCTGTTGCTCGTCCTTGTCGTTAGCGTTACTCGCGTCATGTCAAAACTTCGCGTGGCGCTCGTCTTCGGAACTATTTCTACTTTAGTCTCGTCTTCGATACTAGCAGTCTGGTCGAGCTAGCATTAGCAGTAGCTCCAGATTCAAATTGCAAACAAATCGATACAAATTATTCACAAATAGATTTATAGGTGTGTCTGCCACGCTGTTGAGAGAGGGTTGCTTCAGTTCCGTATCCACCCATTTTGCATCACGTGCACCACGGTATCTTTGGGCTGCTCACTATCCAGCTGGAACATGGCCTCGTGGAAATTGGGGTCAAACTTCTCGTTCATCGGATTTAGCTTCGCAATGCCGTACTTCTCCAAGGTTTTCAACAGAATTATGCAATTGTTCTCAATCGCTCTAGTTGCATGGACATCTCTTTGCATGATCTTACTTTCTGTTGGTTTGTGATGCAAGAATCAGCAAAGGCAAAATCAGATGGAGCTTGTTACGCTGTTCCACTTCACGTTTCCCACGCATTTGTTCGTTGCTTTTTAGCGTGCTGTGGTTGCGAATTTTATTAGTTGTCAACATGCAAGCCAGCGTGGTCATCTTCATGCAGAACGAAGCTGATAGAGGCTCCTTTGTACGACAACTCAGCTCAACACAATGATACAGCAGATGTCCATGGAACTAGCTTGGAGATTACACCGCCATAAGAATGTCGTCCGTGAGTTTCACGCCCTCGTACAGTTTCTTCAGAGACTCCTCGGCACTCGTGGGTGTTAAACTATCCTACAGAAAAAATAAAAAGGTACACCCATGCTCGCGGGAAAAAATAAACTTGCCATGCAGTTTTTTGTGTCACAAAAGCAATAACAAATTTCTTGGAATCCTTTCCCTTTGATGTCATGCTAGTCCGCATTACATTCAACATTCTCCAACGTCGTAGAATGGCAGATGATTTTTGCCTTTCTTGTGGAAGATCCTCATCACAGAGCTCTTTGTGACAGAAAAACTACGGCATCAGCAATTTTTTCCGGTACTATGGATGTACTTTAGTCCTGTAGAATATGATCCCCCATCGGTGGTACTAGCAGTCGCGCTTCCAGCGTCGCCTTGCTCCGGTACCTGAAGTGCTTTCAATTCGTATAAAGAATGTGGCACTTCAAGTAGAAGACCAGCAACAGAGGACATAATAAAAGTTCATGGGCAAATGTAGTTTTCTCGTGTCGTCTGCTGCTTCAACGCTTTTTCAAACCAAAATTTTCTCGTGTCGTCTGGTCGAGCGATGATGTAATTAAATAACATCTCCTGCAGAACAGACAAGTATTAAACAACGCATCTTAAAAAGCGTTGCCTGTTCGCGTCGTCCTGTGCAATTGATTCATTTTCTAGATTCACATTCTTATCTAGCACTATACCGTTTCCAGAGCCCGCTGCAAGTTGTCCGCGACCTCGACGATATCTTTTGCAAACTTCGATATCGCGTAGTCTTTGGCCTGCTGGACTTCCAGCACCTGCCGCTTCCGGATGTTCTCTGCGTCCGCCATTTGGTACCGGATATCCTGTGCAAAAGTATCGCACTCGTAGATAGTATATTGCAGTCATGCATTACAAATCTTTTTCTTAAGGTAAATCCGCATTGCAAATTTTTTTTTTCATGCTGGGGAAATTTGTAATGCATTTATACGAGTACGATGCTTTTGCAATTCATACCGGAGTTTTGACAGCAAGTCGTCATTCTTCTCCTCCTATGCACTACAAACGTAAAAATGCCTCGACCAGGTGGAATAACGATTACGATGTCAAGCGCGACTCACAAGGTCACGTATGCATCCGACCGGAGTACTATGAGATGCTTGCCTTGCAAGGGCTTTTTGAAGTAGATACGTCTCTATTTCGTGAATGACGAGAAACGCCCTCTTCCCGTCTATGCGACAAAAAAGTATACCGAAAGCGTAAGCAGAAGAACTTTCTTAGTCAAGGTACTAGGCCGAGGTGGCGTAGCAACACAAAGATTATCCCACACCAAGACATTTTTCTTTGCGGTTGATACCTTCAGCTCTTCGTTCTGGGTCTCCAAGTCCGAAATTAGCTGCGCATTGTTGTCCGTCCCTGATGTTGCGGCGGACGTGTCCGCGCTAGTAGTACCACCTTCTGCTGCTGCACCCGCTTGAGACCCTGAAGGAGAAGGTGGGAGTGCACCTTGTGACATAATTCTCTTTTTCTGCAGGTATGCCAAACTACGTGCTGGTGCTTACAAGTTAAATAAAAATTTATCATGCGGGGAAAGCCACCAATGCATCACCACAGACATGCAGCCTGCACGAACAGGCGCAAAGGGCGTGACAACACGACACCGATACAAGATAAAAATTTGCAGCATCGTCGATTTTCGAATGCTGTCCTACGATCGTGATCTTGTTTTTATGTACCTTCTTTAGTTGCTTCTCCAGCCGTTGCGGTTGCCATTTGTTCCTCGCCTGGATTTGGCGCGGCGGCCGACATCGCCGCTTGCGAAAAGGACCTGAGCAGCGTATGATTGGGAATCCCCTATGTGTATGATTATTATCATTATTTATCATGTTAAACAAGCTTGTAAGTAGACTCGAGGTCGAGCAAAACGGATGCTGTGTAAAATTAGCGTCATTGTGGGGTTTTTGCTTCACACCGTTTTAGTCGTGTCTGCTGCTGAATATGCATGCAGTTGTCGTTGTGCAAGAAAGCAGAACAACGAAAGGAAAATAAACAAGTACCGCTTCTGCCTGGACACCGCAGTTCTCGCCGGGAGACGATTCTTACTGCCATTATTTTGCAATCCGCCTAACGCCTGACTTGATCTCGTACAACTTGAGAGGCCCCCGATAGTGCTGAAACTGCGATTTGCCGCATTGCTCCATGGGGCAATGATCTCCTGTGTCCGTGAAGATGCTCCTGATCTGCTTACCGCCGGCGCAAACCGCCTTCCGCTGATTCGCATCAAAGAAGAGCTCAGAGCCGCGGCGGCCATGCTGTCTACTTTTCGGGTTGTGGTGAGTGCGAGACACGCAGAGGTGTACAATGGCCGGGCTGAGTTGTAGCAACGCCAGCAGTTCCTCGTCTTGTGCACAAGAGAGTAAGTTTCGATTGTTCGTGGTGTGAAACACAAAAACTAAGAGGTAAAAGGCTGACACCAATAGCGTAAGGATGATAGATCTAGGTCGTAGCGAAAAGCATACTTACCAGGACTGTGAAATTGCAGGGAAAACACAGATCACATCCCTTCGAGACGTACCGATTGTTAAATCATGAAGCTTTTTGATCCCAAAATAATACCAGATTGATAAAAATGCCAGAAAAGAGAAAGATTGATCTGTGTGTCGTTTACAACATCGACTTCATGGTGATTCACGACGTTGACGTTCGCTATACATCGAAAACAACAAACAGCGCAGGGTCATAATTTTTTTTTCCGAAAAGCGCATGATCGTCTTCGTGATCGAGTCAGTGCTTGCACTAGAACACACACTACACTAAGGATGTCACGCCTGTCGATCAATCATCTTCTTCGCAGTGACGCTTTACCACGACCGCAACAAAATTACAAATCGATCCAATATCCTCGACAGCGCAAAAGTATGAAGATCCGTTTACGAGTTTACGTCTCGTCTGCACTTGCTGAGGCCGAGTGCGTCATGTATCTCGTCGTCTGTGCTGACCTTGGTTCCAAACAGAGACCGGGAAGTCCGGGACCCTCCTTCACAGCATTGCGATTACATGCAAGCATTGCTCCAGAATAGGGCCACCAGTACATTAAAAAAACTTGCTCAAGAAACCGACGCATCGCCGCAATCGCACGTTTTATTTCAACTGCTTTTCGTAGACAACCAATGAAAAATTACGCGCCGCTTAACTCTCTTTCCCTCTCACATTCTGTGCGCAAGGAACAGAACCTGTTCGCAATGACAGGGTACAAATTGGTCCGACGCGGCATTGGGGTCCGCGTGCGAAAGCAAACTGCTCTGATTTTTCTATATCCGTTTTTGAAACAATGGTTCGACCACAGTCCTCTTCCTAAGACGGACAAGTCATGAATCACGCGGGAACTATGGAGGATGCTCCACTTGCTCTACCGCGGGCCCAACAGCCAGAACGTGCAAAATAAACCTGCTACAACGACCACTGTGTGCACAGCGTCACAACCTCAGGTCACAGGATTTTTCGTTGGTCGACCGAGGGACTTGCACTTCTAAAGATGCGATTAGTAGAATTTTTGCCAGCTACACAACTCAAGCAAGGTGCTTCAGAAGTAAAAGATGGCGATCCACCATTCAACTGTCCACATTAGTTGACATGCCAGTCAGTTGTTTCACCGTTGTCCTCGATTTACTTGTAGAGGGACTTGGCCTTGGCCAAGAAGGCCTTGCCCTTAGCGGTCGCGCCACCAACCGGGACGAACCCCTTGATTCCCAGAGCCTTGCGGGCCTTGCTGACAGCTATGGAGTTCTCAAAAATTACAGTGTTCGCTGCTGCATGCTTTTATGATACGCGAGAAGCAAAAGTTGAATGGAAGAGTTTGCCCGTCTCGCATCACAAGTTTGGCGCAGATTTCCGCGCTGTTCAGCGCTCCAGAAAATTGTCATGCGAACTAAATTGATCATGTGGAGCTGGGGACTGTGACTCATACTGCCACTAATTTTGCATAACAAATCATGCAACAGCAACCCATGTAACGCTTGAGAGTTCCATAACGGCGACAGTCCATTTGGAGATGTTCTTGAAGGCCTTCTTGCCCTGAGCCGAGAAGTATCAAATGCCATATATGTCTGCATCTGGAAGTGGGAACAAGGAGGGGCCATCAAAACTTATGTATGAGATTGAGAGTGAGAAACTGAAAGCAGAATGCAGCTGCACATGAGAAATCTTTTAGCGACTACAGATATAGTGCGCAGCGCCCATGCGCAATTCCAATTGCGCTCTTGCATTTCAACGACGCAATGCTGATGCTACAGCTACTCCGCGATATGCATGACAGCCTTCTCCCAAAAGCGTGGCACTTAAACAAACCTAATTATTCAACTTTCCAGATCCAGAGCAGTGTGCAGTTGATAAAGCCTTGGCGGACACGATTTTGCCGGACTTGTTCTTCTTCAAGTCGGACCTCTTCAACCCACTGGTGGTCTTCAGCTTGGTGCCCTTGAAGACGGAGACCTTGGCGCGCTTGCCCTTCGCGATGACAGACTTCTTCATGGCCATCTTCTTCATCACCATCTGTGCGGATATTATTTGCGATTGATTGAAATCATCATACGAGATGATAAATATGTGGTTTGTTGGTCTCGAGCAGGAACATCACAACGTCACCATCTTGTTAGAAGTAAGAAATATGCTCGCAGTGTGATAACCAGCACCTTTTTAGTAGCAATGGCAATCAACATCAAGAAACAACATCACATAAAAAAAAATGCGTATTGCACAAGAGGAAGCACACGCAAAGCCTGTACCTTCATGGCCATCATTTTGGCCATCTTCATGGACATCATCTTCATCATTTTGGCCATCTTGATGCTGCTGTGCTTGGTGTGGCAAGTAAAATCACTCCGCTACGGTTCTTCGTGAATCAAGAAGTTTGTGACTGTCAAAAGTTTTTATTCCTTCTGGCGCATCTCCAGAAAAAGATTGGGGCCCATTCTAATCCGACACGCATTTAGAAAAACGTCCAAAAACACCTACACCACTCTCATTTTCTACATCCACATAAGGTTTCAATATCAATGCATCATTTTCTACATCTTCATAAGGTCTCTCATTTCCAATTTTCACTCGTTCAGAATTCTCAAACACGCGAAACTCTGGCTGACAACGACTAGAGCGGGAGGAGTTGCCTTGTGCTATAATCAAATAGAGAGAGAGAGAGATAACCTGCATAGGTGAACTAGGCAGGACAGTATACGACGAACATCACACAGAAGAACGCTGGCCTTGCTCCCGTCCAACTGCTAGCGTGATGCCTCTCCGCCCACCTCGCAGCGCCTTCAGAAATGGCCCGGCTGACTACTCTCGGGTCGGATGCTGCGTGCGGATGCTGCTTGGTGTTATCTTGTTGCCCTAGCCGAAGTTCTCCTTTCAGGTAGTACAAGCCTGGTAGAGGACGACGATCTAGACCGAAGACTAGAACGCCCCCCAGCTACCGCGAGGTTTTTAGTAGTCAGTTTGCGTCAAGGCCGGCCGGAAGACACTGGGATAGTTTACCTGTGGCCTTGTAGCCCGAGTCTGGTTCGAACCGTTCTACGCGCTGATGTCATCCCCCATGTCCGTGAAGAGTAAGGCGGCAAGTTAAGGGGGATTTGAGATGACGGGGAACTTAAAAAATAAAAGGCAATCGAAAGCAAACTAGTTCCCCGGCTCGACATGCGGCGGCGCTGCCCTTCCACGCAGCGCCCCGGCGAGCAGTTGACGGGGCACTCACTCACCGGACAGGCCGTCTCCCGCTCAGCGGCGTGGCGCGGCTGTTCTACCAGGAAAGCGCTACACATAGCTTTGCCGCTACTATTTCTATATTTTTCTTTCTATATATTTTTTAAGCTACTGCAGCGACGGACCTCGGCGGCGCATCCATCCGGTGAGCGAGTCAGGGCAGTTTGTGCTGGACGCATATTGTTTCTGTTTTTTGACCGACGTGTGTGTGTGTGTGTGTGTGTTTCTTCGTCAACGTCCTTATGTGTGCACCCATGTGAGACTAGCGCTACCGGGGGGCTCTTCCTGTCCCCCCGGGTCCTAATGTGTTTTGATTTGAAAAAGGGGTAGTATCCGTTCTCAAACAAATGGAAGATTGCTCTAAGTTGGAAAAATCTGCGATGCATGGCACGGGAAATTTATATTGCATACGCAGCGGGATCCTTCACCAAACTGAGTTTTGTCGTTCATCAAGTGATCGATAGGGTAATAATTCTATATGCGCACGAAGATCTTCCCACTCCAGGTGGTAAGGACCTGTGCTCCTGTCTTGCAAGCGAGAGATAATATGCACTAAAAAAAACGCTTTGGCTTTCTACATAATTCTTGTGCTTCTCAATAAATATATAACTCATAAAAGCCTTCTAGGGAAGGAACCTCCGTTCTTCATTTTACACGGCAAAGAACTGTTGATCCAATCAACTACCTACAAAATCCCGACGCAAGCAACTACCTACCTACCTTCATCTTCCGGTCACGAAAACAGAGAGTCTTTTCTTTAAGTAGTTTTAAGCATGAAAGTATAGCTATAGTATACATAGCATGTGACGATCTTGTCCCTAAACAACTTCTTCACCAGTGCAAGTGTGGGTCTGGGATACACTCGTTAAGCGAAGCCAACATGTGAAAACTTGAAGGCACGACCAACCACGCGATGAAAGCAATACTCAAGGATGTACTTGCCGACCCATAACTGGCAGTAGCCTGTTCAAATTTTCGTTCAAGACAAATTCAAATTGTGAAACTCAAACTGTGCTATAATCAAATACTTTCTGAAGAAGCTGAAGCTTCATACCAAGGGACAAACTGAGTAACTAATACTTTGTGCTGTTTCCTGAAAATACTTTGCTTTCACTGCAGCTCGCACTCGCTGGCACAGACGCTGCATCATCCATTCAGTTTTAGTATTTTCCTTTCAAAAACAACTCGTCTTCAGATGAGTAGATAGTCTGCGATTCAACTTGCGCGACGAAAAAGACTCTGATAACTACCCTAGCTCCGGCTCTTGCTCAGTGATTTTGATTCGGGTTCAACGCTACTCTTACTGAGTGTCCCGTTCGTGCCTTAGTTGCTGAATGTTGCTTTGTAACTTTAGCTCTGCTTTGTTTTATTGAGAATTGCGAGAATACAGCTCGTCATGAAAAAAAAAGATAACACTATTTTATAATTCTAATTCATATATTGAACCACATAAATTACAGGATGTGACGAAATATGGCGAGAGATGTTTGTTGTCTTTCTCGAGAAAGTCTTGTGCTGTTTGTTCAAATCCCCTATTATTCTTAGTGGGTCTGTGCAAATTTTCTTTTTGAAAAACTTCTCATTTACCCAAACATGCTCCGCGCGTGCGCCCCGAAGTTGCTTGGTCCCCGCTTGTCGAGCATGCCGGGCATGTTGGTGCTGCCTGCATTTCCGCCCACAATCCCTGACCTCTTGGACGCGGGCCCGCCAATGTTCGAGGCAGCTCCTGGTCCCATTACGTTATGCCCTGCCGCTCCTCCTGGCATCATGGTCCCGGGCGTATATGAGAGCGCCCAACCTTCCCTCCCGCTGATTACTTATTTGTTTGGGCAAAACGGCAAATCTAGTTGTTGCCTTTTGGCACTGTTTGCCTGACACATTCCGGAAGCCCTCCAAACAGTACTACAACTGACTTCTCAGGCCGATGCTCCATGTGCGCTGGTGTTCGCTCCTCTTGCTGTTTTTTCCCTTCAAATCTATCAAATGGAGGGGGGTTTGTGCACTCTCATAGCATGTTGTTCGAGGCCATGAATTTGTGCTGCGGTTGCGGGTTGTTTCTGTTCATGTTGCCACCACCCGGCATATGGTTCCCGCCTCGATTTTATCATCGACAAATGCGTCTGCGTCTCCTGGAAGATAGCGAGATATTTTTGGCATGCCTGGCTGACATCAGGCGTTAAGCAGCTGTCGTGCGTATTGCGATACTTACCAAGCCATTTGCGTGTCATGCAAAACGGACGCGCTCTGTTCTATCGAAAGACGGCAGAAGTCCTACTTAGTCACACGTCGGGAACCTGTCATCCCCTGCTGGCACTGTATCTTCGCGACCAGCTGCTTCGCTTCCTCTCAATAGACATTTGCAGCATCACAACTTCCCAGACCCAGACGTGCTGCACGACTGGATAGATTGGCTCCACCTCCGCCGACGAACCCGGAAAGAGAATCTGGTTGGGCTATACCGGGAAAAAACCCGCTTCACCGTGGACAATTTCCATTGCAAAAGTGCCGTGACGACTATCGTGCTTGCCTTCTTGCCGTGTTGCATAAGCATAACTAAGAGGTGTCAAAAAACCGCCAATATAGAGCAACGTTCGGGACCTCACTACATCATGCGAGACAGATTTGCTCTGTCACTCCTCCGATGATCCTGCACTTGTGGTTGTGGGGGCCGACACGCATGACAGATTTTCGGTACTTATCGTGTCGTGGTCGAACGAATCATTGCGCTGTTGCGGACCGTCACAGTGAAACAGTATTTTTTCCAGCGGTATCGTTGCCAAGGTGACTGCCGGTCATCCCGCCTGCTCCGCCTCCGTAGGGGTTGAAGCTGCTCGGAGCATGATCGCAAGAAAAAACTCGGTTTCGCTGTGTCTGTGAACTTGTGATGCATGGAATGAAACATAGAACGCTACACACGCAAGACAGTGAGTTTTTAAGTAGTGTCGAAACTGTTTTTTCGTTCGATAAGCATCGCCGCTTCCGTTTGGGGCATTCATGGGATAGCTGTTCATTCCTGATGCCTATCCACTGCGAATATGTCTGGGTCTGGAAGATTTCAAGTTTGTCATGTTTGGGCGACAAGACAGAAAAGTCTATCATGCTTGTTGCGCGACAGCGCCACTTGTTTGTCACGCAACAAGGCACTTTGTCATGCGGATAACGCTAGACATAGTCGACCAGAAACTTGTCATCTGCGCATCATTGTCATTCACATTCGAACATTAGCATCACAACTTTCCGGATCCAGACATACTTGCATTTGATAGTGCCGAAGAGGAGTAGTGCGGCGTCGTCGTTCCGATTACCGTGTGGTTTCCGCCATTATTGTAAAACGACGTTTTCAGGGCGTTCGGGCCGCCACTCCCGGAGTTCATACCGCCGATGCTGCTGCTGTACGATCCACCACCTGCCCCATATCCTCCACCCGGATTATTGTACGCCCCTGCTCCTCCGGTCGTGGAGGTGGCTGCGTTAACATGACTGGCGTTTGTTCCGTACGGGCCGCCAACGCCTCCCCGGTTCAACAGTGCCGCGTTACTGTGGTCCACGTTCGTGTTTGACCCGAAGGCCCCGCCGCCGATGCCGCCTTGCAACGAGCTGTGCGGGTTGTAGGTGTTCTGTACCGGCGTCACCGCCTTGGGCTTATCAAAAGGAAAAATCCCCCCTCCCCATATCGAAATGGAAATCTGTGATGCAGGATTTGGGTACACAAATCGGATTTGTCTCGCAGTAAGGCATCGCAGCCAGATCCTCGGCCTAGGTAGGGGCGTATAGGTCTAGTTGCTTAGCATTGCAAACGGGTGCCCCCTAGGCGCAACAGCATGCCAAATCGCTTTCATAATGGTGCGGAAGCCTCTGCATCTGTGTTCTTGCAAGACAGACGCGATTTGTGACCTCAAATCAGCAACGCAAATTTCCGGAAACATACCTTTTCGATATGGGGAGGGGGGATTTTTCCTCAGAATAGGGCTTCCGCACGCCGGCGGTGTCCAGCCCACCAACCGTCTTGTGCAGGGGGACTAGCTATCAAATGCAAAAATGTGTGGGTCTGGAAGATTGCAGACTTGTCATGCATATTTCCCATGCCCCGCGAGGTCTGGAATGCAGGACCCAGCATGACAGATTCTGCAAGGTCTCTATCATGCCTATCCTGTAAGTATGAGAAATTCCCGGTCATGTTGGTCAAAAAAGGACAACTTTTGGTGATCACGCAACGCAGATTTTTGTGTGACCCACAGGGCGCATCACAAATTCCACCCTCCCAGACCCAGACATTTTTGCAGTTGATACTAGCTGCACGCCGGGGTGGTACCGGCTCACGTTCAGATACCGCCGGCCGCCTTTCCCGGAGCCCGTGGACTTCCGGGTTGAGGGCCCGTTGTTGGCGTCGTTCTGGATGTCGTCCAGCAGTTGGTCGAAAAGCGAGCTGTTCTGCGTGTTGTGCAACGAGGACGCCGGGTTGTTTGCCTGCTGGCCCCCCGCCGCGTTGAAGCCCTGGGAATTGGTCGACACCCCAAACTGGCTCGTGTTCGTGGACCGCCCGTGCCCGGACCCGCGCGACTTTGCGGACAACGGATTGCTCCGTTTGGTCGTCGACATGATCGGGTGCGGATTTTGCGGTCCTCCGGGTCCTCCTCCGGGGCCGCCGTTCGAGGTGGTAGAAGCATTCAGCAAGGGGGAAAACAGATTGTTGTCTATCCTTTGTAAAAACGTCCGCACCCCAGAGTTGTCATGCAGATTTGCACCGACAGGAACATTTGCGATGCGCATCACCATGAGAGGAATTTCTAGTCGTGTTGTGGTATTTGTAATGCTGTAACCAGGATCAGCAGACGGATTTGTGATGCGTTTGCCCTTGCTAACCTGCACTACACTACGGACGGCAACTTGTGATGCATGAGTCCCAAAACTTCTAGGTTTGTGTTGCAAAATCCCCCATCTTGACTATGGGGTGGGGATGTTTTTACCCAGGATATTGTCCGAGTCCCCCGTATCGGACGAAAAAAGGGATTGCTCTTCACTGTCCTAGTCCTGTAACACGAAGATCGCAACCGCAAACAGATTGCTTTCTGAGAAAGAAAATCTCCTAAAATGTTGCGTGCTTGTACTCACCAATGGTCGTCCTCGTCTCTCTTGCATCTTTTTCTTTACTAGCCGCGAGACCAGGTTGTAGACATCTTTATCTTTGCTGCAGGTCTCAATGCATAATCTATCAATACAGGTTGATTTCCACGAACGAACAGTGAAGCGCTTTTCTTCTCCACCAGTGATACCCGGAGCTGCTGCTGTTGGGCGGCTTCATTCCTCCGGGCCCCCCGCCGACGCTATGCGGTCCGCCAAACACCTGCCCGGGCGTCGTGTCAGAAGGGGTGGAGGTGTAGTAGGGCTTCGCCGCGTTTGAAGAAGGGGCAGCTGCATTCTTGTTCGTCGTGCCCTGCTGCTGCTGCTGGGGCCTTCTCCTCGCGGAGGCCGGCTTCAGGTGCGGATTCATACTGCTGCTTGAACCGCCCCCGGTCGTTATCCTGAGTAAAAACGTACCCACACCAGAGTCAGGATGGGGATTTTGCAGCAGAAACCTAGGAGTTTTGGGAGTCACGCATGACAAGTTGCAGTCCGTAGTGTAATGCAGGTTCGCAAGGCCAGCTGCATCAGAAATCCATCTGCTCATCCTGTTCACAGCATCACAAATCCCAAAGCACGATTGGAAATGGCTCTCATGGGGATGCGCGTTACAAGTCTGCCTGTCTTTGCAAATCTGCACTACAACTCTGGTGTGAGTACGTTTTTACTCAGGATAGTCGTGGTGCCGCCGCCGAGTGGGGGGCTATTGTGGGGAAAAATCCCCCCTCCCCATATCGAAAGCGGGATTTGTGTTGCTGTATTTGAGTGCACAAGCCACGTCTGTCTTGCTAGAGAGGACTGCAGACCCATATCAAGCCTGAGCAGAGATGCTTTGACTTAGGCGCTTAGCATGAGAAGCGTCCGTGATGTTGGCTCAACAGCATGACAAACCGCCTCCATAATGGGACGGAAGCTGCTGCCCTTGTCTTCTTGCAACACAAACGTGATTTGTGACCTCAAATCAGCAACACACATTTTCGAAAACCTACCTCTTCAATATGGGGAGGGGGGATTTTTCCTTGCGATAGGGGCTGTAGTTCCCCTGGTGACCGCCGCCTCCTAGTCTTGGCGTGCCCGACAGCGCGGGCAGATTGGCATTTTCGTTGTTCGCGTTCTTCTATGCATTGCAAACCAAAAGCATCGGGCTCGTATAATTTGCATGACAATAATTTTCCTCAGCATACAAAGTGCTGACTTATGTTGTGGAATTTGTAATGCATCATGCCTACGATAATTACTCCGAGTACGATCCTTTGGGTTTTGCAATGCATACGTTACTACTTGGCACGCTCGGCGGCTGATGGCGGTTGAGCACGTTCATATTTGCGTTTCCCCCTGCTCCGTACCCTCCCATATTATTCCCGTCTGGCGGGGCTGGCGGGTGATTCAAATTGTGTGCGAACCTATCACACGAAAAATAAAACGTCTCTTCACTGTGATTATTATTTTTTTACTTGTAGGATCAGGATCTGCGCCGCGCATTTGAGTTTGTAGTCACACGGCATGACCAAAAAACTATCAATCAGTATCCACTGCGTAAGGTGCTGTTTCATAGAGAAACAAGAACGCAGCTATTTTCAAAAACTTTGCGTCTTAATACATACATGCGGCTACTACTTTCCTTTGACTATGACTTTCACTTTCTTGCATTGTAACAGAAAAAAAAACCTGCGTCTTACAGGCACACTCAATGCATCATGAGTCCGCACGCGGTGTTTCACACTCTCAGAGAAGCAATTTATTTTTCATTCTTCTTGGATAGAACTGCTGCGGGTTTTGAAACTGGTTGGCGTTCCCGAGCATGGGATTCATGGTGTTGGAGGCAGCCGTATTGTGACCACTTGCCTGCTATGAAATGCAAAAGTGTCTGGGTCTGGAAGATTCTGAGCCTCGTCATGCACGTTTTGCATGAGCCCTGATGTCTGTGATGCATGCCCTAGCATCACAGATTTTTTGAGGGCTTTTTGATGCCTATTCCGCATGACAAGTACCCCTACTACCGCGTAGCAAAAATGACACTCCCTTTGCTGCTCATGCAATGCAGACTTTTTTGGAGTCCAAATGTAGCATCACAAGTTGCATGCTTCCAGACCCAGACATTTTTGCACATGATACCTGCTGCGTGGGCGGTTTCAAATCCTGGGGGTTGGCTGTGAAGTACGGGTGCTGGAGAGTTTGCGTGGACGTGACGCGCCGAGCCGGGTTCCACTGGAGCGTATGCGCTGCAAAAGTAGAATCGCAGCGGTACCAATTGCTGTAGTACAGCGTGACAGAACCGGGACTGCTGGCGTCCTTCTATCTTAAAAACTAAAACATTGACTCAGCATAACAGATTTCACTGATCGTCCGTTGAGCAAACAACACAAAATTTCGCATACACAACAATTTGTTATTGTTGTACTACTACGATACAACTTTTGTAATTCATAGAGCATTTGCTGCAACAGCTGGATGGCATCTGGCGAGGCATTCGGTATTAGGGTTTCGAGCGGCGTGGGCACAAACTGCGGAAACCGGAACCCGATCTTGCTGCTCAGCTGCCAGCCTTCCGGCCAGTCCGTCTGCCGGGGAGTACCCATCACGCTGTTTGAAGAATGGGCGGCGAATGTCTATTGTACAGAGTGCTGCGAAAACTTCTACTTACCCCGCTCAAGTCAACAAAAAATGGTACTTAAATCAGAAGATCGTCGTCAGCCGTGGCATAGTTTCTACGTGGTCCTCCTTCTTGCAGCTTTTCAGCAAAAAATTAGAGGGAGCGATTTTTGATGCTTGCAGCAGAAGATCACATTCGATGAATGTCAAAGACTTTGACTTGAGATTCCTTCATATAATTTACCTGCAAATTTTGTAGAGTTGATCGGACTCGGAGGAGCCGGGCAGCAGCGTATGAGAGTGCACAAGAGCTCCCTTTCCCCTCATTTGATGTCGTACAGCATTGCAATCCCGATCTTTGCCTTGTACGACGCCTGGCCTGCATGACACGCTATTGCACCTGCCACTGCGGAACGTCACTTTTGCGCGCTTTGTGCTTGTCATGCAGAAACTACATTTCTGTTCTTGTTGATATGATCCTTCTGCTGAGGCCGCACAAATGAGAAGGCGAAGGAATTCCACACCCTCGTACAGTGGCCGCAGCATGTAGAGCTCGGCCATGATACCCCCGCACGCGTACAAATCTATCGGACTGTTGTAGGTTTGTGACCGCAGGAGCACCTCTGGGGCGCGGTACCACCTGACAAGGAGTAATCAATCCAATTATTTTCTTTGGAATTTATAGTGTACTTATTTCCATCAACCCTCGATAGGGTTTTGCTTTTCGTGCGAAGAAGAAATAGTAGAAAAATGGATGTCAATGGAGCATGCTGTTCATTCCTCGTGCACAAACGCCGATCTTCACGACCAATCTTCCAGAACAACAATTGTATGCCAACAAAAATCCTTTTACCTAGTCGACACATAGTCCGTGAACGGTGGTCTTGATCGTATTTCCCTCGCCAGCCCAAAATCCGCGAGCTTCACCGTCTCTCCGGTAACCAGCAAATTCTCGGGCTTCAAATCGCGATGGAAATACCTTTATTTCGGATTTTTGGATTTTATGTAGTGAGCAGTAAAGAACGCACCAATAATTTCAGCATACTGACGAGGCACATCGCCCACGAATAACAACCACTTTTTTACGAAGACGGACACAGCTACGCGTGGTCCTGGCACTGATGCTCTTTTTTTTGTTGTTCCGTTCTTGAAGCAAAAGCGTACAAGTACTTTTAGTTTCATGCAGCACCAGCATGACAAGGAAATTACAAAGCCACAACGACTATCAGTAATCCTACGACCGTATCTTTAAACAAAAATTGTCTACCCATGCTTGTGTATGTAGCTGAGGGCGCCGAGTGTTTGGTACATAAGGTTTCGATATCCACTGCAAATAATGTGTCTCGCGGGTCTGGAACAGCGCTACTTGTACAGCGCTCCTGCAAAGAGTATCTCTATCTGTCAGTCGTGAAATTGTCGTGGTCTGTTACACTGCTCACGAGACCTGGAATGCATGGACTCACTAGCAAATTATTAAACGCAGGTTTCTTTGCGAGTGCTTGTTTGAAAAATGCTAATAATATCCTGTCTGACGAAGAATCGTCCCCTGTCTAGCAATGGGCAGCGTTTGCCCCTTGTGCAGCGCAGACTCGTCTCGTCGTATCATGAACCTCACTACAACGAATCAGCTTCAGCATCAGAAATTTGCTGGATCAGTACCCCGGACGAGACTCACACTTATGCTTTGCAATGCATAATCGGATCAGGCTTTCCTTAAACCCCTTCACCTTGTCCTTCATCATTTGGTAGAGGTTGTGCTCCATGAACTCAAAAACCTGCATCCTGTGTAAAACCGTACCCTCGCACGTAGTCAAGTAGAAGTCGGTGTGGAATCTGCTGTAGACAAATCCAGAAGTTCTTTGGGTCTATAGCGTCGTCGTGTGTAGCTACAGTTTCAAAGGCGCATGACAAATGGTGTTGTTACTCATGATCCTTGCTATGCTTAAAGCGTTCCAAATTTCCAAACGCGCCTGCGATCATGACGTAGAAAAATCCTATCATGGTAACCCCCCTTTGAGAACCGACGTTTTGGCCTTGCAAATCTGCACGGAAAATCTAGCGCGGGTACGTGTTTACGCAGCATAACTAGGTGCAATTCGTCATTCTCCCGGATTACCTTACATTTGAAAATTTCAAGATGAAGATAGATCATGCGTCCCATCAGGAGGTGAAACAAAGAACCCATTATGTTCATACTTCATTTGAGAACTTCCATGTTGCCTTATGCAGATCGAACCTACAGCTTCGCGGGTAATACTAAGGAAGCCCACGACGACCAGAGTCTTCATCAAGTCCTCAATCTCGTTCGCACTTCTGTCGCGAGGTCACGTCAATTTTTCTTGCTTTTTCTTAACATACGTTTCAGCACTAAAAATATCTCGTACCTCTTTCAGCTTCACAATCCCTGGGTGCACCAATTTCCTGAGCGATTTTATCTCCCGCAGGCTCATGCACTCGTCCCAGGAGTAAAATTTCTATCCTGAGTAAAAACGTCCCCACACCAGAGTCAGCCTGGGGATTTTGCAACACAAACCTAGAAGTTGTGGGACTCACGCATCACAAGTTGCAGCCCGTAGTGTAGTGCAGGTTAGCAAGGACAAAGGCATCACAAATCCATCTGCTTATCCTGGTTACAGCATTACAAATTCCAAAACACGACTAGAAACGCCTCTCATCGGGATGCGCATTACAAATGTTCCTGTCATTGCAAATCTGCATCACAACTCTGGGGTGGGGATGTTTTTACAAATGATAATTTCTTCTTCATCTTCTTGATGGCCACCTGCTCATTGCTCTGCTTGTTCTATCCTGATTAAAAACTTCCCCATACCAGAGTCAAGATGGGAAATCTGCTAGAGAAATCAGCCAGCTTTATTCGTTGTTTGGCATGACAAGTTTGTCCTCGACGTAGTGTGATCCTGTTTAGCTAGTTCAGAAGCATCACACATCTAGTACATCATGCTGACTATAGCATCACAAATTCCAAAACACGACTAGAAAATGCCTCTCATGGCGCTCCGCATGAGAAACTTTTTTGGCATTTAGATTTGCATGACAACTCTGGGGTGAGGATGTTTTTACTCAGAATATGTTCCGGGCCTTCATCACGCAACCGAAGGTGCCTATGACGTTCTCAAACATCACAATCTCAAGCGCTACAATAGAATCTGGATTTTGTATTGCATGAGGTGGAGCATGACAGACTCGGACAGCATTCCACTTTCTGCAATAGAAATTTCGCCAGACTGTAGTGCGGTTTGGGACGACTCCGGAACTTGTCATGCGCAATCCGAATCCTATGAGAGTTGGCCAGAGAGATATTAATGCACCTCTTGCATCACAGATTTCCATATTTCATTGTAACCGATTTGAGATTGTAACACCTGAGCAGGGGATAGTGCCGTCCCCCAGCATCTTGGACACCTTGTAGCGCTGCATCTTGTTGTGTTGACCACGTCGCGCGGCGAGCACAGGAGATAAAAGGCAAAGACGAAGACGAAAGCGACGGCTGCAATTGAAGTACACCAGCAGTCGTGAGAAGTATCTATTAGCTAGCTCTCTCAAGAACCACAAGAACCGCGGGGATGGGACCACGACGTCACAGCGAACGGATTGTGGTCACCACTCTTCTACGAGCAGGGTCTTCACCTTACGTAGCGACGCCGGCGCGGCCTGAAGCAAAACTGTCTGCTCGCAGCAACCTCGTCCCGGTGGTCGAGAAGGTCACAAGGTAGTCGTTGCTCGTCCCTGCTTCGCAGTAGTGGAACGTTCATCACTAGGAGGTGATTTGCTCCTTCCCTTCATTCGTCGTGCTGACATCAAGCCTTGGAGGTCCTTTTCGTCTGCATGTTGGCCGGTCGTTGATGACTACAACACGCGATATCCTCGAGTCGCCGCGTCGAGCAGGTTCTTCTTGCACTCCAGAGGACTGCAGGTACTTACTACTCCTGCCACCAGGAACTACGACGACCGGCAGTGCTCCGATTGACCTCTCGTAGAAGCCGCGCACCAGCACCGGGACGACCCAGAGCGAGTTTCCTTCGAAGCGTGAAGTGCAACAGGCCGCTGAGACAGTACGTGGTCCACCTGGTTCGCTTGCGTACTATGTGCCGTACTGAGAAGAAGAAGTACTACAGCTCCACTACCCAACGGTGCAGCAGGACGCTGGCATCAAGGCGTGCAGCTGCGTACAAGATGCTAGTACTTCGCTGCGAAAGAAGATGCACCTAGGCGACGAGGCAGCACACCGGTCTCCACTGTGGAATCGGAAGCGCCGCAAAGTAGATTCTTTGCTGTGCAATGAATGCGGTCTCAGCCAGGAGGAGCAGGATGAAAGAGGGGCGACGTCAATTCATGTATGGTTGTGAAAAAAACCACTCAACAGCACGAAGTGGAAGTCCTGGTGGTCCTTGGAGTAAGTAGCGGCTGCGCAAAAACAAGTTCACAATAACGAGACCGCAGCGGCCACTCACCAGGCGGAGTTAAAAAAAGATGCACGACTGCTCGCAGGTCTACTCCTTGATATCTGCGGACGTCGAGAGTTGGCGGTTATTTGCAGCTGCAGAACTCCACTTTTTTCGGCGAAAATCGTCGCGCATAAGGACACACGCGAAAGAAACACGAAATTCTTCCCCTGAGTGTCCGCGTCTCGCTCTCAATAAAAATGGTGTCTTAGTACCGGTAAGCTTAGCGAAACGCGGCCAGTAAGTATGCTTAATAAGTACGCTCAACTCATCCTGTTTTGCGAGTTTGTCAAAAAAAAACCGCTCCGACTTTCTCGCGCATTCATCTGCCGGAGTCCTCTGCAAGAACTTTCGTTCAACTCTTCCACTTTGTTTGTCCTCCAACACGATAAAAATTCTCGCTTGATGAATAATGGTGGTTCATTGATTTTTGTCGACGAGGATGACGCTCACGAATGATCGTGCCGTTAACTACACTCTGTCTCTTGTCCAACGGGCGCATCTTCAAAGTAGTTGCTTGCAGCTACAGACATCGCTGAACATATATTGGGGAGCAGCTCGGCAAGAGGACATGGAAAGAAGAGAAATCTTGATCTTCACGATCAATCGAAGCAGCGCCCTTACTTTTTATGTCCTTCTGCCGACGGCTCCAGCGTTTTATTGCGAGAAGAAGTACAAGATCTTGAGTGAACGTGAAGAGCCTGAGGCTGCTGCGTTTACTAGTTCGTTTCTTGTTCCCACGTCCTTGAAGATGTTACACAGACTGACCTTTCATCACGAAGATTGATCTTCGTACCGATGAATAAGTAAGTTCTCACTTCTTATCACCCCCTCCAGCACCGGCACTTGTTGCATTTTTGAAAAGTCCCAACCTTCTCAAAGTCCTCTGCCTTCAGGATCAGTAGACCGGCACTTCTAATAGAAGCACAAATATCAGCCGGTGTGTTGTCGCTCCTCATCTCGTCCACCTGCAGGACCGGCGAAACTACTTCAGCCCAAACTCTTTCCAGCACCTTCTCTTCCTCAACCAAAGAGGAAAAGAAACCGGTGGCCACACCAGAACCTCCAGCGGCCCCAGTGTTTTTACTATCGATCATTTCGCAGCTGCTTGGTCCAGCGAGATGTTGACCATCATCTGTTCTTCCGGATTGGGACTTATTGTTATTCTCCGATGTAGAAGACATTGAAGCTTTTACTCCCACCCGCAGCTCCGTCGGGAAGAGAAGCGAGGAGCTTTCGGCCCGGGAAAACCCAAATTTTCTCGTCGTGGAAGCCGATGAGCTAGCTGATTTTCCACTTTGCGAAGAAAACCCGCTTGCGTTCGACTGTGGCGATCGGGCCCCGTCGGTGTTCCGGAATTTATTCTTCGGGATGGTCATATAATGCTGCTGCAGCTCTACTTCTCCTGTAGTGCCGTTTTTATTACTTTTTTTCGACGGGGGCGATTTACCCCCTTTTTTGGGGGTAGAAGTGGCCGCGGAAGAAGATTTCATTTTCTGTTCGTCCAGAAAGAGATCTCCGTAAAACACGTGCAGCCGTCCGTATAGCATCTCGTTTTGCCGCAAATAGTGAAGGTAAAACGAGGACTTTTCCTCCCGCTCGGTTGCAGCCGCGATCGTGGAGGAAGCCCCATTTGCGGCGACCGTAGAGGTCGTCGAATTGCTACTGCCAGTACCCCCGCCGCTCCCGTTCTTGTTACTCAGGACACCACCACCGCCAGCACCGGTGGATGGATTATTCGCAGCAGCCATAGGAGCTGAGAAAAAGTTGAAGCTAACGCATTCAGCAAAAAAACATCAACATCGCAGTCTTCACAGTTGTGCAAGTTCTGCGTCAGAGGACTCTGGAACGAAGAGTTTTTCTTGTACTACTGCAGAGACACAAGCAAAATTATGCATCAAGCGCGACTCTCTGTGCTGTCTGTGATGCATGTTTACGTGAAAAAATTGTATTGCAGAAGTGCGCAAAAGCGACTGTGATTCTGGTGTTTTTTTCTTGCATACAATCGCATTGTCAGCGTCGACTACGGGATTGATCAAAACCGAAATATCCACTGCAAAAGTTGTATCGCACGCGTTTCGAATGACAATACGCATCACAAATCTATGTTCTGAAGGTGAATTGTAACGCATTCCAAATTATGATTATGATTCCACTTAGTACTCTGCATAGAAGTCGAGAAGATGTGAAAATTTGCGAAAAATGCATTTGTTCCGACAACGAGAACGAACTGCGGGAAGTTGTACGATACTACTTTTGCAAAGATGCATATGAAAACAGCTCCAGCAAACTCCACCAGGAATCTAGCTATGGATTGCAAATATGTCTGGGTCTGGAAGGTTGGGACTTGTAATGCGAGCTTTACATACCTAGAAAATGAATCTGTATTGCATATACCAACAAAAGTCGCAGCCTCTTTTGTACATGCAAAAAAGCAGTTTCTCATGCGGATTGCCTATGAGGAAGCGTTCTGGAAAGTTGTCATGCTTGGTTGCATTCGGAACTGTTTCCATCATCCACATTTTAGCATCACAAGTTTCCAGACCCAGACATATTTGCATTTGATACTAGCAGCAGCGTGGTCATGTGTCGCTTGTGCAGCCGTTCCTTCTCCCTCATCTCCTGTTTTATCTCGGCAGCCGTGGGTGCATATCAAATGCAAAAGTGTCTGGGTCTGGAAACTTGTGATGCTGGGTGGCGTATCATGAGGAGGCCACAAGTGCTGGCTCAGCATGACAAGCTTCTGAGCTTCTAGGTGTTGCCTATTCTGCATGACAAACTGCGTTTCTGCATGACAGAAAAATGGCGCTCTTGGGTAAGGTGCATGACAGATTTGAGAGTCATGCCAGACAAGCATGACAAACATGCACTCTTCCAGACCCAGACATTTTTACATTTGATAGTGCAGCAGCAGATGAACCAGACCCGTTTTTCAGTTTCCCCCCGTTTTTAGAGGATGCTGTCGACGCACCATTTATTCCGTTTTTCGCGGTTTTATTTCCCATATTCTGCTGCCGGATCCGCTCGATCGTCGTCATCGGGGAAACGTTACTCGGTCGGCGCATCGACAACAACCCAGACAGCGCGGTGGCGCCCTGTTCAATCAACACGGGGGTTTTGGACGAGGACGCTGTTGTAGTCGCGCCAGAAGTGGAAGACGTACCGTCTCTTATGCATTGCAAAAGTATCGTACTCGTACTGAAGATTGCGTTTATGCATTACAAATCTCTTTTTTAAGGCAAATCCGCATTACAAATTTAATTTGTAATGCGAAGTGAATTTGATGTAATGCAATTTATACTAAGTAGTGCAATACTTTTGCACAGCATATTTCTCGTTGCACGACCACCTGCTACAGTTGCGATAGTACCACTCTTCGTGCCACTACCACCACCTGTAGTCGCGACCACTCCGGCGAGCGCAGCCTCGTCAAAAGTCCGCTGTCGTTCGTACCGTTTCATCGCCTGTTGCAGCGTTGCGGCGAACAGTTTGCATTCCTCCCGAGCGATGTCCTCGATCCACTGCAGGTACTCGATATACCGAAATAAACGCCCTCGTACGGAATAAGCAGCTACACACCATGTCTAGCAGGACAAACAAAATGAAACATGAATGCCAGCGCCCATAGAGAGCTGCGCCTCACCCCGTACAGCCATGAGAGGCTGGCAACGCCCGCGGCGCCTGGCCCGCCCGTTCGGTGCGGGGCAATGATGAACAGTTTGCCCCTTTTCCCGACACCTGGGTCATGCCTGCGCTTTTTTGCGACCTGCCAATGCCCCGGCCACAAAAAGAGAGGGCAACGTCGAAAGCAAAGCCACGGAAGAACCAAACATCCCCTAGCCCTTTTTCGAGGCAAGCAGGACGGAGCGAGCGGCGCTTTCGCGCTTCCATCCTCCCATCCAATTGTGCCAATACGGCACGGGCAGCACCCATGACAGGGAACTGCCCCACACAGGCAAGGACGAAGTAAACGAGCACCAGCGCCACCCCATGACTATGTAGCCCCCGCGCAAGCACCAAATAGAAGCCCTGCCCAAGAGAACGGCGGCGCCCACCCCCACAGGCGATTATACATCGCCGGGCCGCGAAACTTTTTGCGCCCCGCCCTGTCCAAGAAAATCCCGGCCGCCTTACGTTAGAATTAACGACTCGCGGCTGCCACCGCGGCAAAAGGCCCCAAAATCCCACGGGTCACTAGAGTCGGCATGCCAAGAACTTGGCTGCCGCGAAATCAGACCTCCACCACAAAGGAACTGCCCCACACACGGGCCCGCCTGCCGCACGCGCCCGGGCGCACGGAGCGGTCGAAAAGACAGCCGGGGTCCGCCCCAGATCCTGCAAACGCTGCGGCCATACGAAGCGCCCCGGACCCCACGTGCCTGTGCTTCTTAGCCCAGAAACTGCCATCTGCGCCCCATGCGCTTGGCGCGCACCCGAAGCGCAACTGCCGAACAAGGTCGCAGCTTCAACCGCGGGGCGCAAGGAAACCTCGCCGCGGCGGCAGGAGCGACGCCCGCGCGCGGCCCCCGAAGACAAGGGACCCAAGAAATCTGCCCCGCCCTGCCAGCCACGCTAATATAGAACCTCCCGAGCGATGTCCTCGATCCACTGCAGGCACTTTTCATGACTCGCAAAAGCCCCCCCCTCTTCGCCGGAAAACTTCTCCGAACGACTTCGAGGGACAAAAATCGCGCAAATTCGATGAGCTCGCGCGTGCTTTTTCGTTCGAATGGCAGCAGCGTGCGACAGCGGTCAGTAGTACAAATACTTGAGCACTATTATCATAAATGTAGTCACTGTAGTTGTTTCTCTTCAGTGCTCCTGCGGCGCCATGGCGCGCCTGAACTTTTTGAGCTATTATGTCCCGTCTCTCGGGGAACCTCAGGTCTTCGCGAAACGGAGTGAGGCGGCAGCTAGTGCGCATTGATTTCTGAAAAGTCTTTGGCCTTCATTTTGGAAGAATGAGCTATCGCACTCAGAAGCGACTTCTCGCTTTTGCTTTTGTTTCTGGATTTTCCACAAACCCGATTGATAACCGGTGGCGCGTCTTCTACAGCCAGAAGGTAGCACTGACCGGCTACCAATCCCGCGACTGAAAAGTTTCTTCTTTGAAACACAGGTGAGAAGTCACTGACTTCTCAGTTTTCCAAAATTATCACTCTTGAAAGAGGGGACGAGACTCCGACTCGAGACTGAGAATTTTCCAGAAGTGAGAAATCACTGATTTCTCACTTCTCACTCTTGAATCGGATTCCCAGAGAGATAATTTTTGAAAAGTGACCAATCCGATTCCAGAGTGAAAATTTTTGAAAAGTGAGAAATCAGTGATTTCTCACTTTTCAAAAATTCTCTCTCCAGAGTGAGAATTTTTCAGAAGTGAGAAATCAGTGATTTCTCACTTTTCAAAAATTCTCCTGGGGCCCCGCCTCCAGATTGAGATTTTTTTAGGAGTGAGAAACCACTGTCTTCTCACTTTTGAAAAATTCTCCCTCTGGGACTCCGACTCCACTAGAGTGAGATTTTTTTAAAAGTGAGAAATCACTGACTTCTCACTTTCTGCAAATTCTCAATCTGGGACTGCGACGCCCGAGTGAGAATTTTTCAGAAGTGAGAAATCACTGATTTCTCACTTTTCGATTTAGGGTTGAGATTTTTTGAGACGTGAGAAATCAGTGATTTCTCACTTTTCGAAAAGGGGCCCCGACTCAAGAGTGGGAATTTTTTCGAAGTCAGAAGTCGCTGACTTCTCAGTTTGCGAAAATTTTCACACTGAGACGCCAGGGTGAAAATTTTTCGAAGTGAGAAGTCACTTTAGGTGGTCGCGCCGTGCTTTGTTAATTTCTCGCTTGGTCTCGTGGTAAAAACTTGAGGAAAACTAGCGAGATCACTACCCTAGCAGGGGAACAAGGCGAAACGGGTGAAGTTTGCCAGGGCCACTCTCGTGGCCCTAGCAGGTGGCCCACGCGCCCGCCCGCCGCTCGTTTGCCAAATTATCGCGCTTCGGTCCCTCGAAGGTCTCCGGGGAAGTTTTCCGGCTATCAATTCTATTAGAGGGGAGCGATGTCCTCGATCCACTGCAGGTACTTTTGCTTGATCAGTTGTTCCCTCACATCGATGATCTCTTCCTGAAATTTCCGGTAAACCAAGTGCCGGCTGAAGGGGGCGGAGTTTGGCGTCGATGGTTTTGCTGTCGTGCTACTTATAATTTCCCCAGTACTTAGTTCCTGAGATGTAGTTGATCCACGCTGGTTAAAAATAACAGCTGCAGCAGCTTCGTTGACTTATCCTCTGCAAAACTGCCGTACTTCTTGTGCTGTTGTCTGAGTGACGGCTCTTGTTTGACATGTCTGGCAAGAACTCAGCATAGTAATTCTATGCACATTGCACTTTTGTTTCCTTCATACTTCATTCTGCGAAAACGTATATATTTGCGTTCAACTGTGCGAGAAGTACGACAGTTTTGCAGTGCATACGTCGACACCTGCTGCACCTATTCCGGCATGATGAAGGTCGTGATTTCCGAGCATCCGCAATTGCAGAGTGGTCCTTGTGGTGGTTCTCATCACGTCCCGAATTTGGTTCCGAAACTCCTGCTTTGTGATGTTTTTCAGCCGGCGCAAAACAATGTAATACAGCGTTCGCTTCTGCCGCGGGTTGACCTGTGGCTGGCTGGCGCCGTGTACTAGGTGTGTTGGTGTACTAGAAGACTTATTTTTTCGTTGGTCTCTTGTTGATTTGCTTCCTCCTTGGCTCGCAACTTTCGACGAATCGCGACTGGGCAGCTGCGAGGGCACCGTCGTGGGAGCCGCGTGATGTCGGCTCTGCGACGTTTCTTGCACAGCAGGGAGGGAGTGTTGCAGCGGGTTCAACGTCATCTCCTGGTTCTGATTCTCAACAATGCGAGGATTTGCATTTGCGTGGTCTACGTCTCCTGTTGCCAGAGCGGGCCCGGGCTCTACTTTTTTTACAACTTTATCCACTTCGTCATGCAGTTGGTATTCTTCAAAAAGAGCATCCTCCTCTTCTCCATCCGAAGAACTACTGGTCGTTGATATCCTATGTAAAAACGTCCCAACCCCATCGTCGTCATGCAGGTTTGCGATTACAGGAAGATTTGCGATGCGCGTCTCCGTGAGAAGCGTTTCCAATCGCATTTTGGAATTTGTAATGCTGTAAACAGGATAAGCAGATAAATTTGTGATACGGTTGTCCTCGCTAACATGAACTAAACTACGGATTGCAACTTGTCATGCGTGGCTCCCAAAGGTTTCTGGACTTGTGTTGCTAAGGTCCCAACTTGACTATGGGGTGTGGACGTTTTTACATATGATAGTTGGCAGCGAAATCCTATCGGCCTCGTCCTCCTCTAGCAAGTCGCTTTGTTCGCCCTCCTCTTGCTCGATCTTCTTGTTCTGGCTGATGTAGTGTATCGCTTCGCCATTTTTAAATTCTACCTGCTCGACTTTGTCATGTTTAGTCCCGCCCACTCCCGACCCGGACTCCGCGTCGGAAAAGAACCGGCTAGCCGGGCTACTCCCGCTGTGGTAGCCGGAGGCAAGAAGAGCAGTCTCCGGGTAGTTGTTCTGTTCTTGGTCGGAAGTGGAATCCTGCCCGAAGCTTCCCTGATGCTGCACCACCACGGTGACGCGCTCTTCCTGTTCGTCCTCCATCACTTGCGGAGCAACCTGCTCGGCCGATGATCTTCCTTCGGTAGGTGTTAACGCGGACGAATTATTTATCATCTGGTCGCCCTGAGACGAAGATGCGAAACCGCTCAAGCCTCCCGTAGCCCGCTGCTTCGCCGCCGAGGAGCCCAACATCAACGACGGCGGCACTTGCTTGCTCGCAGTTCCGCTCAACGACCCGAGCATGTTCAACCCTGCTTGTCCGAACGAGGAACCTCCTCCGCCCACCCCAGCACTAGGACTCCCGGAACGGGATTTTTGTAGCAACACCCTGCTTAGCTGGGTTGTGGACATCGGCAGGCCGTGCTCCAAGTCGAATCGAAAGGATGCGCTGGACATGCCGAACTCTGTGGTCGCGCCCTCCGACGGGCTGCTCACCGAAGCCGCGTGTCCGGAGATCATACTGATCTCCGAGTAGACTGCATCCTGAGTAAAAAACGTTGTTAGTGTAAATTTGTGATGCGCAACATGCAAAATGATTGCGTCTGTCATGCTTGGCATGCATCGTAGGGTCCATTAAAGGGCGTTTTCGCGTACTATCTGCGCATGACAGGTTTTTGCTGTCATGCCAGACAAATTTGTAACGCTGTTCCTCCAAAATAAAAGTTACACCTACAATGTTTTTTTCTTGGATAAACTGCATCCTGAGTAAAATGAACGGGGCCCACGCCAAAGAGTTACAGTTTTCATATTTCGTAATTAACGCTGCCCAATAGTACAGCAACATGTGTGATGATTTCTCATCCCCATGTTCTTTCAGCATTTGTAAATCTGCTGTAAGCAGGATGAGCAAATGGCTTTGCCATGTGGCTCCTGTCCGCTTGGTAACCTGTGCTACCGTGCTACAGATACACATACAACAAAGTTGTCATGCGTGACTTCTCCCAATAAACCTTCTGGATTTGTGTAGTTGCCGAGCTCCCGACTTGTTGACAGAATTCTATGGGGTGGTGGCAACGAACGTCTTTACGCAGGATAGACGGTGGGGAGGAGCTGAGGGGCGGGGATCATCTTATCAAATGCAAAAATGTCTGGGTCTGGGAGATTGCAAGATTTGTCTTGCATATTTTGCATGATCCAGAATGCCTGTAATGCATGGCCTAACATCACAGATTTTTAGAGCGCTTCCTCATGCCTATTCCGCATGACAAATGCCATCTCCGCGGAGCACAAAGTCTGGCTACTCCTCTTACTGGTCATGCAATACAAAATTTTTTCGAATCCAGAGACAGCATCACAAGTTTAAATCTTCCAGACCCAGACACATTTGCATTTGATACATCTGGTTGGACAGCAAGTACCCGTGCTGGCCGTTGTACGGTCCGTATCGGTATCCTGAGTAAAAACGTACCCACCCCATAGTTGTAATGCAAATCTGCATGCTGAAAATGTTTCTCATGCGGAGCCCCATGAGAAGCATTCTATAGTCGTGTTTTGCAATTTGTCATGCTTCAATCAGCATGATATGCTAGATCTGTGATGCTCCTGAGCTAGCTCAAACAGCACTACAATACGAGTCCAAATTTGTCATGCAAAACAGCCAAAACTTGTGGATTTGTCTAGCCGATTCCCCAACTTGACTATGGTGTGGGTACGTTTTTACTCAGGATATATTCTGGCTCAAGTTCGCGAACTGCTGCCGCTGCAGTTGCAGTCTGCGGTTGTTCGTCAGACGCTGGCGACTGATGGAGAACAGAAAGGTGTCGCGAGAAAAAACTGTCGCAGTCTCAGCTTGTGATGCGAAACTTCCTTGCGACTTTTTTTTGTCATGCCCGACAACACACACAAGAAGAATAAAAGGGCACTTTGTATATAGGTCCGCATTTTCTCACTCTTGCATCTGACGCATCACAGATTTTGCGTGTCATGCTGAGGGAATCTGTAATGGTGAAATTGCAAGGCTTTGACACTGAGACAGTTTTTCTATACGATAAAAGGGCTCGTACCTGTTCCAGTGAAAAGCCGCGATGGTGGAGGCTTCGGAAATTTCCGGCTCCACAAACGACCTGATCCAGTGCGCCTCAAAGCCGTTGTTCAACATCTGCAGGAGCGCAGTTTGGTCGTTTGGCCTACCGCCTCCGAGCAAAAACCCGCCGTAGGTTCGTAACAGGCCGAACCACTGCCGGACCGTCAGGGACGAGCTACAACCGGATTGCCTGTTCGACCCGCTGCCGGACAGCGGATAAAGCGGGTTCTGATGTCCTCCTGGATGAAATAGATCATGATCGTTCAGCTGCGACGTACTACGGCTTTTCAGAAAGAACAAGCGCAGGCGGTCGGCGTTGGATCTCCATTCCAACCCTGGGTCGCTGGTATCCGATATGAACTCGCAGTTGAAAACGTGTTTGGCCAAAGACACGACGACGGCCTGATGTTCATTATCATTTCCATTTCCTTCTGGCGCCGGGTTCGGGTTCGCATCTTCTAGTTTCTCATGCACAAAGGCACTCGCTGGAGTTGTACTTCTCCCGGCGGTGCCGCTACTCGTGTCCACCACAATCGGCTTTCCGCGCAACCGCCGCAATCTGCGTAGTACGAGCTGCGTTGATGGCGCTTGGAAGATGGGATCAATTATGTCACTTTTGCCCCCCTCGCCGCTGTAAACGAGTACGTTGCAGGTGCAGGCTGCGAACTGGAGGAGAAGCTCCTCTTGCGGAGGCAGGTGTACCACATCATGCCCTTTAGTGGTCTTGTTCTGGTCGCGGTCTGTTGTACTTTGTTCCATCACACAGTGCAGTTTGTCTGCAGCTTGTTCTACGCCTGTAGCTACTACATCCCGATTATAATTTTCACCAGCTGTGGTACAACCAGTTTGACGGAAGTAGGCCACGATAAAGCAGACGTTTTTGATGACCGAATATCGGACGATTACTTGGGCGGTCGCGTCGAGAGCGGCTCCCTGCACTGCTGTAGAAGACGCAGATAATCGACGTCCTACTACAGTGTGGTCCACCAACATCTCCGAAGCTGAACTACTAGCAGGCGTCGTCAGTGCGTCAAAAGCCTCCTGCGAAAAGACCGCAACCGGGCGGCATTCGAGGTGACTGCACTTTTCCTCAATGGTAGTCGGGAAAATCGCGCCCGCGGCGTCCACCACTGCCTCTGCTTCACAGAACAACATTTTAGTTCTTTTTTTTGAAGATATACTCAAATGAGAGAAGGCAACTGTACTTGAATATGGTAGTGAATAGCGGTCGTGGCGAATACTTACGACGATACTAATGCGATCTTGTAATAGCTTGATACAACCACACGGGAGGCATCTAGTGTTTTACAACAAACACAACAAAGGATAACCAGTAACAGAACTATTCTTCGACACTTGAACACAAATTCAAAATCAAAACTGTTCGATGCAAAAGAAGATGCTCAGTAAAACGAGACGAGACGCGAGGCGCAGAACGGCGCAGAACTCGACGAATCGAAATATATTCCACCAAGCGACATCAACGACATCTTAACGAAAGTATTCGTCTTGCGATTTTCGAGAAAAAAACAACAGCTTTCATCTTGGTCCGTCTATAATCTCTCTGCACAACTCGATCTCGATAAGGTTCTTCTCGAGGGTAAAAACGATAGCGTGATCATTCTTCATTTGGTCTATTTACTGCCTCGGTTCTCAATTGTAGTTGCCGCCGTGCTTTTACTCTTCGAGAACAAATCATACCGACGCGGAAAAACTTCTACTATCTCGTGCAGCTTCCAGCTGCATGAAAAGGTATGATTGTTTTTCGTATTCGTTCAACCGGCTTAAAACCGAATGCATTCAACCAAAAAATGTATCCGATGGACTCGAGTTGCAAGCAAGAAATAAGGGGGAGACGACCTACTAGCGTTTGCTGCAGTTTGGATCTCGATCTGGTCTGCGTCTGCATCTGCATGTTCATGAACCATGTGAGACTACAATATTGACGCGGGACTAGACCGATCGGAAAATCGAAGTCCGACAAACATCATCACAGTGCGACACAAAGCAGAAGAGGCACAACACAGCACAGAATCGGCACGACATGTGACCAGAATGACGTTGAGTGAAATCATGTTGGCGCAGGAGGTGAACAAAAATGCGTGGATCATACGGCAACCTTCCGAGTAAATTCTTCCAAAACAAGAACTTGATTGCAGTTTAATTGTTCCATGATTGCGATTGCGTGGTCCACCATGTTGGGCTCCTGTCCTAGTGGAAGAACAAACGTGCGTTGCGAAATTGTTGTTTCGATCAAAATTATTGTCGTGGTCTCCGATGAACATCAAACCACCACCGGTGTTAATATTTGCACCAGCTTTATTAATTTTCGCGGAATTTTTACCTGATGAACTTACCGCGGATTTTTCGTGGTCAAACCTGGAGACGTCCAGGTACACAAACGCCATCGGATCGTCGTCGACCACGATTCGATTCGCGTACCACAACCACCCACCGGAGTCGATCCAGTCGAATATGACCTGCTCAAACGTTACAATCTCAAATCGGTTACCATAGAGTCTGGAAATCTGTGATGCAAGAAGTGCATGATCTAGGCCAGTCTCATAGAACTGCGCATGACAGGTTCCGGAGTCCCAAACCGCACAACAATCTGCCGAAATTTGTATTGCAGAAAGTGGAACGGTCTGCGAGTCTGTCATGCTCATTATGCAAGACAAATCCCAGGCTCTATTGTCACATTTGAGATTGTAACGTTTGAGCAGGTCATATCGAAGCTGGAAAATTTCTCGCGCTGCCGCCGACCCCAAATCTTCACGAACTTCCCCACCATGGTCTGGTCTACTTCTTGTAGTTCATCGGAGGTCCTGTTTTTATCGAGCACCTCTGCGGAGGTTGGATTTAAAAATTCCTTTGTAGTTCCTGCCTTTTCAGGAGGAACAGGTCTTCCTCGCCCGTTTTCCTCCGGGTACTTCACGTCGAGCACCGCGAGATACTGGTCCCACTTGAATTTCCGAAGCTGTTCCTCCCGCTCGTGTTTGTTCAACCCGGAGCCCTGCAGCTCCATCACCTTATGAAAGTGCACAAGAAGTTCTCCCCCTGGTCTCATCTTTCATTCGGAATGATAGAGCACGAGCAGGAAGATGAACAACAGAAATAAACCCAGCGGGAAAGAATGCTAACGTAAGTAGGTACGCGTTTTTCCGCGCAGTAGACTACACGTGTACGTGTTCGTTCATGCATACTTGAGTGGTGAAGATGTCCTGTTAGCTCTAGAACAAGGATCTACGTTTCACAGCAGGAATTAATTGCGTATTTACGATGAGGACAGTGGGAGATCATTTGTGCACGACTCTCGTACGCCCGAAACTCGATTGATTCGGCCATCCGCTCATCCAGCGCACATTGGCGCGGGTGGAAGTGAATGCACTTCGCGACCCCTGTCGTACTAGAGGGTCTTTCCTGAAGATCTTGTCCTGGGCCTTGACCTTCTTGTCCTCCCCGATTATAATTCTTACATGTGTCCAACACAAATTCCGTGTACTTGTTTCTCTCTTTCCAAAAAAGCACGAAACCGAACAGATCCGGCAGCTCCCGGGCTGGAACCAGCTTGCTCGCGATCTGGGGGCGAAGGAGGGCGAAGGGGTCGTGGGGCGGGCACATCACGAAAGGCTGTTGTACCATTTTTTGATGTGGGGGAAATAGACCACGGGGAGGCAGTTCCGATGATGGAGGTCGATCAACATCAAGCTGTCGTCGTATGCCAGCGACAAGCGGGGTATCGTTTATTTTCCCACCGGTAGCAGCCGCAGGCGTTGTTGTTCGTCCCCTCTCGTGGTCTCCTGTTTGGTTCTGGACGATCCTTCCTTGACACACCACTGCAGAACCAGCTCCCAAAAGGAATCGTGGCTCGTTGATCTTCAAGGCCGACACCGCGGTACCTCCTTTCATCGGCTCTTCGAAGGTAGGGTCGTCCTGTGCCACGATGGGAAATCGTGAAGATGCTGCTCTTGACGGCAATGGAGGCGGCACAGGAGCTGCAGGCGCTCCAACACAAGCCCGCCCTGGTGGTACAACACGACCAAAAGCCCTTGATGTCGCAGATTCCCTTTCGACGACCGTGGTGTGTTCTTGTGGACAACGAATTGGCATCCCTAGTTGAACCTGACGACTCTCCTGGCCGACGTGCGGCAGCGCAACATCAGCAGGCTTCACTCTACAACTGCTGCTGCTGCTGCTGCTACTCCCGCCGACAAGAAAATTCCCCTGCTGCAACCTGCAGTGCTGCGGATCCTGATGAGAGGTGGTGGCCCCCGGCCTATGCTCCAGGCACCGTTGCTCTCCGTTGGAGGAGACGGCCAGACCTTCTCTGCCCGCATGCAGGTCCTCGTGTTGCGCCACGGCAGTTTTATTTTCAGCCGGAGGTGTGTCGCCGCTAGACGGGGGAACAAAAAGGAGTCGTGGAGCTGCATCTTCTTGTTGCCACCGGTCGTCGACGTGCCCTACCCGACGATTGTCATACTCAAACATTCCACATCCGAGCTTCTGCACGCGCAGCAGAGATAGAGGTTGATGTGGCGGGCCGGAAAGTAAAGACTGGCCGGATACATTCTGGCTGTTGTCCTCGGGAAGGGCCCCTTGCTTCTGACTATCGTCCTGTGCTCCTCGCGAAGCAGTAAAGGCTCCACTTTTTCTTGCATCTTGCAAACCAGCCACTTCTTGTTGTGCGGATGTAATCTTTTCATTCTCGCCATGCCAAACTTGGCGGAACCGGCCTCGCGAGGGCCAGGCAGGGGGGACAGCGGAAGGGCGGTAGGCGTGGTTGTGGTTCATTTTTCGTCGGTTCTGCCTGGCTCCTGCAATTCAGTTTTACATCTACTACTTGCATCGCGTAGGATCATCGATCTTGCATCATCAGCATTAGGAACAGCGGACGCAATGGAAAAAATAGGAACAAAAGATTTTCGGGAACGGAAAGAAAAGATCACATGTTGAGCAACACCGGTAAAGTTCATCATGGTGCCTCACAGGATGGGGATCTACGTCAAAAACAAAATAGAATTACTGCTACGACAAAAACTGAATCCGATCGGAGGGCACCTACACTTCGGCTCCATGTATTCCATATTTCAAGCGTCGGTAAGTCGTTTTTGTTTCCAACAAGAAGAAGAGATCGATTTGCGTTTGGGAGACGAAACACCTACAAGAAACATCATTTCTTTCGCGGAACGTCACCGTCGACTAAACTGCCTCAACTGAACAGAAAACCCGATTCGCGGGCCATCACTTGCGCTCGCCGCAACCCTACGTACTAGTAGGTAGAAGATGACGATGTATGATCAACAACGAGCCAGGAGGTTTGAAACAATCCGTCGACTATGTAGTTTTGGCCATAGCTGTGCTTGGCATCTATCTTCTATCTTCGGTGCCAGTACTTGTTGGCATTTGAAAAGCAAAATATCACGGAAAAAATCGTCAACCCTTTCTGCTGTTGCCAACAGTTTGACTTCTTGCGTCCGTCGCCGAAGTATGCAACACCTCCCTCTGCGTCTGAATTAACTCGGAGGCAAGTTGCACAACCTCATCGAACAGCTTTACTCACCTGAAGGAGCCGCTGCACATCAGCCCTAAAGCTGCTAGCAGTGCTACGTCTGTCCGCGCGTGGTGGCGGGAAACGATTTCGTTCTGGTTGCCCGACTTGAGGATTGCGGCACGACGGGGGTACACGTGCAGTGCGGAGATTTCTCGTCAAGCAAATCATGCGCATAGATGCAGCACATCCAAGTGCGCAATGATGGGCGTCAACATCCACGTCGCGAACGCGAAGATTCGCAGCACTGACTTGCACGACAACTTGCTCGGGCGGCCTACCGACTATCTAAAAACCGCGAGCCTGCTCACGAGGACCAGCTGTTGAACACCAGGTGCCTGTTGTTGAATCTTGGTACTTACTACCGACGGGCAGCAAGAGCCAAAACGTGCTCGCGGCTCGTCTCGTGCCCCCTCTATCCCAACTTCTACCGCTGCCCGGCTACAGGTGAGCGGACTCCGGTTTCTGGGAAACCACTTGCACTCCTCCTTCCGAAGAACATCCACCCACACGACCACGTGCCGCACAGCAAGCTGCAACACGCCACATCGAGTACGTACTAGTCGCGCCGCGGCACACACCAGCACGCCATTTTTACCGCCACCTGTTCTCATCTCTAACACGACCTGGCGCCACCGTCGTGGTGGCTCTCGTAATCCTGGCGCGAGTCTTGCATCTTACCGTAGTTGTCGCCCGTGATCGGTCATCATTTTCCCTTAATGCCGTCCCCTCCACTTCTCCGCGCGTAGTTATTTTCCACCGCTCTTTTGCCAGAAGTACCTGCTCCTCGATAACTGCTTCGTCCTTCCAATAGACCACTTTGAAGCTGCTGTTGCTGGCTGTCCGCACCCCCTCAACCTTCTACCGGCGGCAGCACCTGCTTCCCGTGAAAGTAGTACCAGAGAAACGCGAGCTCCTTTCTCAAGATACATCTCTGTCATAACTTCGACACAAAGGAAGAACCATTAGATCGCCTTCACACACACTCACCACAACATGAACATGGTGATCATCTTTATTCGATAGATCTCTAAGGTGCTCTTACCTAGATCAAAATATGCGAATCCCATATCATTTATCATTGAATGAATTAGTGCTGATCTTCCAGCCGAAAAGTACGTGAGATCGTCGACTACACGAATACCGCAACCATTTTTTACAGTAGAGGAACTGAGAGCCTCTCCATAGAAGTGTGGCACGCAGTTTCATCTGAGGACTTTCTTTCTTTCTTTCTGTTCTTGCCCGGGCATGGCGTCAATTGTTTCAAGGCCCTCTAGTCCTGCTCAATATCGTGCTCTTCATTGCTTCTGCTCGTGGATCACCATCATGACTTTTCTGATAAAGTTAAGATTTAATTTTGTAAACTGTTCTGCTAAATGTAAGTAGGCTTAAACGAGAAAAACCCTTGCGGGAAAAAAGTGATCGGCTTTTTTTCAAATCTTGACTTGATGAAATATGTTAAAAAGGTATATATCTGAGGACTTCTTTTTTAATGAAAAAGTAAAAGTTTCGCGCTTCTTCTTCATCGATGAATCCTCCTATTTAGCTCTGCCGGTCCGATTCATTGCATCTTGTTCGTGCCCGTGACACCAGTTCGCTCACAATTATACAGATATTTATATACAATCAACAACAGGCCACCAAGGCAATGCAATGTCCCTAATGAAACCGAAATATATAAATACATAAATAAACAAGTTTAATTTTAATCATTTTTGTGGTAGTGTTGGTAAAGTGAGGTTGCGTGTTGGGTGGACGTGGATGTTTGAGAAATTTGCAAATGGCAAGTTTTTTGGCTTCATCAAAGTCAGTTGGCACAAATTTCTTTCTTAGTTATCGTTATGCTAGAGCGAGCGGTCGGTCTCAACAAAGATTTCTTCTTCATATTTTCGAATCTACTCGCTGATATACTTTTAGTTTAGTTGTAGTTTGTGCTTGTTTTTCCGACAACAGGTGTGTTGTTCAGGTGTTCAACTAACGCAGCAATCAGAAATGTCGAATGCCTCATCTGCGCCGAGGGGCCGGTCACCATTCAGTCGCCGGCTGCCGGACATCGGCAGGATCATCCCCCCAAGGATCACCCCCCTCAAGATGCAGGGGGGGGGTGAGGGGGGCCAGGGGGTGGACCGGGGGCAGGAAGCAAGGGGGCAACGAGCGAGGCCGGGGGCAGGCAGCCAGGCTACGGGGGGGGGGACAAGGGCAGGCGGGCCGGCGGCAGGCAGACCGGGGGCAGGGCGGGGCGGCGTTGGTATCTGCATGCTGGAAGGCCTTCCAAGAGGATTCCTGGCTCAAGATGTGCGACAGGCGGGCAGCCACCCGAGGAGGCCCGGAAGCGCCTAGCGCCTCGCCCGCCGAGGCAGCAAAGGCGGCACAAAGAGCGCGCCCCCCCGAGCGGGAGCACGGCAAACCAACGAAGGGGGGAACGGGGAGGGAAACACAGGGCGGGGGGCGAGGGCGACGAGGCGGCGCGTGCCTCCGACCCGCAACAGGAAGGGGCAAAAGGGAATCGTCTGGGCCAGCCGTCGCGACGGCGCCGTCGCGACGGCTGGCCCAGACGACACCGCCGAAACCCTAAGCCCTAAGCCCTAAAACCTAAACCCGACGCCCTTGAGGGGGGTGATCTTGGAAACTTGAGGGGGGTGATCTTATCTTGAGGGGGATGATCCGGCTTACGTCCCCACCAGCCCCCATTGTTCCGCTGCTGGGTTGCGTGCAAAGTCGGTGTGGTGGAGGGGATCTCGTCTTTTTCGATTGGGTCCGCGATGTAGGTACCATGAGCATCACGGTGTCCTCGTCGGAAGCGACTATTGGGACCGAAACCGATGCCGCGAAATCTCCTCGCCTGTCCTGGCGATGATGTAGGTGGGGAGGCGATTTGGGAAAGTGGACCACTTGGTTGTAGCAACAACTGGGTGAACGACGTCTCCGCACTGGTCTGCGAATGGGTTCGCATACTGCAGTACAGGCCGTGTTCCGCGAAGTCGAGCTTCCCGTCGTTGTTCAGGTCCGCCTGCTTCGGACACACGGCATTCTCCTCTCCGTCCAGCACCCCGTTGTGGTCGGTGTCCAGCGAGTCGAACTTGATGGTGATGAGCACGTCGCTGCGCGTGACATTGTGGTCCGATGCGAGGTCGGCGACCAGGGTGTCGAAGTGTTCCTGGGAAGCGGCCGCGATGCTGCCAGCGTGTTTCACCTGCTGAAGGCGCGCCTTGCTGGAGAACAGGGTCTGCAGTTGGGGAACGAGGGAAGTTTGTGCAAACGAGACCGGCTGCAGGTTCGACGTGGCGAGAGGTGTGGCTTTACCTGTGGTCGTGTAGCGTACGAGGCTATTGCTCAGAGCGCACAATGAATAATCTTGCGCCATTAGCTGATGCAAGACTTTGCTTTCCTATCAAACTTTTTCTGATGTGTGTTTCCATACCTGTGCAGGTCGGAGTCATGGTTGATGATGTCATGAAAATGCCATACGAATAACTAGATACCTTTGTTCATACTGCCGGTCTTCGGGGACCCCCCCCCCCACGCTGCAACTTCGAGGAAGGCGCTGCCGAGCGGGTGCGGGAATCTGCATTAGTATTTTTGCGGAACGTTGAAATAGTTGCTTGGTATGAACATTTAGTTCAGATGAAGTAATCTTTTGGCCGAGCGATACTTACTGCGGCTGTGCATTATTTTAGTTTTAGCTCTACTTGCATGATTATGAGTTGCCGGTTACCAAAACAATAATACCTTTCCCTTTCGTCATTTCGTTAGCCGCATGGGGTTCGAGGCTGAACAGTTCCGCATCCTGATCCACTGTCGACTGCACAACGCCTGCTGCAGCCACGGGAAGTGAGAGCAGGAAGGCAACCGCAACAGTAGCAGCTCGCATGATGATTTGTTGTTGTAGATTTGTGGACAAATTCGAATTCCTCTCCTCTGCGAAAACGGGACTCCTACGTATCTATAAGTGTACAGTTTTCGACGTAACTTTGTTGGGCAACAAGAAAGCGACGGCCCCAACAGAGTTGGGGAAGCAAAGGAAATTGGGGCATTAAGCTGCAAAAAATGTTCCGAAAAGCAGGTGGTCTCGGCATGAAATGCGGTCTGAAGTTCTACGAAGACGAGGCCTACCCAGAGGACCGCTACTATTGCTCTACCCCTACACGAAAAGCGAGTTTGCCTGGAGCGAGGCCCCGAAGATAATCAGATATCTTCTAGTACGACTTATGAGAGGCACCAGCGCCAGGGCAAACTTTGGTGAAATGATTAAACAAGACGAATATCGAGTTTTTTGAAACGGACCCGATGCATGTTACAGACACAAAACTTCGCTCGCTATGCAATTTTTAACCCGTGTACGCGACTCTCGCAGGCAAAATTGCACTCGGCACGTAAAACGAGTATGTTTCCTACTTGCACTTACAATATTCTATATTACGTGCGTCAACAAAGATAGACGACCCGACACAGTCATGATGAATTGCATTTACATATCAACCCTCCCGATGGATAAATATCACTGAGAATCAACTTCGTTTTGTTTTTGCTTCTTCAGCTTGAGCTTTGAAAGTGTGAGATATGTCCGGCTCATATTACTTAATTTGCATCACTCCGAAACATACCACCACGCATTGAGTCTTGTGGCCAAATCTCTCACGTAGCACTGGACACACGCTCCGCGCGCTGAATGTGAATTCAATTCGCGGACATGAAACAAAGATAATTGGCAGAGTCGGGCTCGGGCAATCCCGATCAAAAATTACTAGTGCTTGATAAGTGAGAAACCAGTAAGTTCCGCCAAAGTGGCCACGAAGAAAAAACCGTAGAAGTGCTTATCCATATGCTAGGCGAAAACTCCAGCAGGCTTCTCGATTGTTCATGTCCTGCTGGCCCCAGAGCATTTTCACAGGTCTGCAGTACCGCACGAAGTTTGTGCTGAACTCCTATTCTTTGCTTACTTATCCTACCCAGCAGCCGCTTCGTCATCAGAATCGATCAGAGTGCGTCCGTGTGTCTTTCGCAAACGCAAACCTCCCAGCGCGGCTCCAATCATTATTTTACCACGACTTCTAAGGGTCCCCGCGCGTCGACATTTCGACGTGCCCTCCGCAAAAATCCACCCAACCCACAAATTCGCAGCTGGCTATTATCTCCACGCCCTCGGCCGGAGGAGGTCGTGCACCAGGCCTACGCAGACACTTTGTCGCGATGCAGCTGACCCTCCAGGTACAACGCCGCTCGTGTAGAAAGGGGAGAGGGAAACGCTCGTGCGCGCTATTGGTCCACCATCATCTGGCCTGCCGCGCGGTCACTCAAGGACGCTGCGCCGAACAATCCTGCAGATTCATGCGCAGCTGCGTCGCTGTGTGGTTGTGTGGTACAACACCCCCAGATCATGCTGTCCAGCAGGTGTGCCCGCGCGTCTGCTGAGGATGGGGTGCTGGCCGCTCTCACGTGGGCCGCTATTTTCCAGTGTGAATGCCTCCTCCTCCTCCTCGCGGCTTCTGCTCCACCACTTTACTAGCACAAGTCCCTGCTCCTCGCTGCCTGCTTCGTCCTTCCAGTAGACCACTTTGAAGCTGCTGTATCTATGGCGTTCCTCGCCCCCTCGTCAACCTTCTACCGGCGGCAGCACCTTCCCGTGAAAGTAGTACCAGAGAAACGTATCAAATGCAAAAATGTCTGGGTCTGGGAGATTGCAAGATTTGTCATGCATACTTTGCACCTTGATATACCCGATTCACACTCGGGGGAACTGGAACTTTCGCGAGACCAATGGATCATGCATACTCTAAAAATTACAGGCATGATGGATCATGCATACTTTGCATGATCCATAATGCCTGTAATTCATGGCCTAGCATCACAGATTTTTAGAGCGCTTCCTCATGCCTATTCCGCATGACAAATGCCATCTCCGCGGAGTACAAAGTCTACTCCTCTTACTGGTCACGCAAGACAAATTTTTTTCGAATCCAGAGACAGCATCACAAGTTTAGAATCTTCCAGACCCAGACATTTTTACATTTGATAAAACGCGAGGGTGAGCCACGCGAAGGACACGCCGAAGCCCCGGCGCAGCTTATCAACTGCAAAAATGTCTGGGTCTGGAAACTTGTGATGCTGGGTGGCGTATCATGAGGAGGCCACAAGTGCTGGCTCAGCGTGGCAAGGTTCTGAGCTTCAAGGTGTTGCCTATTCTGCATGACAAACTGCGTTTCTGAATGACAGAAAAATCGGTCTCTTGGGATGTGCATGACAGATTTAAGAGTCACGCGAAACAAGCATGACAAACTTGCACTCTTCCAGACCCAGACATTTTTGCATTTGATACAGCTGTGCCAGCATCAATAGGTTGAAGAACATGCCAAACAGCGCGATGAGCGGCATCCCGGGGACCACGTGCTTGATGTTATCGTTTTCCAGTTCCCAGACGCTTATGGATTGCAAAAATGTCTGGGTCGGGAAGAATGCAACATTTGTGATGCAGGTTTTCGATGACCCATGAGGCCTGGCAAGCAGCGCCTAGCATGGCAGATTCTGTGAGAGTTCTAGCATGCCTATCCTGCATGGGAAACTGCCTCTCGATTAGGTCAAAAGTGGGCAGCTTTTGGTAATCATGCAACACAGATTTTTACATGATTCAGATTTAGCATGACAAGTTGCTACTTTGTTCCAGACCCAGACATTTGTGTATTTGATAACGCTCGACATCGCGACGTGGGTCCCGATCCCGAGCAGAAACACGATCAGCATCGCCGGTTGCCACACCGGAAGTTCAGCCTCGATGCTGACCGACACGAGCAAGCTCAACACTGCGAAACCAAAAATACCGTAGAAGTAGTGGGTGTGCGTTTCAACATCGGTTTCAACATCATCCGCCGCTTGTTGGTTTTCGTTCGTGTGTGCTAGTGGGTCGGATTCCAAAGCAGCTCCAACACGATCTTCCGTGGTCCCGGTCACTCGTGTCCTTGTCGTGCTACCTTCTCGGGTTGCTGCTCCTGCTGCGACGGCCTCAGAAGTGATCTTGGTCAGCGGTCGTGCATCATGCTGCTGCGTTTTAGCACCTCCCTCTGGTTGTTGTACGAGTGGCTCGTCCTCTCCCTTTCCAGCCACTGGATACTTGTTGTACTCCCCGTCCTCGTGATTTCTTCCTGCCATCTTCAAATGCAAAGATGAAGGCGGCTTTCTGGAAGCTAGCACCGCCAGACAGACGAGCGTGAACGCGATCAAGGTCCCGACGGAGTTCACCTCGGCCAGAAACCGGTAGGGAAACAGGGTGAGCACCGCGGAAAACCCGGCCTGCAGCAGCGTCGTGCCGACGGGCGTGTGCGTTTTGGCGTTCACCTCGGCGCACCAGGCCGGCAAATAGCCCTCCCGGGCGATGCGCAGCAGCATCCGACTGCTGGACAGCAGGTAGTTGACCGCCAGGGGAAAAATCCCCAGGCACGCGCCGATGGAAATCAGGTCCGACACCACCGGCGCCTTGTTCCTGGTCAACGCCGCCAGTGGCGTGGGGTCCTCGAGTTTCGTTACATCGCGTCGGAATGATGTTGATGTTGTTGTTGCGTCGGAATAAGTCATGGCGGAAAGGAACGACGCAAGGAAAGTGCTTGCTGTCGCCACCCCGTCTCTGCGAAGCAGTAGAGAGGTCGAGGGAGAATTCGAGCCCGCGGAGGTAGAAAAAAAAGGTAAGGAAGTAGAATCTCCGGCTGAAGTAGTGCCATCTAATTGCAGCTCCTGTGCAAGAACGCCAGTTCTCTGATGCACCACTGAGCTCGCTTTCTCCTGCAGAAACAGCAAAGCCTCGCCTCCCCCGCCGGAGGAGGAAACGGAGTCCAGATCCGCGAAGGCCTTGGCGTCGGTGAGACTCAGAATTCCGAGCGCGACGGAGAAGTAGACGGCGAAACTCCCGGCCACCGTGAGCACCATCGCGGCCGGGAGCGTGCGCTTTGGGTCCCCCTTCGTCTCCTCGGCTAATTGGGCCAAGGACTCGAACCCGATGAAAGCGAAGACGATGATCCCCGCGCCCTCCAAAATGCCGCCCAACTATGAAATGCAAAAGCATCGTAGTATAAATCGCATGACAAATTCCCGTAGCATGAAAAATGGAATTTGTAATGCGGATTTAGGTTAGGAGGGAAATTTGTAATGCATGACTGCGATTACTACGAGTACGATACTTTTGCACAGGATATCAACCCCGTCGGCGCAAAGTACTTGCCGGGCTCCTCGCTCCATACGCCGACCTTCTCGGGCAGCGACCCGAAGCCGACGTAGATGGAGAACGCGATGAAAAGACACAACGCGCCGCCCTTGGCAAACATGCCCGTGTGGTTCACAATTTTGGACATGTCAATGCCGAAGGTCACCGTGGCAGTGACGATGTATGCAATGCAAATTATATGTCTGGGTCTGGAAGGATGCGAACTTGTGATGCTGCATCTGGATTCTACGAAAATCTGTATTGCATGAACAGTAAAAGATATCCTGTTTTTGCCATTGCGAGAGGGCGTTTCTCATGCGGTATAAGAATCAGAAAGCCCTCATAAAATCTGTGATGGTATGGCATGCATCACAGACATGAGGACTCATGCAAAATGTGCATGCCAATCTTCCAGACCCAGACATATTTGCAATGCATACGATGGCCCAGAACACAATGGCAACGAAGTCGAAGGAAACCAGGGCCTCCGGTTTCTCCGGCCCGTGTCCCACGGTGTTGGAAGCTTTGTTCTTCGAGGAGCCAGACGTCAGGGAAATGCCCTGGTGTGGTGATAGATTATTGTGTTTGTCTTTTATTCAAATGACCAAGCAGCTTTATTGCAGCTACAACAGATTTTGGCTCTGCGAAAACGAGAAGACCGATGAAAAAAGAAGGCGAAAGAGATTCGTATCTATTTGTATTCGTGTAGCGCAATGGCCTCTATATCATGTTCAAGTTCAAGTTCATCTAAGTACCTCTATTATACCAGATCGATGTCGTGAACCCGTAGTAGCGCCGCACCGGCGGTGTCTTTTCCGTTTCCGTCTTCCACGATCGGCAACACCACGGAGCGGAAGTAGTTGGCAAAGCCCTTTGCGGACACCGAGAACCCTACCATCATTTCCAAGATCAACGCGGACGCGAGCATGAACGCGGTCTGCTCCCCAAATTGCCGCAGCACGAAGCCGTAGGCCACCCCGAGCTCCTGGCCAGTATACGCCGACGCCTCCACGTAGCAGAAGGCGCTCATCAACACGGCAAAGGCGGTGAGCGTGAAGCTGATCAGCACCGCCGGGCCCGCGGCCAGCACCGCGGGGCCGGACAGGAGAAAAATCCCGCTTCCGATCGTGCATCCCAGTCCAAAGAGGACCAAGTCCGGCAGAGACAACGCCCGTTTCAACTGGTGCAGCTGCGCGTGCTGATCCTGTTCAAGGTCGGTCTCGGTACCGATGCTGGAGGGCGGGTAGGCGTAGACCTTGCGTTTGTTCTTGTTTTGCGGCGGGAGGTTTAGGTTGTCATTGACGGTCATGCCACCTCCGCCGGCGTTCGTTTCCTCTTGTGCAGGAACAACCCCCGGTGCTCCATTGAATATCGTCGTGGCGCCAGTGCTGGAAAGCATATTGCTTTGAGCAAGAGGAACGTCACTGTCAGACATAATGTATGATGTAGTTGCGCAGTCAAAACAAGAATCTGCGAGTGGGGTCTGTTAAAACGGCGTGACTCCTCAGTTTTGCGCTCGGCGGTGGAGCAGGTCGAGCAGCAACATTTTGATCAGTGAAGTAGAGTCATCTTGCTTGATTTGGACTTGCTATTCGCGTTCTTCTACCACACTCCCCTAGTTCGTCGTTCCACTTGCTCCGTGCTACGTGCCTCGAATATTCTCTTCTTGTGGAAGTAAAATCTAACGGCTTCTAGTGCGTATGTCGACAAAACCCAATTTAAATGAACCGTGAAGAACGACGACGAGCCCATTTGTCGGCAGATTACAGCTCCAGCACTCCCTTATTTCCGCTCGACGAGGCAGCGCTTGTTTTGTTAAGTTGTGAATCACAACCAAAAGCGACTGAAAGCCTCGTAAAAGTTTTGCTCTCGTTGAATTTCAACTCAAAAGGAATAATTCCTCCAACGCATTCCGCTTGATGCGGCTGGACCAAGAACTCTCTAGGAGTACGTCTCGAAGACGAAGATGAGCTTCGCAGCAGCAGCTTCAGCTTGTCGAGTTGTCTACTGAAAAAAGGATAGGTAAACAAGTAGGACCACAGTAAAGAGGACCACAAAGCGAAGAGCTGGAAGTTGAGCACGACGAATACGTCATTTCACAACACAACACTTCCGCGATATCACAGCTCTTGTGCGTATTGAGTTACGACCCCTGCAGAACAACACCGCTCGCTTCTGCAGTTCGGTATCTCCTTAATTCAGCATGCGCTCGTGGTTCCTGCAGTCACCTCTCGCAACAGCAACCTCCTGGTACGACAGTCTAATCATAAACATGCAAGAACAGACGCAGTTGATGTTGACCTTGACGCAAGCACTTTTACAAAAGGTGTTTTGTACTCAGAAGAAGTGCTGCAACAGCGGTCCACTGGGTTTGGCGTATAGGCCCCACACGCTGCCCTTTTCAAATCGCAGATAGCCGCTCTGCTTTTCCGCTCCGTCCTGCGTCGCCTCCGAGTTGTTGTGTACGCGCACCTGCGTCTGCCAATCCGGGCCGTAAAAGCTGTCCAGCACCTTCTCGGGCTCGGGCGGCAGCCACACCCAAGTGTAGGCGCCAAAGGGCGTTTTGGTGCGGTAATCGTGTAGCTCGAACAGTGGCGGATTGATGTCCAGGCGATCGAGCTCCACGCCCGCGAAGGCGGTCCTCGTCCTCGTGGTTCTCTCACTTAGAGCAGAAGTGGCGCCGGAGTGAAGAGCAGAGAGGCCGTAATTTTTCCTCACCACCGCCGTGTGATTGTGGAACACCGCTTTGTAGGCTGGCAGGAACAGCGTTTTGTTGACGGCCCCCCGGAGCCGGCTGTTCCGCCCGACCACGCGGGTGGTCCAAAAGTAGGTTTTGGGGTTCAGCTCGATCTCGTGGATCTCGATGAAGGGCGCACCGCAGGTCAGCGTTTCCTCGAAATTCTTCGAATTCCGGAACTCCGCGACGGTCCGACTGTAGCGCACCGTGTTCCGCTTGCTGCAGAACCGCAGGCTCTGCGCCGTCGTGTACAGGTAGGACGTGTGGATGTTCAGACGCCGCAGCCGCTGCACGAAGGCGCTGCCCGGGGCGAACAGGTAAAAGAAGTCCCACGGGACTGCGAAGTCAATGTCGATGTCCTGGGGCATGTGGCCACCGTGACGCAGCGCTCCGATCATGCTGCCGTGCGAGATCCACCAGACGGCGCCGAAAAAGTCCAAGGCGCGGCCCACGTGGTGTACCAGGGAGTACACGGTCAAAATGTCCATCGCCGTGGACTGGTGCTGCAGCGGCGGCCACGAAGGCCCCGCGGGGGGCAAAGGAACAGCAGGTTGCTCCTGGTTCTTCGGTCTATAATTTTTCGCCGGCGGTCCACCCTTGTGTGCAAGACTATCATCTGAAAACAGAGTCTCGGGGCACATGTTCTCTGGGCAAAGGGCTTCGTCAAACAGACCGTGCATGGTTTCCCGCGACCCGGGCTGCGTCACGAGCATGCCGTCCTCTGTCCGCAAAATTTTGTGGGGACGCCGGCAGTACCGCGCGGGCCCGCGCTGCCGGGCTAACTGCAACTCTCGCTCGGACAGAACATTTTCTTCCTCGCTTGACGAGGATACTGACGTTGTCGTCGCGTCTGGTCGCATCGATGGAGACGTTTTTGACAACGGCCCGGATAAATCAAATTGGTCGTCGCCAAACTCAATCCCAGCTCTCGCGTCCACGCTGGCGCGTGCACACTGCTCCGATAGAAGAGGTTGTACTTCTATAATGGGGACGAAATCTTTTGTCTTGCCATGTTGTACTCTCTGGTCTCGTCCTTCTTCCTCCAGCATTATCCCGGGCATTTGCGTAAACCGGCGGGGCCACCAGAACGAGTTGCGCAGCGGACGGCCAGCCACCTTGCCGGCGGTGATTTTGCTCGGATACCGTTGCTGCGGCAGAATCGGCAACTTCTGCACGGTCACCGTGTTCCGTTTCTCGTACAGAGTTGTAATAAAGTCCATTTCATTTTCGGATGAACCCGCAGGCACTGCCGGAGTTGGATCGTCCGGTACCCCTGGTGCTCCTCCACTTCCTGTTGCCACGCGCCCAGTCGAGATACGAGGAGCCAGCTCCGCAGTCCTGAACGCCGCCAACTGTCGCGCGAGCTTTTGTTCTTCGTCTTCCAGGTCTGCTGAGCACTGCAAGTGGTCCTCGTAAAATGCGTTTTCGTAAAAGATCAGCGGCGAGGTTGAGGACGGGATTTGTTCGGTGGCTACGGGTACGGCAGGACTGGAGAGAAGCGCCGTCGTCGTCGTGTTTCCTAGCTGCTGGCCTGGTTGTGGTCCTTTGGTCGTGACGTCGTTGCTCTTTACCGCATCAGCCTTTGTACTCGTACTCTGGTCGCGGGCCATCGTAGATGAACTTCCGGTCGCGGATTTTGTGTTCGCGGACAGGTGGGTACTAGTAGAAACAGGTCGCCTAGTCGTGGAAGAAGCTGGTCGACGTTGTGTACTTCTCGTACACAGCGTGCTGCTTGTCGACGCGGACGACCATTCATTTTCGCCCGTTCCTGTTCTCTCGCTCTCCCCACCATACAACTTCTCGTGGTACGTCGCCCCGTCGGATTGCACGACGAAATCCAGCAGCGTCTGCGGCTCCAGCTGATTCGCGATGCCGTTGGTCGGATTGCGCTGGTTCAAAAGAAGAATTTCCCTCCGTCTGCGCGTCGGCTGCTGCAAAAAGAAGGGCCACTGCTGCAACAAACGCTCGTACCCGCGGTAGTTGGTTTCCGCTGCCGGGTGCCACAATTCTGACTTCTTCAATGTTTTCACAAAGTGGACCTCGAAAAAGTCGGGGCTCCGTTCCGGGTCAGCTTTGGACAACGCGTAGCGTGCGATCTGGTCTTTCAGATTTTTCATCTCAGGTCCTGGTGCTTCATCCTTATCCATTGCATCATTATGCGCGGTGAAGTCGTGTAAACCGGACAGAAGTGCGAAAATCGGAACCTCGTTCACAGACTCACAGAAGTTATCCAGCGGGTCTTCGGCCACCACGCCCTGCCCTCCGTCGAAAAACGAAAAAGGGCTTGGCCAGGGTGTAGTTTCTTGTTCTACCTTGCTATTCATTTTTCTCGCAGGAGGTGCGGGATCCACTATTTCGTTCATTTTAGCTAGCGCCGCTGCTCCGGCCCCCGAATCTTCAGCGTTGTTGCTGTACGATCTTCCAGGGTCTGTTTTTACCGGTTGTAGTTCATCTGGTTGTTCTACGTTATTTCCCCCCACCGCATCAGTCGTCGTAGTGAAAAAAGAATCCAACATGCCTCCGAAGAGTGACCCCGACGAAGTTGGCGCAGCATCCCCGTTATCTCGTGCCACATTTGCGACGATTTCATCCTTTATTCCACTGCCTGTTCTTCGTGCAGCACGAGAACTTCTCTCTTGCGTCTCCTCCACCAAAGCCGATGTAGTAGTGCTCGCGGCTGATGTGGTCGCTCCATCTGCTGTTTCATCTTCTGTAGCCGCGACTTGCAACCTTTTTCGCACCCGCAGAAAGCGTGTCAGGTGCCGCGTGGGTTGTGCATCGAACTCCAAGTCTAGCGCTTGCCATGGTTTCTGTGCGGCGTTGTAGTACCACTTGGCGTTCCGCAGCTCCCCGTTGCTGACGCCTTCCGTGGCGCCCTTGTTGGGGTGCAGCCCCGACAGGGCCAGGTGCGCGAAGCCGGCGCTGAGTAGACAGACCCGCTTGCAGGAGGCCTGTTGCACCTCCTGCTGCAGGCGGAGAAACAACTGGTGCGGCCACGTGGCGCTGGGAAGGGAGAAGGGAGGAGGTCCAGCTTTTTCCACCTCTTCTTCCGAGCCTGGTGTCCTCGTGCTCGCAGTCGTGCTTGTCATCTTTGTCATACTGCACTCCTCGACTCGCCCGTAAAACGGCGCGTTGCGGTACACCATGGAAAACATGCAGGCCCGGTAGTCGAAGCCGGCGGCCTCGCGGTACAGGTCGAAGATGTCTTCCTCGGCCTGTATACCGACCGAGTTGTCTTGGACCCCACCGTATGCATTTTAGCAAATGCGTCTAGGTCGTCTGTGGAGGCGGAGGGATGCTTGAAACATCTGTGTGTTGCGTGAGCAGCGAGAGCTGCTCACTTTTTGCCACACCAAAAAGCGACAACATTGCGAAGACTATATTATCTTGCGAAATGGGTACGAAGAAGTATTAGCAGGTCCTGATCGTGCGGTCGAAAACAAAAGTGCATCACAATCGCAAAACAAAGCCTTTCTTCTCCAGACGCAGACATATTTGATGTACTTGATACGCCGAACAGGTCGTATATCTGCCCGTCCCGCATGAAACTATCCGCAGTCTCGTGCGTGGCGCCGATCAGGTAGAAACTGTTGTCAACGTGATGGTCGGAAGCAGGTCGGACATCTTGTTCATCCGGAGACGCGAAAACGGAAAGCTGCGTCTGTAAGGCTTGCTTCGATAGAGTTGGCGTAAGAACTTCGCTGCTTTGATTTTCACTTCCCGTCGACGCTATCGGACTTTTCGCTGTGGTAGTACTTCTCGACCGGACGCCCTGCTGTTGCTGGTGGCCGCCTTTCACCTGCCCCTTGCCGGCGTAGTTGTTCGCGTTTGACGAGGGTGCTGTCATGTCTCCTGTTGCAGCTGTTGCTTGTTCACTTGCAGACTCACTCCGTAAGGTCTGTATCCGCAGGTCCGCTAGCGCGATGTGCCGGCCGGAAGCGGGTATCGGGGACAACATCTTCTCCTTCAAGGCAGCACTACCAAAAGCATTCTGCGTAGATGTTGGCGGTGAAGATCCACCTGGTGATGGCGAAGGTTCGTCTTGTGAGGGTACTTCTCCTACCCCCGCAGCTTGATCGCCCTCTCTTTGCGACGACGTAACGGGACCAGTACTAGTGTGGTTCTCGTCGTCCTCTCCATCGAAAAACGTAGACCAGGCCATTTTGGGATACCGCCGACTCAGCCACTTGTGCCGCGGCAACGAGCGGCGCAGGCGGTCGCTGTGCGTCAGGTACAACCCGCACAAAGGGTTCACCAGCGCGAAAAAAAACAAGCCGGGCCCCGCCACCACGCTCGCGTCCGAAGGTACCTCTGTTTTTGCTTTCCCGAATGTTCCCGGACAGAGCCAGCAAGTAGAACAATGAATAATAATCGGGATGTTGAAAGAACAGTACTAGTTGTAGAGGAATTTTTGACTCTGCTTCTCTACCATTCAATTCTGCTTTCCTACGACAAGAATGGTTGTAGTAGAGTGGTCCATTTTTAGACACAAACTGATAGAACAACATGAGTATTCATCATCAAACCCGTTTCATTTTTACTACACACCAAGTTAGCTAGCTGTAAAGTACTTTATCGCGGACGGAAGCAGTAGCTCCGTCTCGTGAGGATCCTGCTGCCGCTGCAGCTGGTATTCTACTGCCCGAACTCTCTGTGGACGGCATCACAGCTGCGCCAGAACTTGCAGCTGTAGTACGCGTTCCTGCGAGCCCGCGTAGGAGCGCGCGCGACTCTGAATAATTGGTCGCACTCGTTCTACCAGGACCCTGTTCCTTGTCTCCCCGCACCACTACATGCAGCCTCTGAAAGTTATGAACTGCAAAAGTATCGTACTCGTACGAATGCATTACAAATTTTTTCAGCATGAGAAATAAAAGTTGTCATGCTGATTTACCTTAAGAAAAATATTTGTAATGCAAGACTTGCATTCATACGAATACGATACTTTTGCACAGGATAAAAGTCCGCGAACAGCAAATCGTGCCAGTTGCTGTGGATCCGGAGCTATCAAATGCAAATATGTCTGGGTCTGGAAGGTTGGAAGACTTGTCATGCAGGTTTTCCATGACGCGTGAGGTCTGTCATACATGACCCAGCATGACAGATTCTTCTCGACCGCTATCATGCCTCGTCTGCATGAGAAACACCCTCTCAGCTTGGTCAAAAGTGGACAGCTTTTGGTAATCATGCAACACAGATTTTTGCACTATCCAGTATTAGCATGACAAGTTCCATTCTTCCAGACCCAGACATATTTGCAATGCATAGCAGCCAGCGAAACACGTCTTGCAGTGCGGCATGGAAGACCTGGTCCGCCCACAAGCTGCCCAGCCGGTCCTTGGTCAGGCACAGCGCCTGGATCTGGAGCTCCGCCACGCCCCGCGGTACGCACTTCCACAAATCCTTGACGATCTCCGTCTCGGCGCGCGTCGTGTACTCCTTCGCACAAATTTCGTCGACGGCAGCAGGAACGAACTGCGCATGCGGACGAAGATGATCCTGGTCTCGTTTTATTTTTTTCCCTGCATTTTTATCGTTATCCACCCTGGAAGACGGAGATGAAGATGAACTCGTCAGTGTACTCGTTGTACCATAATTCGGCTTGTGTTTCGTGGTGGCTACAAATATCCTTTGGATCATGCTCGCGAGTTCCAGCAACCGTTCGGCCTCCGCTTCGCACACGAAATCGGGGCGGCGCGTCGCATATCAAATGTAAAAGTGTCTGGGTCTGGAAGAATGCGCGATTTGTCATGCAGCTTTTCCATGACCCATGAGGTCTGGAATGCAGTACCTAGCATGACAGATTCTGTGCGATCTCTCTCATGCCTATCCTGCATGAGAAACTCCCTCCCGACTTGCTCAAAACTGGACGACTTTTGGTAATCATGCAACACAGATTTTTGCATGCTTCAGATTTAGCATGACAAATTGCATTCTTCCAGACCCAGACATTTTTACATTTGATATCGCACTCGCGGTCGCCGTCGTCGCAGCTCCAGCAGTTTCACCCAGCACAGAAGAAGTCGCATTGACCCGTCGCACCGGCGGGACAAACGGCTTGCCTCTCCTAGGGTGTAGTTTCTTCCCGCGGGTTGTTGTAGGTGTGGTTGTGGCCGCTGCAGTAGCGAGAACCGCCGGCTCCTTCGCCGCGACGGCAGTGGATGCTGCGGCGCCGGCAGGGGAGGCGCAGCAGGAAAACAAAGCTGCACCATAGAAAAAGAAGACCGCCGATGCGGAATAGACGACCCAAGCGACACACGATTTTATATTACGACAAAAAACACACCACACCATGATTGGCACAAGAGCGTCCGAAAACATTTCTTTATCATGATTTAGTGCGACATTTTTGTCGTTATAACTGCAAATATTTCTGAAGAATGATAGACGCCAAAAGGTACTAGAGGTGAAAGTCGAAAGAGCGTTTTTACAGCTCAGGAAAATGCTGCCCAAAAGTGACACGATAAAATTTATCGAATCAGGCAGAACTAGAGTGCGCGTCACGCTTTACAACAGCATGATTGATAGATATTTTTGTAAGCAGCCCAACTAGGCAGGAAACAACATATCACGATGCATAGGAGAACGCGACCACATGTATCGAAAATGAACAACTGGACGGACTCCAGCAGCATCCTGAAGGGCTGGTAGCAATTACGGCGGAGGGAATACGAAAACAAACGATCTGATTTTTGATCGCACTGAGCCGTGGCAGGGAAGGATCCAGAAACATACATTTGCAATTCAAAAAAAAACGAGTAGATCCTGCGGCTCCTCTTCGGAGGTGGGTTTTTTGCCTCGAAAGGAATAGAGACTTTGCCCCCTTTACCGCGAGGACACCGTCGTCGGAAAATTTTTCCAACAAGAACAGGCAAGCGTACTCCGTTGGTTCGAAGCTGCCCAAACAAGCTTGTCCGGATCGTGAAAGCTCAAATCGTCACGACGAAAGTAAAATCAAAATAGAACCCTAAAACCATAAACCCGTTCAACCCTTCTAAACCCTTTTCGACGCTGGCGAAGGAACCGGGGCGGAGGCAGGAAGATGAAAGTAAAAAGTGTGAAGTCAAACAGATTGATTTTTTTCGCAAAAAGTAAATTTTTTGGAATACCATAGCACTCCCCCTCGTCTGGCCCTTCTTTTCGGCCTCTGCTGTGGAGGAACAGCGGGCTCCTTGGCTTGTTTGTGAACAGAAGTATATTTCAAGTGGCTGTGTGGCAACAATGTGGAAACAATGTAACAAGACTAGGCACGATGCCCTAGTCCTCTACTTGAGCAGTCACCAAAACTTTGTTCGTGTTCTTGCTGTACCAATAATAAATAGGCTGTCCAAGTTGCGGTAATCATTTACCACAACGCCAGGTCGTGTACCTGGTGTACTCAGTCCAATGATAAAACGTACTATTTTTTTGTGAAAAAATCGTCTTGTTCGCGCCATGCTTCCAGCTTTATTGGTGAAGAAGCGTCGATCCGGCACGCGCAACTACATCCGCATTTTTACATTAAAGTGCGGCCTGCTACTTCACCGTCAGCTTAGGTGGAGGCGGTGGTGGCGTCTGCATCTTCTCGGTATTATGCTGGGGGAAAATAAACGGAGACGAGGACGTCGGCATTACTTGTACTAGCTGCTGCAAGTACAAACATAGTTTGAAAGTTGTCCCAGTCAATAACAATTTTTCATCATCTTCCCTCCTGGAGGGGCAGCAGCGAGTAGCAGAGCCAGACTTCACCTCTACTTCGAACGATTGTCAATAGGATAGTAGAACTGCAGCAAAGCAATCACGACAATGGTGATCACGATGAGGTGCATAAATTGGTACCTTGTTTCGGTTTTTCATTTTCATTATTTTTTGCAGTCTGCACGACCCATGCAACGAATGACTACGTTCGTCTATAATCCCAATTACTTATTAGTAAGGTAGAATTGTTGGAAAGTACAGAGAGTAAGTAATTAAAGTACTTACCCTTTCTTCGGTCCTCCGGTCTTCTTTAGCGTCGCGATTTCTTTCTGCAGTTCCGTTTTTCGCTCCGTCAAGGCCTTGGTGTAGCACTATCGAACACGAAAAATTCTGAGTCAACAGAGCATACAAGGTGGTCGTTTCCTACAAACTTCTAAGGTGCTTGCCTTTACCACACGGCTGCAGCGTGACGCAGCAGTCGTCGTGTGACACGCATTTATTTAGACTCATGTAGCGATATATCAACAGGCAAGAGATCCATTTGATTTCAACATGCAGAGTCCACCGCCAGAGATCAATTCCAAAATGAGACCGATAAAGTTGCCATCTTGGCCTCAGAATTTCAGGAAAATATCTCCGCTAGTTCCTCATATTTGCTCTGCAAATCGCGTGACCTATTGCTGTCTCCCGCCGTGTACCTGTTTTTATTTCGAAAGAACTGTCCTTTGATATTACGGCTACAACAACGCCCGCCTGGTATTTTTCTCGAAATGCAAAAACCAACCTCCAGAAACAAGAAATTTAGTCTTATGGCGCAATAAACGCATTCTATTCTTTCATCTGGAAGAACTCACACTTATTTAGCACGTAGCGCAAGACTATACTGTGACTGAGCGGCGTCCAGCGCAGCCTCGGACTTGCCGTTGACATCCGGAAAACAGACGCTTAATTTGAACTCTTGTATCCGAGTGCGCAAGAACTCCCCATCCCCCTCATGTGTTTTTATGACGAGAGTAGCATCAAATCCTGGCTCTGCCTCTTGGCAGAAGGCTCTGCATCGTGCCAAGTGCTAGAATGTTGATGCCAATAAACCGTACCTACTACAATGCGGGCACGATATCTTCTTCGAGGATGATTGATATGCAAGAAAAGCTGCGGTCTCAACTTTCGCTCTCATCTGTTGCTGTCATTGAGCAGTAAGTTCAAATGAAGGGGAAGAGGGGACCTTTGCACTCGCATATCTTGCACGGGCTATGCACAAGAAACAAAATGTCTGGATCTTCACGCATGTGAGATTTGTTTTTGTTGAAGAGTGAATGACAAAAATAATCATACCCCTCGGTCTTTCTTGTGGTTCTTGTAGTACGCCCCTGGTTGCAAAATAATGCTCAAAACCAAAATAAAAATCTATGATCGCGTCACAGAATGATCTATGCGTGGGCGGGCAAAGGCATGGTAGTATCCAGTGGGAACAATACAACTACACTAAATGACTATTCCTCAATAGAGGACCCCCAGACATCTCGACGCCTCATCCTGGGATACCTGGGCGTCTTTCACGATTTGAGGCCAAGCTTCCCTACTACTCAGCGTGTCCTCGCTCGTTGGCGCCGCTTGAACTAGAAACCTGAATCGTTTTTGGATTTCATCGTCATGTCCTGGTGCTAAAGATGCGTAAAAATTACCGCCTCATGCTCTTATACTTATTCAGTACACTTTTTCAACACGGTGAATCAAGTTCGTTGTATAGACTACGTGTGTAATACCTGTGTCGGTGGTTTGCAGGTACCTCCTGTAGCCTCTGCAGCAGTATCTGAATCTGCACCGATTATGCTGGGGAAACAAGTAAGAACCAATGCAACCTCCTGGGTTTCGTTTGAGTATTATTTCATCTTCCCACTGACATAACGATAAACCAAGAATGGACTCGCATTCATAACAGCAACACACAGAACTCGTGCAGCTTCTAGCCCCTTCTACACCTAAGGTTCAGACGAGACGTAGAATGAAATGAAGTACACCAGGATCTTCATGCGACATCAATGTGCTTTATTTCATATTGTTTCCCCAACCTTGAGCACGTTCTGGCTGGGTCGAACCAGGTAGGACTTCAGTGCCGTGGTTTTGACCTATTTATAGTTTGATCGTCGCAATAAAACAGACAGTAGTATCTATACAGAGCGACGCGCAGCTACCCTAGAACGATCAAAAAGGTCCTCCTGCAAACGTACTTTAACTTTATTGTATTGTATTGTATTTGACCCGCTCTTGTTTCAAACAGAAGCGGTGCTCGCTCTTTGACCAGGCTATACTTGCGATGATCCGTCTGACAACACGGTTGTGGGAGCAGGACGTGCGAAAACCCTTCAACGCGACACACGGCCTCAAGTCGTGGAAGCAGAAGGAGAGCAACGTGCATGAAGGGAAATGGGCGCGCTGTGCTGCCCTGCTTCGAGCACTCGCTCCTTATAGCAGCATTATTCAGAGGGTGCACACCGGGCGCACTAACACAGAATAATTACACTACGTGCGTAGGGAGGTGCGCTTCCAGAGCGGCTCCACGGACATCCGGCAATTGCCGGACGGGCAGAATGTAGGGCGCAAGCTGTGGCGGTGGCGGCTCACGCAGGCGGAGCCACCGCCGCCTCTTGCGCCGCCTCCCGGGAACGGTCTTGCGGCCCCGCCAGGGGGGTAAGGTGCCAGCCGAGGCTTTCCAGAATAGCGCAGGCCCCACCGTTTTCGCCAATCTTCGGCAAGTGCCGCCGGCTGCGTGCTGCGCACTACGTGGGGCAGTAGGGTTTACGACGGCGCGCCTCCAACCACCAAAACGGCACAAGGCCGCCGGGAGGGGCACGCCATGCCGGGCCTCCTTGCACACGACGCGGCAACACACTAAAGGGCCCGCCTCGGACTGGTCGGGCGCGGTGTGGCGCTGTGCTGCTCAGGTTAAGCACGCGGACGGCCCTCCGCCGTCTCACTCGCCAGGAGCATAGTACAGGGCGCACCAGCTTCCAGAGCTGGGCTCGTCCTCAAGAAGAGAACGCCCACCAGGGTCGAGGGGGCGCGCGCTGGACTGCGGGCGCCGCCCTACATTACTCACCAGGAGCAGCGGCGTGCTGCCGCTTAGTTTGCGAGACTTGACGCGTCTACCTCAGGTAGGTAGCGCATCTGGGTGCCAGGCCCTTATCACGACTTCCCTTCCCTCCAGGGGCGGGATACTTTAACTTTATCATTGCAGAGTAAGGTAACTAAATCTTGAAGTACATTACTTACTTTGAACGCCACATTTGAAGTCGTAGAAGCGTTCGTGAGTGTGAGGTGCGTGACGTGCGTGGTGTCAGCAAAATTCGCATCGAAAGGAAAAATCCCCACTCCCCATATCAAAACGGAATTTCTGATGCTGGATTTGTGTACACCAATCAGCTTTGTATTGCAGAGAGGCATTGCGGCCAGATCCCCAGGCTAGGTAGGGGCGTATGGGCCTAGTTGTTCAGCATGGCAAACTGCTGGCCTTTAGGCCCAACAGCATGACAAATCGCTTCCATAATGGGGCGGAAGCTTCTGCCCTTCCCCTTGTCTTCTTGCAAGACAGATGTGATCTGTGACCTCAAATCAGCAACGCAAATTTTCGGAAACATACCTTTTCGATATGGGGAGGGGGGATTTTTCCTCTCAATAATTCGTGCCCGAGAACTGGATCTCCCGGGGGGGATCTATCCTGAGCAGCTGCATTTTCAGATTGATCTCCCGCGCTCGTCAGTAGATCTGCGATGCAGTCGCTCTGCGAAGCGGCCTGTCGTGCTGCAGATAAACCAGCGTCTTTTCAATCACTTCTACTGCTCTACGCGGCTAGCAAGCCGGGAGTCAATAGCTTCGCCTCGGTGCTGTGGTCTTCCCTCTGCTTTATTTCCTATAATCTCGCCACGGCTGCGGTGCAGAATGGTCGTGTGATTTTGTTGGTCGGTCTTTCTTGCCGGCTAACGCGTGATGGTCGAACTCAGGAGAGCAGCTGCAACTTCGTTGTTGAGCCGGAGCAGGTTTTTATGAGCTGAGGATGATGAAAGACTGTAAATGACACTGGCAAACCTTCTTTCCTCCGAAGCCGCCGAAATTGACTGTAGTACGGAAACGTCGTGGAGGCAAAGGACCAGCCGACCTGACCTGCGATATCGACCTCTAGGAACACAAAACCCAGACTTCGTTCGTGTCGCAGCGGCAGAGCACCGCGTTTGATATTTCCCGTTATGAATGATCACGAGTCGGCCGTGGTTGCGGTCGGGGGGACACGGTTTTTTGTCGTCGCCTGCGCCGATGCTCCTGACAAGCAGATCTCCCGGTCGTCGGTCGAAGTATTTATACTGCAAGCTTACGCTACCCACACCAGGCTCCTCGTGTGCCTCGCCTCCACGACGAAGGAACGCAGGCGCACACAGTAAAAATGTGCGAAATAAAAATGCACCTCGACTTCTCCTGCGTGGAGTCCTGCCTGTATCCAAAGGTTGTCCAGCACGTATTTGTTGTACTTCGCCTTTAGACAGGACCACTACAGTAGAAACGTCCGCGGTACTACAGCGTGGTCTGTCAACAAGAGGTGCATACAGAGCGATGAACAACAAGAAGCGACCGCGTGCCTATCTTGATTTTGTTGCGCTAGAACTAGGATCCCCAGGCCCAGACGTCACAGATTTGCAATGGCCGGCCACCTGGTGCTCGAAGATGCCGGCGAGCGAAGAATCAGGAACAATTTTTTGAAATCTCAGCTGCAGGTAGGCAGTACGTGGAACGCCAACACAATGTGCATGAATTTTTTGTATTGGAATTGTCCCAGTTAAAGACGCATTGCTTGGCTTGTTTTGAATTGGTTCAACTACACTACCTGGCAAAGATCGCGTACCAACTTCTACTCGTTTTACGCCGCACAGGACAGGTTGTTGTACCTCCGGATGATATTAATTCTTGATGGCCAGACTCTTTTTTTCACCCTCTTCAGAGGGCGAGTTTCCATGTTGATTCGGCATCATAGGCTCTGATATGTTTCTCACCGTACTTCAAGCAGAACTTCTTCGCATTCGCGTACTACAGCACAATGAATACGTGGCGCCACGGCAAGAACGACAATGTGGTAAGTAGATACCTTGCAATGAAGGCAACGACAAGCCTTGAACAGAACACGTGTAGCATACTAGCGCTTCCAACTCGTTTCGTTGCGGCAAGCTCGTCGTGGTTCCGCCTTGAATTTTCTTTACGTTTTGGTTTCTGAGAATGATTTCACACAAATAAGTACAATCTATTACTGCGACTTTCTGTACAAGCGTGTTGGACCTCCCTGAGCCAATGCGTGATATCGTGGCTACAGTTTCTATTCAAGCAGGTGCATATCGTACAAGTTGTTTCTTTTGTTTGCTCTTTTGGTTTTGGTCCTGGGGGCATATTCACTTTCGTACAATGGGAAAACCGCAACTTTTACTTTACTTACTTGGTAGTGTCATCAACACCGCGAGACATTGACAGTGCCACCTCACTATCACCGTTTCGTTTCTCTGTAGTGCGGTATGAATCTAGTAAATTCTAGTGTCAGGATAGAAGTATCTACAAAAATAGCCACGTAAAATTCGGTGTCAGTCTTTGATCTGATGGTAAGTATTCTTGTTGGGAAGGAGGTGCGACCTTCCCGTCATAAAAGCCTTTTTTCAGCATCGCGTCTTTTTTTAATTGTCGATTAAATACGTATCACCGCGTATCTCGTGTCCTAATTGAACATTCGGTCGTCGATGTGAAAGTGTTTCCTGCCCGTCGGCTTTCGTCGCCCCTCGCGCGGGCTGGACAGCAATCCGAGCACCTCTTTTCGCTCCCCCGTCGCGGCTAGCTGCACGGGAATTTCTTTCACGCCCTGCAGAATCATCTGGCGGCGCCCGGTCTTCTTGATGTTACCGCCCTGCAGATCCTCGGGTTTCTGGCTCCACAGGTCCCCGTCTAACAGTGCACAACTCTCCCTCCCCCTCATTTGTATAGCGTGAACGGCAATACAAGCACGTGCAAGAATGCTGGTTTTGCATGACAAATTTGCACTGGATTATTCAGCTATTTGGGCTACCAAAACTTGTCATGTTGGGAAGCTAAGGGCTGGGCGTCCCTGTCGTTCTCTAAACCTTTGTTGTCTAAACCTCGCTACCAAAACTTGTCATGCAAACAGTGCCAAGAGGCAAAGGGTAAGCCTAAACGTAAATTGGGTATTTTGCATGACAAATGAGGGGAAGGGGGAGTTGTGCACTGTCATACCCCGATGTGGTCGTACGCACAGGCGGGCACGCGGGACTCTTTCTCCAGTTGCCCGTTCTTCTGGGTGATGTCTTTGGCATTGATGCCCGCATAGCCGGATTCAGTCGCGAACAGCTGCTGCGGGTGCTGCTTGTGCTGCCGCATCATCGCGGGTTCATCGTCCGGCAGCTCAAAACGCGTGGTAATGTTGTCCTTTGCAATATGCAATGCAAAAAGAAACCACCTCCCCCCCACCACAAAGTTTCTGTCCAGGAAATTTGTAGGCCTGAAGACAAGTGTGACGTGCACAAACCAACGAAAGGCCGTTGATTTTTCGCAGTAGCGCTGTGTCTCATGTTTTAGTCGCGATACAGCAAAACTGGAAACATTCATTGTAGCAGAAGTCTTGAGCAACATGCAGATACCAGGACTTCTATTAACCCAGACCACACGAAACAAAGATGATGTCATGCGTGATTCCTAGTAGGCCTTCCTGGCTTGCGAACTACGCAGAGCTCGCATTGGCTTCGCTCCTATTGGCTCGTGTGGGGACGATGGTTTATTTCACACAGGATATGCTACCGGAACATCGATGTCCTCCACGCGGCGACGGTAAGCTGTGAAGTAGAGATCGCAATTTTAAAGACGAGCACAGTGTTTGTCATGCGAAACGGGCCTCACAGAGAAACCTATCATGCACACGCAGATTTCAATTTGTAGTTGTACTTGTAGTATAGTAAACTCTAGTACGGTAGCAGGCTTCCCGCTCATCTACGTTCATCATGTCGCTTCCCAGGTTGCTCCGCCCGCCTTGGTATGCAATCAAAAACTTCTAGTCTGTCGTACGAGTAAGTAAATCGCGATTTTTACAAACTTGCGCAGGAAGGAGTCATGATGTGCAATCAACTATAGAGACCAGATGTTGATCTGCCCCATGCAAAATTGCAGAATTCATTCAAGTACAACGACCCTTTTCTGCACTGGTTATCTTTGGATCCACAGCGAACTGCAGACCGGACCGGGCCTCCGCGCCCCACAGGAAATCCGGGGTGGCACTCGCCCGCGGCACGCCCACACCGTTGCCGGTGGAAAAGTGGTCGGGCTTGGGGTTAGCGACGTGCCTCCGCCCGTCGATGCGTTCCGGCGCAGCAGCCTGCTGTGCGGGGTTCGCTAGTTGTACCGCGCGCATGTTTGTGCTGCCCATGTTTGAGGCAGAACTCGGATGGGCACCTTGGTGGTCGTAGTGCTTCAGCTCCTTGCGCTCGTAGAAGTGATCGTCCCCGCGAGACAGATCCGGGGAGGAGGAACCTGGGTTGGTGGTGCAGAGAAAATGAAGAATTCGACGTCTTCTACCTTCACCGTGAGTTGTTCTTCACATCAACTCGCGTTCTTCATATGCTTGTGCCTGCGCGATGCGAAACAAATTTGTCTGATGGTGCAACGTGCAAGCACACACTCGACGACAAAGAAGTGTACTTACAACTATACCGGTAGCAAAGTGGTCCGGCCGGCCGTGGACGTGTTTTTTTCCGTGCGCCCCCACGGCGTAGGACGAGCGTGGCGACGAGGGCAGCCCTGCTTCCTCTGGTTCTTCCACCACTGCCATCCCCAGGGCGAAATGGTCGACCTGCGCCGCCGGAACGTGCTGCAAGAGCTGCTGCTCCCCGCGACTCCAGCGCGCCTTGATTTCCCGCTCCTCGTGTAAGTCGGCTTTTTTGTGCGCGTGGTGCAGGGAATCCAGGGTGGCGTCGTTGTCCGATGGCAGGTCCAAATTTCGGCTCGTCCCGAACGGCGGCTATGAGAGCGCACAACTCTTCCTCCCGATTAGTCGTAGCTGTGCAAAATCACAAATCCAGTTGCTGTCTTAGTCTTTCTCTTTCAGCAGTGTTCGCATCTGGAAGCGTACTACATTCGACATCTGAACTTATCATGATGCACAGGCTCTACATGGTGGTGATGGTATGCTGGGGTTATTATAAATTCGCATGGCGGTTCATGCCATACACATGAGGGGGAGGAAAAGCGGTGCACGACTCTCATAGCCGCGTCTGGCTCGCCACATGCTGTTGGCCGACAAGCTCGGTCTGCAGCCGCATGATCTCATTGATCAGACTCACTTGCTGACCTAGAGGACATTTAATATTCCATTTATCATGAAAATTTCTTTTCACAGCAAGCAAATAACGACAAAGAACCTCACAGTACGTACTTTGAAGTTTCATTGCACGCGATCATGATGCAGCAGGCACAACCTAGTGCTAATCCAAATCGCAGCTGCAAGAAGACGACTCTCCGTGTCAGGTAAGGTCGGAACTTGATTGAAAAACGGATAATAATAAATCAAAAATCTTCTTTCTTACGTGATTTCGGTTGTGCCTTCAGCCCCGAGAAGTCTTCGAGAAGGCGGATTTTGGAGAGGAGCCCGTTCTGGCTCAAGTGCGTTAGCTGATCGTAGGTGAAGATGGGAACTGCGGGCTTGTTTCCCGCAAGCGCCACCGTGGTGGAAACCGCGGGCGCGGCCGCCTGACCGCTGGATTTTGGACGTCGCTGGTGCATGATGTTTGGGTGGACGACGTGCTGCTTCACGACTGCGCGGAGTTGTTTGTTGCAGTCGTTACTTTTTCTAGACTGACCTAGGCGAGGTGACCGACCTAACGACGAACTTGTTTCGTAAAATCATTTTACACGGGAACTACGGTAAAATTTTCAAAAAGAATTTCTAGCCTGATATGTCAAGTAGAGGTAATATTGCTACCTGACCATCGCTGGTGCCCACGAGCTACAACTACGTTCCTTTTGCGTTTCTTGCAACTAGTTTGTATACAAGCTGCAAAACCCAGAACGACGAACTCCACGATGAGCGGCTGAGAATCGAGTTTGGAGGAAGCACGACAAACTCCAGGATCACGATGAGGATGAAGATGAACTACGACCATTCGACTTTTACTTACTCTGCGAGTGCTGATATTGCCAGTGCCAAAACGAATATCGACGACGAGACACATTACAACTTTTTTCCAACGAAGCATAAAGACGGATCGCATTGTAGTATTTTCAGTGGTCATGTTGTTGATTTCCCTTCGATGTGCGATTGTGGTTGTGCTAGTGAACGCAATGTCTAAGTGGAGTAACGCGATATTAAACACCATGTGCTTTCGTTGCTTCAGAATCTTGACCTTGCGCGAAGATGACCGGCGATCGAAAGGTCGTGAGGAAAAATAAGTACTTGCCCTATTGCTGGACTTCTATGATTGCAGCATGATCGATCGCGCAACCAGAAGGTATTAGAGCCATTTCCTCGCTTTCTTGACGTCTGCTCTATGGTCGTGTTCGTATTGCGAGGGTCTTTCCAGCAAGAAGTCGGCGCAATATCTATCAACATCATGGGGTGAAACTTTATGTACTTATTGTGGTGCGCATTTTCCCAGGTGAAGTAGACTTGTGGAGTTGCGTCACGAGTGATGGCACAAGCTCCTGGGCGGTCTTGTCAAGAACGACCAATGCGGCGTGTGGTCAATACCACGGGCACGGGACGGAAGGCATTAAAACAGTAACAGCATGTAGTAGTCAAAGTACTCATGCAACTCGTAGTGTTCATTTCGTTTAACAATAAAGAAGCTACCTGGTAAAAATTCCATACCAATCATTCGACAATGCAACCTCTTAGTACCTCCCCGGCGATTTTTCCTTCCCCAGCCTCGTTGCACAAAAATACGATACAATACAACCTGCGCTGTGGCTGCGTGCCCGACGCAAAAATCGTAGTGGTCCTAAAAAATGTTCCAAAGCATGTTCGCCTACCCAAAAAAGCACAAGCCTTGTACTTACAAACGACATTTCTTCGTGCATGCTCGTCACGCACTGTGCGTTTGTTTGTTGAAAAGCATCCTCATTCTTCCGCTTCCGTGCGCCAGCTTTCGAAACCGCTGTTGAGTGTCTACGTAGAAGACAATGACAATGTCTCTTCCACCTACTACAACTTCATCCCTGGTTCCAGGTAGTTCAAAATCCGCGTTCGATCCGCATCTGAAAGCCCGCGGTGCGGCAGCAAGTGTGTCCGCAGAAACTCCCGCTATCGAATGCAAATATCCCTGGATGTCTCGTGGAAACTTGTGATGCTGAGTGCCAAATCATGAGGACGCCGCAAGTGACAGATCAGCACGTTGACAAGTTTCTGAGCTATGCTAGGTGGTGTCTCTTCAACATGACGAACTGCGTTTTTGCATGACAGAAAATTACGAGCTTTGGGGAGTAACGCGCATGACAGACTTGTTGAGAGTCATGCTAGCCGAGCATGACAAACTTGCATTCTTTTTCTTCCACCAGAACCGCATGACATATTTGCATTTGATACCCGCTTGCCCCGCGCGATCGACAGAGACACCGCGTCGCGCTTGAACTGCGTGCGCCCGCTTACCTGAAGCAATTTTATTTTGCTTTTGGTTGCATGAATGTGCAGCATGAGAGCGCATAACAAGATAAATCATCATCATCATCATTTATCCTGCACGACACCGCGACAGCACATTGTCGTTGCCAAGCTTCTGTTGATAAAAAAATTGCACAAGAACGATCCTACCTGCGTGAACTGCGGATGCTTGAGAATCAGTTCGGCGACATCAAAATGCCCAAGCTCCAGCGCCAACGTGAGACATGTGTTGCCCGTCTTCGCCGCGCGGTGGTCAATTAGCTGATGTAAAATTTTTACACTGGTGTGGATGACAAGGACGTTCACTGTCACTTTGTCGTCAACCAAAATTGATGTTTTGAAGTACTTACCACCGAAAAAGAAACAAAATGCAGCCAACTAAAAAAGAAGATATAAAAAGATACCTCGAAGCAGGAGGTCGCGAAAAGGTTTTCCTTCGTAGACGCTCCACCTCCTCCTAGGCTGCTATTCGCGACGCTTATCCAAGATGACGTTCCTCCACTGCCCCCAGGGCAAGAGGCCGTCGACGCAGCTGCGGTAGAAGTTGTTCCGCCCGATAGAATTATCAGGTATTTCGCGACCTCAGACTCGTTGTCGACGATGCTCTGCATCAGCAGTGTATTGCCGGTCAGCGGACTCACGTCGTTCACCGACTTTGGGAACTGCATCCACAACTTCCGTCCCTCGCGGTACCGCAGAATGGCAGCCCGCATGGCGCGCGGAGCCACGTCGTCGAAAATCCCCTTGAATGGGAAGTTCTCGTCTGCGGAAGGGAGATATTTCTCCCGTTCTTGTGAAAGAGCGAGCGACTCTTTACCTTGCACACAGCTGTGAGCGTGCGTCGCTGGCCCACTCGCGAGCGCGCCGTCGCTTGAACATGTTCTACTTGTGGAGCTCGTGCTGGATGGGCGCAGGCCTTCTTGTTGCACTCCGAGATGTTGACCCGTTCTACTTCGCTCAAACGTAGAGGTTCTTGTAGACGTATCTCCGCTCGCGGCCATCACCAGAACTTCTCGCTCGTCCAAAACCGGAAGCGGCAAAAACGGCGGGGGCGGAGATGATGCCGCTTCCGGCGGTGATCTAGTCGTCGACGAAACGAGGTGGGCGTCAGCGTCGTCGTCCTGCGTATCAAATTGAAACATCCCCCCTCCCCATCTCAAGACGAAGCTTCTGATTTTGGATGGCTAAGGGCTGGGCGTCCCCATGTATACTATACCTAAAAAACTTAAACCATCATCGTCATCGTGAGGTACCGCGCAAGCACGAATACCGGCGGAGTGGTGACGACCGAAAGGGTCAGGAGACTCACCTTTCCCGGTAAACTCTAGTAGGATTATTTGGACGCCGCAATTTCCAATGCTGTTTAAGGGTCTCAGAACTTTCCTCTACAGCCTTTGAGTCAAGTTCGTATTAGTCTATAGTCTATATAACTAACTTCGTCAAGACGAAGCTTCTGATGCTGGATTTGCGTACACAAATGACGTCTGTCTTGCAGTATAGGATTGCAGCCAGATTCTCAGCCTGTTTAGGAGTGTAAGCGCGTAGGTGTTTAGCATGAGAAAGGCCTGCTCTGTAGGCCCAACAGCATGAGAAACCGCATCCACAATGCAGCGCACACAACGGCGCTTGCTTTCTTACAAGACAGATCTGATTTGTGACCACAAATCTGCATCACAAATTTTCAGAAGGATGCCTTTTTAATATGGGAAGGGGGGATTTTTCTTCACAATACTGCGTGGCTCGACTTCTTGCCACGACGTCGGTCTCGGTCTCCTGCTGGAGATAAGAACTTTGGCTTATTTGGGGAACAGTTGTAGTCGCGTTTGTTGTTCGCGGTCCCAGACTTCTCATGTTGTTCGTGTGAAGATGATAGTCCACCTGCTGGTGGTGCGGTTCTTCTTGCACTGGTGGAGATGATGATGACGACGACCCTTGTTCACCTTGTAGCTGCTCCTGCTTCCGCTGCTGACCAGTACCTCCACACGTCGGAGTCTGTCTCACGACCCTGTCTACGTCTTCTGGGTGAGGAGAACACAACGGACCCTCGTCCGTGATGTCGGTCAGTGGCGAGTGCTCCGAGAGTTTTGACATAGCCGACGAAGCACTGTGCGTCGTGGTGATATACGCTACAAACAAATTGTTAGTGCTTTACTTCCCAGATGAAGTTGGGTCCTTCACTGGAACAGTGAAATTTTCGTTTGCAACAGCACTGGTGATGCGTTAATATTTCTTGTGCTGTGGGTACGGTACCCCGCGAGGTACTCCTATGCGCGCGACCGTATCGGGAAATAAATCGCATGACCCACGTAAAGAGTGTAGCATTAGTAGAGAAGTACTTATTCCACCTCACAAAAATTGGGCAGCTACTCCTACAAGACAAATTTTTCTTGTGTGACTACCTCGTCAGTCGACAGAGAGTAGTACATCTACCCGTAACAATCTGCATTAGGGACCTCAAGAGAAGTAAGCTAAGTAAGCACTTAGTAAAACAAAAATCTGCCGCGGATACGTGGAGCAGGTGGTGGATTTGGTTGCTGTGCTCACCACGCCATCGGACAGCGGCGACTGGTAGCGCGACACGCGCTTGCTCTTCCGAGACGCGCCGCCTGATTTTGCTTTCATCCCGGAGGAGTGGTTGTGGAGATGTTGATCTGGCGATGGGTGCAGGCTATGATTTGTCGTGTAGGATGAAGTCGTCGACGAGGACGAGGATTGATTTCCAAAACCACCGGTTGTAGTTGGGGCGTCCCTGTGGCCGCTGTGCATCAGCTGGCCTGCTTTCATCTTCTGTGATGAGGCCGAATCGTTCATGGTGGGGCCAGGATTTAGGCTACCCGCAGAAGTGCTAATCGTCCCGCCCTTGGTCGTACTGCCTCCTCCGCTCAGCAACTGCCCGCTCGCGTGCTTGCTTATCCGTTTCGACATTCGACCGGAGGTAGAAGGCCGCGGCGGGACGACAGACGTACCCGGGTTGTTCTGCGCAACATTTGTTCCGCGGGTAGATTTCCGTTTCGCCGGGCCCGCACCTGGAATCGAGGAGAGAGAAATTATACGGTCAAAAGATTCTGTACCGTTAAAAACTGCAATTCAATAATATCGACGCAGACGAGATCAACATTTTTGGTAGACAGATTTACAGCCGCCTGCAAATACAAAAGGAGCACACATGGTCGAAATAAGGAGCATGATCAAAGGACCTTCATCCCCCGAGTCCTCATCAGAGCTGGTGTCGCTATCGCTCGAGCTCGAAGTGCTGCTCGAGGAGGAGATGGCGTTCTCAAACGTTGCATTGTTTAGCTGTTACTTAAATTTCTGATGCAAGATAAATACCAAACACGCAGGGTGGGCAGTTGCCTTTGCGATTCTCGCATTACAAAAAATTCAGATTATTCGGCAAAGATTCTCTCCATGCCGACTGGCCGTCCTTTGGGAATTCGTCATGCGAAGTAGTGTGGCAGTGGCGGTGGCGCCACCTAGTGTTATACTTAATTATGCATGACAAATCATGTAACCATCAAACAAAACGTAACAATTCTTCACGTGCATAGAGGAGGAACTGCTCTTCGAGGTGGCAACCGAGCTCCGCTTGCGTGGTCCAGCTCCTCCCTGCTGCATGACCGTCCGCGCCGTTTCTTTTTCCGCACCGCCTCGCCCGGAGAGAATCCGATCGAACTCTGCACTCGCCTGCTGCTCCTGTTGCAGCTTGCTCCGCGCGGTCGCCGCGTTGGCCCGCCGGAGCTCGCTGGCGTCGTCGAAGTCAAAGCACATCTTGCTCTGTCGGCGCTCCGCCGAGAGCTCGTCCAGGAGGAGGTCCACATCTTCCGGACTTGTTGCCACATCTTCACTACGTCGGGGAGCGGCCTGCAAGAACTCGTTGCTTTCCTGCTCGCCTCGATGCTCTATCATTTCTTCGTTTTCCGCCGCAGCTCGATCTTCCTCCGCTGCAAGGTCCACAACCGAAAAAAGGTCGGAGTCGCGTCTTTTGTGCCCTGCTTCCGGAGTTGTTCGTGAAGAGGAACTACCGAAGAACGGCCCGGCACCTGCTCCACCAGGGCCTTTCGAGGTAGTGCCAGAACTCCAACAAGAGGTCGCACTTCCAAAAAACTGACTCTGCGACGTCGTTGACTGAATGTGGTCTACTTCTAGCATCTTACTAGTAGTGCCACTGCTGGAGGTCGTGTGTTGCGCCGTCAAAGTGGTGCCGCTAATGTTCTTCCTCGGAGGTCCGTCAAAATTTTTTGCGTCACAACCTTCTGTGGTCGAGGAGGGCAGAGGGGCGCTCGAGGGAAAAATGTCCACTTTGCGTGACGAAAATGATCCGTCATGTGGCACGAACAAACCTCCTGCAGCATGCTCGGAGTCCGGATTTGCCACGTCCTCGCGGTAGTGTCTGCCGACCTTTATCAAATGTGAAAATGTCTGGGTCTGGAAGCTTGCAACTTGTCATGCTCTCTTTGGATTCCAAAAAAATCTGTATTGCGTGACCAGCAACAGGAGTCCAGTTTGCGTTACGCGGAGAGGGCATTTCTCATGCAGAATGGGCATCAGAAAGCCCTGTAAAAATCTGTGATGCTAGATCATGCATTACATGCATCATGGATCATACAAAATATGCATCACAAATCCCAGAATCTTCCAGACCCAGACATTTTTGCATTTGATAACCTTCACGGACGGCAGATTTCGCAGCTCCTCGCGTCTGTCAAGCGCTTCGCGGCCGGTCCGACACTTGTGCAGAGTGTGCTTCAAAGTGTTGCCCATCTATTCGAACAGGTAGATTCACGTCCATTCAGAACTCCGTTGATGTGGGATGAGCAGTATGTAGTAGATGTTTGGCACCAGTTCCGGCGGGTTAATATGCTTCATACGAAATAAAGATCCGGTGATTATTTTCATCTCAGTACTTACACTAGTCCTGTACTTACTAGCGCCGCCATGGTCTTCAACAATCGGACCGTCGTGCCAGAACCGCAGGTCGCAATCACGCTTGCAAATCCCCCCACTGGTCGCGACGCCGGGGAGGTGTTTCCTTTGGATAAAGGAACAACAGGCACTGGATTTTTTGTCAACATCGACTACACACGAGGAATACAAATAGATACTAGAGAAACCAAAAAGAGCATCAAATAAAGCACGACGACAAACCGGGAACTATAGATAGAAGAAGGATCAGAAGAACCATTGGAGCACACGTCGCGAGTGGAATCAAATTTCTGAGGACCGGAAGACACAGAGGACAAAATGAGCTCCATAATCATTTCTAAACCGAAGCACGAGAAGGCCGCAAACACGACGATGCTTCCCGGACGGAAAGTGGTCATCAGAGGAAGTGCAAAGCGCTTGGGCGTAGTGGAGCTTCACCCTTTTAAGTAAACACCAGACGACACCAGCAGACCTTCACCTTCATCGATGTTGACAAGGCAGAGGGATACTTGTGATATGTGAGTGTTTCTTCATATTCGCTATTTTTGCCCGAGCGGGGGTCAAGAAGAGAAAGCGCCATGCCTCTGCTGATGTCAGCGTTGAAATGTGTTTCGATCACTTGTTCCTTCGGTCGTTGTTCTTTGTGAGGAACAACAGGAGGCACGGTGGAGGTACAAGTTCTTCCAAGTTGTACTAGATCGCCTTAACTGATAAATCGCAAAATATTAAGCGCTCCATCTTGTAGCTTTACAACTCACTACTGCCCTCTTCACCGCCTCGTCTTGCCGAGTTTGAGTGTTTCCGGACCCTCGACCGGGTCGCGTCGGTTTCCGCCGGCGGCGTAGCTCTTCGTGTCCTATGACCGTGCGCATCTCCCCCTCCCCCTCATGTGTCATGCAAAATACCCAATCCACCCCTTGCCTCTTGATGGCACTGTTTGCATGACAAGTTCTGGCAGCCCAAATAGCATTACGCTCCAGTGCAAATTTGTCATGCAAAACTGGCATTCTTGCTGATGCTTGTATTGCCGTTCATGCTATGCAAATGAGGGGGAGGCGGAGTTGTGCACTGTCATACGTTCATGTAGCGGTCGATAAAGTCGCCCCCCAGGTTATCAAAAGGAAAAATCCCCCCTCCCCATATCGAAAACGTATCCGTCTGAAAATTTGTGATGCGCATTTGTGACCTCAAATCCTGTCTGTCTTGCAAGAAGGCAAGTCCAGAAAGCGTTCCGCATTTTTCAGGCGGTTTGTGATGCTTTTTGGCTCAGAGCATGCACGTTTGTCATGCTAGGCGCCTACGTCAAAACCTCTCGGCTGAGGCTTGCCATATGCCTGCATTCCTCTACTGCAAGACAAATCTGATTTGTGTATGGAAATCCAGCATCAGAAACTTCGTTTCGATATGGGGAGGGGGCATTTTTCCTCATGATACAGGTTTTTCTCTACGCCCGCCGCGCCGCCGGGCCCCTGGCCCAGCTCGTGATCCCGCTTCACGTATCCTAAGGAAAAACGTGCCCACGACCCCAGATTCAAGATGGAGACTTTGCAACACAAACCTCGAAGTTTTGCGAGTCACGCATTACAAATTGCAGGCTCTAGTGTAGTGCAGTTTAGCAAGAAAAGTCGCATTACAAATCCATCTGCTCATCCTGTTTACAGCATTACAAGTCCCAAAACACGATCGGAAATGCCTATCATGGGGATGCGCATTACAAATGCTCTTGTGCTTGCAGATCCGCATGACAACTCTGGGGTGAGGATGTTTTTGCACAGCATATCACGGCCACGGACTTTAGATTTTCGTTTTTCTGCACGACGCGGATGACCTCCGGGGCGTAGGCGCCCATCAGGCTATGAGAGTGCACAACTCCCCCTCCCCCTCATTTGTCATGCAAAATACCAAATAGAAGCGCTGCTTCGTGGTACTGTTTGCATGACAGATCATTCCGGAAGCCCAAACAGGACTACTTACACTAGGTGCATGAACTTGTCATGCACAGGCTCCACCGGTGGCGGTGTCTGTATTACTGTTCATGCTATGCAAATGAGGGGAAGGAGCAGAGTTGTGCACTGTCATACCGGCGCTCCTCCGCCCCGATGCCCGACAGTCCGGTGGCCAGCTTGAAGTCGTGCGGACGGGTGGAGTAGGCTTTTCCGGTCGCGAGCACTTGTTTCTTTTGGTACGTAAAGTACGCCTCAATTTCCTCCGGCGTGGGCTCCGGGTCCTTCTGGTGAACCAGGTCCCGCCTGCGGATCCGCTGTCGCGCCGCCCCATGGTGCCGGTCGCTGTGGTGGTGGTGCTGGCCGCCGCGGTGGTCTCCGCGCCCGCACGAACGCGACCGGGGATGGTCTCCGCGCCCGCGCGAACGCGACCGGTGTCCGCCTCTGGCCGCGCCGGTTTTGTCACGCGGGTGGTCCCGGGTCGCGTAGTGGTCTCTGCTGTCCTGATTGTGCCCGCTACTTGTTGTCCCGTGGTGGTCGCGGTGGTACGTCTATCCACATGTTTGCAAAAGCCCTCTCGCAACTTCCTCAGATCTGGTTCTGGTAGCTCTAAAACAAAATTTAAATTGTATCAACAAGCTCTACTAAGCGGAATAAAAAAAAAAGCAATTTGTCACGCAGCTGGATCAGGTATCAAAATGAGACTCCACTTGCAGTGCTGTATTGCAATTTAATATCCGAACGACTGCGATAGTACAACTTTTGCACAGGATAAACCCGCGTCCCGCTCGCCGCGGGGTTCCCGCGCGGCCCGATGGTGCCCCGTCGACGTTGTCGATACGTGGTTTGCTTCCTTCTCGCTGGCACGTTCGGCGAAATTACCGGTGGTCCTGTGTCTGTTGCCAGTGGTAGTAGATGATGCGTGGATGAACGAATCATCCTCACGCGCTGCTGGTCCCCCACCTCTTCGGGGTCCTGATGAGGACGAAGCGACAGCCCCACCGGCAAGCGGATCTTTGCTAGCTCCTTGCAGTATTAACTCCTGCTCGCGCGGCCTTTTCTCCTCGTTTCCTGGTGTAACATTTTCCGTTTCCGGAACCGCGGAGGAACATGTCCTCTCCACTTTTTGCCCTTGAGAATCTTCCGCCGCATTTACTCCCGGCGGTGGTGGCGGCGGTGGAGGGGGACCAGAATCAGGACCAGGATCAGGACCACCTCCTTCTCCTACCTCTATTGGTATTTCCGCCGCTGCGGCTGCTCCACCTGATAGCACAAGCAGATCAACATGTTGCAGATCTCCCGCGACGAGAGAAGTGCTCGCAGAACTTTTATTTTCCGTCCCAAGACGGTCGCGCAGATGCAGATCTTCCACACCATCTTCCATGAGCACGTCCTCGGCCGGCGGGGGCGGCGGCGGCGGAGGTGGCGCGGACGAGGCCGACGACCCCATCTGGTCAACGTTATAATAGGTATGCCTAGTGGCAGCAGCATGAGGTTCTTCTACGACCACGTCCTTGCTCGTGCCGAAATTTTCGCCCAATAAAGCAGAAGTAGAGAGTTTTTCTCGCGCGGCGACAGCATTATTTGATTCATCATCGACGAGCATTTCATGATCCTCTTGCGACGCGGTGGGGCGAGCGGGTGGCTCCAGCCGGTCTGCGTCTGGTTTTGGTTTCTTCACTTCCAGCTCTTCGGATTGAGGTTGTGGTGCCAAATCTGCGGTAGTTCGGAGGACGCTCATTTTGTGGTCCACCACCGCTTCCTGTCCTCGCGAGTTATCCGTGCTGTTTCCCGTCTCGGTAAGTGGGTTTCCGTGGTCACCTGCTGCTGCAGGACCTGCGGCTCCAGAAGCAGATTCCGATCGTTTCGGGGCCACCTGGAGAGGTGCCGAAGAGGTTGGGAACAACGCTTCAACATTCGGTTCTACTTCGATCGGGTCGTCCAACGGAAAGACGATTCTGCCGAGCGGAAATTCCTCGCACACGCCGTCTTCGAGACGCACAAACACGGTGGCGCCGAACAGCTCGCGCCGTATCCGGCGGAAAAACGGCCCCCGCCGAGCGAAGTCATGTATGTACTTAAGTAGCGAACCTGCAATCCTATAAGCGTCTCGCATGTGGACCCAGTTGCTGTTATGAAGCAACATCATTTTCGCATGCTATCAAGCTCGAATCAGGGTCCAAAGCGGCACCAAATTTGTGATGCGGCTGCACTTGCTAAGCACGCTCACACTGCAAGCCTTGGTTTGTGTCATGCAGAACAGCCAAGCCTTGTTGATCTCTACAGCAGATTCTTTATCTTGACTTCAGGGCGGGGACGTTTATACGCTGGATATGCTGCTCGCGATGGTCTTCCAGACTGCTGATCTTGCTGTCGTAGCTGAAATCGATACGGTCTGTGCGCGACAGCAGTCCCGGGTGTCTATCCAAAAAAAATGCTACTTAAGTGGAGCGACTTTCTGTTGCAGGCGATACAAGATCGCTAAGCTTGTCATGCTAACTATGCGTCATAGCCTAGCAGAATGCTGAATATGCGTTTCGTACGTGTTTTTACGTAGCTAGTACTACTATCTACACATGACAAATTTTTACTGTCATGCCAAAAGGAGATTTCGAACATACGAATGAATTTTTCTCGGATAGTCTCTTTTCGCCGCATATTCGTTGGCAGAAACGATGTGCCCGAAAAGCCAGTCACCTGTTCAAAGTAGTTTTGACTTCACGACTTTGCTGATTTCTCAGATAAGCGAAATAACATACAATATTAAGTGTGGACTTGTAATACGAGAAGCAAAGCATACATTCTTTCCCGATCCGGAATATCACCATCAAATCAAGAAGGTATAATTGTCGTGCCAAGAACTCAGGTGAAAGAATGAGAACATCATACAGATCCGACTTTGCGCTCAGCAATACTGCAGCTCAATAAAATACTTATATTTATACCACTGCTGCATGCTTCGACGCGTTTCCCCACGGCCAGCCACTTCGGGTCCTGCTCCGCCCGTGCCAAGTGCTCCTTGGCACGGTCGCGCTGCTGCTCCAGCCGCACCAGGGTCGACCCGCGCTTCTGCCGCACCTGGTGGGGGATGCGGGGGAACACGCATATGGATTGTAAAAATGTCTGGGGCTGGAAGGTTGGGACTTGTAATGCTAGCTTTCCATACCTAGAAAATCTGTATTGCATAACGAACAAAAGTCGCAGCCTCTTTTGTCATGCAAAAACGCACTTTCTCATGCGGATTGAGAAAGCGTTTTGGGAAGTTGTCATGCCGGACTGCATTCGGAAGTGTTTTCATCATGCACATTTTAGCATCACAAGTTTCCCGACCCAGACATTTTTGCATTTCATAACGCAGTCTCCGTCACCGTACCGGTCCTCGAGAAAGAGCCGCTCGACGATCTCCCCCATAGTCAGGTGTTCGTGACGGCAGAACTTAACCTATGACAGTGCACAACCCCCCCTCCCACTCATTTGTCATGCAAAGTAACTCACCCTTTGCCTCTTGGCACTGTTTGCATGACAAGTTCTGGTAGCTACTTATACTCCAGTGCAAATTTGTCATGCAAAACCAGCATCCTTGCTGATGCTTGTATTGCCATTCATGCTGTACAAATGAGGGAGAGGGGGAGTTGTGCACTGTTGTATGACCTCCTGCCGGTCCAAAAAAAAGGACGAGTACCAGGCCCACTTGTATCCCACGAAAAAACTGCTTCGCTGTGATTGATGACAATTTTGCAAGATCTGCATCACAAGTTTGTTAGACTCGACTACACAGAAAATTTGCCCCATGCGTGCTGGCTTGTTCCCAACGGAAATATCAAAGAAACGCTCTTAAAAATAGCCAATCGCTCTGTTGCAAGTGTAGCGAAAGACAAATAGCTAAGGGCTCCTTTGTGTTCCATTTTATGCATCACAAGTTCACAATGCAACAGTTTTTTCTCGCGATAACATGCGCTCGTGGTCTAATACGAAGCGGATCAACACGAAACCCAGCAGCCGGGCGTACGGGTATTCCAGCAAAAAAAAGCTGTGTTAGTGTAGCTCTCTTGGGGTGACAGCATGACAAATCAGCTCTGCGTGACGGAGGAAGCCTGTCATGCGCATCTAGTACGTGAAAACACGTATAAAACAGGACTTCATGGCCAGCTAGCATGCCAAGTGCAACTGTGTTGACAGGTTTCCATCACAGACTTACACCTACACAGTTTTTTTTTTTTGCGTAAGGGGTTCTCTGTGTTCAGCAGAATGTCCTTCAACTCCTCGCCCGTGGGCTTGAGCAAGAGCAGCCGCATATCCCAAGGAAAAAAGCTACCAGTATTATATCTTCACGGTCGTACATACGCCTACAATAAAGTAAATCAAATTTTATGTCTTCTGCATACTGACTGAACCAGCGTGCTGTGGTATCGCCGATAACAGATTTGCGTTTATCTTTTCCTCGGGCGGCGTATTCATTTTTGCATGTAGCACTTCTTAATACAGATGCGATAAACTACACTTTTTCTCTACTCAGGGATACCTTAGCAGACAGGCCATGAAGCTGGAGGTCTCCGTGAACGAGTGGTGAAGGTACACATCGCAGTTGTCAAGCACCCGAACCGCCTTTCCCACCAGCCTGCCCACGGTGTCGCACTTCCCGTCCCGCGCCCCCCCGCCGGGGAGGTGCGCGGCCTCGCCCAACGTTGAAAGCCCGTTCTGCAGCTCGTGGAAAAAGGTCGACTTCTCGATCTGCCCCAGCACGAGCATCGGCAGGTTGAACGTCTTTTCGTTCGTGTAGGGCAGCTTCAGCAGTTGTTGATGATGTGCACTCATGTTGTAAGCGCCAGCAGCTGCCCCTCCTGCTCGTGCCAACGAAAGCATCTGCTGCGGATCGCCGCCCGCGGTCGGCAGGCCCCCGGCACCAGCAGCGCCGAGCATCACAAGATGACTGTGGTTTGGCTGAAAGGCGTGCAGTATCCCACAGAAAAAAGCAGGCAGGGCATATTTGTAATGCAAAAATGAATACACAGAAAAATCTGTCATGGGCGGCCCCATAGCGTGGGTTTGTGTGTTTATTTTTGCATTACAAATCTGACCTGCCTGCTTTTTTCTGTGTGATATGCAGCAGCTGGTGCCCGGAGGCAGAAGTGGTTGTACTCCTCGGTCCTGCTCCGGCGCCACCACTTTGCGCCTGCAGGATCCCTTGCGCGAGTGCGGCGCCCTGTTGTTGCAGCGCCTCCAGTTTGCTGTTGGTCTCCCGGGCGACCTCCTCGATCTGCAGGTTCGCTTGCTCCACGTCGGTGGCATACTTCAAGCAGAACTTGCACTTTCTCGGCACCGGCTTGGTGTGCAGGTGGCACTTTTTCAGACTGTGGAGCGTTCTGCGTTTCTGGTCCTCCTGGTACTTCAGCAACTCCTGCTTTTTCGTCTCCATCATTCGCTTCTCCATGATCTTTTCCGGAATCGTCTTCGCCCCGATACTTGTTGTACTTGCCGCAGCTCCAGCCGGCGCCAGCAATACGTTGGTGGCCGAAGAAGTTGCCCCTCCTGCTCCTGCGACCCCCATGACCGGCCGCGCTGCTCCTGCGCCGGTCGTCGTGTTGGCCTGCTGTTGCATCAAAGCTGCTGCCACCGTGGAGGACGCTGTACTAGCAGTAGTACTAGTCGTCGCGCCGGCCAAGGCGCCGGGCATTAGCATCGCCCCGGGCGCGATTCCACCCATCAGCGGCACACTTCCCGCTTTCGCCTGCGCCTGCTGCACCAAATTTTGCGCGAGGAGAGGAGGCTGCTGTGCCAGCGTTGGTGCCTGTGCTGCTGCTGGTGGTCCTCCAGCACTTGGAACTACAGAAGCTGTGGATGCTGCACCAGTTGACGCTGATGGCGTAGCTGATGCCCCAGGAGCTAGATTGCCACCGGCGCTAGTAGATGAAGTACCACTAGGCAAATTCTGCGGCACCGGCTGCTGTTGATGTCGTTCTACTCCTCCAGAGAGTTGCAGGTGCGTCTGCGCCGGCGGTGCTACTCCTGCGGCCCCTGCGGCGAAGGTGCGCAACTTCTGCTGCTGCTCCTGCAAGTTTCTTGCGGCGGCCAAGGAAAAGTTCATTTGCTGCTGCGCGGCCACCTGCTGCGCGGCGAAGTGCTGGAGCTGCTGTGCCTGGGCAGCGGCCAACATGGGATTGCTCGCTTGGGCAGCGGCCAGCATGGGATTGCTCGCCTGGGCCGCGGCCAGCATGGGATTGCTCGCCTGGGCGGCTGTCTGCATCATGGAAAAATTCGCGTTCGCTTGGGCCGCCAGCATGGGATTGCTCGCCATCAGATTGCGCTGCTGATTCAGCATCATTTGTTGCATCAACATCATTTGCTGCGCCCCGGAAGCAGGCGTCATCGGCGCCATCATCGGTGGAGGAGGACGGAAGGGCAACGCCGCTGTGGGAGGTGCGGATGCTCCGGCAAGATGTTGAGCTTGAGCCGTCATATTGTTATTATACAACGGTTGTGAAGCTCCTGCATTGGGTCCTGCTGCACCCGGCATTTGCGGCGCGCCTTGGTGCTGGTGGTGGTTCGCGTTACCACTCATTATTTTCAAGATGATTTCCCCCAAGGCGACTCCAGGTGGCACAGCTGTGCTACAGTACAACTACGCTTCCCCGCGGCAGCCCAGGAAATCACAGAAACAAAGTCCCTTGCTTCTATTAAAGAATGTGCCCAAAAAATGATCCCTGCATCCTCCACCGCTGCTGCTCCCACGACGGTCTTCTGGCTGCGTCTTCACAACACGTCGGCGCGCTGGAGATGCCACTACACCGCTGGCTCATCTGCATCACTAGCTGCCGGCTTTCAGCACGTCCTGGCGAGTAAAACCTACGTGTGGCTAGTGGACGGTGCGGCTCGTCTTCATTTTGATGTACTACACACGTAAGTAACACGTCGTTTCTTTTTTCAAGTCAGTGGTGATGGAGGTGTCGGTACAACTCGTCGGCTTGGACAGTACGGTTTCAAACCGCAACCCAAAGCCGATACAAGGAGAATAGATGATTTGCAGCAACTTAAAATACATCCGATACTCACGTTCCGCCGCTGTTGTAAATCGATCTTTTCCGCATGCGTACTAACACTTTGCTTGTAGTTGTTTTTAGACGTAGGAACAAAAAATAGGAGCGGCACTACCTAGTATAGCACTGACAACATCATCAGATCCTCTTGAACTTGATAAAACACTACAAACGCCCGTGGTGCGAAAGACTTCAAATTCTGTGTGCAAGATGAATCCTTGAAATTTCACATCCTTCCGAAGCAAGTAGAAAGTCGTGCGATTATAAAGCTATAGAGTAGTGAAGGGTGATTCTGCTTCTACTTTCTGCACAGGGCGATTTTTCAGAAACATCGCCCCCATCCAGGTAAACTGCAGGTAAAATGAAAATGATACCAGACAGAGATCTCCATTGCGAAGGCACACATCATCATTTTTCTCGATTTTTCTTTTGTTTTGCGCATCACCATCAGCGTCGCCAACCGAAACGAGGAGGTCTTGTCGAACAAGCAACCACAAAGACGAGTGTGCCACTAGTATGAAAAAGAACTACCATGGAACAGGAACATCTTTTGTATCTGTCGTGCAAGTTTGCACGCGGTCATTTTTCCTTCTGGTTGGGAGCGAAGACATGTACACCCACTTGACTTTCTTGCTAGGTCGCAAAATGAATGGAAAAAGAATTGCGGTTTCAAGTAGTAAGTTAGTGGATCGAATTGGAAAAAAATTCAGCTTACAAACCAAAATCTGCGGAGACTGTACAACTGCCTCGTGCATATTAACACTTTCATCATTGTATTGAGAGAAAAGCATCACGACAGCACCACTTACACACCTTTATTGCCCCTTTAGCAACACAGATTTGATCTGAGTGACTAGATCTACTGCAATACGAAGATTACACAAGAAGGCATGCATCAAGCGATGCTCCGGAGCATCTTCCGCATATAACGTAGCTTCGTTCTCTGTGTTGACCAAGTTTCTTCTGCATCACAATCTTTGTGTGTAAACTAGAGGAAACACTTTCCTCTTCGTGTTTATTGCTCAGGAGATAACTGTCAATTTTAACAGTATTCCACAGTGAAGCTCTCCACGAGGTTCCCCTGCGCCTGCGGAAGGTCGTAACACGTGCACGAGTCCGTTGATTTGACCGCGTTGTGTATCGTCGGTAAAAACGTCACCACGACCCCTAGCTAGAAGATTTGCAGCAAACTTGCATGCTCAGGATGTTTCTCACGCGGAGTCCCAAATCATCAAAAAATGAAAAACATTTTCTAATGGTATGATTTCGGAATTAAAGGTCCTGCAATCCAAATACATGTTTGTTATGCGGGATTTATAAGTACCAACGCACGACTACTTACAGTGGGCAGTATCCAAATTTGTCGCGCGGAGTTCGCAATAAAACCTCTGGATTTATGCAGCGAACAATTTCCCATCTTGACCATCTTCGAATCGTGGGGACGTTTTTACCCCAAGGTATTGTCCTGCTCGCACCGCCGGATGCCGCCCAAAATCGCTCGTTGGTCCATGTCTGGCGTCGAGTAGTACCAGAAGGTACTTTGCCCGCAAATGGTCACCGAGTGCGTGTTGTGGATGTAGGGCTGAAAGTCCTGGTAGAAAGCGTTTCCACCACTCGTAAACTCCGCGCCCCGGTCGTCGCAGTTCATCAGTTGGTGCAAATAGATTTTCTGCGTCGGCTATGCGTCGCAAATGCATCTAGGACGGGAGAAAGGTTGAATTTGTAACGCTGGTCGCACACTCCCAGAAAATCTGTAACAAGTACTTATTGCATAACCCGCAAGCGCGCAGTTTCGTTTTTCATCGCAAAAACGCAGTTCGTCAGAGATATTAAGCACAGGTAAAAACTTGCGCTCCGTGGCTGCATCGGAAAATGTTTCATCACCGTCCGTGCTTCAGCATCCAAACTTCCAGGTGGCCCAGACATATTTGCTATTGGTATCGGTAGCTCATTCGACTCTGACACCGGCGGATTTTCGGGCAGCTGGAAACTTTTCGTCAGCGCTGGTTCCTGCACAGGCTGCTTTGCGAGAAACGCAACGGCGCTCACATTCGTAGAAGTAAAGGAAAGCAATACCCCGACGAGCGCGGCGGAAAACAGACGACAAGATTGCCGAGCGCAGCCCAAAGACCACGTCTTCCACCGCGGTCGGTCCCCGCTACGCGCCATGGGTTTGCGTGGTGCTCAGAAAATCTTACACAACGAACGCATCGGTGATGGATCTAGTTGGTAGTGGTCGGTGCGCGTTTGAAGTTGTACCGGTTGAAAACCAATGTCCTCTCCACGAGTTGTGTGCCGGAATGAAGCAGATCTCAAAGAACCACCAACGACGGTTGAAATTGAGACTACGTCGAAGAGGCGGCGCACAAGAATAAACAGCAGCAATCACGCAGTAGAACACGTTCCAAACGAGGGTCTGCGACCTGATGCAGCACGGTTGCTGCTCCACCTTGTCTTTCACAACAATACTTTTCTTCGAGGAGAAGTGAACAAATTTCATCGAAGATAGAGATCAGATCGGCACACGGTGTTTGAGCTGCAAACACACACAAATTTCCTCTCTTTCTTTGGTTTTTAGTCGTCTTCATCAAATTCATCAGCGTCCATGTGGAGCAGGTTCTTCTTTTTCGCCACGGCCTTGGGAGAACCAGATCGCTTCCGCTTTTTGCTCCCTTCTGCGCCTCCGTCCGCTTCTGGCATATCGCCCGTGCTGGCTCCAACTCCCGGTTGTCGTACAGAAGAAGCTTCGTCCACTTGCGCTTTCGCGGCTCCCCGTGGTGACGTTGCACCAACTGTTGTAGTCGCTGGCAGCAAGTCTCGTGCAGCAGTCGACCCTCCTGTCTGCCCGACCGCGCCACTGTCGTTGTGAAGTTCAGTCGCTCTCTTGTGATTCACTGCTGCTTTCTTGCCGTCGCTGGTATTCTTCTTACCAGGTGAAGCCGGCCTTGCCTTCGCCCCACCCGCAGGTGGTCGCACTGCCGCTCCCGAGAGAGTGGCGGCGGACGGAAAGGGGACGTCTCCCTGCTCCATTTGCCGATCGCCCGTCGCCCGCTCAGCGAAGCCCTGATGATCCAGCGTGTGGGCAGCGGTCGTTGTAGTGCTGTTGGTCATATCTACGTTTGGAGTCGCTGTCTGCTGCGCCTGTCGCTGCTGCAATAGTTCCTCGCGCTGCCGTTTACGTCTTTCCGCCGCGTCGCGTAGCCGCTTCTTGTCGCGTAGCGACGTCTGCATCTCGTGCATCAGAAAGTTGTGGTACAGTAAACTGCCCTTGTTCAAGAACACCTTGTGGTCTAGGTCGCAAATGAAGAGCGTGTCCTCGGGGTGGAGGACTTCAAAATCCTCGATTATATGCTCCTGTCCGAATGCCGTGTAGGAACCTGAACATCGGATTACTGATATCGACAAATAGCAGTTTTTTCAGCGGTTTCATTCAATCGTGTCTCATTCAGGAAATCATGTAGAAAATTACCAGTCTTCACTGCTTCCGTGGCCGCATCGATACTGAGCAAATGAAATCCAGGAAGCGACCGTGCCCGACCTTGAATATGGAGTGCGCACGGGGACTTGCCGTACACGGCTGGGATCATTCACGCGTGCAAATAAAACTTCTACCTACCGCATTATTTTCATTCTGCACTGGTGCAAAGAGCCGACAATGCTTCATACTAACGATTCTGGAGTGTCGGAACAACCCACTCTCTCTGACGCAGCCATGAGCGACAAATCCACGGAGGCACCAACATAATCCGGACAGATCGGTGCATGTTTGACTGGACACATGGCTATCACTTCGTCCTTGTCCACCAGGGTGGCAATCTGGACGTTGGCAGCAGCAGCGCCAACACCTCCTTTCTTCATTCTGATTTCGCCGCCAACTTACTGGGTTTCGGTTTTAGGATTGGCTCTACGGAAAAACCGCAACTTTTCCAGTGCGCAAACCAGCTACGCCATGATATTAATTCCTCCTCGTGGATTATCTATCGAGGCGGCGGTCGGCCGTAGGGGAGCGCATTCATTCTTGTACGAGGAGACGTATTCATTCATTGTGCGAGGATACTTTTTTTTAGACGCATTCATTCATTCGTTCATGACTTATTTCTATTTCATCGCAGATCTACAACCAGTTCTTCTATCTATCGATCTTAATGACCTGACGTCGATAGTAGTTGAATCATGATCGCAACTGCGAGTAGTCGAAAACACTAGGAAAACCACACCTGCCAATACTTCAGTCACTATCACTGCGTGCAATGATCGCATAATAATCATATACACACGATCATAATTGAGATCCTTCCTCATCTGATCGAGAGGTCGTGGGTGCACCAGATGCAAAGCTAGATTCCGGATCATGTTTGCACGCTACCATCGAAAATAGCTCTCGTGATCAACAAATCCCAAAAGAAGAACTGTAGGTATGGCGCGAGTGATCTTATGATCCGATATGCAGCACTCAGTGTGCTCGGAACACTGAGGTTTCAGTAAAACAGCAGGAGATGTACTCCTCCTTGTCTGAAGTGCGGAGATTGTCGGAGCAGTATCGCATCGTAGAACGTACCTACGATGGAAATTTTTGTCACGACAAAATGCAAAGGCTTCAGCTTCAAGCACAAGTGGAAAGACCACTACGTGCGAGCGCCTTTGTCCCCACACTAGGGGACCTCATCGCTAGTTAGTCATGGACTGAACAAGCTTACTTCTTCTTCATGGCCATCATCTTGGACATCTTCTTCATCGGCTTCGCCGCCGCCTTCATGGACATCATCATCTTGGCCATTTTGAGGAAGATGTTTGTTGTTTTTCTAACGAAAACCAGCCCTACAATTGCAGTTGGAGAAAGCGGTCACAGAAGGTAGTGATAGGGACGCAAATTTTCTACAAACTGACTCGTGGCAGAGCTTCGCTACCATTTTCTCTCTTTACATCCGCATCGTTCGCGTCACTCATATCTTTTGCGTCACTCATGTCACATGACGCTCGTTACTGAGGCGTGATGAACACCCAGGAGCACATACCACGAAGGGAAGCAGATACCTCCAAAGCTGTTTCGTTTATTGAGAGCAACCAGGTATTAGCCGTGTAGGCAACCTACAATAGGCAAAAAGTGGTGCTGTCACCAACCTCTAGCATTAGCTCAGACCGGCATGGATATACCACGACCAGGAGCGCTAGAGCACGCTACATTAGCGGCATTGTTCTTCGAAGAAAGATGTAGCTTGCGCCACTTACTTCTTCTTCATGGCCATCATCTTCTTCATGGACATCTTCTTCATGACCGGTGCCGGGGCGGCAGCCATCATCTTCATCATCTTGGCCATTGTGTTGGTGGTGTTTTTTGGAATAAATCCCTTTGTCCCTACAGTTTATTATGGTTCATCCCAGTTGTGATTCATGTTCCAAATGCCTTCGCGCATTTTACCGCTCAGGACGAATCTCTGCTTGTGATCATTTCACTTCTGTGTTGGTTTATCTCACTTTGCGTTATCACTCATTCATGTCCAACAAAAGGTGTCTTTCATTTATCCTTATGTTTGACGCTCACCATTCTCTCTTCTGTGCATCATGTTTCGCGCATATATTGACTGTTACATGTAACGTGCACAAGGGATTCTATGACACTAGCGACGAAGAACAACATCTATGCGAGGATCTTCTGCTGCGGCCACATACCTGCAGACACGCGCTGGTGCGTGAGCGACCTGCGTACTTAATCATCGGTCGCCACCGACTGGAATGGAATTCACACCACATCCAGGACGGGAAAACACGATCGATTTTGGATTCCGAGTCACGTGATCCGCTGGGCCTCTTCGTACGAAGACGACCCTCAATACATCATTTTGGTTCCTGTCCTTTACGGACCTTCCTTTGCGGAGGGAGGAGACGTTGCGGTTGATGTAGGCGGCGACATCGCGTAGAGCAACGGGTCTACGAGAAGAATACCGCGTCGTATGAAGAACGAAATCGCGCTTCAATCTGTGTAATGCGAATAGGTTGTTGCTCGTCCGCTTCACAGCTAACACGATCGCTCTTCTTAATGATGTCGGTTTTGACTTTCCCTCATTCAGGCACATGTCGCATACTTGGTGTAACGCTTTGCGACCTGGCTCTCAACTCATGCAAATTCGATCCGCACTGTTTGAAGGCGTGATTACATTCTGATAGCAGGCGGATTTCTTCTCAGCTGGCCAGCAAGATGCACATGAGCACGAATTTTCCGACAACGTTCATCTCATGGGTCATCGTCGTAAGGCACGCTTACTTCTTCTTGTAGATCATGCCCAGCTTCTCGTGCTTCTTGCCCACGTAGGTGCTGCCGTTGTAGACGAAACTCGCCTTGCCGGCCTTCTTGGCGGCGAGCATCAACACGAAGTACGCGTTGAGCTTCTTCTGTAATGGTTTTGACAAAGAAGAGTGATATGCTGGAAGTGGAAAGTTCCTTCTGTAGGAGAAACATGTTGGTACAAATGTAGAGAAAGTTTTCAGTTTTCATGTTTGAAACAGACTGGAACTCAAGGAAAACAACGTTCATCCAGAAAAAATTACCATGCCGCTCATCTTCTTCATGGACATCTTCGCCATCTTCATGGACGACATCTTCATCGACATCATCTTGGCCATCTTTGCGGAGGTTTTGTTATGTCAAGGACACAACAGACTGCTTCTCAATCTACGTTTTCCAAACACAACAGAAAATGCCGCTTTGATCTGTACCTCAAAGTCAAAGCCAAATCTTCCACTCTCACATTGGCAATGGTTCCTGCACTGGCTCTAAGCTGATGCTCCAACACTTCCTCCCTCTCAGAAATACGGTCTCTCTGTGAGGAACAGAACCTGCTCCCAGCAACACAGCACCGCCCGCAACACGGGTGGATTTTGAAGAACGCGCCAGGCGCAGTAGTGTATACTTATCCATCCTTTTTCAATGGTGTTACCACAGAAGACGGACATATCATGTTTCACACGGGAACTATGGATGAACCACTTGTTCTACCGCGGGCCCAGGAGCCAAACCGTGCAAAAGTCTGCCACCATTGTGTGCACAGCGTCACAACCACAGGTCACAGAACTTTTCATCAGAAGGTCGAGGGACCAGAGGCGATCTTGATTTGCCAACACTCCATCAAGCACTGCGGATAAGACGATGTGTCTGAGTGTCCACTTACTTGTAGAAGGACTTGGCCTTGGCCAAGAAGGCCTTGCCCTTGGCGGTCTTGCCACCGACCGGGACGAAGCCCTTGATGCCCAAGGCCTTGCGGGCCTTGCTGACGGCGGCGTTCCAGGCGGAGATGCGCTTGTAGGCCTTCTTGCCGGCGGCGGACTTCTTGATGGACACGATCTTTCCGGACTTGCTCTTCTTCAAGTCGGACTTCTTGAGGCCACCGGAGGTCTTCACCTTGGTGCCCTTGAAGACGGAGGATTTGCCGCGCTTGCCCTTGGCGATGGTGGACTTCTTCATGGCCATCTTCTTCATGCCCATCTGTGTGTTTGAGTTTGATTGTTCCGTTCGAATGAATTGTGCGCACACATCACGCATTTAGTGATCGTCCAATAATATGCTGATACTTAGCATCATTTCTCATGTACCAACAGGAAAAAACATGATACGACAGCATCAAAACAAGAAAATCAAGTACCTTCATGGACATCATCTTCATCTTCATGGACATCATCTTCATGCCCATCTTCATGGACATCATCTTCATCATCTTGGCCATCTTGATGGGGTGTTTTGTGTGGCAAAAAATCACTCAGCTACGGTTTTTGATTGAAGTTCAGAATGAAAAGATGTTGTGTCAAGACTGTGAATGCGCCCATGATACTTCGCAACGTGCCTAAAGTATTTACATGATAAGTAGCTCCTTCGCCCTTGGCCGTTTGGATTCTATTCTCTCTGTATCCGTATTGCTAGCGACATATCATGACCTGGCTCGCTCACTCAATCTCTCTCTCTCCGTCGCGCAATGCCTTGTACTATACTGGCTTGTCAATTGCTAGGAAGCTTCAAAAAACAAACCACCATCGATTACTTCATATTGGCAGCCTCAGGTTCACAAGGTGGCATTTACAGTCTGCAATACCAATATCCAGTGCACGGTGCAAATATATAATCTGACATAGAAAGTACCGACTTCATCGAACAGACAGCATCAACGCCACGGCCTTCTTCTGCGCTCTTCTGGACTGTCGATAAGCAAATCGACAAATTCTCACCTGCGCGACAGAAACTTCAGGCACGTATGCGTCCTCTATAAGGGTCAGAATTCCCTATCACAGTAGCTCAGGTGCGTGCACTCGGGTCGTAAAACCAGAAGAGCCATTGTGTATCCAGAGCGGTCGCTCCAACACGGAAAAACGCAGTCGAAGACTCCGAGCCCCAATCTCTGCTGCAATCCTACACTCCAGTGTCTGCTGCGATGCCGTTCCCACAGCTCTACTGCGACACCGTACCCCGCCGCACCTCTACTGCGAGGCCGCACCGCAATGTCACATCCACATTCCGTCTCTACTGCCATGCCGTACCCACAGCCTTGCTGCGATGATAGGGTGCGCGTGGTGCTCGTCTCGCATACGTCTTACCAGTTAAGTCGCAGGACACGCGGGAGACGGAGGGCTAGCGGCGACGCCTTAGTACTTAATACCAAGCGTGCACAGTTCCACTACCAACAGGCCCAGGTACCGGAGAGGGCAGTCGTGTGACAGCAGCGCAAGCAGGCGGATGCTACTGCTCATAGGTGCACGCGCACCACGGCATTAACACCACTTCTCGAAACTGGCGAAAATCATCTCCTGGTGTGGACGGCGAGGATGCGGTCATGGCGAAACCAGTGACGGCATGAGAAGTTGAATTTGGCTGGCTTTTCCGAAGGAAGCTCTGTACGCATCGTCGACAGCAGGCCGTGTACCAAAATGCCCAGCTGGAGACTTCCAACGCTGGCGAACCAGCAGAGCAGCTGGCCCAGTCCAGATGCAGTGGTGGTTTGAGATTCTTTCAGGAAGTCCTGCTCGCAGCACCCTTTCGTAGGTTGCTCAAGGTAGTCGCACGGATCCACCAGCAATTCCACCCTTCATTCGTGTTTCCCGCAATGTGGACACACACACATCGCACTTAGGGATTGCAATTGCCCCACTCCGCAAAGCAGGGTGGTTGCCGTGAACAGGATGGCGAAGAGGTCAATAGTGTTCACCGGCACGTCGAACCTCGTTTCCAGACACGAGACAAGATTGGCACTCCAGTGAAGACGCGCAAACTCGGCCCACCAGTCATCCGTAATCACGTCTTCAGTTTTCGGTAGCAGCACGACACCAGCGCCAATTCCAAGAGGCTCAGTCGAGTCGCTTGTCCTCCCGTGGTCCGCACAGAAATCCGTCATGTAACTAACACTTCCGTCTTTCCCGCAGAACAATCTCTGCGATCAACAGAGGGACCGCACTAGAATGGGTTTGATTTTCCAGTAAAGCGGGTACGTAGGACGCTGCTTCAGCCGGTTTACAACTGGAAGGGTGTTCTGTTCCAGAACCAGACAATGTTTCAATGGCGCTCGGTTGCACAGCGTCTTCTCAAACACGCAGTCGGCAGCATCGTCCACCGCAAGCACGTACACGGCGGCAGCGTTGGTCCACAGTAGCTGCGTCACGGTGGAACCCCTCGGCCACTCACCAATGCAAAGGGTTTTCGAGCACGTCGTGCAACACCACCGTTTTGCCAGCGCACTGACGTAATGGCGGTCGGTACGTCCCGCGCACACGCGGAAACTCCACTACGGTAGGATCGCTCCAGGCATTCAGCTCCGTTTGTGTGTGCAACGATGGGAAACGACAAAAGTTCCCACCAGCACGCAGATGTCGAAGTGTCCACTCGTTCGCCTGTGCAGACAGAGTCACAGTCTGTCCTGCCGTATCTTCCATCGCGTCCGGGTACTGCCTTTGGCAGATGGGGCAGGACCACCTTCAACCACACCAATCCGCCTCGGGTCGTACAATCCACCTACCACGACGAGATCAAGTTCTGTACGAGACCGTGGTATTCCGCAGCACCACAAATAGAGATGCGTTATCGCGGGTCCCCGAAGTGCATCACGTCATGAACCGAGGACAGGTGGAGTGTTCAGTAGCAAGTCGTGCGAAGCCAAGGACGCACGCCGAGCCGAAGGTTGCGCTGCTGCACAACGTGTGCAGCAGAAATCCGTGTCACAGCAAAGTCCCGCCCCTCGAGAGCGAGCCCGCAGCGAACCTCTTTCTTCTGCGAGCAGGTATCAACGGATAGATTCGCCTTCAGGAAAAAGAGTTGGCGCATCGAGTCGCCTGCTGGTACCAGTTTTCGTATCTGACCACTCCGGGCAACTCGTTCCTCTGCAGTGTCGGTCGCGGTTGCAGGTAGCGCGGAGTGCTGAGTTTGGATGCTGGTTCCTGCGAAAACTACGTCACATCAGCAGTAGTCACTGCAATCCATTCACGGAACCGTCGTTGTTGTGAAACGAGGCCAGAGCATTCCCAACGTAACGTTCCACCGTTAAGAGCGCTGGCAAGACACCACTGGTAAGACGGGCTGTTGTACCTAAGTACTTACTTACCCGATTGTCGTTGCGAGATTTCCATCATGATGACGCACATGTTGCGCCAGCAGACCGCAGGTGTAAGTGAGGCCCTGTGTCAGCAAACCAGACGGTAGATCACGCCCAGCCTGAAATTGCAGCCATCGGTCCTCGTGTTGATCTTGGTCTGCTGCTTGGACAGAAGTGAGAATGTTGACAAACGATGTGTACAAGTCTTGATCTTCGCGTACGAAGAGTTCGAAACGTTTCAGGTACCTACGACAGCGATCACCCGTCACTGCGCAGTCTGCTCCGCGACCATTCGAACTTCCCCGTTGGTGAGGTAGCTGGCCTCCCGGTCCGCGACGAAACTAGGATTTTCCGCATACAGCCGTCGCCGAATCTCGTCTTCCCGCTCGTAGCTTTCGTCGCTGCTCGCGCGAGGCGTCACTCCGCGCAGAATGTCCCGGATGATGGACGGATCGGCCTCCGGTGGCGTCCAGCCCCCCTATGCATCGCAAAAAGCAACACAGCCTCGATAATTATTCTGCCACGTTGCTGCAGGTGCACGTTCTCAAAAGTACCCAGCGGACCTTCCTTGGCAGAATTAACTGCTCCGCACAGCGTGCTGACTGTACGTGGTCGGAGGAGGTCAATCACACACGCGTCCACGAACGTGAAATGTTGAAGTCATCGACTTTTACTATATTTCGGACGTTACTTTTTTTCGCAAATGTTGAAATGCAAGTACTATATCCAAAACTCTTACAGAAAGAACCCAAGATTGGTTGCTTTTCACCCTGAATACCCAGCGGAAGTAGTTCATCCACCGCATCTGCAGGTCGGGCTGCATGCCAACCAACAGGATGATGATCGGCAGCAACGTGGTCATCAGTGCGTATTTCCGCAGAAACCCCGTCTGCCCCCGCTGTCCGCGCTTATCCAGGGGAGAAAAAGTGCGTGGCGATACGTAGGTGTAGAAGAAACGCAGGCTGTGTTGAAAGAAACTGGATGGGAAACAAGACGCAGAAATCAACTGCTCACTTGGGAATGAAACTTCTGTCCGTGCCCATGTACGGTATTAACGGTCGTCGCAGAGAATTCAAGACGGCAGTGCACCGCACAGGTTCTTCTCGAGAACTGGAACTCCCTGCGAGGATCATCAAAATGATGTTTCATCGATACCTACGTACGTAACCACACACTTTTTTCTCCGCCTACCGACCTTGCTTGTTGTACCCGTGATGCCAGACGTAGTGCGGAATCGGTGACGCCCGGTACACTCCAAAAAGTCGCCGCTGACCCGGAACAAGTCGTGCCATGAGCTCCGCCGGTCCGCTCCTCTTATGCGCGGATACCACGACCAGGTTGCCTGCTCGGGGTGGAAACGCCACTCCCACAACTGCCGCACCGGTGGTTGATCGTGATGAAGGCGCCAGGCAGCGTGTACCTGCCACCCAGTTCTGGTTTTCCGAGGGTTGCATCCGCGGCACGAAGCCCGAAGTGATACTTGCAGTTACGCCGGGGTACCACCGCGGTGACGAAGCGGAGATACTTCCAAGATAAAACCGGCGAGCCGCGGAAGCTCGGCACACTTGCAGAAGCGACATGTTGCGACAGTCTTCTGTGCACCGGGGGCACTCTCCCGTGCAGAGATCGGGGCTGGACGAAGCAAGAAAGGACTTGACGCTGCTATTGGAAAGTTTCTTTTTTGTTGTAACTGCTATCTACCAACAATTCTGTATCACGCACGGCTCGTCGAGTACTATCGTACTCGACCACTGTCAACAACATGTAGTAGATGAAATTCTTTCACAAGGACGTGAACAAACACGTTTTCATTGTTGAAGCCCGACTTTCCTTGCAAGTGCAGTTCTTTCTCCCTGAATTTCAATGTCGTAATAAACGCACCATCTCTAGTTGGTAGCATTTCAACTTCCAGGGTTCTCGAGGACATGCAGCTATGTGTAAACCTAAAGAGTTTGTGAATTCATCATCGACATCAACTGGGATTGAAAATCCCGCCATTCCCAACTGCCGCGTTGCATCTCGCGAATCCTGTCGCAGAATCCTGCGAGTTTTCGCGCTGGGAATCAGGGACTTCCGAATCCCACCACGGGATTTCCGAAGCGCTACCGCCTTCCAGGTTCTGTTGCCAACGACGACCCTCTGTACTGCCCGAGTACGTGTGCCAGCATGTGCAGTAGTCGGGAAAAACGGCCAGTGCGGCGCAGCTCTGCATCACACCTCCGTAGAGTATTTGCTGTCGACGACCACTCCATGACTGTACTAAAACAGTCGCTGTGCTCACCTGTTGGTTCACGCTGTTTTACGGCCGCGGTCGTGTAACAAACTATCACTTTTTCATCACGTCGCCGTTGCTCTCCGCCTCGTCGGGATGGTCTGCCACCCAGCGGCTCACCGCCGCGGCAACTGCGTCCGCGGCCTCTTCGATTTCGGCGTCGGTGGTGTAGCGTCCGACCGTGAAGCGGACGGTTCCCGCCATCTGCCGCACGGTTCGCTTCATGGCCTCCAGCACGTGCGAGGTCGCGTGCCCGTCCGAATGGCACGCCGCCCCCGCGGACGCGGCCACGTGGCTGCCGAGGTAGGCGGGACCCAGAAACGCCTTCGCGTCGGTCACTCGCAGGAAAGACAGCGAACTCGTGTTGGGCAATCGCCGCGGTGGCGCCGGGACGGCTTGATCGGTCTGCCGCGTCACCGTTCCCTGTGCCGACGAGCTGCCGGCGTGCTTGTTTCCCCTCTTGATGTTCTGCTCGTCCCCAACTTCTAGATCCGCCTCGCCGCTTCTTGGAAGGTCGAGGACCACGAAATGCCCCATATCAACCACAAACATGTCTGGATCACGACCTGGAAACTTGTTTACTACGTGGGGCTGGGGTTATAATTGAGAACACTACTTCTAAGCGCAGCCGAAATAGAATGCTAAACTGCTTTTTTGCATGAAGATGAAGAAGGAACGCTGCGCGTTGTTTAATATCATGCAATACAAATCTCTATTTCCACACGAGGAATCATGCGCCCGGAGCCGCGCGTGCCAAGATCCTTACATCCTCCCCTTTCACGACCCTGACACGTCTCTGCCTTTGATACTCCAGCTTTTTCACCGATTCCTCCGTCAAATGGTCGGATTCTTTCACCGCGCAGGTGGAACTCCCGTTTTGCGCCGCCCCGCTCTCGGACTTGGCGGAGCTGCCCGGTATTTTTCCACCGCCTCCATTCACAACCACGTGCTCCGGACCGACCGCCCGCAAGACGCGGGCCTCAAAGGCGTCCCGCTTGCGCCGGAGCTCCTCCGAGATCCGCGCGTCAAAGATCGTTTTTTTCGTTGTCTCAGCACGACCACTATGGGTTGCAAAAGGGTCTGGGTCTGGAAGAGTAAGTGCAAACTTGTGATGCGCATTTCAGAACACCTAGAAATCTCTCATGCATAGGCAGCAAAAGTTGCCCACTTTCTGTCACCAAAGTCAGGGATTTGTCATGAGGATTAGGCATTGCAGAACCTTCTCGAAGTCTGTGATGCTAGGGCTTCCATGCCAGATGACCTTCTGCGTCATGCAAAAACAGCATGCGTGACATCTTCCAGACCCAGACATATTTGCAATGCATACTCGTCGGCGACCTGCAATGTCAACTCGCACGCCTTCCCCAGCCCGACGCAGTAGGCCACGTTCTCCGTGGACGCCCGCAGCTTTTTTTCCTGTCCCGCGCCGTGCAGAAAGGGTGGCAGAATTGGGCTGCAGTTGGCCACCAACAGGGAATCGTCTTTCGGCAGCAACACAAACGCCGTGTCCAGGTTCCTCGCGTGCTGCTGTGCGAGCAGGGCTTGGTTTTCCGCCACGGTCTCGGACACCTTCTTCAACAGTTTCCGCACGTCCGTCGCTGAGAGTTCCGTGGGCATAATATCCGCTCGCACCAAAGGTTGCTCGCCGGCACCCTCGATTTCGTCACCATCCGCCGGTGATGCCGATTTGGACACCGCCACCGACTTCGTACCCTTCGTCGCCTGGTCCGAACGCGTTGCCTTCTGCAGCTTTTCCTCCCGCGCCGCGGCCTTATGCATTGGAAAAGTATTTTTAAAGTGTACTTACGCAATACAAATCGTATGTGATGACAAAGTTTTTCAAGAACAGAGTCGGAATGTGTCTCCTGTCATGCACTATAACAGGCCAGTTATGAGCAGATCTGTTCTATTATATGGCTCAGATTTTTAGATTTCAAGTACAACGAGTACGATACTTTCGCGATGTGGATACGCTTGGGACCCCACCAACTGGTTCAGGAAGGGCGTGAAAACCTGGCTGAAAAAAGTGTCCAGTAGCGAACTCCGCACGTACAGGGCCCCCACGCCCTTGGGCGCGTACACCTTGTGACCGGCGACCGTGAGGTAATCACAGTTCAGCGCCTGCACGTCCACGGGTAGTTTGCCCACCGACTGGCTCGCGTTCCTATCGCACGAAAAAATGCAGAGGGCACTGCAGCACAATACAAATAGGACACTGATGAAACTTACGAGCGTAGATGAACTACAAGTGCTGGATCACTGCGAATAAGTGCGATTTTGTATATGCAAGGTGGTAGAAAACTATTCGCAATATCAGCGCCCTGCAAAAGCATCACAAAGCTGCGAAACTCCTCCACAGGGTAAGAATATTCTTCGTGCGATAATCCACGTGAAAATAGCAATGGGTCAGAAATTCCCGTTGCGGCAGCTGATTGTCGTGTAGTTAGGTGATTTTGAGATGATGATACGTAGGAGAACAAGGGATAAACGTGACTACGGCTCCAACTGTGAGACAAGATCCTTGCTGCGTATCAATTAATCGAATTCTTGGGTGAATCATCAGTCTTCCATCCTTTTGTGGAAGCAAAGCCACACTTTGGAGGTTGTGCGACTGGTTCCACGAAAATACCAGAATTTTAGCAAAGACGCCAAAAGAAGTCACGGGACAGTCGATCAGGTGAAGTTGCGCAATTCGAGTTGTACATTTTTTTCATCATTTTTAACATTATCGCGAAGATTAGGTCCACTTATTGAATATATTCCTCGTTAATCGAAAAATATTTTGATACGGATACCGTGTCCGGGTTATAGTTCCGGGGGGTGGCGCCGCGCATGGGCGACCTGGGCCGCGGCTGGAGGTATCAAGATGAAACATCCATCCTCCCGATAATTCGAAAGGCGACCTGATGTTCTGCTACTGCTGCTGGCCATTTGGATAAAAAAAAACAAAATAAAATTCTAATATGGCAAAAGGCAAATAAGGATGCGTACGGCATTCGCATTGCTGTGAGGCATGGAAATAAAGCGGTGCATGTTCGGCATGACGGGAACCAGCCGCATCTTTTCGGCATTGCCGGGAATATGATCAGCGTCTTGACAAATCCATCGCGCTAGACTAGGACGCCTCTTTGGCTTTGCCTTTTAGCACTACAAATCGACCTCTTCGTGTATGCAAATTAGAATCCCGCGTGAGCAGCAGTTTCTCATCGAATTTATGGGGACAACGGATTTTTCCTCACGATAGGGAGGGAGTCCCGCGCCGGCTCCGACTCCGCCCCAGTCGGGGGGTCTGAATGTACGCGCGCCGCCACAGACTGGGAACCCTCTCCTTGTGCAGGTTATGGAAGCGCCAGGTTTAAAATAGACAAAGTTGAATAAATGATTTGTCATGCATAAAATGCAAGGCATGACGTGCCTGTCTTGCGGGGATGGCAAGTGAGGCCGACTGTCAGCCTGTTTAGGGTTTGAAATAGAGCTGCTAAAGTAGCATGACAAAAGCAGTCTTCTGTGCCCAAACAGCATGACAAATTGCATTCCGGAGCTCGGAAAAATTGTCATGCAACGCTTGGGAATTGGGCTTCCAACTGGTATAGATTTTATGCATTACAAGTTACTACTACTTTGTCGATTTCGATCCTGACAGTTCCATACAGGTGCGCGGTCGCGTACATGACGCAGTTGCGCTGCTGAATCCGGCGCGCGATTTCCGCTTATCAACTGTAAAACTGTCTGGGTCTGCAAGAATCCAACTTGTCGCGCTGATTTTGGATTCTAAAAAAAATCTGTATTGCATGAGCAGCAAAGAGAGTCCAAGTTTTGCTACACGGAAAGAGCATTTGTCATGCGGTATAGGCATCAGGAAGCCCTCACAAAATCTGTGATGCTAGGGCATGCATCACAGACATCAGGAGTCATGCAATAAAATGTGCATGACAAACCTGAGGGCCTTGTGTTCCGGCTACTCCGGATCGCAATCGATGGAGGGCGGGACCTGCACCGGCGACAGGCGCTATCCAACCAACCAACCAAACCTGGCAATCTTCCAGACCCAGACATTTTTACATTTGATACCGCTATTGGCTGTACCACCCCGGTCTCGTTATTGGCGTGCTGGATCGATACGAGAAACGTGTCGGGCCGCAGCGCCGCCGCCACGGTTTATTCATTGCAACCATGTTTGGCTCGGGAAAAAAGCGAGGTTTGTCACGCTCGGCCAGCATGCCCCGTAAATCTGTCATGCACGACGTTACCCAGCCTGTAATAGATACCGACCGAATTTTCTGCCATGCATAACCGCAGGCTGCCATACAGATGAATAGGCAAAAACTTGCTACGCTTGCTGGTGGTCGTCATTCGCAGCGTCCTGATGATTGTCCAACTTATATCACAAGCTTCCAGAGCCAGACATATATCCAAGGTCTGGAATGCGGGACCTAGCATGACAAACTCTGTGAGGTTTTTGTCATGCCTATACTGCATGAGAAATCCCCTCCGAACTTGGCCGAAAGTGGGCAGCTTTTGGCACTCATGCAACACAGATTTTCGCATGATTCAGATTTAGCACGACAAGTTGCAATCTTCCAGAGCCAGACATATTTGCAATCCGTACGGACTCCGGATCCACGACGCCATGCTCGTCCACGTCGAGGTAGGTAATCCTGTGTGAGAACGTCCCCGCCATCTTCCCAGAGTTGTCATGCAAATCTGCATGATGAAGATGTTTCTCCTGCGCAGCCCCGAGGACCCTTTTCTAAGATGCCAGATCTGGGATGTTGACCTTGTCTTGCTATAGTACGGATGAAATGATCGATTTGTGACGCGGCTGCTGCACTAGCCACACACGACTATACTCTGAGCTCAAATTTGTCATGCGCAACAGCCAAACCTTCTTGATTTGTGTAAGCAGACTCCCCATGATCTTGGCTATAGGGGGTGCGTAAGTACGTTATTTCACAGGATACACGTAACGCTGACATTATCCCACATCTCCAGGGCCTTGCAAACTTCCAGCACTGCGACGTGTTCCGTTTTCTGCGTAATCACGTGCCCGCGCTGGAAGTTGTTTTTCGAACAGCCAAAAAAGCAGTGGTTAATGGTTTCGGTTCCGTTGGACATGAAGAGCACCTCGTCCCCCTCCCGGACGTTGAGGCAGACCCGCACGCGGGTCCGCGCGAGCTCCAGCGCCGCCTTCGCCCGCTGCCCGAACACGTGCGAGCTGCTGGCATTGCCCCAATACCCGGGTTTGCTGGCGGACAGCAGAAAGGGCTCCATTTCCTCCATCACGCGTGCGTCCACGGGCGCTATCCAGAGTAAAAACGTCCCCACCCCCGCGTTGTGGTTCTTGTCATGCAAATCTGCATGCCCAGTGGAACATCTGTCATGCGGCTCCGCGTGGCGGGCATTCATCTCCAATCGTGTTTGGTAATCTGTCATGCGCGAATCAAGGAGTAATAGAATGGATTTGCGAAGTGGAACACGCGTCATCTGGGCCGCTACTTAGGCAGGACCTCTATACTGCGTCGCCAAAGTTGTCATGCACGACCAATCGCAAATAAAGTTGTAGATTTATTGTCTAGCAGATTACTTCCCTCCATCTTGGCTATGGGCTGGAGCTGTTTTTACACAGGGTAGGTGTGGTGCCATTGTAGTCAAGATAAATCGGGTCTTCTGGGGCGAAGTATAGGGGGTTGGACCTTGTTTTTTGGAGGCCGGGATAGATGGCCAGGCTGTGAAAAAAAAACAAAGCAAAATACTTTCTCAGATTTGAATAAACTGCACACTATTCTAGCATCGCCGTTGAACCGCTTCGCGGCTTAAGTATCGCTATTAAGACGTCAGATGCATCTCCTCTAGCCGTCGGGTGCCACATGAGAGAGAAGTCCTTAGAACCTCTCAGCCAGACTGGATTTTTAGAGCTTGTTGTATTGTAAGTAAGTACTTACCTGGGAGGCGCGACGGCGGGCTCAACCACAACCGGTGGGGCCATGGGTTCGGGAACCGGATTTACCGCCAAATCGTGCAGGTCCGCGCGGATATCCTCCGCCAAGAGCTTCAGCGTTTCCAGCACGTTGAGTCCCCACTTGGCACTGATTTCTGTCAGGGCGCAGTTGAGTTCCTTCTTCAGCCTATCGAATGCAAACATGTCTTTGTCTGGGAGAGTGTGATGCTGTTTGAGCATGAGGCAGAGGGTCTGGCATGCAAAGCCTAGCATCACAGGTTGTGAGGAGGTGTAAGTAGCGATGCCTAATCCACATCACAAATCCCCTACTTCGGTACTGACAGGAAATGAGCAACTTATTTTGCAGCCTATGCATGACAGAATGTTGTGTGATCCGAAATGCGCATCACAAGTTTACACGTTTCCAGACCCGGACATATTTGCAATCCATACAGCACCTCTGCTACGTCGTTGTACTGGGCGAAGCCGGACGTATCCTGTGCAAAAGTATCGCACTCGTATAAATGCAAGTCTTGCATTACAAATCTTGCTCTTAAGGAAAACCCGCATTACAAATTGTATTTCTCATGCTGAGGAAATTTGTAATGCATTTATACGAGTACGATACTTTTGCATTGCATAGGACGCAAGGGCCAGCAAGTCGGCCTTGTTCCCTGCGACGATTCTTTTCGGGAACGTGCCGTATCAACTGTAAAAATGTCTGGGTCTGGAAGATTCTGAAACTTGTCATGCACGTTTTGCATGGGCCACGATGTCTGTGATGCATGCCCTAGCATCTCAGACTTTTTGAGGGCTTCGCGATACCTATTCCGCATGACAAATGCCTTCTCAGCGTAGCAAAAATTGCATTTCCTTTGCTACTCATGCAATACAGATTTTTTTTGGAATCCAAATGCAGCATCACAAGTTGCATTCTTCCAGACCCAGACAGTTTTACATTTGATATGCCGGGCGTTTGCCGGATTTTCTGTCCCTCCAGGATCGCGGCTCTCGAGGCGGTATCAACTGTAAAAATGTCTGGGTCTGGAAGAATTCATGTTTGTCATGCTTGTCTGGCATGACTCTTAAATCTGTCATGCACGTTACCCAAGAGCTCCGTTTTTCTGTGATGCAGAGCCGCAGTTTGTCATGCTGAATAGGCAACACCTAGGAGCTCAGAAACTTGTCATGCAGAGCCAGTATTCGTAGCCTCATCATGAGACGCCACCCAGCATCACAAGTTTCCAGACCCAGACATTTTTACTTTTGATAGGCGGCGGCGACGTGGTGACAACCGGCGTAGGCCTCGCGCGCCAACGGCTCCCGTATGCTGGGGTGCTCAAGCGTTAATACGTTCCCAGCTGTTACGTAAATTTGTGATGTGCTCTACCATTGATTTAGGAAAAGTGAAAGGGGAAACCTTGCGCGGCTCCTAATACTCATTTGACGCGGCAAATAATCATAACTCCCTCCGTGAAAATAAAACGACTTCGAGAATTTGTCATGCGAAGTAGCCGTGTGGCCGCTGCACTGGTTCGTTCTCGTACTGTACTCGTTGTAATTTTTTTGCATGACAATGACAAATCTTGTGACAGCAAACCATGTACACGTTTGAGACCAGTCTCATATCCCACATGGTGAGAATGTGCTCGAAGGACTCGTCTACGAGCAGATCGTACAAGTACAGGATCCTGCATGCTAATGCACAACTCCCCCTCTCCCTCATTTGTCATGCGAAGAGCCAAATTCTGTGTTGGCCTTTTGGCGATACTTGCATGGGAAGCTCTGCTCCAACAAGAAGAAGCCCGAGGTGCACTACGGTTCTTCGGGCACAAAGAGTTTGTCAGGCGAAAGTGCCATCTTGTTCCCTCGGGTTGTTTATTTCTGTTGCACCAAATAAAACGAATGCATTTATTCAGATGAACGCTGAGGGGGAGGAGCTGAGTTCACTATCATATTCCGTGCGGCGGCTCCTGCACCCCTACCTCGTTCGCCGAACTTGAGCCCCCACCGCCGCTGCCGGACGCGGCGGTAGTCCTTGCTCCGGTGCTGCCAAAGACCTGGGCCCCGTACGATGATGTGGACGCAGCTGCTCCCCCTGCAGCGGCCGTCCCTCCGGTGGTCACAGTATCTTCCAGCAGCAGCTCCACCTCGACCCCGCTATCGAGTTTCACCACGACTACCTGCGTTTCCTCGGAATGGGCCGCCATCTCCGCGAGGTCCTTGGCTGTGGTGGGAAGGTAATGCTCGGGAAAAAAGTCGCGGACGGCACGGCTATGCAGTTGAAACATTAGATATGTCTGAATCTGGATTTCGATTTTTTGTCAGGTCTTCATCTACGAAAATGCATCTTTAAATAGGTGTCGCCACCTTGTTGTTTCTCGTCGTCGTGCTGGATGTTCTTGCCAGTAGTTGGTCGTGCGTTCTTTTACGAGAAATGGAACTGCAATTATGAGTAGCCTGGAAGCACTTCTGGTACTGCCATGCGGTACAACAAGCGGCTACGTACTCTGGCACGATTCGTATCCGAGTACTATCAGCAACACAAATTTTCAGACCCAGACATGATGAAATTTGCAATGCATAACGGCTGAGAAACGCCGATTTGCCGGTCTTCGCATCGCCGACCAGCAGGATGCGGTAGCGGTCCCGCAACTGGCGTAGCGGTCCCGCAGCAGAGGAGGAGGACGATGCCATGTCAGTGTTGCATCACAACTTTTGATCTATGATAGTATGTCCTCTTCGGTTCAGATTTACAGCGCATTCACTTCGTACTTCAGCTCGATGAAAATAAATAAATAAAATGCAGACTTAATATACAAAGATAGGTACAGGCAGTTCACTGTCCATCGTGTTCAAAAACTGGTCACTACCATCATAGCTTCATCGCTCCCTGAGTACTTCTAAATAACGGTAAGGTACCAAAACGAAATCAAAATCGCTACCGTCTCCTTCAGGAAGAGGCGTAGGCCAACGTCTGGGCTGCACCTCGTCTGTGGGATCTACTTACTTCGTGAGAGCACTACAGTGGTACGGCTTCACTTCCTCTACTCGTCACTCTCCCTCTCGTCTTGTACTACAACTTATCAGGGGTAGGGGAAAACTATATTGAATTTTTCGGATCCTTCGTTTGCAACTGGCACTGGACAGATAGTGAGATTCGCACATGTTTGTTCACACGAAGACGAAATACGTAATACGTACTAAGTACGCCTCGCGCTCGCCATGATCTCAAAGCGGAGAGAGAAAACACCCGAGAAGAAAAATCCCAGGTCGACATGCTGGTTCCTATGGAACCACTGCGGCCTTCGACAGTCGCTTCATCGTGTCGGTCCAGCCAGGACATGATTCGTTCATCCTTTTCTCTCTGGATGTCATCTCAAAATGATCGCAACATTCCTCGGCGGTCGCGTTCGTTATTTTGTCCAACGAAAAGAAGTCCTGCAGTGCTGTTGAAGTAGGTTCCATTTGGAGGTCCTCGAGGATCAAAAAGCGCGACAATTTCAAAAATTCATCGGGGCAGGGGAGGGGGCAGCAAGGGTTTTGTGGAGGGGCGGGATGACCTGTGTTAGTTGTAAAGATGCCTGGTGGCCGCAGGAGCGCTACCTAGTAGTTTTTCAACAAATATCTGCTTCTGGCGCGGACAGATTCTACTTGTTGTTCGTTGTGTACTGCCTGTACTAGTCCCTTCTAATTTTGTCGTTTGCTTCTGTTGTCTTCTAAATATCTTCCCCCGGACATAAAGAATACTTTTTGTACATGAAAAAACCTCGACGTCGGTCAAGGAACCGTTCCATAGTAGTACCCACACGGATCATGACCAACACGGATGACCACAGCTGCGACTGGACAGCGGTGGGATGATGGTGCCCAAAGGCAAAGTAGATACAGATTCACATTATTCAAGTTTCAAAGTGTAATACAAGAAAGAAAGAGCCACTACTCTTTACAACTTCTCTTATAGTGAGGGCTGCAACGAAAAAGCTTTTCTAGGCAAGCCAATTGTGCTTTAATATTTGCGTGATAAATACAGTGGGTACAAGGAACAAAAGCAATCGGAAGATCTCCTGTTGAAAACAAGATTTGCTGTGGACAAGAAGTGTGGCGTGAATAATCATCCGGCAAAAAACAGGAGGTCGCTTCGTAGTATTTTATATTTATTTCATCCTTCCAGCAGACAAAAATAGAGCAATTGGAGTCGCTCTTGCCTTCCTGCTTTTTCATCTTCTTCGAAAGTAAGCAAGTGTAGAAAATGCTTTCAGAAGGTTGTAATCTAGGAGGTTGTTCATACGTCGCTGTGGATAGTGGCAGGCTACGTAACCTGCAGCTCCACGTGACGACCAAGTGACCTTGTTTTTTTCATAGCACACAGCAGCACCAGGCAATCTAAATTTCCAACGCCGCTACATTCTTGTACAATTATATCAAGTCCTGTTTATTTAGGGTAGAAAACAACTTTGCATCACATTCAGTCCGTCGACGTTGACATTTTTTGTTCAGGAGAAAGAACTGGAGCCGGCTACTAACTAAAGGTCGAGGACAAAGATGTTGTGATTGTGTAAAAGAAGATATATAAAAGTCAAAGCTTCCTGCCGTAAGAGGAGGGGGCAACAGAGGAAGGAGTAGTCGCATCAAGTAAGTACTAGAGAAGGTGTTCATCAGAACTTTTTGTCGTCTCGACAGGCGCTCAACATCAGATCTTGATGTTTTTTACCGCTTCAAGTAGTTCGACAGCATGTCTTTCATCTTTTCCGCGTATCAAATGCAAAAGTGTCTGGGTCTGGAAGAATGCAAGATTTGTCATGCATATTTCTCATGTCCCATGATACCTGTAATGCTTGAACTAGCATCACAGATTTTTAGAGGGCTCCCTGATGCACCTTCCGCATGAGAAATGGCCTGTCTGTGTAGCAAAAGCTGTGCCCATCTTGCTGGCCAGGCAATACAAATTTTTTTAGAGTCCAAAAACAGCACGACAAGTTGCAATCTTCCCGACCCAGACATTTTTACATTTGATACCGCGCCCTGCCTTGCCATCTCCTGTCCCTTGTCCATGTACTGCGCCAGTTTGTCGCTGCCTTGCGATATACACTGCAAAAGCACCGCACTAGTATAAATTGCAACACAAAGTAGCTCAGCATTACAAATTGAATTTGTAATGCGGATTTCTTTGCCTTAAGTCAAAGATTTGTAATGCATAAAAGCAATTAGTACGAGTACGATACTTTTGCACAGGATATGCGACCGCGGCTCTGCCTCGTCCTGCCCGAAGAGCGCCGCCGATCCGAACGCGGTCTTGTTTCGGAAGAAGGGGTCGGCGCTCGCTATCAAATGCAAATACGACTGGAAACTTGTGATGCATGTCAATGAATGATGAAAGCGCACTGTAATGCATCGCGAAGCACTACAGATCTTATTTTCGATTTCGTGGCTCTGTATTGTGCATTCTGCATGAGAAAGAACTGCGTTTATTCCGCATTACAGACAGGAGGAATTCTTCGTGACCACGCAATACAGAGCGCGGAGGCGTGCCAGACTAGCATGACAAACTCCCCAAATCTTCAAGACCCAGACATATTTGCAATGCATACTCGCCTGCGGAGCCCCATTGGAGACCGCGCCGTTGGAAAAGAGGTCGTCGGACCTGAGGGTTGCGTGGTTTGTTCATTTTTTTGTAGATATTAATTTGCTTTGTCTCTGCCCCAGCACGCGAGGAACATAATAAAAACAATAGGTACTTAACTCTTGGTACTTATTCTATCATGTTTTTCTGCATGGTCCCTCGCGCCGTCAACAGTCAAACAACATTTACAGAAAGCAACGGAAAAAAGTAAGTACCCGAACCCCTTTTTCTGGCTGAGTTGCGCGGAAACAGCGACTGGTGCCGGTGGCGCAGCTGCAGTTGATATGCACAGCAAATACTTCGTCAACAGTGTATGGAGCGTTTCTTGCAAGGGATTTTTAAGATAGCTTGGGTAGTTCTTGCACCACGCTGTGCGAATTATACCTCTTTGATGCATTACATTGGCAATAGAGCACGGAAGATGCAAGCAGATCAACGCTGTAGTTGGAGGTGGTGCAGCTACCACTTGTAGCAGTGTCGTGGTGACGCAGGAGACATCCACGGTTTCGTTAGATTTTATTCCATTTATTCCATGCAGCACTTTGATGCGCCAGAGCAGTAAGCCTGCCTACTCCAGATCAGATCCACAGTACGAGATACTTGCTTTCCATAGCTGGCGCGCCGAACCCAAACACCTGGGGCTTACTCGTGTATCCGGCAGAAAAAAGAAATTGCGCCAGTTCTTGTGTAACCAGTTTGTTTTGCACGACGATGCCAGATGACACTTAAATCAATACAATAAGCTAAAATAATTCTCGTCCTCGAAGTGGTACATATGTACGAGTTTCGCAGCGACACCACGTACTTTGTAGCCACGGTATGTTGTTCATGCCGCTCCCACTAGCTGTTCACTTGGATTTGCTTTCCCGGATTGAATTCGTCATCTGGAGTTTTCTTCGCAGAACAAAATTGTAATGCTGTAGCTGTACAGCAACTGCTGTAAACAAGTATACATACACGACTAGACGCACTTTTTTTCCCTGGATACTATCTCCTGGTCGGCCACTGTTTGAGCCTGTATTGGGACGGGACGTATGCCCTGCAAAAATTGCCCCGCGGACTTCGAGAGCGCGTACTTTATTCTACGAGAATGCTGTCATCCGTGCCAGTAACTAAGTTGTCATTGTCGCCATCATAAATATATCCAATCAAGTATTCTTGTGGAGTTATTAACTTTGTCGTAATCACGCGACTGCACTAGCTTTGTCAAAGTATCATGCAAAATTTTGTCTTGCACTACACATTGATACTTCCGTGCGTGTAGAAATAGTTCTTGCGCTGGTCTCGTAAGTGATTTTTGCAGTGCATAAGCGCTGGCGTGGAGTCCGGCAGTCCATATGTGGCTTCGACAGGCCTGGAGTCCAAAACTTTGGTCTCTATCGGTTTTGTCGCTTCCTGTAACAATGTAGTTGAGGAATCCAGAAGGAAACTAAAGACGTAGATGAGCAAGGTACTTAGTTAGTTGCTCTGTCATTTCCTTGGCCTGGAATCGGAATCCGAATCGTGATCAAAAATCAATCATCAGCCATAATGATGATCAGTATCAGTATCAGTATAACGCATTATCCTGTTTCCGATTCAACTTCTCTTTCAACTCGATGGAATCGTGGATGTGCGTGCATTACTATCATTGGTCTTTCTCCCAAGGGGTGGGGGTTCGTTAACGGGCTCGTTAGCGCAGGACGATGATCTTACACAACCCATTCTTGATACGTAGTACCGCATGACACAGCAACATCCCTGGCGTATCAACTGGACCGCCAGGCAGAAGCTGAAGCATATTTTCTTTTTTTATAGTTGTACTTTATAATTTTTCTACCTGTTCGAAAAAGTCGAAGTCGAAATCGTCCGCGAGTTCCGTTGCTTATGCATTGCAAATATGTCTGCGTCTGGAAGATTGCCAAGCCCAGGCTTGTCATGCATATTTTGCATGACCCATGATTGTCTGGGATTTATGCCCTAGCATCACAGATTTTTAGAACCCTTCCTGATGCCCATTCTGCATGAGAAATGCGCTCCCCGCGTTGCACAAAGAACTGGACTCCACTTATTGCTGGCCCTGCAAAAATGCAGATTTTTTTAGAGTCCAAAGACAGCATCACAAGTTCCGACCTTCCAGACATCCAGACATACTTGCAATTGATATTGCTTTCGCTGTGGCGATTTTGCCTCCGCCACTGGCCGCGAAGTGCGTGGTTTCCGTCGCTAGTGTGGGTTGGTGGTCGCTGACGTGGGAGGAGGTTCTCCCGGGCGGGAGACTCATGGTCGACAACACCGGCGCAGCCTGGGCAGCTGTGCCAGTGCCACCTCCCGGAGGGCCGTTTTGGCTATCCGTTATCCCCACGGCAGGTTTGTTGAAGCCTTTGAAGGGCCTATCCTGTGCAAAAACGACACGCGTGCTTACTACAATCCAGCACGAACAACCGATGGCCAAGTTCGAGGTCCACCCCGTGTGAGGTACTCAAGTCTTGGAACAAGATTTGGAAGGATTTGTTCTGCGGTCCTCTTCACCCAATGACAACTCTCCTTCTCAACATATTAGTCGTAGTATAATTCTTGACCATGACAAAGAGTATTTTCACAAACGACTACTAGTAGAAGCCGCCCTGCATTTCAGAAGGCGCGTGCGGGAGATGCGCTGAGCGTTCAAACCTGCATGCCAACGCTGGGGCGCTGGGGACATCTTCGAGATTTTTTCTGCACAGGATAGAGCTCGTTCGCCAATTCGTTGGCCGTTGGTGTGTTCTCCGCCGAGAGTATCCAAAGGAAAGCTCCCCCCTCCCCATATCAAAACGAAATTTCTGATGCCGGGTTTGGATACGCAAATCAAATTTGTGTCGCAGAAGAGGAACGCACGCAGATCTTGAGCCTAGGAGGCGGCCTTTTGGTGTAGGCGCCTAGCATGGTAGACGGCTACCCTGTAGGCCGTACACCATTACAAATCGCCTGCATAACGGGGCGGACAGCCTGAGTGTGCCTTGTTGCAAGACAGACCCGATTTGTGATCACAAATCTGCATGACAAATTTTCAGAAGGATGCGTTTTCAGCATGGGGAGGGGGGATTTTTCCTTTTGATAGAGAGGGGCTTCGTGCTGGAGTCGGTCAGCGCTGTGGAGATCATTGGTGGGGGCTGTGTCTGTTGCCCGGGCTGCGGGAACGTGGAGCTTGTCGCGGGCTCGAAGCTCGAGGTGGGTGGGGAGGGGCCGCCGGCCGCCGCATATGGAAGTGAGCAAATTTCCCTCCCTTTCGTTGGAAGGGATGAACAGCAACAGAGATCAGGGCAGAAACAAATGTAGCTTCTGCACGACGAATATTCGCGCAGACTGTAGTACTGTATGGGTTCATTCCCACTTTGTCATGCAAGATAGCGTGCTGACGCAGCAGCTGGAGTTTCGTTTTTGCATGACAAATGAGGGGGAGGGGAAGTTGTGCACTCTCATACCGCAGCTGCAGCAGCGACTTGTATACCCAGCGCCTGCAGGGGCGTATTGAGTGATTGAGTGTAAAAATTTTTATGGGCTCACGTTGATGTTAACCTCCCAGGATCATATCTTCAAACTAGATTGTTCAGAAACTGAAAGTGAAACAGTACCAACATTATAATTTCACTCACCTTGCATTGCGTGTGCGTTTCCTTTTCCAGCTGCTGGCGATACTTTCGGGTATGCAAGGAAAAAGAGAGGTCGTGCACTGAAAGAACTTCTTCTGCCTTTGCAAAACCCTTCTACCACACGGACTCTTAGCTTCTTTCGAATATGGACCAGCATGATGACGGATTACGACTCAATAGCACTGCTTCAGTACTGATAGATACTACACAGAAAAATTCAGCGCATGGAAGTACTTCTACCAGGAGGTACATCTTCATTTCTGGAACGAGTACGAGAACTTACATACTTACTATTCTCTACGGCAGAAGTTGTTCAACACACCTCCCCCGCGCAGTTGGTTTCTTGCTCGGATACAGAGTGCTTTTGTCGTAGTAGTCGCACTGTGTTGTGTTGTGTTCTTGATCATGTGTACTAAAACTCACAATTGCTGGAAGGACTTGAGCTCCGAATCCTCTTGAAGTAATATCTTATCCATGAGCAGCAAGAAAAGTTACACACTTTCTCAGTGAACAATTTTGCAAACCGAATGACCATAGGTGTTGTGCCAAAACTATACCTTCCTGCCGCTGCCATCGGCATCTTTCCTCTTCCCCTCGATGCCGATGGATTTTAGATAGCTCCGCGCCTTTCCGTATCCGGTGTAAAAACGTGCTTACCCACCCTATTGTCAAAGTGGGATTTCTGCAAGACAACCTCATGAGGTTTGGGACGGAGGAGTCACGCGTGACAAAATGATCCGGTCCGTCGTGCAGTACTGACGAGCAAGCGCATTGCGAAGGAGCCATCTGCTTATCTTATTTACAGCATTACGCATTTTCTAAAACGTTCAAACATGGGGACGCAGCGCATCACAAATGTTCAGTCCCTGTAGATGCAAATCTGCATGACCAGCACAACTCTGGCGTGGGTACTCCTAGTTTTTGTCCAGGATATTCCGTTTCCGCCCACAATCATCTGCACCAATTGCTCCTTGGTGAAGCTGTCCAGCTCAACACTCCGCACAAAACTTATGTGCACCCCCATGCGGCGGTGCTCCCCAGAGCAGACGAGGCACACGTAGCACCTGGTGTGAGCAAAATTCCAGTCTTTTTCCATGAACTCAATGAACTGGCTCCTGCCCTTCACGTGTAATATTTGTCACATTGATCTCCAAAAAAACGAAACGAGTCCTGATAGCGGGAAAGAAATTATCACCATACGTATCATCAAACTTTCGGTGATGTAGTTATCCTCCTGTGCCGATAGTACAGTGCCATGCATGACCTTCAAAAGCCGGCGCATGGGATGTGAAGATTTTCTTGAACGTAGCAAGCACCAAATAGTCCTCCTTACCCATGGCTGAGCGAGAGCCAGGTCGGATTTCTCGCCGGGCAGTCGAAGCAGGTGCGGTTTTCTTGTCTTGCCCTTAACTTCCGGAAGATCTGGGTGCGAAGCTCGTCGGGCACGTAACCCTTCTTGTGTATGGAACAGAAGAAAAATGATCCCGACGCGTTGAGTTTTGGTTATCTTCTTCTTCATGCCCCTTGTTCGCACAGCTATTATCTGCGGCGCAGCAGAAGTACCACCTCTGTTCAACGATTTCTATTAACAGCATGACGTCAAGCTTGGTCGCTCGTTGCTGCAAAAAAATTCTACTTTCATCCTCTTGTTGTACTAACTCATGCTTTGATGCCACTTGTGCTTGTCCACCTAGCAAAGGCAAAGTCGGGACGCGGCTCGTGGGTGCAAGAAAAGTAGGTGTCGTGGTACAAGAAGTGGTGAAATGGGACTCATCCAGTCCAACGGTCGTCGTGCATTTTCTTTCATCTCGCATACCATTGACAGTCGCGTTTTCCACTTCCGTGAGCAGCAAATTGTTTTCCGCGTCGTGCGCGCCCATTGCCATTTTCCTCGGGTGCAGCAGCAACGAGACACGCAGAGATCGTTCCGAGAACCGCAAAAATCTTGCACCTCGCTACCGTCCGTAGTTGCAGCGGCGTGATTCTATCTATTGACTCCGAGGACTGCTGGTCATTTCTACTGCACTTTGATGTTCATTGTCTTTCCCCAGCTATATAAATCGCCGCGGCGTGGACAAATTTCTTTAGGATTTCGTCGCAAGCCTCCCCTATAGTGATCAGGCGACATGTATCTTCGTGTACCGAATACCCTCCGACCTAATGAATGAATATATGTACCAAATACCTCCCGAGAGTCAGAACAAGCGAGCAGGCGCTCTTGGCCTTGATTAGGCATACCCGCAAACGTTTTAAGAATGCACGCAATCCCAAAGTCGGCCACTACCGCAAGAGTTTTCCCCTCAGCGAGCTTCTTGTACAAGATGTTTTCGGGCTTGATGTCTCGGCTGCACCGGGACGCAGGGTCGGGGAGCATACTGGATGTGGAAACGCGAAGTTTCTATACATCGGGTCAAAAAAACAGCCCTAAGCTACAACCTTGAAACCCCAGCATCGACCCTATCTGCGCCAGTCACGTTGCAGGGGCGTGCGGACTACTGGAGAAGATGTGGCGTCGCATTACTGAAATGGAGAAGATCCACTGTAGCTGCGCTGGCCACGGTGCATGGAGATGCGGATTACTGGAAGGAGAAAGATGCATCTTCGCCCAGGAGAGGTGGCTAGATGGAAGGAGAGAGGTGGCGAAACACATTTTACACGAAGAAAGACAAAAAGCCTGCTTGATGGTGCCAGTTTTTTAAAGAAGGAGAAGGTGAAAGGGGGACTCAAGGAAAGCGATCAAAGAACCTGTAAGACATACGAACGGAAGTCCACGGCGTGCGCACTCCCTGATCTTCTAAAGCTTCCGACGCCAAGCTGAAAAATTGAGATCAGGGTGTTGAGCGAATACTTCCGCACTCGATAAACGCCCGTCCTCGTTAATCTGCTTTGCTTACTTCGCGCCAGTGTGTGAGTCGCAAAGATCCTCCCGCAGGCATTACTGACACCCAAGGAAAACCACAATCGCCTGGCTTGCCTAGTGCACTGCATCAACACGGTGCCAGATTTGCTGAGAGACTGGCACAAACTAATTATTTCCCCCATCTATTGCAGCGGCGTGATTCTATCTATTGACTCCGAGGACTGCTGGTCATTTCAGCACTTTAATGTTCATGTGCGCGGCTGAATTTGCTACTGAATGCTCGAGCTAATTAGGCAAAAATAAAATTAGTATCTTTTAATTAAGAAGTACACATCAAAGCCACCACTCAGAAAAGAAAAGGGGCTGCAACAAATCTCGAAAGTGATTGAAAAAGAAGCCACCCCAAGATCTTAAATCGTTGGCCGCTGATGAATAAAGACATCCTCAAGAATCTAAACTTCTTTCTGTCGCTCGTAGAATAGTACTTAAGTTGTACTATACGACTTCAACAATTCATCGTCACATATTTCGGATATGGAATTTTCATTTCAAGAAGAGGAGAGAACCGTCCACCTGGATAGTTTTCGCTTCTCATTTTGATGCACTCAAAAGATTGTCCGACGCTGTGGACCTCGGCAGGTTCTTGAGAACATCATGACGGTGAATATTAAAGGACTCCCAGGTCGCTCTCGATTTTTTCCAGATCTTACCTTTGAATTTTTTAACAGGTGTCCGGGGACAAGGAGTATAATATATTGCCACTTGCCCTTGCGATAAGTCATCTACAATCATTTACGCACCCCGACCTGTGAGGCTGATGAGGGACTCACAGAAAACATTTTGCAAAAGAATATGGACATATTTTGTACCGAAGTGCTGTTCCAGCTTTGAGTGCAGTTTGTGATGCGAAACCAAGGGCAAGGCCTAGTAGGTATAATAAAAAGTCGGTGCGTAAAATTCCAAAAAATGCCGTACTTTAACAAACTATTTTTCAACATCGACATCTTTGGTTTGAGTCATAAATTATTGTCCACATAGCGATTATACCGATATTCGTGTGTCATCAAATCTTCAAGAGTCGTACTTGTCCGCAAGTGCCTCAAGCTGATCGCTCCGGTTTGAGGCACCCGCAAGTTCAGCTTTTTTTTTCCGGTTCCGTCGCAGTTCGTCCGCACTCTCCGCTGCAGCCTGCGCCTGCCGCAGCGCAAACGCGGGGAGATACCCCTTGCGCACCGCTTCGAGGAGCCGATCGAACAGCAAGCGGTCTAGCTCCGCGGCAGAAACGGGGGCGAGATTCAGGTATTACAGTGAAAAATGCCCCCAGCCCGGAATTTGCAAAAGTTTCTCATGTAAAGTTTCCAAATGAAAGCTTTTTGTCTTGCATGAAAGGACTACGAGCCTCTCCGACCCAGAATCTAGGTGCGCAAGGCATCTTTTGCATAACAGATCCGGCTAGTGTTGGTCTCCTTTGCAACACAGATCTGAGCTATTCGACATGAAAAATTTGTGATGCTGATATATGCAAGACGGGGAATGTTTCTATTGGAAATTGCAATACAAATGCCTTCGAGTTCTGGGGTGGGGGCATTTTTCATTGTAATATCAGGTATTGAAAGTACTCGACCCAGGACTCCAGACCGCCGCCGCCCTCGCGAAATTTCTTGAAAAACTCCGTCAAGCGATTATCCTATGAAAAAACGTCGGCGCCCCATAGTCGAGATGGCAGATCTGCTAGACAAACCAATCAGCTTTGACTGTCGCGCATGACAAGTTTGGCACCGTAGCGATATACTGTTTAGCTAGTTAAGCAGCATCACAGATCTCGTATATCATGCTGATTGGAGCATCACACACTCCAAAACACCACTAGAAAATACTTATCACGGGGCTCCGCATGAGAAACATTTCGTTTCCAGCATGCAGATTTGCATTACAACTAAGGGGTGGGGACGATTTTACTTGGGATAGCGATTAACGACGGCTCTGTCGGGTTTTCCCTTCGTGGCGTTGTACTGTTGCAGTCGGAGCTTGTATGGTGGGAAAAGTGTTTCACGGTAAAAAGGATTTCGCTTTTGCAAGTTGTGCATTACAAATCACAAATGGCAAATAAAACTTGCCATGCGTACTTCCTAAGTGAAAACACGGTGTTGCATGTGTAGCAAGACAAATGCGTCTGTGTTGCTGCATTCTATGCATCACAAGTTTACAGCGAAACAGTTTTTTCTTGCGATAGCTTTGGGAAGGACGAAAACCCGGTCCTTTCCATTGCGGTCCCGGCAAGGTGGATCCCCGCAGCGCCGGCGGTCCGCTGCGCGGCGGCGGCGGCCAACACCGCCTCTTGACTGGTCTCTCGTCGAAACACCACATTGCGGAGGAACCAGACATTGAAGACCAAAAGCCGAACATCGTATTTAAAAATGTCCCCACCCCAGAGTTAAAAATGGTTGTCATGCGGAGCCCCACGAGAAGCATTTTCCAGTTGTGTTTTGGAATTTTCCATGCTCCAATTAGCATGATATACTAGATCTGTGATGCTGCTCAGATAGCTCAAACAGCACTACGCTACGAGTCGAAATTTGTCATGCAAAACAGCCAAACCTTGTGGATTTGTCTACCCGAATCCCCGTCTTGACTATGGGGTGGGGACGTTTTTACATAGGATACCGAATGCTGACGATGGATGCCAGGAACGTCTTTTCGAGGCGAAACGGCTCGGAGCAGCTGCTAGTGGCGAGCTTCGGGTACGGTCCCAGCGTCCAGCCCGCGTTTCGGTCCAGCGTTTATCAACTGCAACTCTGTCTGGGTCTGGAATAAACTTGTGATGCGGAACGCTGAAGATTAGATTTGGAAGGAACACTACATTTGTGGGTGCAGACAAGCATGACAAGTTTTGAGAACGGCTGCTCACTTGTGCGAGCAAACTGCTACTCCGCTTGTGCATGAACCAATGTATTTTTGCCGGTCATGCAATACAGATGCGAGACGTGCATTCCACCAATGCAAGACGAGCATTGCACGTTCAACCTTTCCAGAGGACCCAGACATATTTGCAATGGATAGCGTCTCCCGCAGCACAATCGCGGCCACGTCGTCCCAGGAGTACTTTTCGCTAACGGACAGCAAGTATGGATTGCAAAAATGTCTGGATCTGGAAGATTGCAACTTGTCACGCTAAATCCGAATAATGCAAAAATCTGTGTTGCATGAGTGCCACAAGCTGTCCACTTTCGACCAAGTTGGGAGGGAGTTTCTCATGCAGGATAGGCATGGCAGAGACCTCGCAGAATCTGTCATGCTAGGTCCCGCATTCCAGACCTCCTGGGTCAAGGGTCATGGAAAACCTCCTGCATGACAAGTTTACACCCCTCCAGACCCAGGCATATTTGCATTTGATAGCAAGCACAGAAACTCGCCAAGATTCGGCACAAATTTCTTGGTCCGAAACTCCTCGCCCTGCACAAAGCTGGTCAGTTTGTTCTCGATTTTTCGCTGCAGGCTCGGGAACTTCGCCAGCACCGAGAGAAACAGATGGTGGAAGCCGATGTAGCCCTCGAGTGCTTTCTCCGAGTGATGCAGTTCGCCCTTCAGCAGAAACACCACCTGCGAGTTCATCAGCTTTGGCAGCACGTCCAGCGCATACTCGAAATCGCCCTCGGTTAGCGTAGGTCGACTTTGCGGCACGACGGGACAAACAGGATGATCGGGCTCTACTTTATTTCGGTCGTGTTCTTCTTCTCGATCCCGGAGCATCTCTGCCGTTGCGTCGCCGCCAGTAGAATTCTTTTCCGTCGTCTCTGTTGCAGCAGCAGACGCAGCGCGCTTGGCCAGAGCTATAGCCTTCGCCTCTTCCTTCTGCTTTTTCCACTCGTCCAAAGAGCAAATCTTGCCCCCGCCCCGCACCGCCTCGCGCATCTGCGCGCCCGCGTGGAAGGCCTTGCTGCCCTGTTGCGTCCCGTAGGACCGCGTTTTCGCGGCGACGTCACTGTTACCGAGCTGCTGGAACAGGTCGGCGAGATACTTGATGGCGCGCTCGAAGTGCTCTGCATCCACTGCGGCCGGCATCCAGAAGGCGATGCGGTCGTTCCACACGCTCGTGCGGACCCCGAAGTCGTAGAAGCCCTCCTTGCTGATCAGGTCGAAGCTGCAGTGAAAGGCCAGCCGGTCGCTGTTCGCGGCTTCCGGGCGGATCTCCAGCCCCACCCCGAGCACGGCCTGCTTGTAGCACAGCCCGGTCACAAAGCACGCCTGCGCGTCGTAGTGTTTGGTCTCGATGGTGAACAACGTTTTCCGCAGCGCCGCCACGTCCACAACCGAGCGGTGCGGGTACCGGCTCCGCTCTTCCTCGAGCCGCTGGAGGCATTCCCGGTGCCATTTCTGCCGGGCCTGCATCTCCTCCTTATGAAGAGAAAAAAGTTTGTCAGCATTACAAATTTTTTTAGCATCACAACTTCTCCTTGTATTGCAGAAACACTAGGGAAATCCCTTATGAAGTGTGGCTGTGATGCATTTCTACGCATGACAGACAATTTTGTATTGCAAAAATGTCCATGAGTGATCGTGACGAGCTTTTTTCTTTTGATACTCCTCGATCTTTTTGTAGTACAAGACTCCGGCCTCCAGCGCCTCCCGCTCCTCTTTCGGCATTTTGCGCCGGTGTTCGCTCTATCAAGTGCAAATATGTCTGGGTCTGGAAGGATGCCAGATTTGTCGTGCAGGTTTCCCATGACCGATGACGTCTGGAATGCAGCACCTAGCATGACAAATTCTGTGAGACCTCAATCATGCCTATCCTGCATGAGAGACTCCTTCTCAACTTGGTAAAAAAGGCCGGCTGTTGGTAAACCTGCGATACAGATTTTTATGCATGATTCAGATTTAGCATGACAAGGCGCAACCTTCCAGACCCAGACATATTTGCAATTCGTACGCTCTCCAAGTGCTGCTGCAGCTTCTTCTCCAGTGCCGCTTTCTTCGCCTTTTCCTCCTTCGTAAAGTCGAATTGGAACGCGCGGTAGTCCAGCAATTTGGCATCCTCTTCGGCCGACAAAACGTGCGGGTAGCAGGACGCCGCCTGCTTCAGCCACTGGCTGCTATGCATTGCAAACATGTTGTCTAGGTCTGGAAGATTGGTCATGCGTGCCTGACATGACTCGGAAATCTTCTGTCACGCGTAGATGCAAAAAGATCGTCTTGTCTGTAATGCAAAAGCGCAGTCTGCTATGCGGAATACGCAGCAACACTAGCAGCTTGAAAGCTTATCACGCTTGCTGGCCAAGGTTTATTTTTACAGTGTGCCCGTTATTCTCTGGCTTGCATCACAAGTTTCCAGACCCAGACATATTTGCGTTTGATAGCTGTGCTTCAGCTGCAGCTGTTTGTCCGAAACGCAGCACGCGGCATCGTAGTCGAAGTGCTGAGCAGCAGTCGTGGGGGAATAATTGTGATAAGTGCAACTCGTGCTGGTGCCAGGATGTAGTTGCACAAATCGAGTGGCATCTTGTTCGTCCTTTCTACAAGTACCTGGGACGACTTTTTTCTCAGCAGGCGGATGATCTTCGTGGTCTGCACTTCTTGTTCTTTCCTCTAGTTCTAATTGGCAAGTTTGTCCGTGGACCGCTGGATTTACCATTTCGGGACCAGTCTGCAAATGTTCTCGCTTCGGCTTCTCGACCAAAATGAAACTTTCGTCCTTTTTCTCGCAAGAGGTCGGCGTGACAAGCGTCGACATCTGAGTCTGTGCAAAACTCTCGCGTTTGATTTCCGGTTCTTTTTTCGACGGAACTGGAGCGCGCAGCGGCCGGACCATGTATTCCCAGCGGGCTTTCCGCATGCTGGTAGAGTGCTGGTCGAGGGACAGGTCCAGCTTGAACGGACGATGCTTTATTTTTGCAGTTTTTTCACTCGCGTCGCAAGACGTAGCTGTCGCAGTGCCACTCGCGGTCGTCGTCGTCCAGTGTACCACCCACACGGAGACGCGGTCGCCGACGCAGAACCGCGCGGTCTTCCGGTCCGTCCAGAGACTGTGCCTGGCCGAGGTCGAAGCCCCCCAATAGTGCGACTCAGAAGAGCAGTCGTCGGTTATCGTGAGGAAAAATCCCCCCTCCCCATATTGAAAAGGTATGTAGTTCCCGAAAATTTGTGTTGCTGATTTGAGGTCACAAATCACGTCTGTCTTGCAAGAAGACAAGTGCAGGGGCTCTCGCGCCCTTATGGAAGCGATTTGGCATGCTGTCGGGCCTAAAGGGGGGCCGTTTGCCATGCTGAGCAACTAGACCCAATTGCCCCCACCTAGCCTGGGGATCTGGCCGCAATGCCTTTCTGCAACACAAATCTGATTTGTGTATCCAAATCCAGCATCAGAAATTTCTTTTCGATATGGGGAGGGGGGATGTTTCCTTTTGATATCGGTCAACACTACATTCCCGGCGGTTTCTCCGTACTCGTACTTCCGCACCAGACCGACGATGGTGTCGCTGACCGCGACAAAAATCCCGAGCGTTTTCTCCTTCCGGACATCCATCACGATCCCCTCGAGGCGCTGGCCGGGCTGGAACATGTCTGCTTTGGGGCAGCACAAAGTTCCGCCGTCATTTCTGATTTCTCCGGCAAAAGTGGGCAGGAGCGAGAAAGTCAACATCAGTTTCTGTTGCGCAGCAGACTCCTCTGGTAGTTGTTCTGCAGGTGAACTTCTACAACTCTTTGCGGGGTGCTCGTTATGTTCTCGTTCCTGCACGAGGACCATCGGGCTCTTTATTCCATCGACATTCATCGCAGAAGCTCTTTTCAATTTCATCTTCCCTGCCGAGGTACTACAACTATCGGAACAAAGTCTGACCTGTTTCACATACAGTGGAAAGTCGTCAAACAAAAAGTCGGGATCGCCGTCGAGCACCGACTTTAGCCGCGGCCCGAGGGCCGTCCCTCCTGCTCGGTTGCGGTATTCCGCCATGACCGTTTTGCACCGCCAGATTTGCTTCAACGGGTTCGGAAGTCCGATCGTGGTGGTGACAGTAGAAGTACTACTCCTACTTTCTTCAAAATCCGCTGCGTCCTCTCCCCTTGCGCTTCTTCTGCTCTGCACTCGAGCATGTTCCTTCTCCTTTTCGGCGAAGAAAAGCTTCATCCATGGCGCGAAGGGGAGCAACCCCTCAATCTTCGATTTTGTACTTTTGGTCGTGCTTCTTCTTCCAAATAATCCGCGAGAGCAGTGCGTCGAGTTTTCATCTTCCTCGCGTTCCGGTCGTTCTCCAGGTTTTTCTTGAGCGCTCTCATCTTCCAGCCTGAAGAAACAGCCAAAATCGCAGACGTTACGCAGCTTGGAATCAAAAAGCGGCACGTTGTGCACGCGAAGCTCGTCGAGAAAATGGCGATGCAATTTAACCTGCTGAGATAGGCATAAGTGTTCTACTTGCGCGGCCAGAGGAATCTTCTGCAGCCAGGAAACAGCCGGTCTCTCACTACTGTTCCGCAACGTCGCGCTCGACGAAGTTGCGCTGAGACTGACCAGATCCCCGTCGCCAAGGCTCCACACGTCGAAGTCCGCGTGTTGGAGCAGCAAACCAGTTGGCGGAGCAGTAGAATCTTCTTCTGCGCTCGAAGCGGCTTCATCTACTTCGATTACATTTTCCGCTACTTCTGGATCATGATCACCAGATGCGTTAGAAACCGTTTCACCGTTATTTCGTCGTCTTCTCCCCGCAGGAGAAGCAGCGACTTGTCCTCCGCCTGCACTAGTGAATAAAGCGCAGTTCTGCATCTTTTTGCCATCAGATACATCTGCGCGACCAGGTGTTGAAGAAGATTTTTTATCATTTAAAACCGCAAACGATTCCTCCGACGACAGTTCTTCCAGCAGGCGGCTGGCGCCCCAGCTGGAGAGGGACCGCGCGTCGCTGACCAGGACGAAACTGCTCTTCTCCGTGCGCAAATCGGATAGAGAAATAACGTCTTCCGAAATTACAGAAAAGGAAGAATCTCGGGAGGAAAGAACCGCTGATCGTTTGTTCCGTTCAGAAGTACCGGCTTTGTGCGAGGTAGCAGGAGCGGCGTCGTGAAAACAAGAAGCATCTGTATCCTCCTCGACGACTCGCATCAGCACCGTCCCCGTGTCCTTCTTCAAATTGTACGACTTTGCCACCGTCGGCACTGTAGTGGCACCACCACTTCTGCCGTCCACCCCGGAGGCGTAGTTCCTGCGCTGATTATTTCCCCCGAAGACGACGTCCTGCTGCCTGGTACCTGCCCGGCCGGTGGTGCAAGCTGGTGGCAATTCCCAGGCCGGCCGCATGCCTGTCTCGCAATAGTTCTCGACCAGCGCGACGCGGCTGAGCGGCACGTTCTTCAACAAAACACACTGGAGCAGCGGTAGTTCATCTTGCGGGCTTCTGGATAACATCTTCATTGTTCCCTGACGATTGATGGCACGGCTACCAGCATTCGATTGGCTCATCACGTCCGGCAAGGGCTTCACCGGGTGGCTGCGCCCACACGCACTGGTGACAGCGTGGTTGTAGTCGGGCTGTGCATGCTTCCCGTGCACAAGATGCGCGTACTTCACGACGACTGCGTTTTCATCTTCTTCCAGGCCTATTCCGGCTTCTTCTAGTGGCTCGAGCGGAGCAGGAGCGTCGTCACAGACTTGATTCGCGACCTTTTCATCGGTTGGGACTCCTTCTATATGACCAGTTCTTCGTTCTTTATTCCCCTGTATACATTCGCAAAAGTATCGCTTTAGCAGTAGAGATGCCATCAAAAAAAAATACTTAATTCCGATCATACTTAGTAGTTGCAATGCAATGCATTTTGCATGATGGCGATTACTAGCTACGCGATACTTCATAGAGGATATCTTGGCCGAGACCGCGAAACACGTGACCCGGGACGTAGTCCACGCAAAAACTTGCGTTCTTTTTCCCCGCAGTTTTGTGGTTCCCCGTGTGACCACCAACTGCCCCTTTCTTCTTGTACAAACGACTGGCGGTCGTGGCCATGATTTTGTCGTACAAAACGTCTCCGTACAAGGCTTTTACAGCTGCTTTCTCATTGTCGTCCAGCACCGCAGTGGCGGTCCGCCTCCCGTGTTGACTTGCATTCTTCGCGACGTCTTCCGTCCAGCTTAGCATGGTTTGGTTTTTCGGCGCGAACGCGCTTTGAAGCGCCGCGCTTGTTGCCGGTGTTGCCCTGCTGCTCACATTCCCCGCGGCGGTGGTGGCAGGAGAAGTGCTCCCCGCAGCTACCGCGGAGATATTATTGCTCGACGTCCCAGAAGGAGTAGTTTTGGTTGAATCTTTTGTATTCAAATCACGAACTCCATCCTGATCAGCATCATCCTTCTCCACGAAAAAGTAACAATCGCAGCAAAGTTCATCCGGCTTGACGCGCCCCACGATCGCAAACTTGACGAAAGCGCCGCGCAGCTCCAAGTAGGACGCGGAAGCAGAACGACCTCCGTGTCGGTCCGGTCGGATGTGATTTTTGCTTCTCACCAGCACGCCGTCCCTCCTCCGCACAAAGTCCTGGTACTTCTGGGCAGCTGAGGCTGACACAGCCCCCCCTGCGATCATTGTGCTACCAGATAAGGAAAGTAGACCGTCGGCATTTTTTTCCTTCTCCTCTTCCTTCTTTGACAGCATGACGTGCTTTCCCTGGATGCAGTCGAAGAGATTCTGCGTTTTTTCCTTGGAAAATCCGAAATTGAAAATGTCCAGGTTCTCGTTGATATTCATCCGGCTGCGGTAGGACACATCAGGGACGCCGAAAAACCGCAGAGACACCAGATCTCCAGTCTGCAGCACTCCGGGCACGCGGGTCGGGATAGACAGGGTTTTTTTGATCGCTCTGCCTGTTCCCTCGCCGGGGGCAGAATGAAGATCCTCCTCGTCGCAATTGTCGAAAAACAGGTTCGGGTCATCGTCGCAGAGAGCGGCGGGAGCACGAGCATCCTCTACTGCCAGTGCATTGCGGTCTTTGTCACATTCATCCGTGCTGTCTTTGTTCGGACCACGGCCTGCTGTGCCGGCAGCACAACTTCCTTCCCTTGCATTCTTTTCCTCGTGCGGAACCACGGAGTCGACAGGTAGCAGGAGCTCCTCCCCGTTCTTCAGTACTTCTGCCGAATCTGTTTCTATTTCTGTGGCCGCGTCTTTTTGATGTTCGGCTATCTTATCATTTACATTTCGGGCTGGGGGGAGATGATCCCCCGTCATCTCCTCCGGAAGTTCAAGCGCGTCAACTAAACTGGACGTAGCGGTAACAACAGTGGACTCCGTGGTCTTCGAGTCACTCGCGGTGAAACCTGAATTCGCGGCCTCATCTTCTTTCGCCCCGGTTGCCGGCGCTCCTTTTGGATCGCCATTTCCCAAAGAGTATTTTTCGAACAAAAAGTTTCGTCCCCGGTAGCCGCAGTCCTCGCAGACGCAGTTGTCTGAATCCTGCTGAGCCTTGTGCAGGGCTGCGCACACCTGGGCCGCAGACTTCCGGTGGTCGCCGGAATAGTAGTCCCAGAGCGTGTTCTATGGCGAGAAAAAACTGTCTCAATTTTTGTCATGCTCGACACGCAAGAACAAACAAGGCATTTGTCATATAATGTCTCTTCCTCCCTTCTTGTGCTTGACGCATCACAGGTAGTTGCGTGTGTGTCATGCTGACCGAATCTGTGTAAGTAAGTTGCGGAGAAGTCTGCAAAGGTTTATTGAGGACAGTTGTTTTCTTCCTGCTCGGATAGGTTCCTTTTCGTGACGCCGTCCTCGAGGTAGATTTCCCGGTCGAAGAGCAAGCACTGCAACTGCACCAGCACCGACTCCACTGAGTAGCTGGGACTCCACCCGGAATACCGGCTGTTCGCCCGGGTCGGCAGCGTCATATCCAAACAAAAAACCGTGTAAGTAAGTGTAACTTTCTTCGGTTGACAGCATCACAAATTTGCTCTACATGACAGAGAAAACCTGTCAAGCGCTGCTTGCAAGGGAAGACACACATGAAAAAAGGACTTCGTGGTTGTGCGGCACGACAGGCGTAACTCTGTTGCATATTCTGCATTACAGAGTTACACTTACGCAGTTTTTCTTCTCGCATACGTCAGTAGGTCCGTGCAGAGCTCATAAGTCTTCTTCACCCGGCCGTTTATGCCCTGGGCGTAACTAATCGTATCAAATGCAAATATGTCTGGGTCTGGAAAGGTAGAACTTGTAATGCGTGTCATGCATGCCTGGAAAATCTGTGTTGCATGAGCAGCAACTGGGCTGCAGCTTCCCTTGTCATGCAAAAACGCAGTTTGTAATGCGTGTTAGGCACCATCAGTGGGCGCTTCGGAAGCCTGTCATGCTTCGCTGCCATTGAAAGCGTTGCAATCATGCACAATTCAGCATGACAGATTTCCAGACCCCGACATATTTGCATTTCGTAGCTCGTGTTGTAGAGCCAGGTGGACAGGTTGTTCCAGACGCAGCAGTGCGGGAGGTAGTTTTGCAGTCCCACTTTCGGTATAAAATGCAAACGTGTCTGGGTCTGGAACAGTTTGTCATGCATTTTCTGAAATGGATACATAGATGGTCTGGAATGCGAATGCACGTGAAGCATGACAATTTTTGCGATTCTTGCGATTGCTTTTTAATGCATATCCTGCATGTTGAGGAGCTCGCCATTATTTGTGTGGCAAAACGTGGGCAGCGTTCATTGGCACTCATCTGCAAAAATTCAGATTTTTCCCCGCTCGAGATTTCGCATCACACAACTCACACCCTTGTTCCAGACCCAGCCATATTTGCAAACAATATTCGGCGGCTTCTTCGGGTAGTCCTCGGGAAAAAGGACGATCAGGTGCACTTTCAATCCTGTGAAGTGCCCGGACAAGGGCGCAATGGTCACGTGCCATTCGTACAGATTGCTCTCCTTCACGTGGAGGCTAACGCCGGGGAGCGGGTGCTTCGTCAAGTAGTCCAGATCTTTCAGCAGTCGGTACTGGACCAAAACTTTCTCCTTCTTGTGCAAGTTCGACAACGAAGTGTAGCTGCCTAGTGGGTTCGCGGCCGTGCCGGGGCTGGAGACGGGTGCTGGGACAGGGGCGGTAGTTGGTCCCGTAGGGTTATTTGTCGCGGAAGTTGTTGTAGGGGAGGACATGTTTTGCATTTTGATTCTCTTTCGTTTGATTTTTACGTCAACCAATATTAGTAGGATCTTCCAGGATCTTGGAAATACTTTAGGTTTACGAAATAGAGAGATGCAGATTAGAACCAGAAGGGTGCAGCGCCGATTAAAACGTTGGTTCTAGAAATAATAAATAACATCCAGCAGGAACGGCAACTCCTGGCTCCGTCAGCACAAACAAGTTTACATCGTTTTCTTTCGTTTTGTCAAAGCCAAGTGCTCACCGAAAGAAATCAACAGAAAATGAGCATCCAAAGAATTACCGAAAACCCCAACGTATGATGCTTCTCGTTCTACAGGGAGGGGAAAATACTAAAGCGGGTTGCCGCGGGGGCAGCTAACGAAGAGGAGGTGTTTGCGAATGTTCTTGTAGAGAAGAGGCGATAAAGCAAATGCAAAATGAAACAACTACCGACGAAACAAATGTCATGTCGAAACAGATTCCCTGCGGTGTGGTGAAGCAAACTCCAGCTGGTAGGTAGGATCTGATCGCGCTCAAATCAGGGTGGACAAGATCGCGGATTTTCGAAGTGTTCTCGTGAGCAAGAGTGCCGACTTTAGCCGTTGACATGCAGACATGAAGGAGAGCCCGCGTGGACGACCGGTTTGAATACCAATAGATCATGTGTCGGGTTGCTGGTGTAATACTGACAAGGAACTCAGTTACACCTTCGTTTAAAGCCTCGAAGATGAGGTGTAAGCAAATAACTACGTCGGAAAACCGAAAAAAACGAGCGAGAGCAGCGAGAAACAAACAATCAGGCGAACAAAATGTGAACAAGACGTCCTTGCAAGCGACAAGGAAACGCAGTGCGTCGGTAGCGATGGTAATGGTTAATCTCGGTACCTCGAAAAAAAAATAAGTGGAATGGGAATCCAGTACATCAATGAGATTTACGTTCATAGGTGTCGTGACTCAAAAGCGCACTACTCGTCAGTCGTCACTTTTTCTCATTGCGCGTGGAATCTTTAGAGACCGGCTACTTATCTGCTTCTTAGTGTTTGCCTTTTGTTCCTTTGCCGAATCCATCGTGTTCGGTGCAAACACAGCACGCGTGGCACCATATAATGACCTTCTCCTTGGCTCCGAAGAAGATATCGCCTTCATTCAAATTGTTTTCACCTTTATTGTCGTATTTGTACTCATTCAATCCACCTTTCGCGAAGATCGCGGCGCCGGAGTCGGAATCTTTGGCTTTGCCTTTGCCTTTGCGATCGCGGTAAGAATGGTACATCTTTGCGAATGTCTCGCCGCACACCGAAACCGAATGTAATTTTTTGCCTTTGCTACTGTGGAAAGTGTAGATATTCCTTCCGTACGTTTCCCGGGGTTCAAGTTCAACGTAAGTTACTCGGTCATAATCTTTGCAGTTCATCAACTCGCCGAATCCAGGAGGCTCGCCGCGTGAGAGGAATATCTCCATGTCGGCCGTTTCCGAGATTTCGCATTTTCCGTACAACTCGTAGGCGTGCGCGTAACCTTGCACTAAGGTTTCGGGGCCGGTGCCTTCTCCGCTGCTGCCACCTTCGCTGGGGTTGCCCCGCTGCTGACAAGGAGCGGAGGTATGCGGATAGTTGCTCAGAAACAGAGAGATCGCCTCGTCCACAGTCAGGCCAGCGAGTTTCGAGCAAGTGCGGCTAGTTGCAGTTAGCGAGCGGTCCGTTGTAGTCCCTGCCATAGTCTTATTTTCCAAGCTCTTTATCACCTCTTCCAAACACGAGAAGTACTTGCGGAGCAAACCAATGTTTTCGTCGGCGAAAAGTCGCAATGCGCTCCACCGCTCGCTGAAAGGCAATACCTCGCCTATGAGTACCGCATTGCGACCCTTGTGGCAGTGTGAACACTCTGCCACGTCCTCTATTTTTCCTTTTCCTTTCTTCCCTGTGCTGCTTAAAATCCAGGCCGACTTTTCCCAGAAAAAATTCTGAAAAAAGTGGCGCTTTTCCAATTCTTCGAAAAGCTGCGCCAGTCCGTCTTTCCGCGCGACGCAGCCCAGCAGAACTTGCATACATTCCCGGTACTTCGGCGCAAGCCAAGACGAGGATCCGATTTTGAAGCACCTGTGGAGAGTTTGAGTTTTCGTATGTAGCAATGTACTTCACCAGCAAGAGATTGATGCATAACACCAAATCAATTTCGCTATCCATCAACTAATAGATACTGTATTTGATCAGGGAGCACCTACTTGAAAGCGAGAATATACTTGCCAAGGAAGTCCGCAACGACAGCAGGGATTATTTCCTCCGCTTCCAGCTGGAGAGCCTGCTTTGCCAGTTCGAAGCAGCGGCCTTCAGCTTCATCAAGGCGGTCCCACTCCAAAACCCCCAGCGCTACTTCCAAGCAAAAACTCTGTCTCTGGGACACCGGAAAAAGTTGTCCGCCGCTCTGCTCTTCGTGTTTCTTCCACTCCGAAGGAGGAAGTTCCACGATTGCGCGGCACAGATCTGTGAACCCACTGGTAACTAGGTAGCAACCGCCCAGGAGACAAGGAAAGCAGTTCCCCCCAAGCGCCGACCTCCTCTCTTTTTCCGGATCCTGCAGGTAGACGCGGTCGTAGATGAAAGTGCGCGCCTTCTCGACGGTGTTCAGGTCCTTGATCAGCTGCCGCACTCGCTTCCTCCAATCGATCCACTCCCTCGACCCATCGCCATCCTCCTCGAGCGTGAGCCCGCTACTCACGATGACAAATTGGTACACGATGTGACTATTTTCGAAATTCAGTGCGGTGTCCGGAGATAAAAACGCGTCTGCAGCGGAGGAAGATGAATGCTCGTTGTCCTTTGTCCCACCGTCGCCACTAGCTTGCCCTGGGAGTGCCTCTTCCTCGCCCGTTCCGTCACTCGCCGGCCCGAAAACGCTGACGGCATCCTCGTGCTCCGACAGCATGCTGCAGTCTTCTTCAATTTCCCCCTCCGCATCCTCGTCTTCGCCCACGCCACACGACTCCGCGTCCTCAGCGTCTTCCACCATAAGCCACCGCAATAGCGAAGCCGGCGGAAAGAGCGGACCGTCGGGGCCGAAGAAGGGGGCTAAGATCGTTCCTGATATTGCGGATAGATCGTGGACGGTTTTGGTCTTTGTAGGGTCCAGTGTGACAACATGCTCCGCACCGGTGAAATTTCGCACGCGGAGGCTCACGGTAGCAGGCGGGGACGGCAGGGCTTCCTGCGGTTCAGGCTGTGATGCTGATGGCGTCGACATTTTTTCGTTGGGAAGAGAGCGAGAAATCCACTAGTTTCCAGTTGTAAATGATGAACGGCAACACGCCCCAAGATATTTTTTCACTGCGGTAGCAGTACTTCTCTGTTTTTATTGATATTGATCATTTACTGCTAGAAGCGAACGAGAAACCTGAATGACCGAATATGGATTCTTCTATTGGTGAACGCGTCCGTGTGTGAAGCGATAAAATTAACTTTTACTTGGATAAAAATTTGTCGTCGTAAACGCAAACTTGTCTTTGGTCATCCGAGAGAAAAACTCAACCATGATAAGAATACTAAGCTGCTGCAGTTGTTGCCAAAAAACCTGACCTGAGCGGTCGTTTGTGCCACTTAAAGCCTGTCGCATCTCATCTTGCATTACCTGCACGGCGAAATGCTATTGCGTGAAAGATCTCACTTTGTTTTCTTGCGTAGAGCAGACATTGATCAGAAGATAATATCGCACTACATGTACAGTCTATTGCGGACGAACCGCGCAACGTAGATCGACCGTGAAATGGAGGAAAAGATCCTTTACGCTGTGCTGCGCCAGCTCCAGTACGAGAACAACCAAATTGTGCGATAAGTCCATCGCAAGCACAACGACCGGAAGCCTGTGTGCAAATCTTTTTTGCCTTTCTTTGCACTGCTAGAAATCAGAACTTGAACTTCAGTCGTGATCGAAAGAAAACTTGTAAGTACACTGCTTCTGTCTGGCCTGCTTTGTCAATATCTTGAGTGTGGAAGTGATCTCCTGCTAAATTACCAACACTGCAGAGGAGTCGTTAAGCAGGGTCAGCCACAGTTCTTCGACGTCAGTCCACGACACGCCCGCTTCGTGCTTGGCCAATGCCTGGCGGAAACAATCTTGGAGATTTAAGTACTCGATTTGTCTTCTCAGTGGCTGCAGTTTCGCGAGGTCGGACAATGCGCTAAATTCTAAGTCGTAGCTGATTTTCAGCTCGTTCAAGAGGTCCTGCAGACGCGTGTAGCAATCTAGGTGGGCGCGCAGCTGTACAGTAAGGCTGGCCCTTAGGCCGTTAACAACGTGCGAAATGTCGTAGCGTAGCTGCTCGTCTTCGTTGCTGCTATCGTCCGCTGTGGATGTTGAAGCATACCCGCGACTAACTTCCGCTAGCCACTTTCCTTGTGTGTTTAAAAGATGCTCCCAGTGGCTGCGGCAGACATCCAGGCCCAGCAGCTTTTCTTCGAGCCGGGAAAAAAACTGCACTACTGCGCCGCGGCTGGCAATGTGTTTGAGCAGCGCCCTGATGTACGATGGTGAAGAGGTGATATACACGGAGAAAAACACATCAGCCACACAAATATGATCAACATCCGCCACGGCTAGTGCCTGCTCAAGTACGGCCTCATCCTCGTCCTGCCAGTAGCTGTCACGCAGGCCGTTCGCGACGTACCGCGCGTACTGCTGGCGCTCCGCCACGACGAAGGCCCGGCCGTTGCTGCGGCGTTCATGCTTTTCCCACTCGGACGAACCGAGTCTCAACGCGGCGTGTGCTAGGTGCACCCACCCTTGCGTCACTACTGCTCTACCAGTGGCAACATGACTGGACTTGTAGGGAAGGAGAACGTATCCACTTGACCAAACTGGCTCGCTGCGACAGGCGTCCTCGAACTTCCTGTCTTCGTGGGCACCGCAAAAAAAAAATTCGTGCGCGTCCGCCACGGACGTAATGCTTCCGTCGAGCTCCAAGCAGATCCTTTCTGCGTGCGCGCGCTCCGATTCGCCCTCCCGGCGCTGCAGGATTGGCGCAAGAGGGGTATACGCGATCGTGAATTGGTACACGTAGCTCGAGATTCCAAACTCAAGCTCCGTCCCTGACGCAAGGAATTCGCTCGGGATTGCGTCCTCCTCTGCCGGTGTGTTCTCTTCTAGCCCGCGGCGTTCCTCGTCGTCCTCCGCGTCCGTCGCGTGATCGTCGCGGACCAGGAGCCACCGAAGTAAGGTGCTCGGCGGTACGAGGTCGGTCGTGAAGTCGAAAAACGGCGCGAGTAGTCTTCGCGGATCGCGCGACAAGTCGCGGATGGTTTTCACCTGTGCGGGATCCACGTCAATTGCGTGTTCCACACCATTGAGATTCCGGATTCGGAGCGAACAACTCCCTGTCGGCTCAGCCGGCGGCTGAGCCTGCGGGTCGGAGGAGGCTGAAGCTCTGCCGTCGGGGGCTGCCATATCTTTTTTCTTACTCGACTGATCCGTTGTGATTTTCGTTTTCCTCTTAGTGTAATAAAAAAAAGTCAAGCAGATTCCAACTAAAAATCACTCTTTCTTCGCGACATTGGATTGCCGAAGCAGACGAACCTCTCTCAAGTTCGTTTGGAGATGACGAGGAATTCGAATTACTTAGATCTGCTACAGAAGTACTCCCCATGCCATCCTGGCTCTCTCTTGCAACGAACAAGGAAAGAATACAACTAACTACACTGAGGCGCTCTCCTTTGAGTTCTCTCATCTCGTGCAAAAGCGATACAACCTTCTTGGAGTTGGGAAAACACATGCAGCGCACCATGCCTACTGCCCATGTGCGACTACCGAGATGGATGTCTTGGTGGTAGTAGAAGTTCATCCTGCATTACAAGGATTCACAGCACATCGAAATAAAGCGATTCGGCTTTTCGTACGAATATAAAATTTGAAATTATCAAGTCACTAATTCGCTGAAGAGTCCTACACAACTGATGCTGTATGTATACTCGTCTGAAATCCGGAGCAACTATGTCTCCCGCCATCAGTGTTTCCCGCTGATCTGATAATCTAAAATCCGCCTGATGAAAGCGAATTCCGTGTAGCGGACGTCCTCCCGATCCCAGCCGCCGGCCGCCAATTTACGCCCGTACCCCTTCTCCGCCAGCCAGCCCTCCGGGCCCCACGCGGCAAACTTGCGCTGCTCGACCTCGCTGCCACACAGGTCCGCGGCGTCGTGTTTGAATTGCTGCAGCGCCTCCAGGTCGCTCCCCAGCGGAGAGAAGTGGGTCAGCGGGCCGAAGTGGTGGGCGCACGCACCCAGCGTGGCGTCAATCAGGAGTTTGTCCACGTCCTCTTCCGTCACAACTGGCTCCTGCATGGAATCGTGAAATTCGTCAAACTTCTTCACTGCTTCCAAATAGCTTCTCAGAAACGCTCTCCTCATGTCGCGCACGTCGTCGCGGGCGAGGGTCCGCTGCTCCCGCGGCATGTCTTCGTAGTGAAAACACACGTATCCCAGATCGTTCCACGCCGCTGCGGCGGTTGTGAACTCCAAGTCCAAAAAACGGAGACTGCGAGGGTCATCTTGATCTTCACGAGCATTTTTATCATTCCCGTCAACTTCATCGCGGGATGAAGCCGCGGAGGATGTCGTGCCAGAAGTGCCAGTCACTTTACCTTCAAAAATCCTGGCTTCCCCCCCATCCGCTGTACCATTTCCAAAAATCGCCACCATGTTTCCCGCGTGCAAGTCGCCATGGCACGTGACGATTTTCCCGCCGGCCGCGGTCAACGGTGTGAACATCGGCTCTACGTATTCAGCCAGCCATTTCGCGGCCTCCGATCCTGGTGCTTGCTTAGCTTGCAAGACCGCCTCGCCCAAGAGCTGCTCCGTGCGACAGCTATAGATACCACCAAATATGGGAGGCGTTAGGATCGCGATCCGATCGAGATGTTGAGACGGAAGAAGTAGACAACTCGTCCTTTGTAATATCCCTGTACGACTGCCCCAACGGCGGAAATTGCTTCTTCAACCTTTCGCGGAACGGCTCGTACCAAGTTGGAGGGACGGATTGATGCAGCCGCGCGACCTCGCGCCCCAGAAGTTTCATGTCGGCGATGGTTTGTAGTGCGAAGAATGGAGGTTCGACGGTTTCGTTTGTTCCTTTCTCCTGGTCAGCATCTTGCCGTTCTCCTAACTGCAACCACTCGTTAAGAAACCAATCTACGCCGCTCGCAACGTGCTTTGGGAAGAGGTTTTTCTCGCTCATGATTTGAATGGCGGCGATGGTGCGCTCTTCCGAGTCGGGGTCCAGTTCCGGGTCGCGCGAGCAGAATCCCAGAGTCAGGGTTTGTCTTTCTTTTGCAAGGGTAGAAGAAGCAGATGAACTTGCTCCACCCTCGCTCGCGGTAGGACGAGCAGTGGTTGATACTGCATTTTTTCCATCTTCAATTACTACACCCTCGCTGGGGCTGGCCACAGAGGGTTTATTGTCAACAGTAAACTCCAAACTGATCTTGTAAGTCTTGCTCCCACCGCATCCGCTCCGGTCGTGTACTTGGATGGAATCGTGTAGAATGGTGTGCTTGGCCGGGTCAAAGAGATCACTCGGATGTTCTGAGAGGATCTTCGCCACAAAAATACCAAGGCTTTCAAGATCCTCGCGAAGAGGGAAAGATTTGGTGTTGGCTGTCGACATGTCGTATTTCGCTTTAAGAGAAGTGTGATAAGCTATCTTGTGCCAGAGTTATTGTGTATTTTCAGCGGCGCTGCCGTACAGCTGGATTAAGAAACTAGTAGCGCGGCGGGTGCCGTCACGAGACCGAATCAATTGTAGTTTCCTATGAGCAGAGGATGATCATGACCTGAAAACAAACACTTCTACTCGTGATAGTTCGTGATCGTGACAGTATGCCATACTTACAGTATTCGCTTGCTTTCATCTTCCAATCGTACTTCAGATATTAAATGTGCGAAAGGAGGGAGAAAACCGATCGGTGCAGACAAATTTTTCACATCACAATGGACCGAGAAGTGTTTTTTTTTTTGAAATTAACCGAGAATCTTCTTCACGCAATACAAGCAGAAATCTTCCCGATGATATTGATAAATGGAGAATGGCAGTCGCATCAACTTTTCCTATGCACTCGTGGAACTGGGAAGATGGAAGATGACCTTAATCAGCTTTTTTTCTGGTTGACTAAAGGATGTTGAAACTGAAGTACTTACAGCTTCATGTTCATTATCCACGTAGGAAATCAGACTTCTCAACTTCAAAAATACTTCAAGGGCATTAGCTGGCCGCGCCATTTATATTTACTCTTTGTCAATTGTCCACATGGTCCTTTGCTGATGACCGGATGTCTGAAGATCAAGATTTGAAACTCGCGCATCTGGCCCCTTCATCTTTTTCGGTCTTGCGCCCAAGCCGGCGCTTAGTTGCGCTTTCTAGTGACAACGATTCACCGTCTGGAGACTCACTGCACTCGTGCCTTCGGTTTTAGCTGTTGCCGTTTGGCCCAAAAGTTACAACTTATGCTGCTCCATCATCGCGCGCAGCTCCTCCGATGCCACTTCGGACAGGATCCCCTCGGCGACCTCTATCAAGTTTGCGGGCTTTTCCGTCGAACCCTGGCCTGCGCCGGTTTCCCCGCAGAAAAAAATCTTTTCCAGTTCTCGCCGAGTTTCCCAGCGCATCTGTATCCCGGTGGGAAATCCACTTTTTGTTTTTCGCTTTTTTCTAGTTTATGCTGAGCTGTGTAAATGACAGAGACCGAAATCTTTGCTGCAGTTCTTCTTCTAATATGTCCAAATTTAAAACAACTTTTTTTCCATTGTCTCTGAATGTAAAGGAGCCCTTTCGATGATCCAGCAACACGACAGAGCGGTCGTGACTTCTGTGAAGATATTTTTTTATACTTCTGAACAAGGACTGACGTGAAAAACAAATTGGTGGATTTCCCCTGTCTACCCTGTCCCAGCAGCTCGAAAGCCATCGGCTGGGAAAAGCCGAGTATGCGCAGGGCCGTGTACCCGACTATGCCGGTCCGGTGCAAGCCGGCAGAGCAATGAACCGCTACTGTTTTTCCGCGCAGCAAGCTCGCGGCCACCAAGGCCGCGGCCCGTGTCACCGCGGTTCGATCTTTCTCCGCATCCTGCATTGCTGCGCCTGAGATGGGGAGATGTACCCACTCTGGTCTTCTTCTATTCGGGAGGACTGCGAGGTCTTCATTTTCGAAAGGAACTTTCGGTGTTGACGTGGAGTCGACCTCTTCAGGTGCATCAGCAATCAATGCAGGAGGCTCGGCCTGAACCTCTTTTGGAGAGGAACAGGGTCGTCGGCCACGTAGAAATCTTGTTGAAATACAGTGGCCAAGAGACAGAATTTCTGAAGACTCATCGTGATTTCTTTGATCAGCACTCCATTCGTCTCCATCGGCACACACGGTGTTTGCCACCGCCGCGAAGCTCAACCCCCGTTGCTGCAACTCGTCGTCCCGAAGTAGCGTCACGACGAAATCCAGTCCCTTGGCCCAACTCTCCAAAGTTTTCATTCCGGGCGCCCCACATAGCACCAGCCTGCCTTTGCGGACTGGGAAACAAGAACCGGGTCTGCTCGTCGGTTTTTTAGACGCAGAAGGTTGATGTTCTTCGATAACTCTAGTAGTACCAGCCTTGCTAGAACTTGAGCTCGTGGCTGCTGCTATAAAACTACCGCCCACGATAATTTCCTTTGCCGCTAACAGCCGCGCCTCGGGGGAAGCAAACCAAGTAACTCTGATCTTTTCTTCATCAGTCTGCTCAACAGCAGATGCAGTAGAATTCTGGTTGGAGCTACCACTCCCGCTTTTCTTTTTTGCCGCGAGCCACGCGAAAAGAATCGTCTTGGTGCCTTTGTTCATCGCGTCCTGTGCCATCAATCCGACTTCCTTCGGGGAAGAGAAATTGGGCGCAACTGTATCCCGCAAAAACTCCAATTCCTTGTCTGCGAGTTCCACGCGCTCCTGCAACAGACGCTCCGCGACTGCACCGTAATCCAACACGCCACAATTCCGCATTTTCACCACCGCCTCCTCCACACCGGCCCAAGATTTGGCCCCGGCAATTACGTGGTCGAGCCACTGCTTTGTCGGCTGCGGCACGCCGCTGCGCGCCAATTTCTTGTACACCGCGCTCTTCACCTTGTACTTTTTTAGAAGCGGCACTGCCATCTCGACCACGAACCCCTCCCGCAGGTCCGCCAGGGTCCCGCAGCGGTCCAGCACCGCCAGCTTCTCGCGCAATTCCGCCACCGTGCACACCTCACAGGGCGCGTGGGTGCTGGGCGCGGTAAGCTTTATTTTTCGTGCGACCGCTTCCAAATTCGTGGAGGATATAACTTCGCCGGTACTAGCGTCGCAGGCGTAGAGCAAGACGAGCCTGTTTTCCCCGCGGTTGTTTTCCACCTTGGCATCCTTGTCGTGAATCAACTCGAAACCAAGGGTCCAGGCCTCCATTTGTTCGGAAAGGATTAGAGCCGTCTCTTCCGACAGCAACTCCCTCGCCAGCTGCGTCTGCAACGTCCGGATCGCCCCACGGGTGAATAGAAGCAGCTCCCCGCGGAAGACCGTGACGAGGACACAGCTACCGTCAAACTTTTGCATACAGGTCACCGGCAGTTGCTGTCCTCGGGGAGAGTCAGGAGAACCACTCGATGCATCGGGTTCTTGGGTTGGTGGTTTCCTGGAATCGGGTTTGAAAGCGTCGCTCCCATCGGTGTGTGCAACCGCCGACTCAAAAATGTACCGCTTCGCCTCCGCACAGTGTTCGTACCCGTGGAACTTGACCATCGGTTTCACCACGATTTCTGGGGGACAACCGGATTTCTTGAACAGCACGCACCCCCGCGCCACTTGCAGTATGCAGAAGCAAAAGCGTTGATAAATATAGTCGTGGAATATGCATATCAGTACAGTATTCTTCAACTACGGGCTGCGTCAGGTTTTAGAATGGAAAAACAAAAAACAATGACAAATTTTCCATGGTAGAAAAAACTATGTACTTACTTACTCTTAGTCCTACTCACAACAAGCGGCCCACCATAATGTCAATCGCTTTGTAATGCGTACCCATGCGCCAGTCCCAGTTTTCCGGCGGGGTGGACTCGTTGTAGCTGTCGGTGTAGTTAACGACCAAAAGCTCGCCGTCCCGAAAATCGGAGCAGGTAATCTTGACGTGGTTTCGTTTCTCCTGCTCCCGGTAGTACGCGAGCAATCCGCGCAGGGCCTCCGCATCGCCCGATCTGGCAAGGTCCGCGAGCGGGTGCAGAGTAGTCATGGTTTTGCCAAAAGCAAAAAAACATGTGTAGAACAAAACATCCAGACCTCAAAGATAAATACAGGCTCGCCAGACATAGAAAAGAGCTACTTCCAAATGTTTGCCGTGGACTCGCCGTGGATCGTCATAACAGACTGATAAATCTATTATTTGGTTGTAAACATCCGCATGCTTGTACCTAAAGCTGACAAACTACCGCCCCACACTCGGTTCAAAACTGATGAACGCGAGAAGTGCGCGAGATCCTTCTTGTAGGCCGCAGATCTCGTCGTGAGGATCGGTTTCCAACTCTCATGATCCTGCTCTAACTCTGGAAAGTCTCAGGACTCACCAGCTCCAGACCTGTGTACAGAGTGATTACTTTTGCAGAGCCGAGGAATCTTCCGTGGATGAGCGGCAGCAATGACGATCTATTTGCTGGATATCAAAATCAGCAGAGACCTTTTTACATACCTCCAGGTGCGATCAAGTTCCACTCTTAGCGATGGCGAAGACGACGCGCAACAAAATGAAGATGCCATGAAAGCTCTTGCAGGACTTCGCGAAACCCCACTTGCTTTCGCTTTTCTTTATTTCGCAACTTGCCAAGAAATCAGAAAAAAGCTCGCAAGGTCCAGGAAAGCATCAGTTGCCTTTTCCTCTTCAAATACGAGTTCATTTTTTGGACAATGTCCTGCTTTGCTTCATTGGCTTCTTAGCAGTGCGGACGCACTGAGCCAAGTCACACATTCCGCCACAGATCCTCGACATCAGACCACTTTAACCAAGTGAGATCGTACTTTTCGCATTCTCGCTCCATCAATTCGCGGAAATGGGCAGTTACTCCAGCGTGTTCGAGCCTTTCTCCGTTGGTCTTGAGATCCTCGACCTCTTGTAGCGGCTGCATGATTGGCTGGAGATCATGGTCGATGTCCAGCTCCTGGAGCAGCGCAGAGAGGTATCGCCAAGCTTTCAGAAGCATTTTCATCTTCGCGTCCATTTGGTGGACAATGTGCACCCGGAGTGTGTTCTCGAGGTCTTTGCGTGCAGACGCGACATCGTATACGAGCGGCTTTGTCCTCAGGCGTGCCAGAAAGAGGCATGCGTGTGGCGAGAGGCATTTTTTCAACGTTCTGCAGCCGAGATGCTTAGCTTCGATAGCAGAGGACATCTCCGCCAAGCGGCCTTTGCTCGCAATGCATTGGATGAGCAATTTCATGTAGTCGCGGAAACGGTCTGCAGTACCACGATCATTCGCATCGCAAACGATTCTCAATGCCACCCAATCGAAATCCACGGCAGCTATTCCCAATTCGAGCGTCTGCTGCAACAGGGCGAGGTAGACTTCCCTGCTGGTGCTCATCCCGGCGAGGTCGTGGCCCTTGTCTCCCTCGTTCTCGTGGTCCTCGTCTACCTCGAACTCGTAACGATTACCGAAGACTTCCCTTGCGACCTTAAAGCAGAAATCTTCGCGAAGCGCTAAACTAAAGTACAGCCCACCACTCTGCAGCTCGTGCTTTCGCCACTCCTCAGCGCTCATCGCAACAGCTGCACGCACTAGATTCCATTGGCCCCGCGAATCCGGTAAAGGTTGCGACGCAGCAGCACGTGGTGGCTCATTCTGGACCAGGTGCGCGACCGGTATGCAACCGTTCCCGACGTACAGGAGGTCCCAATCTTTCGCCGGTATATTGGCGTAGATGCGGTCGTAGATGAACGCTTGCGCGTCTTCCACGGTTGTCAGACTGTCAACCACCCCGACCGTACGAGTTTCCCACTCCTCCGGCGATTCCTCCTTCGCGCGAGGACGCAGGTTGAACCCGCTGTGCGCGATGACGAACTGGTACGCAATTTCTCTGCCGAACTCCATCTCCGATCCCGCATCAAGAAAAGCACTCGGCGTCGCATCACTGTGCTTATCTCCTGCTGTTTCGCCTTGTTTTCCGTCCGCGGTGGCTTCTTCCCCAGAACTATCCCCGGCTTCGCTGCTGCCATCACTATGATTCGTGTAGTCAAGATCTGCGCCATCATCACACCAACTGTTCGCACCGTCTGAGTCGTCCGCCTCCACCTCATCGCGAATTTGGATCCAGCGGACCAAGGAGGGCGACGGAACCAGGTCCGTCTCCAGGTTGAGGAACAGCGAGAAGAAATTCGTGCTGTAGAGGTCGCCCACTTTCGACACCTTGCTAGGGTCAACCGTGATGGTGTGCTCGGTGCCGGTGAAATTCCGGATCCTGATGCGTGCTGTTGATGAGTGCGTGCTGGCGTCCACCGGGGACGCACCACGGAGTTTTTCTGAAGCTTGACTCATTGCCAGAGCAATAAAAAATCAATATACTTTTCTGGTTCAATAATGTAGCTAAACACTCACGGAAGTTCTAAACTTCGCTGCAATTCGTCCTTCGAGCGAGGAGACCAAAAAGCGGCCGAGCGGATTCAAAAAGCAAACGAAGCCGACGAATCGACGACCAAGATTTTCAAAGAGAGCAGTCACTCCTTCTGTCCCTCTCGTCTCTCGCCAAGATGTCTTCTTTCTCAGCACGATAACAATGATGAACAATCAAACCAGATCGATGTAATAATGTGTTCGCATAAAGCCGCGGTGAATCCTCAGGAAATGGGGAATACTCAGTCGATGTACCTTTTATGGTCAGAATGAGGAAACAAGAATGAGCACTCCAGGAGAGTGGTGATTGAATGAGGATTTTTGAATGGAATGGTTACGGAGCATGTCGCGCAGCACGGAGAAGCCCTGCAACCCGCGTCAGCGATTTCCGTTGCCCGGAATTCGCCCAGCGAGGCTCGGTTCTCGTGACACAATAAATTTGGTTTGTTGATACTCCTCTGTCACTAGCACAATCTCGCGATGAACTGGCGATTTTTCCGACGAGAAACGCTAGTCAACCGCTACTGTGAGTGGTAGAGGTATGAAATCGAAAATATCAAATCGTAGCCAGTTCTATCAAAAAAATCAGGTAGAGCTTTTGCAACGAAACATCGTAGTTCCGCAATAATAGTGCGACACTAAGAGCGTCACACCTGTGAAGGAGTTTGATGGTAGATAGACCTTTGTTCGGACCTCTACATGGAGGTTTAGAAGTTACGGCTTGTTGCCTTGCTCACGAGGAGCCACCTTAGGATTCGCTCTCGAAAAGGGTGATACCCTGGGGTCCACTCAACAAGCTAGGAATCATACAATAATTACCAGATATAATTTCTCGCATCAGAATAGTTAACTGCTCGAAAGTGCTGGAATCACAAGGATCATACAAGTTCAAATTCGTGTCTTGGTCTCGGAAACATGCATGGACAATTGTTATTTTCTTGAAACTATGACTCTGCTTCTGTTCTCCGGTGAAAGAAGAGGATGAACAGGAACAAAAAACTTACATAGTTATATCGAGAACAGAGAACCGTAAGAATGCACAAATAGGAGCTCAAAGACTGAAATAAATGCAGTCTTTTCATCTTGTCGTACCTCGTCCCTAACGCGAACGGAGCTTGCCCCTTCCCTTCCCACCCGCGCGAGCCGCGCCGGCGCCCTGCATGCGCTCCAACTCGTCGGCTACGAGTTCCTCAACGCCGGCAGCCGGCTGCAGACACACGGCCACCTTGGTGCACTTTTTCCCGACGCTGGCCCACATGGTGGACCTGTTTGCCATGCACTTACTGTTGCCGACGATGGTGAGCGACTCTTTCGCCCGGGACAGGGCCACGTTGCAGCGGTTCGGATTGCTGCAAAACCCGATGGTTCCCTCGGCGTTGGACCGGGAAGTGAGCAGGATGATGTGGTCGGCTTCCGAACCCTGGCAGGCGTCCACCGACACGATTTGCAACCTGTTTCCTGCAAGTTCATCTAGACCCGCCTTCCGCCACACCGCTTGCGCCAACCGCACCTGCGGCTTGTACATGCAGATCACGTACACGCTGCTGTTTGCACAGGCCTTCAGCTTGCGGGCCGCCTCGCGGACGGCGACCACCGTCTGGGCCGCGTTACAGAAGGACGTGCCCACCTTCGCTTCCGCTCCAGACACCTCGACCCAGCGGAGCCGGGGGTCACCCGCCGCGTCCTTCGTACCGCGCAGCCGCTGCTTGTTCTTCCCGGTGCGGAGCTGCTTTTGGTAGAACAACTCGGACACCAAATCGCAGATTTCCGGGGGCATCCGGTACTGCTCCTTCAAACTTTGCTGGTCCGCCCCCGCGTCGCCGCACCGCTCCATCAAACTGCGGTCGATCTGATACTCGCGGGGCGGATCGCCTTTCACGAGCGGACGCAACTGCTTCGTGTCCCCGAGCAAAAGCAAATTCTCCACGCCCGTTTCTGAGATTTATTTTTTTCCGGCGAATTATTTTTCCAGGTCTAATGGTACTGTACAACTGAACGAAGATACTGGTAACAAACTGTAAAACCACGCGCCTGACAAAGACAATGGCACGAGCTGCAAGTACACATCGCTACTCTGTCAGAACGAACGTGATGAGTCAGATCTTCAAATAATAGTATCTTCAAGTGTACCCAAGATGAGTGGAGTGTGGCTTTCGGCCGTGGCGCCAGCTTCGTCCAAAATTCCGAGCGTAATCTTGGGGAGGTCGTACTCGTCCTGCAGCTGCTTCATGCGGTAGCCGCTGGCGATGGTGAAGAGGAAGCAGGTCGTGCTGAGCACTATGCGTTTCGCTGCGGTCTTTTTCGCCCAATCGTATAGGCGGTCCACGCGGCGGAGGATGTGCTCCAATTCCGACGTCTCTCCCGTCAATACAACAACGCGGTCAGCCGCAAATCCGCAGTACTCTTCGGCTTCGTACTCGCGCAGATCGGTTTCGAGCTTGTCTTCCAGTTTCTTGTAGTCGGCAAGCAGCACCTTCTTTGTCTGCGTGGGAAGACTGAACGGACGCGGCCCGCGGGACACCAGGGACGCCAGCACGCCGCTCCCTGCCAGCCTCTCGCGCTCGGCAGTCTCGTGGGCCGCTTTCGCTCGGACGTACTGCTGTTCAAATTGCTCACGCACTTTTCTGCTGGCCACCACCGCGTAGTCTCGTTTCACCTTCTCTTCTAGGAGGTAGGGTTTCGCGTCCACACCCACGCGCTCCGCGTTCCCGAGAACAAGGGATCGAACGCCTTGACCTGTGAAACAAAAATGAAGAGTGTCCTCTTTAAAAAGCATGAAGATCACGCCTGCCCTCTCGGCGCGCAATTCTTGTTGGAACGAGCAGCGGAGTCAATCATTCCCCGGAGAGATGAAGGGTGCTAGGACTATGCTTGAAGAAGGAAAAGTACGTAGATGATTAGTCATTTTTGCATGTCGCTGTGAAAAAAAGACTGTGTCATTGATGTTGAGGTTGGAAAGTAGCTATACTGTGTAATAAGTACCTTCGCATTTGTGCAATTTCTCCATGATGGCATTAATGGCCTGGTTGGTGACGCAGGTAATCAAGGCGGCGCCGTTTTTCTCTCCCCGTCCCGCCTGTTGCATCGCGTGCACGGTGTGGTAGATGGTGGTGCTCTTGCCGGTGCCCGGAGGCCCCTGCGCACAGGTGATCCGATTTTCCCCGATGGAGCATACCAAGCGTTCTTGCTCTGGATTGCTGGGAAACGCGCCGGGGCAGAAGCGCGGCACCTCGCAGGTTCCGCCGGCTTGCTGGCTCGGGCTCAGAATCGCCTTCAGCAGCGTTTCGTCCACGCGGGGGGATTCCCCGGTCGCGATGCGGCGGGCGGCACCGAACCGACCCAGATAGTCCTTCCCCAGAGTGAGCAGCTCAAAGCGGTAGCCAACCATGTCCCGCCGCGAATTCGCGGTCTCACGGTCCAGCGCAGACGAGCCAGACGTGTCCGGACGCCGCTTCCCCCGGACGGAGATGCGGCTGAACTTCGGTTGAATGTAGCTCAGGATCTCGTCCCTCCCACGCAGTTTCACCTCTCCCTTCCCCGTTTCCACGTACAAGGTTTTATTCCCAATCATTTCGACTACCTTGCCCTCGGTCCCGACGGGCAGCTCCTTGGATCCGGCATTGTACGCTTTCACAAAGCGCACCAGGTCGCCTTCCCGGTAGTCCGCGCTCGGCACCAGCTCCACACCGGTCACCAACCTAGAAAAATTTTCCTCGTAAATCGCGCCCCGGGCACGTGGAAGACAGCAGCCCGAATAATTCCATCAACCTTCTACGGCACTTTTTATAGCAATTCACTAGCAGCATGAGCATGCATAGTACATGATACAGAGCGTTGTTTTACGAAAAAAACATGAAAGAAATGTTTGTTCGGAGCTCTCCCTCGATGATCTTTTTTAGGATATGTACCAGATCTCCTTTGTGTTGGCGTTCCGCATGAGGAAGTCCTTGCTGCCCTGCATGATTTCGTACCAGTTTTCGAAGGAGCGTGCCGATTCGCCCACGCGCTCGGCCACGAAATACCCGCTATTTTTGTCGCACGACTCCGAGACGCGAAACTCGGCTTCGGGCTTAGTGTCCAGACAGTCGACCGCACACTCCGCCACCACGTTTTCCATATGCGTCGCGGCCCAGGTGGACGTGGCGTCGGGCGGGTACGATGTCTTCACCTTCTTCCATTTGACGATCTGCGAGTCCCCGCGCACCTTCTCTAAAGTGCTATTCAAGTCGTCCAGAAACGCGTCCGTGCTTGTCAGCGCCGCGCCGCCGTTGGCAGTGGGGCTGCTGCCGGTCATAGACCCAGCTTTTTTACCGCCTTCAAAAGTCTTCCGCGATCCGAAAAGACTTTCATCAAAAAATTTCATCTTGATGGTGTTTTTTCGACAAAAATGTTGTGTCCTGGTGTATCAAAGAAGCTGTGTGAGAAACTTTTTGCTCCCGTGAATGGAAAGTTAGAGGCCGTTGTCAGGCAAAGCCAAAACAAAGCCAATAAAACTGGTGAGCCTGAGGTAGCGTAGGGCAAAAAAAATACCAAGTGATTATACAGAAATATGCAGGGGAAATTATTGCAATTTACAAGGGTGAAATTGCGAGGAGATAGAGGCAGTGAGCTCCTTCGCGAAAGATCCCTCGTGCACGCGGATCTCGTAATGAGGATCCTTGTCACAGTTTCAAGATCGACGCCCTCGAAAGTTCCACGTCTGTTGTCGTGTGTTGAATTCCAAACACTAGTATAGAGCGAAAAAGGATCAATCTTTTTAAAGGCGAATAAAGAGCTGGGACAGTGTACTAAAAAAATTCCACGATACGTATACTTCGAACAACAGCTGATATCTACACGCACGTGCCATACATAGTGCCAGATCATGAAGATCTTGATGTTGTGTGAAGCTCTTTCAGAGACTCAGCAGACTGATCAGGCGTTGAGCGAGGGAGCGCGACAGGCGAGTCGTCTGAAAATGTGCGGCCGTTGAATTCGCGAAGTGCGACGTCAGTGACAAACAAGATGAAACACGCCTGCACGCAGCTAGACCTGGACTCACAGGATGTTGCTTTGTTCGTGCCACGACTTGTCAGCCGCGCTGACGCACTGACTCTATCGAACGTTGCGCCAAAAATCCTCGACGTCAGACCACTTTAACCAATCAATGTCGTGCCTTTCCAGTTCGTGCTCCATCGCCTCGCGAAAGAGGGCAATTACTACAGCGCGTTCTAGTTTTTCTCCGATGGTCTTGAGATCGAAGAAGTCTCGTAGCGGTTCAGCTTCAGGGAAGCATCACTTGCTGTTTTTTATTCTATAAATACAAGCTCATTTTTTTTTTGGGTAACGATTGGGAAACGAAGGAAACAGTAAACAAAGTTCGAGTCATCTTTTTCAGATGTAATAGTGGAAATACCGTTGGGACAGCGCCAACAGCAGGTGAGTAACGTTTTCATTTTTGACTCAAGAATTGCGCCACAAATCTTCGACATCAGACCACTTGAGCCAGTCGATGTTGTGCGTTTTCAACTGTCGCTCCATGATCTCGCGAAAGCAGGCGGTCACTCCAGCGCGTTCGAGCTTTTCGCCGTTGGTTTCGAAAAATTTGTTTTTGTACTCCTCCATAATAGGCTCCAGATCGCAGTCGATGTCGAGTTCGTCGAGCATTGCCGCGAACCGTTGGAAAACCATCAGACCCTGATCGCAAAAATTCAAGATTCTTGGGAGGATTTCGTCGCCGAGGAGTCTGCGTGCAGATGCGACAATTTGTTCTGGAGCTTGTTGCGACTGCACACCGGTCATCACAGTATTGACAAAGTCTCGCGCCGAAAAGAATACAATATCGCGGTGGCGGGACCCCCGTACGGAATACCTTAACTTGAAGTAGTCAAGCAGCTCCCCCATCTCGTCTGTTCTGGCAAGGCACTTGACGAGCAGTCTGATTCTGTTGTAGTCGTGGTCTTCGCGGCAGAGGTGTTCGTGGATTGCTTCCGCAAGAAGTGTGTAGTTTTCGTCGGCTGGTTGTCCCAATTCGAGCGTCTGCTCCAACAGTTCGAGATAGTCTGCAGACAGATGACCTCGATCATTGTTGATAAAGTATTCTCCTGGACGTGTCAATTCCAACGCTACGCCCACACAGAAGTCCTGTCTAAATTCGAACGAGAAGTACAGTCCATCACTTAACTTTCCGTGCTTTCGCCACTCCTCGCTACTCAGCGCGACCGCCGCACGCACCAGATTGCAGCGGCCGAGCGTCGACATGTCGGGCTGTAATACGTCCTGTTCGTCACCAACCGGTATGCAGCCACGCAGGACTTCCTCGTACTTTTCTACGGGCACACACGCGTAGACGCGGTCGTAGATGAATGCTTGCGCGTCGTCCACAGTTTTCAAACCGTTAACCGCCCCACGCACACGAGTTTCCCACTCCTCCAGCGACTCTTCCTCTCCGCGACGCAGGTCGTGTCCGCTGTGCGCGATCACGAATTGGTACGCAACCTCTCTGCCGAACTCTATCTCCGATCCTGCATCAAGAAAAGCACTCGGCGTCGCATCACTGTGCTTATCTCCTGCTGTTTCGCCTTGTTTTCCGCGCGCGGTGGTTTCTCGCCTAGTTGTATCGTCCCCGGCTTCGTTGCTGCAATCACCTCCAGTGTAGTCAAGATCTGCGCCGTCATCACAACAACTGTTGGCACCGTCTGCCTTGTCCCCATCCACCTCATCACGGATTTGGATCCAGCGAACCAATGAAAAAGGTGGAACGAGCTCCGTCTCCAGATCGAGAAACAGGGAGAGGACGTTCGTGTTGTAGAGATCGCCCACCGTCGACACTTCGCTCGGGTCTACCCTTACCGTGTGCTCCAGTCCTGCAAAATTCCGGATCCGGATTTCCTCCGTGGATGAGCGCGCGTCGACGTCCATCGGTGGCGCACCGGAGAGCTCTGCTACAGCTCCTTGAGAGGTCATTATTGAGTTCAAAATCGGTCTAAGAAAATACCTGCACTTCTAACTCCGAAACACTGGAAAATGTTGTAAAGGTTGACCTCTAGTTGAGCGAGCAACGAAACCAAGAGAATCGGCAGAGAAATCTGCGAGTCGAAAACACAAAACTGCTCCGACTTCCAAACTCGGTTGCAGTCTCTCAAGAGATAAATTCGAAAGATGAATCAAAGGCGATCATCGACAAGCAAGCCCTCTCAAGTGCTCAGTCCTCTCAAAAGGATACTTTAATCTTATAGTGGAAATCTTTTTTCAATCGGGACGAGCGGTCAGGAATGGAACAACGAGTAATCAAAGCACAATATCAACTGTAAAAATGTCTGGGTCTGGAAGAATCCAATTTGTCATGCTGGTTTTGGATTGTAAAAAAATCTGTATTGCATGAGCAGCAAGAAAGAGAGTCCAAGTTTTGCTGCGCTGAAAGAGCATTTGTCATGCGGTATAGGCATCAGGTAGCCCTCGCAAAATCTGTGATGCTAGGGCATGCATCACAGACGTCAGGGGTCATGCAAAACATGCATGACAAACCTGGCAATCTTCCAGACCCAGACATTTTTACATTTGATACACAACATCCATTACTTATCAACAACGTACTACAACAAGACTACAGCGTTAATACTGCTTGCCTCAAAAAAGACGGGTTTTATTGATTGCCACAGGCATCCTTGAATGATCTCTTCGTCGTTTATTTCTTGATTTCCTCATTCCATTCCCCCTACTTCTACTCGCTCCACAAAGCTGGAGTTCGATGGTCCGTCGTTGCCCCTAGCGCATCCACAAAGCTGGAGTCGATCATGTTGCTGTCAACTTCCCAAGATCGTATCAAATCAGATTGTTCAGAAAGAACAGTACCAAAATTGTGATTTCACGAATACCTTGCATTGCGTGTGCGTTTCCTTTTCCAGCTGCTGGCGATACTTTCGGGTATGCAAGAAAAAAGAGAGGTCGTGCACTGAGAGAACTTCTTCTTCTGCCTTACAAGAGCCCTCTACTACACGGACTCTTAGCTTCTTTCGAATATCGACGAACATGATGATGGATGACGACTCAATAGCACTGCTTCAGTTGTACTGATAGATACTACACAGAAAAATCCAGCGTTTGGAAGTACTTCTACCAGGTACATCTTCATTTCTGGAACGAGAACTAGAACTTACATACTTACTATTCTCTACGGCAGAAGTTGTTCAACACACCTTCGCGCAGCTGGTTTCTTGCTCGGATACAGGGTGCTTCGCGAAGTTACCCAGTATCGGTTGTAGTGGGCTCGAGGTTGCGGCCTCGAAGCAGCGCGGACCCAAGAGACAATCGGCCGGTCCGAGGTTCCCGCCGGGCAAAAAAATCGCAAGGACATTATTCATACTGCGCTCTGAACACGGTGCAGGCGTCCTCTTTAGCTGTTGTAGCCATACGTCGCCTCCAACGCTTCTAAGATAGTCAAACTGTAACGTCGCCCCCTTCTCCGAGAGCCCCGTCGTCTCGTAGTCTCCACACTGCGGGGAGTACTCTTCGTGCGAGGTGAAAAGTTGTAGCGGTACAGGAGCCTGGTTCGATACTTAATCTGAAGTGGAAGTCTTGTTTCTCTCGGGACGAGCGGTCAGGAATGGCAAAACGACCAATCAAAGCGCAACATCCATTCAAGGACGTAGTACTGCTTCCCTCAAACAAGAGGGCATTTGATTCATCACATTATTGCATTCGTTCTTTGTCGTCTATTTCTACCTGATTTCCTCATTGCGTTCCTTCTTCTACTCGCTCCACAAAGCTGGAGTTTGATGTTCCGTCGTTGCCCCTCTCTCCCACCTCACCTCGTCCTGTAGTACTCAACGTCCCGGTGGAAAAATCCCACCGTGCGCGACTCGTTACCTTCCCGCCACCTCCGAACCGCTCCAACACTTCTTGCACATTTCGCACCACATTCTTCCATAAACTTTCCATGCTAGCCCGCACCATGTCCACGAAGTTTCTTCCCAGGTCGTAAAACAGCTGCACGCTGTCGTCGAACGCGTTTTGCAGAAATGTTTCCACTTTCTCCAGCAACACCGGGTTCTGAAGCAAAATCGTCACCACGCCCGGTATCAGAATGGAAAACGTGACGCCCAAAATCGGCCCGGACAAGCCGCTCGTAGCCACCGCGGCGGAAAGGATGAGCGCGAGGAAGTCGCACACCAGCGCGATCAGACCGGCCCGGAAGGTTTGCACAATCAGGAACCGAACGGTGCCGGTGAGGGAGTTGGGGGATAATTCTGAAATCGCGGTTTTCAGCTTGGAGTAGATGTTAAACTGGTGGAGCGCGGCGAGGTAGTTGGAGAAGGTGGAATTATGGGACGGAATGGGAGGTGTTGTAGTATCATCGGCGGATGTCCCAGTAGTTGTCGTGTTGTTTTTCATGCTGCTCTTTATTGTTCCTGATGCACGATCTTGTGAAACTGGTAGTGCCGGTAGTTGGTTTTTCCGCAACGTCGACGTTGACTGCTCCACCTCTGGCTGCTCTTTGCTATGCTCTTTATTCTGTTTGGAGGAAGCGCTACCACTTTCCGCACCAGTTGTATCACTTCTATCGCTAATTGAAGGGCGGGTATCTCCTTTCGCCCCTTCCGACGAGTCCGCTGGAGATACGTTTCTTGCTCCTGCATCTTCATCCCGTACAACTATCGCTTTTGCCGTGGGACGAGAGGCAGATGTAGTTGAAACAGGCTTTGACGTTGTCTTAGGCGCGGTTTCATCTTCCTTGTCTCCTTTCCTACTTCTCTGGGAGCTTTTGCTACTTCCAGCACGAGTGGAAGTAGAACTGGAGCCAGCACTTCGCCGACCGGACTTGCTGCTTCTCGAGGCGGTTTTCCCCGTGTTCTTGCTACCACCTGCCGAACCAGCATCGTCTGGCTGTGCTTTCGACGAGCTGCTAGTGTTACGCCTACTAGTGGTACTTGCTTTGGAACTCCGATTTCTCGTACTGCTAGAACTCGAACCCTTGCTTGATTCTGCTGCTGAAGGTTTCTTGGATTTTTTGTTTCTCGAAGTAGTGGCCGCAGAGTTTGAAGTGTTCCCTTTTTTACCTCCAGGTGCTCGTCGCGAACGCGAAGATTTCTTGCTCGATTCGTCCGCCTTTCGTCTAGTAGATGCGTTATTTGCTGGTGGCTTCGAGTTATCCCCCTTGCCGCCAGCACGCACAATATCCTCGGCGTCAGCTTTTGCCAGCATCACCAATCGCAAGTAGGAGGACGGAGAAGTCGTCCACCTCTCGAAAAAATCTTGGGGATAAACAATACTTTCGCTCTTGCGGTCCTTCCGTTCCAGGAAAGCAGAGCTAGTTGAAACTGCTGCACGATCGCCAGCACGACCAGGAGTAAAGCCATCCTCCCCCGAAGAAGTAGTAGACCGTGCGTCCAGAAAGTCATCTAGCTCTTCCAGCTCCTTCGTATCCTTCAAATGTTCCAGATTCGCAGCGAGCTTAGCTGAGTCAGAATTTCTTGCAACCTGTTGCTCTTGTCCCCCTTCCGATTCTTGTCCCGTCCCCTTCGCGGTCGCAGCGGTAGAAGGTGTTCTTGAATCCAGTTGTCGGCTGCTTGTCGATGTAGCAGCATGAGGCGAATCTTCTTCTTCCCCCCTTCGCAGCTCCGCGACAATCTTTTCCGCGACGAAATCTTGCTTTTTGAAGAACAGATTCCAGACCAAGTTCACCATGGACTGCAGCGCTTTCGCAACAATGCTCTTCGCGAACCGGAAGGTCTCCTCGAAGAACGATTTCATACGCACCAGCTGCTGCAGCGCCGCATCCAGCGCGGCCCGCAGCACCGGCCCCAGGGCCGCAAAGGACGCGGTGGCCACCGTACCGTGCACAAACCCGGTGGCGCCGGTAATCACCTGCACGCTGTTCACCATCAGGTTGGCACTGCGCCGCGCGAGGTTGTTTGCCACCTCCGCGCCCATGCCCTGGATCAGGATTCCGCCCGTTTTGTCGACGAAGGACTGCAGTTTGTCGAAAACAAACTGGCTCGCGTGTTTTAGTGTGGAGACGATCGAAGTTTTGAGCTGCGCCAGGCCATCGGAGGTCGTCAACATTTGCGAGATTTCCTTCGCTTTAGCGATGCCAGCAGAAAACAGCTGCCTCGCGTTGTCCTGCAGCATTGTCACCGTGGTGAGAAAATTCTGGAAAAACGACTGCTTAGCCGGCGCGTCCGCGTCCGGTGCGCATTGGTTCGACAGCTTTGGCACCGGTCCATCCGTAATCACGGCGCTCCCCGTCGGCGTCAGTTCAAACTGCGTAGTTATCTCCCCGCTTTGGAGAAAGGTGGAGTCAATTTTCATCTCAGAAAACGAACTAGAAGTAACTGGCCCCCCCCTCGCAGAATTGGATGTATTTGCATTAGTGGAAGAAGTAGTACTAGTGCCAGAACGACCGCCAGCTTCCTCATAGTCACCCACTGCTGGACACTGTTTCTGCCACGTTGGGATGATTCTCCAAACGGCATTGACCGTCAGTTCCATCCCGCTTTTCGCCACCGTCTGCACTTTTTCCGCGAAATCGTACGCCCTTTCCTTTACAGCGTCTTTCACCAAATTGAAGACCCAGTCGAATGTTTCCTTCGACTGGGAGATTTTGTTGCCGAGTTTCACGAAAAAGTTCCCAATGTTTTCGTTCGTCAGACACTATGAACTGCAAAAGTATCGTACTCGTGTAACTGCATTACAAATTTCCTCAGCATGAGAAATGAAAATTTGTAATGCGGATTTACCTATACCTTGAGAAAAACTTTTGTAATGCATGATTGCAATACGAGTACGATACTTTTGCACTGGATAGACACAACGCGTCCACCGCAGCTGCGAACTTTTGCTTCAACAAAACTTCGTTTTCCTTGAGCAAAACCATGATCGCGCCGGACACCGCCGCCTCCAGAAACCCGACGATCACCCACTGGACGAGCGGGATGAACGTGAGACCGGAGAGCGCCAACTCCACCATGTTATGCATTGCAAATATGTCTGTGCCTGGAAGGATGCAAGAAGGTCTGTCGTGCATATTTCGCATGCTCCCTGATGCCTGTAATGCAGGGCTTAGCGTGACAGATGATGTGTAGAGGGCTTGCTTCTTTATCTTTATGCCTATTCTGCATGAGAAATGCCCTCTCCGCGTAGCGCAAAGAACTGGACCTCTCTTGCTGGTCATGGTGCAATACAGATTTTTTTCGAATCCAGAGACAGCATCACAAGTTGCAACCTTCCAGATCCAGACATATTTGCCGTGGATCCATGTCCGCGAGAAACAAAACGATCCAGGAGATCGCAGCTGGGTAAATGTAGGCGTGCCAGTAGTCGGTGATGGAGTTGGAGAGAAACTTTTTGATCTTCCCAAACCCGGCATTCCAAATGTTTTTCACATTTTGCCACACGGATGCAGTGGAATTTGTGCTTAAGGTTCTGTTCAACTCTAGCTCGTTCTGGAGTTCTTCTTCTCTTGTGAGAATAGATCTACTATACTGACCTCCTGCTCCGCGCATCCAATCCGTGAATTTTTCCCACTTCCGCCCGATGTTCTGCCTTGTGTCGGCCAAGAATTTCCTTGTGTTGTCCTTCGCGGCTTGGAAAGCCGTTGCGGTGTGGTTTTTCGCCTGGTGGTATGCGGAGATCGCGGTATCTTTCCACTCCGCCGTTCTGTTCGCGATCTGGTCGCGCATTTTCTGCCAGGAGAAGTTGTTTATTACACTATTCTCCGGCAGGAGCCAGGAAGAGAACTTCTTCTGGTTTTGTAGTTGAACTTCCAGCGCCGACGCGGTCCTCGGAAGGGCTTGATGTGGGCCGGGATCTGTAGTCGTGGTTCTTCGCGAAAAAGGTCGGTGGGAGTCGTGCTCGTAGTCTTTACTTTCCCTACTGAATTTGGCGGTAACTACAGCAGAAGCACCATCAGGGTGCTGGGCATCATCCACCCTTTGTTGCTCCTGCTTCTCTGCATCGGCGCTCGTCGTGCCGCCCTCGTTATTCACAACAACAGCCGTTTTTTCGACAAAACTCGCTCCAATCCGTGTCCCTTCCTGGGCCTTCCCCCCCAACGGTGGGGCTTTCTTAGCGGCAGGAACAAAGGGGCTCTCGTCCACCGGGTTGAACATCGTTCCAAAGACCGTCGCCGTCTTCCCCCCTCCCTCTTCATCCGCAAGAAAAACCCGGTCCCGGCCCATCCACCCCGCCTGCATCGACTCGAAGATGGACCGCAAATTTCTTTATCAAATGTAAAAATGTCTGGGTCTGGGAACTTGCGATGCTGGGCGGCGTATCATGATGAGGCTACAAATGCTGGCTCAGCATGACAAGTGTCTGAGCTCCTAGGTGTTGCCTATTCTGCATGACAAGCTGCGCTTCTGCATCACAGAAAAACGGAGCTCTTGGGTAACGTGCATGGCAGTTTTAAGAGTCATGCCAGACAAGCATGACAAATGTTGCATTCTTCCAGACCCAGACATTTTTACATTTGATATCCTTCTCGTGTAGTCGAAAAACTGCGAAATGAAGTCCAGCGGCGAAAAAACCCGCACCGCCACACTGTTTGCCGTGTCCAAAATCGCTCCGAGCGCGTCCGTATCAAATGTAAAAATGTCTGGGTCTGGAACATTCTGACACTTGTCATGCACGTTTTGCACCTTGATATTCCCGATTCACACTCGGGGGAACTGGAACTTTCGCGAGACCAAACGAGATGGCAAGCGAGGTCCGCGCGCCCCCCCTGGAGGTGAGATGCGAGGGTGGCCCTGTATTGTGATCTGCAATCTGCATTAGACCACACAGGAAATGAGGAAGTTGGAGAAGGATCCTAGATGATCATGAGCGACACTATGGAACGCTCCAACAACCTCAGCCAACCACTGCCCTCGCATTCACAAGAGACCTGCCAAGGCAGACTCAACTCCGGAGAATCTTCCCGAAGCCGACCTCTAAGTTCGGCCTGGTCGGCAACGAGGCAATGTCCTCAGGGGCCGTTAGGAACCTCCCGAAACAACCGTCAACGAGCTCCAGCGCCAGGAAGCCGCTGACGAGAGAAACGCACAGACTGTTCCCAATGGCAAGAACAGAAAGGCAGGGACATAGGTGAACCGACAGTGACACCAACTCGACCAAGGTAACCCAGAGTTCCAGACCCGGGGAACACTGGGGACCACGCGGCAGAAGCGCAGCACAAAGACGCCTGAAGTGTTCCCATGCATGAGCCCTGATGTGTGTGATGCATGCCCTAGTAGCATCACAGATTTTTCCAGAGCCTCTTGATGCCTATTCCGCATGACAAATGCAATGCCCTCTCCGCGTAGCAAAAATTACATTCCTTTTGGTACTCACGCAATACAGATTTTTTTGGAATCCAAATGCAGCATGACAAGTTGCATTCTTCCAGACCCAGACATTTTTGCATTTGATAGTCCGGGATGTACACGCGGAACACCAGGCGGAAGACCTCCGGGAGAACGAGCGCCAGCCCGGGTAATATTTGCGCCACGCCCGGGAGGGTCGCGATGGTCACGGAGGTAAGTTGCGAAAACCAGGCGGCCAGCTTCTCGATGACCATGGTGGCGAACAGGTGGAACCGCTCGCTGCCGATCAGAAATTGGAGGAACACATCGCTTATCAAGTGCAAAAATGTCTGGGTCTGGAAACTTGTGATGCTGTGTGGCATATCATGAGGAGGCCACAAGCACAATTGCTGGCTCAGCATGACAAGTTTCTGAGCTTCTAGGTGTTGTTTAATCTGCATGACAAACTACGTTTCTGCATGACAGAAAAGTGGGGCTCTTTGTTAATGTGCATGACATCGGTGATCTACGGGCAGGCTGTCCCGGTGGCGCTTTGGCCAATCGTACAGAGAAAAAACAAAAAATAACAACACAAGTTAGGTAGGAATACATGTGAAGGTTAAGATTGAAGTCAAAAGTCGTAGAGACATTAATAAAGTAGTTCCTACGGGCATGGTCACGATTGGGCTTTAGTGGGTAGAGCAACGAATTGTTACACTTCTATCCGCTGGTCAAGTACGAGGAAAACGAGAGCAGCATCGAAGAAGGGAAAGGCGCGCAAGCAGAGCAGCCCAGCAGCAGCAAAAAATCAAGACAAGAAGCAGACTACCGCCACCCGGGGTCCTACCCGACCGAAAACTGTACTGGTATGGGCCAACATACCACAAAAGGTACAGAAGCAGGGTAGGTGCTCGCGTAAAGAGAAAGATGACCAAACCTACAGCGCCCGAGGGTGCATGCTCACCACTGTAGGATAATCTCTTTACCGTCTGCCAGCAGACAAGCTGCTGAAAAACAAGGAAGTGCAAAGCAAAAAACAGGTTGGAGCCAGCAGGCCAACCGCAACAAGACATCCACCCAAGCGATTGGAACCAGCAGGTCAATCAGAGCAAAGCAGCAGAGGTCATGCGTCGAGGGCCGGGCACGCGCGAAGAGAAATGCAGCATCTACTTAAACGTTGTGGGTCGTGCAACGAAGGTAGTTCAACGGAATCTCAGTGGAGTGATTGACGTAGTTCAACGCATTCACACGAAAGACGTACCGAGTGATAGCGTGCACTTATCATCATGAGAGCGCAGAACTAATCGCATATAGTGTTTGCTTTTTCGTTGTAACGACAGATTTAAGAGTCATTTTTCGTTGTTAATGTGCATGACAGATTTAAGAGTCATGCCAGACAAGCATGACAAACTTGCATTCTTCCAGATCCAGACATTTTTACATTTGATATCGCTGCTGAAAAGCGAAAAGTCACTCGAGAGGGTCAGGTTCGTCCGGTTCGCGATGTAAAACTGAATTTGCGTTTGGTAGGAGCTATCAAGTGCAAAAATGTCTGGATCTGGAAGAATACAAATTTGTGATGCGCATTTCAGACAACAGAAAAATCTCTCATGCATAGGCAGCAAAAGTTGCCCACGTTCTGTCACCAAAGTGGGGGATTTGTCACGCGGATTCGGCATTGCGCAAGCTTCTCGAAGCCTGTGATGCTAGAGCTTCCATGCCAGACCTTCTGTGTCATGCAACAACAGCATGACTCTTCCAGACCCAGACATTTTTGCACTTGGTAGGAACTCATGGTCTGCGACACCGCCTCAATCTTCGTGCTCAGCCACTGTCGCTGCGCCTTGTCAGCGATGGTGGAGGAGAGTCCAAGCGTTGCGTTTTTGATGCTGGACACCGTGTCGGACGCTTTCGACGCCAAACTCCGAATAGAAGCGGTGGCATAGTTGAAAAAATCGCTTTTCTTCAACATCGTGACCGCTAGCTTGTTTCTTCGCTCGCGTCTCTTGTTCTCCTGTAACAAGTAGAGGACTGAGCTGGCAGACAATTTTCGGGCTCGTAGTGGTCTCGCATGCAGTTCGTGAGGGTCGTGAGATTTTTGTTCCAAGGTGGTGTCGCTATATACTACTTCGCGGTGGTCCTCGTCGTGGTTGTGCCTGCTTTCAACTAGAGGCCGTCGCTCCTCCGGTGTGAACGAGGAAAAGCTCTCCGGAAAAATTTCAGCTGCACTGCTGGCCTCGTCCGCAGCAGCGGTGTCGTGCTCGTAACTGGAATCGCGGGTCCTAGTGGCATCCGCGAAGGTAGGAAAACTGACGTACAGTTGGAGGTGCAGCAGAACTGCTAATTTCAGCAGTAGTTCACACGGCGACATTTTCCGGCTCAACTTGGGATGATCGCAGGGCCGGCTCGCTACCTCCGCCGAGGTGGACCAGGGGTCTTTACAGACGATTCATCTTTGCAACCTAACTGACAATTGTAATTCACTTTCACATCGATGTTTTTAGACGCGAAATAGGATGAAAGAGTGTGGTTGTACACCACCAAATGAAAGGGAGTTTATTCAAAATCAAAAAATAGCCATTTTACAACTTCTGGTCAGAAGTAGGTACACTTTTAGTACCAAATATAGCCGCCGGGGCGGGGGTAGTGAGGTCGTGGGCGTTTTTTTGCCGACCGCTGCCTTGGCCGCGGCTTTGCTTTTTCTGGGCTCGCCATACCGCCCTGAGTCACGTTATGCCGCACGGTATGGCGGTCCCTTGAGAAACGTCACAAATTTCAGCACATTTGCAAAGCCCCTTTCCGAAGGCCAGCCCCCATGCTATGGGGCCGATCCGGGCGCCACGGGGGGCGCCCAAAAAGCGAAGAAAAATCGGGCCCATAGCATGCGGATTGGCTTTGCGCGTGCGGGCCGCTTTTTCTTTTTCGCGTTTTTATTTTTCACGCTGGCGCTTTTTGCAAAGCTTCCCAGGCTCTGAAACCGGCGAAAAGGCGGCCGCTTTCGCGGCCGCCCAAAATGCTCCGAAATCGCGGCCGTGCCATGCTGTTTCGCTGTTCTGATTTTGGGCGTATTTTTTGCGCGCCCCTTTTTGGACGCCCCAAATCGCCAGAAACTAAGGCGGTGGGCGCCTCAGAAGGGCGCCCCTTTTGCCAGCTCCCCTGCGTCGTTTTATCAAGTGCGAGTCGATAGCTTTCGACCGGGCTTGTTTGACGGCAAAGCCCCGCGCGCTTGATAATTGAAAATTTTTTATATCAAAAAACGCTTCCGGCCGCTTGAAAACTGCCGGCCGTTTTGCTGTCTGGGTGGCAAAAAAACTCCCCGGTTAGAACCGTTCGGTGACCTCACTACATACAAAAAAACACGAACTGTGATAAAGAATCTTACTTTATCCTCCACAGAAGACGAGACCTTCGAAATGGACCGATAGAGAGGATCAAGCGACACGGCACGATGATGGCGATAGTAGAGAAGTCGTCTGACTGTGACAGCACGATGACGATAAAGCACTACCTACCCTGTGAGAACGTGATTGAGGTTGTAATACCTCTCCACCTACAAAATAAACCCTGCGCACGACAAAAGCGACCGACCAGAGCGGCGACCGATACCTCGTTTCACAGAGACAGAGAACTAGACTGCACCGAGTCTAACGCAACACGACGGTGAGGACCCTGATTTAGGAAGACATGTCTCTTATAGAATCCTGGTGATACTGCTCGTCGTTTCGTCTAGGAAAAGATCTTGTGTGCGCCGCCCCTTCACCCTCTGGAAAGAAGGCCACCACTTTGAAAATAAGTAGAGCTGTGCACCCCTCCAACTCAGATCCATCGTACCCACTTATTCTGAAAGTGACTGGCGAGCAAGGGGACCTACCAGTAAAATTTCCTGGTATTAGGCAGCACAACATCCGTGCTCTCCAGACCGAAATCGGACACAGAGAAAAGTGAAACACAAGAACAACGGACATAGTTCTTGTAATCCAAACAACCCAATATTTACTGTGCTGTCAAGCTTCCCAGCCTTAGCTTCGCCCAGTCACAGGACGGCATCACATTATCACTGTTCTACAAAAAGCACGGGCTTTGTCTACAGAAGTTGATTAAAACTCATTCTCCGTGTGTCTTTCAGATTCTCCCACTGGATCGAATTGTGTCCTACTGACCTTCTTTCATCACGAAACGCTGAACGGAATCAGGAGCCTGCGACATCAAAGGGACCGGACCAGAAAAAGGAATAAGAAATAGGTTTTGTTATTTTGGAAACCAGTGCAGCACTGGTTCTCTTCACGAGATCGATCCAGGTAGCAACCTCGGTTAATCATCCATCTCGCGTAACCTCGCCAATGATCTCCTCATCAACTTCGCCTTCCCTGGCCAACCTCTCGCGACAATCTCCTCGAGCGTGCAAGGCAGATTATTCTCAGCGATCATCGCCTTAATTTCCGCCGCGACCCCGCATCGCTCCAAGGCCCGCAAAAAGGTCATCTCCCTACAATTTCCTATAATTTGTTGGTATGCTGCAATTTCCGTCGCAAAGCCAAGGTCCAGCTGGAGGGCTTTGGCTTCCTTGTCGACCAATCGCAGGCAGATTGATGCAACCGGGAAACAAGGGAGCTTCTTTATCAACGGCCTCCACCATTGGCGCCGGTCCAGGTCCTCGCGGCACTGTATAAACAAGAGTACGAGTGATTACCGACGAAAAAAAAATTTTGCACAAATACGAATTTAGAACTGAGAGCGAAGTACACCAATCGACCTCCTAGGCTTCGGGCGCGAAATGAAAAGCCTGGCACTTAAGTGCGTAACAGACGAAGGAATCATCAGCTTAACAACTTGAGTCAACAAACCATAACACTAAGTATACCTCCAAACGAGCAGAGGGCGTGGAGATGTCCCTGGATACAAAAGTTTTCCAATATCTCGACATCTCCTCTAATCCTATTGTCTTCTGCAGCCGCGAAGAAAACTGGTGCTCTTCGCCCTTCGCCTTGAGTGCGTCCAGTAGCGTCCGCACGACCGGAGCAACGACGTCGCTAAGCATGCCCGGAAAATCGTCGTCCACACCAGTGCCGGCGCTCCACTCCCACTGGTGGGATGTGATGACGCTGTAGGCAAGCCCGTAGATTGCATTCGCCGCCTCACCGGCTCCAACATCCACCGACTTCGCCGCAAGATGAGACGCCACCACAAAATCAGGGTCTGGATCTTCACCACCGGTGAGCCACTGCGAAGATGAAAAGAACCAGTGAAGAACCTCTTGTGCGTACGCGCCCCGACGCGCCCTCGCGAAAATGGCACCGCCCCCCGCGCGTTCATGCTTGTCGGCTTCCGCATCCGGTAACTCGAGCAGGGCACGACCGAGACCCCATGGTGCGGTGCCAAGCGGCAGGGATAAAAAAGCCCCTGCCCTGCTCTTTTCGGCTTCTCCTCCCACCTCTGAATCCCCCTCGAACAGAACCAGCCAGCTCTGATCGTACAGGAAGCTTCGAGCGCCATTTAATTCCATCCCTTGTAACAGAATATAGCTGAGGCGCCAGTCGTAGTCCCTTTCTGTTTCACCCGGCAGCCGCTCCAAGTTCACCACCGGCTCCACACTCGTGATGACGAACTGGTAGGCGCAGCACGCCTCGTAGTCGATCAATTCCTCGTTCGCCGCGACGCGCACAGTAGTTTCCTCAACCGCCGGCTCATCCTCCTCGCCACTGGGGCAGTAGTTGCTGCAGCCGTCGTCACTCTTATCCTCCTCGTCACCACCACCAGCCCCGCCCTGCCCTTCACTCCCTGCACCTCCTTCTTTCGGGCAAATCAGCCACTGAATCCGGTGGAGCGGCGGCAATAATTGGTCTTCGTCGAAGAGGGGTTCGATGAGCTTCCAGGAGGAAAGGTCACCAATCTTCACCACTTCCTGCGTGTTCACCTGGACCATGCAGCTCTTTGCCGCATTCCGAATCTCGAGGAAGGCGGCGGTCTCGACCGGCGCCGGTGGTGGAGGGGCGGAGGACATTTCTTTTGTTCGTTTTGTCTATCTTGCGTCGAAGTTCTTTGAAAATCAGGCTGAACAAGACCTGTGCGTCGTGATAAATGAATCGGAGATTTTCCCTCGAGGATAAGTAGACTGCAAAACCAAATCAATGTGAAAGGTGTGAGGATACGAGAATGAGAGTCCGCTTTTTTTCGAATCAAAAGGTTACTTCGCAAGTGCTCATAAAAGGAACTAAAAAAAATCGTGTGTGAAAAAGACGCAGAAAAACCTTTTGCAACAAATGACTATGTCGCGCGAGCACTGATCTTTTTTCCTTTCGATCGATGGATTCTTTGTCGCATGCGCGAAAGCGAACTGGCTGACGCTTTCCGCGTAAGTATACGTGCGCGTGCGAATATTGCGACACGTCGTGCTACAGGCGATTGATCACCATCTTGCGAATAGAACTAGTCATGATAGAACATGTCTTCTGGAGTGAACATTGCTTCAAGACAAGCACCCGCGCTCGTAGGGTAGAAGTACAACTTGATTTTTTCCTGCAGACTCTTATCAGCACGAGATCGAGAAAGAAAGGCAGGCTTCTTGATTAACAGTGCGGAAAAGAGTACTCGACCAAAGATTCCCTACTTTCATCGGTTCCAATGCGGGTGACAGCAAGAGCATTTACAAGGAACTGTTGCTTGCTTGTCCCCCTACCTCCTCGTCCACCTCACACCGCCGGTGCCTGCAAAAACGCAATGTCCCTCGCCTCCTCCAAGAGTGCCACCGTGGCCCCACTAGCGGTTTCCGCGAACGGCTGCAGCGTCGCTGCGGTGGCCCCGTCGCTCGGTCCGCTCTCCTCCTCTCCAATCGGGCCGGGGACAATCTGCGATAGCACGTAGTCTCCGCTACCGGTTTGGTGCAACAAAAACACGGTACTTTCGCCGTCCGTGGCACAGCTCTTCCCGTTCCGTAACCCCTGGAGGACAACGTGCGGGGAAGCTAAAGACGAAGCTTCTGTCCCACCCACCGCTGCTTCCGCCGTACTTCCGCCGCGGGCGGCGAGAAATGCCGGGGTCACATGGGTTGACGCGACAGCCTCGGGAACGGGTTTTGGGAATTTCGGAATCGCGAACAGAGCGTCGGAGCAGGAGGAAGCGGTGCCGGTCCTGGACGTAGAAGCTAATGTTGACACCTGTCCCGCTCCTGCCGCACCATTCCCACCTGCACTATTTCCAGCAGTAGCTGTAGCAGTCACCGGGCAGCTTTGCGCCAGGTACAAGAGCTGCTGGGCGTCGTTGCACACCACCGCGGACGAAGATGCGCTGTTGGTCACGGTTTGGAGCAACCCGTGCGTGCTTCCGTCGTCGGCGATCAAAAGCTTCTCGACGTCCCCGGTCGGATGTGAGGGGGCAAAAGTTCTTTTCGTTCCTCATTTTTGGACGCCAATGGAAGCAACGGCACAAATGTAGTTTTTGCATGACAAATTGATGTAAAATTCAACATGCTGTTTCGGCTCCTTCCGGATCATGAACCTGTCATGCATAGAAGTAGTGACAAGATGAAAGAGTTCATGTTCTAGTTCGCAGAACAAATCATGTATGAGGGAAAAAAATCCTGCACTCTCATACCGCTGCGCTGTGCGAATTCAGTACGTACACATCCAGATCGTCGGCGGAAACGGCGTTCGGCAACCCGTGCGTGGAGAATCACAGTGCACAACGTCCCCTCCCCTTCGCTTGTTAAGCATCAACAGCAATAGAAGCGTCGGCGAGCATGCAGCTTTTGCATAAAAGGGAAGGAAAGTTGCTCCGTGTCATATTGGCAGCGGAATTTCGTTCACGGGCAGTTTCTCGAAGGAGCGGAATTCCTTCAGTGCTAGTTTAGACAAATCCCTGCCACTGTACTTCAAAATCTTCCCCTCCGCGGCGTTCTCCGGCACACCGATGAACAGATCTCCCGACGCCGGGTTGCAATTCATATCCAGGATCTGTTTGCCTTCCATCAACGCTATCCTGTGTGAAAAATGTCACCTCCGTCCCGAAGTCACGTTCGAATTTCTGCTTTCTCCAGCTGACGATTAGGAACGCTTTTCATACAGATGCGCATCAGAAATGCTCCTGCAGTTGAAAGTCTGCATGACAAGTCTGGTTCAGACACGTTTTTCCTCAGGATAACCACCCGGGGCTCCTCGTCCAGTACCGACAGGCGGCCGAGCTGGCCGGCCGTCGGGCTTCCCGCAGCCGCGCTGTCCTCGTCCGCCTGCACCACCAGCGAGAACTGGAGAATCTTCGGCTTCTCCCGCAGCACAGAAGCGGTCGCGGTGGGGTCGTCGGGGGTTGGCGGAACCACGGCCACGTAGAGTTGGTTGCAGCACACGGCAATGGACGAAGAGTACCCTCCCGGAACCGCCGGCGACCCGTGGATCAGGGCGTGCTGAAATAGTGGAGATCGATACGGATACATAGATTGCAGCACCATCAATCACTCGTGCTCTCTTTCGAAGGTCAGTGACATAATCGACGACGGAGTCGTTGTGATCATTCTCATTGGATTATTTGCAACCATAACGACCTGTTGTACTACTTACTAGACGGTCTACCTTATTATCCCCGTCCGTGATTGCCTCCGACTGCTTCGGATCCACCTGAAAGTAAGAAACTCCGCTGTAGTCGGAGACCAGCAAAAACCGATACAAGTCCCGCCCATTCACCGGATTCGCTGCCACGCAGAATGGCTTGTCGTTGACCGCGTCGGTTTCTTCATTTTCTCCGAGCGAAACGAGAGACGAAATCGACGTCGACAAAGCGGACACTGTTGGTAAGAGAAAGGAGTTCCATTGCAGCAATAGAAAGGCGATTGGCTGCGAAAATACGAGGCGGTAGAGACAGAAGGTGGCGCACGACGACCGACCTCCCGGGGGAGGGTGCGCTTCCGACCACCGACGCATTGTCTTTCACCTCCCGTGTGCGCACAGGATCTTCTGCGGTGCAGCACAAGACAAACCAAACTAGTTTGTGCCGCTTGGGCAGTCAACTCTCTTCATTTTCGTGTTTTTTCCTTCGCCATGTTAGCCATTCCAGCGAGTGGCATTGCTGGATCGAGCTGCAGTCGTGGCTCTAAGTGGTCCCTTAGAGGAAGAAAAGTGTTATAGTGCGTTCGAGCAACATAGAGGTGAATATGAAGCAAGGCGCTACTATGGTTCTCCAAAACGACAAAACGACAGAGGAATATTTGACGACGTGGTCTTTCGGCAGGCATAAGATATTTTTGAAAGTACGTATGCGTCGCAGTGATTCGACTTCGAGACAAGGACGAGCAAGGCACTGCATACACCGAGGCCAGTGTATGACCACACACTGTAGAGCGATCTGCTCAGAAAAACAGAGATAGAACCGATATCACACGACTTTTCATCTTCTCCCTCGAACAACATAGACTTTCCATAAACACGCCAGAAGTCCTGACGCTCCTGGTACCAGCAGACAGAAAGCAAAAGCGCTCTCCGCCATGCGATTTGATGTTCAAACCGCAGTTTTTTTTGGTGTGTGGCAAGAATTGTTATAGGGTCCAATACAACCTCGAGGAATTGTTCACAGTACTATCCGCTCTTGCGGATCGCAGAAGACGTGTTTGTTCCAAACATGATCTCCCGTTTCACATCTCGCATCAAGCAAAACATCCGATATGTAGTCTTTTCAGCCTACGACAGACACTTCATCGCGATTTACGCGGACTTGGCCTCCATCAGGTAGTCACTGAACTCCTGGTACGGGTTGATCTTAAACGCAGTCGGCTCCCAGAGCTCCGGGGTGATGAAGCGGTAGGTGTTGCGGAGGGCTTCAAACGTGGCCTTGATGAAGTTGCCCTTGGTGCGGGTGTGCCCGGAGGAGCAGGAGAAGACGTCCTGCACGCCGGCGAAGTATCCTGAGTAAAAACGTCCCCACACCATAGTCAAGATGGTGACTTTGCTACACAAATCAACAAGTTTTGGCTGTTTCGCATGACAAATTTAGACTCGTAGTGTAGTTCTGTTTGAAGTAGTGCAGCTGCATGACAAACCGACTACCCTATCCTGATTCCAGCATCACAAACTTCCAGATAGCATGAGAAAATGTCTCTCGTGGGGATCCGCATGAGAAACATTTCCAGCATGCATTTTTGCATGACAACTCTGGGGTGGGGACGTTTTTACCTAGCATACGAAGGCCATGATCTTCTTCAAAGTCAGGGACCCAACCACGGCGCTACCACGCGGGGCCGGGATCAACCGGACCATCACGGAACCGCACTTACCAGTGACCTGGGGTTATAGTTTGGGATTGTAAAATTCCGCATTAGCGCTTCTGCAAACGACAGGGATTCTCGTATGTTGTGCATTTTTGTATGACAAAGCTTTTACCACAGACATCTGTACATTAAACGCAAGAATGAAAAACATTTGAGTGTGTAAAATCTTTACCTTCATCGGGACGGTGTGGGGAAGACCGATCTTGTTACCCCAGTACCCACGGCGGACCGGGATCAAGTTCAACTTGGCGCAGATGACAGCACCGCGGATAGCGGTAGCGACTTCCTTTCCGACCTGGTAGTTTGTGCATCAACAAGGATTATAAGACCGCATGTGATAGACAAACCAATGCCATACTCCATCTCCATCTCCATCGAAAATAAATCTATCAGCATTACAGAATTGCAATGAAACAAAAATCAATTGAAGGTTTCTTCATAACTCGCATGAACAATTAAAAACCACTTATACCTTGGATCCAAGACCGATGTGTCCGTTGCCATCGCCGACCAGGGCGTAGCAGACGAAGCGGTTGCGCTGACCGGCGGAGGTCATCTTCTGGACCGGGTGGATCTTCACGACCTCGTCCTTCAGGGCGCCGGGCTGGCCAGCCGGGGCCGGGAAGAAGTGATCAATGATCTGGTACTCACGGATCGGCAGGGAGTGCAGGTAGATGTCCTCCAGGGTGGCGATTTTACCTGATAGATGGGTCGTAGTGGCGGTTTAGAAGAAAATTTTTTGGAATTGAGTCGTGATAAGCGGGATGATGACACGGCGCTCTGGTGTGGTAAAACTAAAATGCCACCCCGTCACACCGATGAAATAAAACAGCGATTTCTACCGTACGGCTTCTCCACATTCAGGAGTGCACATTGAGGAACTACTAAGTATCCGCTCGAAGTAATAAACTTGTGTTGCTAGAAGGTCCTTGTCAGCTAGGTGTAGACTCGAGTGCAGCTTATGTCACTGACCTCTTCAATACCGCCCTCAATCACATAGTCGTGCTTCGCAACTTTTCAAGCTGACACTGTTCCGACACAATCATTCTAAATCGCATTCACAGCGAAAAAAAAATTCTGAAATTATACCATCCTTGACCAATCGGCCGAGCTTGGTGCAGGGCACCCACTCCTTGTCTGCGTCACCGCCCTTCTTGCCTCCCTTCTTGTATCCTGAGTAAAAACGCACCCACACCAGAGTCAGGATGGGGATTCTGCAACACAAGCCTGGGAGTTTTGTGAGTCACGCATGACAAGTTGCGCTCGGCAGTGTAGTGCAGGTTAGCAAGTGCAGCCGCGTCACAGATTCGTCTGCTCATCCTGTTCACAGCATCACAAATTCCGAAAAACGATTGGAAATGGCTCTCATGGGGATGCGCATTACAAGTCTTCCTGTCTTTGTACATCTGCATTACAACTCTGGTGTGGGTACGTTTTTACTCAGGATATCTTGCCGCCCTTCTTTCCCTTACCTCCCTTCTTGCCCTTGCCGAAGCCGCCTTCCTTTCCGAAGCCACCTTCTCCCATTTTGATGCTTGTTGTGATTCCACGAGGTGTCTTGAGACTATATTTGCCACACAGGCTTTTACTAGTTTCCCTGATGAGATTGCGGAGACGGAATATTAGGTCGTGAGGTGGTCATTCACAAGTGATCATCATGGCATATTTCAGACCAAAAAGTGCTTAAGGTTGATTTAGATTTCTCTGACGGAGCTAGTCAGGCCGTAGCTATGTGTCGGATCTTCCTTGCCTCGAATTTCAAGGAATTTAGATCAATGACGACATGTATGCCGGGATTGATCCCTAGTTCTGATCGCTTTGCGATTTGCGGATCGCGAACAATCGAAGATCAACATTCATTATTTAGATCGTTGCGAACGACATCAAATACTTCCAGATCTTGTGTAACTATGGGATCGAATAAATTTAGAGCTTGTTGACAGATTCCATATATCTCAATTACCACGACGGAGTATCATCTGAAACGCGCCGTAAGCTACTTCGATCCATGGACGCTCCACTGCGCGGCTCAGATCCTTACCTTGTATTATGTAGCGCTAATATCAGGATCCCTGCTCTAATACCGATACCACAGCCTGTGAGCGCAACGCTATTTAACAGAACAACAAATTGGCCGCTAGACTCTGGCTCCATTTCTGCTCGCTTGATGAGATTCTGAGACCATGCTATTAATTTTGAATTGCGCGAAACGCCATGGTCATCTAAATCTGTATTCAATGACTATGGTACCTAGCTGATGGTATTCTCGTGCTAAAAAAACAAAACTACCCCCTCTCCTGCCGATACCAGCGCCTAGTAATCGAGCCCCAATATACTTCTTGAAACGCGAAACATACATTAAAATTTTTGATACAGGTGTTTACATTTGAGTTCCAATTTCAGGATGAAGATGGAGATACGGTTAACGATTGAGTCTATCCAACAACGTTGTTTTTTCCCGATCGTTTCTGGTCAACTTTTTGGTCACCGTTCGGTGTCTGGACGTCCTCTCTGAACATGGTCATCAACATCATCATCTACTAGAGTAAGACAGCGAAGGGCTGCTGGGGTTGTGGGACGCTTTGCCTTGTTTCATCCCTCGGCGCCCATGATATGAGTAAAAAAAAGTCATTCTATATATTTACACTAGGAGGATGAGCCTAGTCGTCGTCGCGCAACTTCAACAACTGGGCTTATCCTCACAGCGCAACCGCGAAGTGCGGAGATGTCCCTCCTGTTTTTTGATGTATTGGATCATCTAATACTTACCCCCTGAAGCCCAACGAGGTGTTTTTTTGTGTTTTGCCGCTCAAGCTTGCAGCCCGACGAAGCGCAATAGTCCCGTAATTTCGATTTCGCTAAACTAAAAATTATCAGGTGACAACGCTGCCCCTAAAATCAATGCTCTTCCTCTCTTGCTCAACACTGAATCAATACCTTCTCCGGCTTCCGCCCCGGCGATGCGCCTGCATGTGGGCCGCGCTAGTCGCGGCGCTCCAATTCGGGCGGCTCCCGAAGGTACGGGGTCCGAGATTGCGGTTTGGTTCGGGGTGCGAGATTGAGGTCGAGATTGATGGCATGCGTGGAGCCGGCGCGGCCCGGCTCGGGCCCTTTGTGGCCGTGCCCCCTGTGCTCGCCGTGCCCCCTGTGCTCGCCGTGCCCCTTGTGCTCGCCGTGCCCCCTGTGCTCGCCGTGCCCCTTGTGCTGGCCGTGCCCCCTGTGCTCGCCGTGCCCCCTGTGCTGGCCGTGCCCTTTGTGCTGGTCGTGCCATTCGCGGTCGTGCCCAGTCGGATGCGGTCTCTCCTGGTGTGATCCAGACCCAGTGGCATGTGTGAAGCCGGTGAGGTCCGAATCGGGCCAAGGGCAATCCGTTCGATCCTGGTCTAGTCCAGGCCCAGTGGCATGTGTGGAGCCGCTCTGGTCCGCCTCGTAGCCGGACTCGTCCGACTCGTGCCCCTTGCGGTCATGCCCAGTGCGATGCGGTTGCGCGTGGTCTTTTTCGGCGCCCATGTACCCAATGCCGACGAGGGGCTCCTTCAGCTGCGACCCAACTCGCAGGAACTCCAACTCGTTAGCATCAAGAGGCCCGACGCGCGCCGCTATCGATGCTGCCGTTACTGGCGCTCCTGTCGCTGCTGGCGCTGCTGGCGCTGCTGTCGCTGCTGTCGCTGCTGTCGCTGCTGTCGCTGCTGGCGGTGCTGGCGCTTTGGCTAAGGCTACGTCCTTGCTGTGGTCACCTGCAGATGCCGTTTTTTTGTCGCCGTTGGGCAAATGGAAGCGAGCCGCGTATTGAAATAGTTTTAAATATTCCACAATTCGCATAATAGCAGTCCTGGTGTCATAGGGAACCGCACCAATAAATGCACACCTCGAAAATAAATATCTGCAACAGATTGGCACCGTTTTCGAGACCCAGCTTCTCGGCCATTTCTCGCGCCTCTTTCTTGTGCGGGTGCTGATCTGGTAAGTCTTTATCCTGACGATAATCGTTGGCTGTGAAGCCCATGTATCCAATGCCGACGCGAGGCTTCGTTTCAGGATTATCGAGTAGGGGCCCAATCGAGTCGCTGCCGCTGCTCTCGTCTTCGTCGATGGTTATTTCACCTGCAGATGCCGTTTTTCTCTCGGCGTTGGGCAAATGGAAGCGAGCCCCTTATTGAAATAGTTTTAAGTAACTACTCCATAATTCGCACAACAGCAGTCCTGGCGTCGCAGGGAATCGCACCAATAAACTCAAAGAGAGAGAGAGAGATAACCTACATAGGTGAACTAGGCAGGACAGTATACGACGAACATCACACAGAAGAACGCTGGCCTTGCTCCCGTCCAACTGCTAGCGTGATGCCTCTCCGCCCACCTCGCAGCGCCTTCAGAAATGGCCCGGCTGACTACTCTCGGGTCGGATGCTGCGTGCGGATGCTGCTTGGTGTTATCTTGTTGCCCTAGCCGAAGTTCTCCTTTCAGGTAGTACAAGCCTGGTAGAGGACGACGATCTAGACCGAAGACTAGAACGCCCCCCAGCTACCGCGAGGTTTTTAGTAGTCAGTTTGCGTCAAGGCCGGCCGGAAGACACTGGGATAGTTTACCTGTGGCCTTGTAGCCCGAGTCTGGTTCGAACCGTTCTACGCGCTGATGTCATCCCCCATGTCCGTGAAGAGTAAGGCGGCAAGTTAAGGGGGATTTGAGATGACGGGGAACTTAAAAAATAAAAGGCAATCGAAAGCAAACTAGTTCCCCGGCTCGACATGCGGCGGCGCTGCCCTTCCACGCAGCGCCCCGGCGAGCAGTTGACGGGGCACTCACTCACCGGACAGGCCGTCTCCCGCTCAGCGGCGTGGCGCGGCTGTTCTACCAGGAAAGCGCTACACATAGCTTTGCCGCTACTATTTCTATATTTTTCTTTCTATATATTTTTTAAGCTACTGCAGCGACGGACCTCGGCGGCGCATCCATCCGGTGAGCGAGTCAGGGCAGTTTGTGCTGGACGCATATTGTTTCTGTTTTTTGACCGACGTGTGTGTGTGTGTGTGTGTTTCTTCGTCAACGTCCTTATGTGTGCACCCATGTGAGACTAGCGCTACCGGGGGGCTCTTCCTGTCCCCCCGGGTCCTAATGTGTTTTGATTTGAAAAAGGGGTAGTATCCGTTCTCAAACAAATGGAAGATTGCACCAATAAACTCAAACACTTCGAAAATAGATATCTGAAATAGATTGGCACCCTCTTCATTGAAGAGCTCCTCCTCCATTTCGCCCACCTCTGTTTTGAACCTGCGCTCCTTCTGCGATCCCTGTAGTCGTGGTGAGCAACAGATTTGGAAATTTTGATAGAGGTGACGATCCTCACAAACGCTATGGGCTTTTACCAATTGCGAACTCCAGCACTACGCTATTTTGGGTCCACAAACAAGCCTGACATCGCTCCATTCAAAAATGCACATCTATCCTCTTTTCTTCTTCATCGTTTTCTCATCGTGCTGTTTGAATTCTGATTAGAGCGCTATATTAGAAGCCAGTTAAGTAGTGTGTGCGAGACTACGACGATAGGCGTACGATGGTCCGAATAAGTGTGCTCTGAGCGAATGCCGATAGTAGTAATTACTTTCGCATTCAAACAGAAATCGGGTGTAAGTACGTCACTATCCGATGACATGATAACGTAAGACGCGGAATCCGATGGCGCCTGTGCGAAGTGCCTGCCATGCTGCGACGGTCCGCGATGTCTCGCGTCGAGCTGTACCTCCACGAAGGATGACTCGCAAGAAGGCCCGCAGCCTCCCTCCTGGGACTCCGCCGAAAACGCGTGGGTCACGTCAGCATTCTCCTCCTCGTCAGTAAATTCCGCGTCGTTCGACGATGGCTTTCCCTGATCCTCCTTCACCACCGCTCTCCTTTCACTGTCATTCCCGTTGTCAAGTGATAGCGCAGCATTTGTTGTTGCGCTCGTCGCTGACGAGAACGATACTACAGCCCCCACCGTCGCGGCGAGGCGATTCATCTTTCTTGTATTACTTACATGGCAGCTTTTGTTCCTTGGTGGAGTTTCTCATGGCCAGTCCGCCTCCGAACTCGTCACGGGAAAATAAAAATAGACTTGGTCACAGATTGATTCACATTATCATCAAATGCTCCAATGCATTCTTCTTCCCTGCGACGTCAACATTCGAGTGAAAACGACACTACTGTCCTTCGGAAGCAAGGCTCTGCACTGTGAAGCTCCTGTCTCTTCATCCGCTCCCTGAACGAACTATGCCCTCAACCCCCTACGAGCTTGCATCGAATACTTCCACAATTACAAGAACCCCAGATGATGACATCGCCAGCGATAAACAAGAGGACTTGAGACGTTTACTGTTACTGGAATTGACTTTCACTTCCATTTGAGAAATCTCAATCGTACAGGCGCACGGACATGCCCGTGACGAAAACAAGAGCGTCGACACATAAGAAAGAGTACGGGATCCACCCCCCAGTACCGACACAAAAGACTACGGACGAAAGAGAATCGATCGCCTCATGCCAGCTTTCCGCTTCTGCTCGCGACAGTTTGGTGCGAACAAATTTCGGTAGCGAACAAATCTGGGCAAGAAGCTAATTTTTTGATTTACCCATCATCGTCATTTTCAGTTCTCTTTCTTCGCAAAACACGTACAATTACAGCGAATTCTTCAGCTCTCTATTATATCTCTGCAGGAAGTGAAAAGCGCCCCTAGCAGCTCATCCCCATCAGCATTTGGTGGACAACCGCGGTCATTGTCCCATACGACCAAACTTTTGGACGCGCACGGTAGCAAAACAAGCACGGTCCGCGTAGCGTCGCATTGTATCTACTGCTACCTTCTCTCGTTAGTGTGTCAAGTTCGAGGAGAATGAAAATACTCCAAGACGGAACCCGCGGCAGTTTTCCTTCAAAAAGACGATTTTGGTACAGTAGAAGTGCAAATCAATTTAATTTTCCGAGCGCTCTTCACTCCTGCTGCGTTCCTAAATACAAAACACCTTTGCTAAATCTCTTGATTACCTGTTTGCTAAATCTGTAATTGCTAAATCTCCTTGTCTCTGAGTTTGTTGTTCTTCGGGCATGATCTTCATGAAGACGCATGCCTTCAGCACTCCTCGCTCCTGTTTGCTAAATCTGATAAAATAGATGACACCACGTGATTGCTAAATAAAGGGAACCAGCACTAGTATTTTTGCGGTTTTCAAACACAAATCCCCTGTTCTTGTTGCTGCGACAGTCTTTATTTCTCCATCTCGCCTTACGACGCGAAATCCCGGAGGAATTTTTCCTGTGACTTTTTTATCTTTTCCATCCGCAGCGACAGTGCCTCCGCGACCCCCACCATCTGCCCGAGTGACTCCTGTACCCGCAGCACCTCTATTCTGACTTCTATGCCGCACGCGTGTATCTTGGACAGCACCCGACCCGCAAGATTTTCCACCGCACGCATCACCTTTATGAAAAGGCGACAAAATCTCTTCCCGTCTTTCGATAGATCTGCGTGTATCCTCCGTGCTCTTTCAAGAATGCACATGGGGAGTTCAGAAGGGTTGATTCTCACGAGCCATCAACTCTACGTCAAGATTCATTATGACGACACACAAGTGGGAGTGGCCGCAGTTTGATGAGTTTAAACTCAATATGCATCACAAATCAAAGAAAAGGGAGAACGATTTTGACCTGTGAATAGTCTGAAGTTCGTCGGTATGAAAACGATTGATCATGATATTTAGCTCTTTCCATATGCATATCTGCAGCGAACTACTCACATATTACACCAAAGGCATGCCAGAAAGCACCGTCGCTAGAAGCGCTACATGTGAAAGAAGCAAAATACAGATTTGAATTTGATGATGTGTTGTATGAAAATACTAGCCCCGCCAAACTAGAGAACTAGCAGCAGCCATACCTCTGCCGGAGTGAATTCCTTGATCGTTTTGCTCATGTTTTCCGTGCTCCGCATGCCCAGGATCGGCATATTGTCGTCCCGCGTCATGGACTTGTCCCCGTCCTCCAGTGCCGCGAGACTCTTGCCCGTTCCCTCGAGCGCCTTGAGTTTGTCGTCCTTGTCGCCTCTTATCCTGTGCAAAAACATCCCCCCCAGAGTTGTCATGCAGATTTGCATCTACAGCAACATTTGTAATGCGGGTCCTCATGAGAGGCATTTCTATATCGTGTTTTGGAGTTTGTAATGCTGGAAACCGGGTGAGCAGATGGATTTGTGATGCGGTTGTCCCTACGAACCTGCCCTACACTACGGACTGCAACCAACTTGTCATGCGTGGCTCCCAAAATTTGTAGATTTGTGTTGCGAAGTTCCCAACTTGACTATGGAGTGGGCACGTTTTTACACAGGATACCTCCCTTGCCCTCTTCCTTCTCTTTTTTGTTCCCGTATATCCTCTTGTAGAGCCCCGGACTCAGCTGCTTGATGCGTTTCTGGCACTGACAGTATCAAATGCAAAAATGTCTGGGTCTGGAAGAGTCATGCTCTTTTTGCATGACGCAGAAGGTCTGGCATGGAAGAGCTAGCATCACAGGTTTCGACCTGCTTCCGCAATGCCGAATTCGCATGACAAATCCCCCATTTTGCTAGTAGAAAGTGGGCAGCTTTTGCTATCTATGCATGAGAAGTTTTTCTGTGTTCTCAAAAGCGCATCACAAGTTTTTGCTCTTCCAGACCCAGACATCTTTGCATTTGATAGGCAGGCGGCCGTTGCATACTCCCGCATCATCTGCAGGACCACCACAATTGCCTCCGACTTCTCGTCCTTCTTCTCCTCTGTTTGAGGGTTTGAGAATGGGAATTTTGAAAATGTCTTTTGATTTTTTCCTGTGGAGTACCACTGACTTCTCCTCGCCGCATGAGAGGATTCCTTTTTCACAACACAGTACTCTGCACTCGTCGAACTGCATGATATGAAGGAAAAGTCCTAGCCGTCTAGTGTAGTAAGTACAGTACCTTTCCTCGTGTCATACGTCGCCTCCATCAGCGTGGCGGCCATGATACTGAAGAAGACGTTGATCGCGACCAATATCACGACGATGTAGTAGAGCAAGACAAATATTGCGCCCACCACCGCGTCCCGGTCATAGATGGGCAGCACGTCTATGTCCGCGCAGACGGACCTTATGGTATACAACCACCCCGCTGCGACCTGACAGTAAAATTTGCCGTGCGCACGATAAAATATCGACACCACTACTTCTACAGCACAAATAAACTCAACTTGTTCTCATCTACGGCATAGACTTGCAGTTTTTTCTCATGCACAGCAAGTAGATGCCATCAAATTCGTATAGTCCTAAACAACTCAGGTTGAATATCAACAGGCGAAGTGAAAAATACCGAGTTCAGCTCGCCGAGCACGTCTCCAAAAGACACGACGAAGGAGATGACAAACCCGATCTGCACGATGGCGAAGACTATGAGGAAGTAGGCGAAGTAGGCCATGGATTCCTTGATCGTGTTGAAGAGAAAGTGGACGTAAGGGAAGAAGCCGACGTATTTCACGCATTTGCCCCACAGCAGCACCGCGTTTATTGCGTTGATCAGCCTGCTGGTGTCTACTTTGTTGGCGACACCCTGTAGCAGCGTAAATGCCTCGTCGGCGTTGGCCGCCGTCTCCTTTTCCCCGAGCGTTCCGACCGAGCCCACTTCCATGTAGGCCGTCATGCGGATGGTGTAGGCGGTGAGCAGCAGCCCCATGTTGATCCAGTCCAGGATGTTCCAGCCGTCCTCCAAGTAGCCCCACCGCTCCAGCGAGATTTCGGACAGCTCCTCGGCTATGTAGTACAGCACGTATCAAATGCGAACATGCCTGGATCTGGAAGATTGCGAGATTTGTGATGCAATCTTTCCAAGCTCCACGAAATCTGTAATGTAGATCTTACAATCACAAGTTCTGCATTCCCTTGGTAATGCCTATCCTGCATGAGAAATTCCCTCTCAGCATGGCACGAAGTAGGCCTCTTTTGCGGGTCAGGCAAGACAGATTTTTGTGTGACCCGCAAGACGCATTACAAGTTCCCATTCTTCCAGACCCAGACATATTTGCAATGCATAGCACGAAGAGCAGGACAATGATGTCCATGATATTCGCCACCATATCGGCCGCGGTCACGCCCCCAAAGATGGTCAAAACCCGTTGTGTCAAAACTAACGTCCGCACCTGCGATTGCACCTTCCCGACCGCGGGGAACTCGAACAGAATTTGCACCGCCGAGTACTGGTCTAAATTGCTGTTCCATATGCTAAAAGTGAGAGCCACCTGTAGAGATAGTGGGATAAACATTTCATCGAGATGAACTCGATTGTTCTGAGGAAAAGGGTATTTCGGCATAATCCGCTATGAAACGGCTGTTTCGGAGCGGTCCTGCTGCTAAATTCCCCGAAACAAGGTGGCAAATCTCAATTTCAACATCAAAACGCGTTGCTAATTCTGGTTCTCATATTCACCTGTCACACCTCTGCCAAACGAAGCAAGTACTCACTATACCGCCCTCGTCTGTATGTCCACAAAGTTATTCGCCTTGTAGCGTGCTAATTTGGCCAGTGCTTTGGTGCTATTGGTTGACATCTGCATGAAGAAGCCCCCCGCCGGGTAGTCGGACACCTCCCCGGTTACGGAAACGCCCTGTAGCGGATCGGGTGCGCTATACGTGAACAAACCGTCACCGTAACCCGCTTTTGACTCCGTTGCGCTGTTTTGGTTTATTTTCATCGTGAGGGTAGTTGTAGACCACCTTCCAAAACTATTCCGATGTTCTTCGAATGAGGAACATACATTAAACGGTCGGTGTTCATCAGGTTCACGACCTCTTCAGGATGAGCGAAAGGAAGTCACTCAAGACGAGCTTTCTCTCTTTGCGTTCTCCAAAAAACCGAAAGAAAAACAAGAAGAGATAACGTTTCATACGTTGAAAAAACCGGGTAGCAGTCGGTTTTGTATTCGGAAAACATGGTCCCGACCTGACATTGCGCCACCTTGGTGACGCGCCACTGCCGTATCTGCACGGAGCCGAAGAGTCGGTTGCTGCTGTCCAGGGGTACCATCACCCGGCTGCGATCCTTTGCAAGCTCCGTGTCGGTGGTGTTGGTGAAAATCATATCGAAAAAATTTTCCGTGTACTCGTAAAATGTGTCAACGGAGGAGACGGACTCAAGTGGCACGGAGCTGTTCTTCATCTTTATCACCTCCTGCGTGCGGGCGACCTGTCGGCGCGGAGTGGTGTTTTGATACTTGCACGATGAAGCTCATTCAGTGTGATAAATTCACTAATTCTGTTCAGTCGATGTCATGGCATGACACCAAAAAGGAAACAAACGAAACTGTGATCTTGAACTTGATCTTCTGTCACAACCTTGCATAAAGGAAACAAACGAAATAACTTTGACCTTTTGTACAGGCCTCTTACCAACAAACTGCTGTCTGCCGACAGGGATGCCAGGACGACAATCGTAAATGCGGCGAGAAACACGCCGAAGATGCACATGTCCTGGCACACTTTGGCGGCAAGCTGCCGCTGCCGCTTCCGGCTGACCACCTCATCGTAATCCTCATCCTGCAAATCTGCCAGGTATCCCTTCCCCTCCTGGTCCGGCATCTTCTTGTCCTCTGTGCGGATTTACCGTCGTCCGCTCCAGAGGTTCGTCGCTGCGACCACTACGGGAGAGTTGTAGACCAAAACGGCCTGCTGGTGGTTCCTCTCTCGTCCCAAATTCCTTCTCCGCTTTTATTTTCCTCTGGAAGATCTACTTCGTCGTTGCTTATGCTTCCGGAAGATCTTTCGGTCTCCCGCCCTACTAGCGAGGTGGACCCATCATGATCGCGCAGAACCGTCCTCGCGGCGCTCGGCTACTTTACTACCCTCCGGCCCGGGCCAGGTGGATACTTGGGTAGGAGTATCCACGGCCGAAAACCTTGTTTCTCTCGATACTGGATACTTTATTGTTCCCTCAACTTTCTAAAGGGGAATAAATTCGAATTTTTTTAGGCATGCTATCATGCGTACAGAGTAGTGAACGCGCAAGGCCGCTGAAACGTGAAGAAAACACGAAGGGTCGTTGCGATGAGTGTTCTTGATCCTGTATTTTTATCTCCTGGAGATTATGTGCAAATAGGCGCTTCGAAGAACGGTGTCGACGAAACCAAAATGTAGAGCAATCACTATGTAGTTCTCTCCTGCTCTCTTGGTTCGCTTGCTCTCTGACTCGAGCTCGGCATGCTCTTTGGATATCAATCCACTCTTTTATTTCTCTCTTTGCTCGAGGCATTCGTCCGCATCTTTCCGATACGGTATCATGGCTTCTCGAACTTGTTTCACTCTCGTTTCTCTCAGCACGCGGTTTCGCATTTTGTACGAACAGAACTCGCATTGCTACGCATGCGGCGACGTGTTTTTCGATGAAGAGACTGCAGTGCATGTCTCTACTTTTCACGGGCTTGTTACCACCTGCACTCTTTGCATTGCGTCGTGCGTCTTGCCTGCTTCGTATTTTTACTTGGCCTGATCCTACAAAGTAAACAGCATTTAGAATTTTTACAAGTCACATTTTTTCACCTCCTGTTCCTCTCAAACACAAGAGAAAGCAGCATCTTCCCTTTCACGACACAGGTGCATTTGACAAAAAGCATCGGCAGGTTGTGTGTCGACGCGTTTGATAAAACGCAGCGCGCTTCTTCTCCCAAATCGCGCCACTGTGGTGCTGGTGTCCGGCAAGACTGTGCTCGATTTGCGACTATATTCCGTATTGTTGAACAAAGTAACCCATACCCATTGTAGAAGACTTTTTGTTTCTGATTCACAAGACTTGTTTCTGATTTGTTTCTGTTCGTAAGGACTTGCGTTGGTTTTGTAAGACAAGCTGCAACCGGTTTCAAAGATTTTATTTCAAGACTGAGATTAGAGGAGGAAGCCTACTAAACTTCCATGAGCAACAAAGATCAGATCATGATCCGAGCCATCGCCCAACCCTCCTTCTGGTTTGCTCCTCCGACGCACCACGCAGGAGCCCCGCGCACCGAGCTGCGATTTGTCGTCCACGACGTCCCCAGGAAGACCGCGGTAGTATCAGCTGATCATGACCCATTCTTTCCTCTGTGGATCGTACTTCAGCTGTTTTCCGTCGTTATTTGGGAGGTGCGACTCCTCCGGTATCGTGAGTAAAAACGTACCCACACCAGAGTTGTAATGCAGATTTGCAAAGACAGGAAGACTGGTAATGCGCATCCCCATGAGAGCCATTTCCAGTCGTGTTTTGGAATTTGTGATGCTGTGAACAGGATGAGCAGATGAATCTGTGACGCGGCTGCACTTGCTAACCTGCACTACACTGCAGAGCGCAACTTGTCATGCGTGACTCACAAAACTCCTAGGTTTGTGTTGCAAAATCCCCATCTCGACTCTGGTGTGGGGACATTTTTACTCAGGATATCCGGGTACAGTTGACTCACCGTTTTGTGCACGCTCCGCATTAACGAGGTCAGGGTGGACGTGAGCGGGCGGTCTGTCGTGTCGTGATATCGTAAAATATTAAATGCAGGAACAACGGTACAAAGCTGATCCAGTTCAGCAACGCGAAAATCAACATGCGCCAACATCATGCAGGACGCGCTATGAACTACGATGCACGAGTCTCTTTACGCATTATGCATTACAAAATCCACTCAACTGTACATTCTCCTTTCGGTCCCGCGAGCGGGCGGTCGTCATCTTCCCCGACACCGGACAGATCTTCTTCAATCTGAAAGTTCGCCTCCTCCTCGTCGGATGAACTTTCGGCGAGCTCCTCTGACAGCGCGCCCTGGTGGAAATTTCATTCAATTTTTTGCTATTATAACATCGCCTTTAGTATTTTGTTCTTTGTTTTTTCCAGCAACAAACCTGTTGATTTTGATGTGACCCGGCTACTTTTGGTGAGCCAGCTAAAAATCCTATCTTCCATTATATCAACAGAAGATAGAAGTAAGATGCATCGGAGAAAAAAATACGTCCAGATTGTGCGACAGGAGTCGGACGATTTCGTGGTAGCCGAGCCGAGAGTATCAACTGCAAATATGTCTGGGTCTGGAAGGGTCATGCTGCTTTTGCATGACGCAGAAGGTCTGGCATAGAAGCTCTAGCATCACAGGTTTCGAGAAGCTTCCGCAATGCCGAATTCGCATGGAAAATGCCCCATTTTGGTGACAGAAAGTGCGCAGCTTTTGCTGCCTGTGCATGAGAGATTTTTCTGCGTTGTGAAGTTCGCATCACAAGTTTGCATTCTTCCAGACCCAGACATATTTGCATTTGATAGAGAGGCAACCTGCATGGGCGTGAGCCCGTCTTCGTTGACCAGGTGCGCGAGTATCAGAATGAAAAATCCCCCCTCCCCGTATCAAAACGAAGTTTCTGATGCTGGATTTGCGTACACAAATTAGATTTGTCTTGCTGGCGAGGACTGCAGGCCCATACTAAGCCTGAGTAGGCAGGCTTTGGCCTAGGCGCTTAGCATGACAGACGTCTACGCTGTCGGTGCAACAGCATGACAAACCCCCTGTAGAATGCGGCCGAGCCTGTGGAGCTGCCTTCATGCAACACAGAGACGATTTGTGGTCACAAATCAGCAACACAAATTCTCAGAAAAATGCCTTGTCAATATGGGGAGGGAAGATTTTTCCTTTTGATAGCGAGGGAGGTGTCGCAGCTGAAATAAATCAAACACGCCACTGCGTCCACCTGTCCCAGCCCGCAGGCCTCGTGGAGCACGCTGGGCAGCGCGCCCGCGGGTTTCACCGCGTTCCAATCGGCGCCCGCGTCAAGCAGCGACTGCACGCAGGGAGAGTAGCCGTAGCGGCAGGCGTAGTGCAGCGGCGTGGCCCCCTCGCCGTCGCGGACATTGACGTTCGCATGGGAAAACACCAGCAATTCCACGGCTTGGTTGTAGCCTCCCGCCACCGCGAAGTGCAGGGCCGCGCGCTGGTAGGTGAGGTCCACCAAATCCAGCGCATCGCGGCAGAAGTGGCAGTAGAGCTGCAGATACGCAATATTTCCCTCCAAGGCCGCGTTGAACACCGTTGCGGTCTGCCGGGGATCCTGCCACAGACTCAGACCGAGCTTTTCGTTGCGCCAAAAGGACTGCGGATCTTGGCTGGTTGATGTTGATGTATTACCCGGAGTTGTAGAACTGCTGGAGGCAGCCACTGTTTGCGCTTGGTGCTGCAAAATTTCGCCCGTCGGGGAGACAAGTTCCCAGCGGCCGAGCACGTCTTCGAGCGGTATTACACAGAACAAAAAAGCTTTTATGTAAAACGCAAGACTGATTAATACACAAAAAAATCACTCTGGCATGCTTTAGCCAGCACTTGAGTAGAGATCTTCTTTTTGTGAATTCATTCTATGCCTTATAATTACCCGCTAGTTTGTTTCTGTGTGATAAGTTCGTCCGGCTGCTCCCACACCGACTCCCCGCGCTCCGGGTGGTGAAAGAACATGGCCCCCTGGTTGTCGTGTGTGACCGTCCATCCTTTCCACTCCGGCTGGCTAGGGTAGCTTTGGTGGACAGTGTGGCCGCCACCGTGCTGTTGCTGGTCCGGGACGTCGGCAAGCAGGGGCTGATCTGCCGAATTCGTGCCCCCTCCGCTCTGCCTTCGGTTCTTTTGCACCACGGCGGCGAAGTAATCCTGTCCCTGCGCCGCCCAGTTCGCGCTTGGGTGCGCGGGGAGGGCAGAGTCGGAATTGTCGGCAGCAGGGCCGCCGGATTGGTGCGTGTTGACGTTACTTCCTCTAGTATACGTTGCGTTTTCGTACGCCGCGCCAGAACCTGGTCGTGCCGAACCGGCGGCTGAGCTGGAACTACTGCCCCCGTGCTGCTGCAGCTGCTGTGGGGGCATGTTGTAGCTCATATTACCTCCTCCAGGGTGCTTTTGATTTTCGTGCTGCTGGTGGCTAGTTTGTTGGTAGCCAGAGTTCACTGTGCTGTCGTGCTGCTGCCCGTGCTGCCCGTGCTGCTGGTAGCTGCCCGGAGGCTGTTGCATCGTCGCTCCGGCACCTCCAGCCGCCGGTTGACCACCACCAAAAGTGGTCGTGCTTTGGTTTTGATGCCCAAGTAGAACCCCCGATGTGCTGCCCCCGCCCGGAGGTGCTCCTGCCTCCTGTGGCGCGGTACCATTAGGTGCGGGCGTTATACCAGACGGGCCACTACCACCAAACCCCGAGTACATGTAACTAGACCCTCCTTGCGCCGGCGGGGATAGTACGCCTACACCGAGGTGCTGCTGCTCCTGCGGACCGGTGCGACGAGGGTTGGGCGGCAAGCCCACGTTCGCGGGCACGCCTGCGTGTTGGTGCAGTGCTGCAGAAGGCCCGGTGGAGGACGACGACGGAGTGGAGCCTGCAGATTCTCGTCCTGCCGCAGCAGGCCGTTTGTTCCCCTCTTTGTCGTCGAAGAAACGCCGCGGGCCTCCTTCCACCACAGCGTTGCCAACCTTCGGTGTGAAAACTCCGTTTGAAGAGGACGTTGTGGCTGCAGCTACACCGCCTCCCCCGGGCGGTCGGGGCGGCGGCGTGAAGTCATTCATGCTCTTTGCACTACTAGAAGTAGTTCCAGCAGCACTTGCAGTTGTCACTGGTCCCTCCACCAGCCGCACCGGCTTCTCCGGACTTACCCGCCCGGCCGGGTCGACCACCACCGCACTGTCGAAGGCAGCAATGGGGCTCTGGCCGTCCAGCACACTGCTTTTCTTCGCGTGCAGCTTGTCGACGCTCGGGGGACTTGCGCGGCTGTCTCGGTGCGAAGAACCCGTGAGCATGGAAGAAGTGTCCTGGTGGTCCTTTGTATCAACTGTAAAAAACGTCCCCACGACTACTTGAGGGTCAAGATGGGATTTTTTTTTTGCGTACACAAATCACACAGCTTTGGGGGCTGTCGCGCATGAGAAGTCTGGGCTCGTCGTAGTTGTGCCATCCGATGTTCAGCCATGATAGTGCAGCCCAATTAATATGCGAAGTCGGTTCATCCTGATTCGACCCTGACAAAAAACTCCCAGGTAGCAGTTCGAAACTGCCCGTCATGTGGTACAACTAGCGCATGACAAACATTTTCAGCATTGCAGAATTACACGACGCATGTGGGGACCACGTCGCTTTTTTACCAGGAAATACTGCGGCGAGTGGAGTGTGCTGGTGTCGGGAGAGGAGTTATCAAAATGAAAATAAATCCCCCCTCCCCATATCAAAATGGAAATTTCTGATGCTGATTTCTGTACACAAGTCCGACTTTTCTTGCAGTACGGCACTCCTGCCAGATCCGCAGCCTGGGTGGGAGCGCTCAGGTCTAGTTGTTCAGCATTGCAAACGGCTGCCCTCTAGGACCAACAGCATGCCAAATCGCTTCACAATTGGGCGGATGCCTCTGCACTTGCCTTCTTGCATGACAAACCTGATTTGTGGCCACAAATCAGCAACACAAATTTTCGGAAACTTAGCTAAGAAATATGGGGAGGGGGGATTTTTCCTCTCAATAGGAGTCTTGACCGAACCGGGGCACGCGGCTGGTCTGCTGCACACTTTCCAGCGTACCGAACGCCTCCTGCGGATTGAAGGAGCCGCGCCGCGGTTTGTCCCCTGGGCCTCCGCTGGCGAAGGAGTCCGGCGAACTGCAGGACGGGGAGCTCGGAACGACATCAGTGCCCCGCCCACGATTTGCGGCTCCGATTCCATAATTCGACGAGGTGTTGTCGTCAACATTTGATGTTTTCCCGTGTCGTTTCTGGACATCACGACTCGGAGGTTCTTGCTGCTTCACGCGGTTCATCTGGATGGGCCCTGTTGAAACAACTGCATGATCCGGGTTTGATACATTTGGTGTAGTGCCATTTTTGTTGTACTTGTTTTGCAGGTCCGCCAATTCCGTATCCAGCTCCTCGTCGAACACGTCGCTTAAGCCGTCCTCCGTGTCTTCGTCCTCGTCGCGCTTGAATTCCGCTAATAATTTCCCCGCGTGCGCCAGACGCGCCAGTTCCTCCTCGCGAAACTTTTGGAAGTCGCGCATCGGTATCAACTGGAAATAGGTCTGGGTCTGGGGAAAACTTGTAATGCTATTGCTAGCTTAGGAGTAATATTAAGCGCCCTGCAATTGTGCACTGCCAAGCTGCATGCTGACACGTTTTTGTGTGAGGAATATGCCTTTATTGGCAGCGTGCACGACGAACTTCGTTTTTGCATCACGGGTGAGGGGGCCTGCATTTCGTCGTGGCGAGGCACTACAGAGCTGAGAGTCATGCCGAAGAAATCCTGTACAAATCTTGCAATCTTCCAGACCCAGCAGACACAATATTTACGAATTGGTAATCGCGGCGGTTGTCGGTGTGGTGGGCGAGGCGGCGCCCGAGAGCACGCGGCCACGGTGCAGCACGCGCGGAGTGCTGTGGACGCTGGAAGCGTTGGAACGCGGCGTCACCATGACATCCTGCTGTGCAGCAGTTTCTTCCTTGGCAGAAGATTTTTTACTTTCTGCTTTTTTACTATTCATACCATTTCCAGCGGTTGCAGGACCGGCCGGGCCACTCTCCTTGGAAGAGCTCTTCTGGTCGAACAACTGGCGAATTTTCGAGACGCGCGTGCGCTGCTCGGAAGTATAATTGCTCGGCACGATCGGATATTAAATGCAAATATGTCTGGGTCTGGAAATTTGTGATGCTGAATGGCGACGAGTGACTGCACCTGTAAGAGCAGTGTAGCATGACAAATGTTTCAGACACTTTCTCATCCTTAGTGCGCATTACAAACTGCGCTTTTTCATGACGAAATTGCGGCACATTTGTTGCTCTTATGCAATACAGATTTTTCTGGAATCCTGGACACGCAATACAAGTTGCACTTTTCCAGACCCAGACATATTTGCAATTCATATCGGATCCGCCAACTGACCCTCGTCCTCGTCATCCGAGGCCATTTGAAAGTGCTCGATCACCGGTTCGACGGTCGTGTGTTTATTTTCCACGCTATCGTTCGTCGTGCCCGTGACCGGTGGCACAAAAAATGTGCTGCTCCCACTGCTCGCTGGGAGGTCTGGCGGCTTGAGCTTTTGCGCCATCGTTGCCGGCGCAGCAGCTCCGGAGTTGTTGATAATATCGTAGTTCAAAAATATTTGCTCGCCCCCTTCCTTGATTTCTGCGAGTTTTCGCAGCCGGTCGCGTTCCTGCTGCGCCCGCTGGAACATGGACAATGGGGGCTCCGCGGAGGTGGAGGCTCCGCTCTTCAGCACGTTGTGGCGGCTACCGGAAAGGGAGCGGTTTAGGTAGCTCCCGGACGTGTTGGAGAAGCTCATGGAGGAGGACAGTGGGGAGCTGCTTTCCGTGATCGGTTCGCCGTTTCGGTTTCGTCTGCGCTTGTGCTTTCGCTTCGCGGAGGGGCTGGGCGTGGGCGGCGGCAGCGCCAGAGTGCTTGCGCTCGCCGCATTCGCTTTGTGGTTGGGCGTCGGGGGAGGGAGGATCATAGCAGAAGTAGTGGTTGCACCAGAAGAACTTTGAGGTTGCACCAGCCCGGGTGCCGCCACGGGAGTTGCGTAGTTCCCACGGCTGCTCGAGCTCGTCGTTGCGCCAGCCGCGCTCCCCGTATGTTTCCCTCCTCCAATCGGCGGCGACATCCGGACCAGGTTCTCGAGCGTGACACTTATTTTGCCATTATCCGCCAACGACGCAGACTTGGGGCTTGGTGGCGAAGCGGTGGAGCGATAGGGTTGTACTACTACACCAGAAGATTGCTGTTCGTGCGGAGCAGGAGGTCGGGAGTCAGAATTGATTTTCACTTCATGACTATCCTTCCCGACGTCCGAAAAGCCCCGCTGCAACTCCGGCGGCGGCTTGCGCCCCCCGCCCGGCGACCCCGGAGGGGACGATGGCGACCCCCGCGGCTTCGTGCTGTTCTGCTCCGGGCTCGACTTCGGATCGAGAAACCTCGCTCCGTCGCTTTCGGGGGACAGCATCTGCTGGTCGGACGGTGAGGATCGTGCAGGAGCTGCAGCCTTTGTTCCAGAAATCTTCGCAACCATTTCATCCGCGACAGCACCACCAGGCGTTTCCTTGTTGCGCGTCGGGGAAAATAAATCACCGTACACGCTCCGGGCCACGGCGGCGGTAGTCGTCGTAGCGACTGGAGGAGCTGGTGTTTTGTTGTTCACAGCAGCTGTTATAGCGGAACCTGTCGCGGCCGTGCTGCTGCTGGGCGTTCTGGTTTTTCCAACTCCAACAGGGTCGTTGCCGTCCGCGACCAGTACCACCTTTTCATCCGGTGCGCCGGCTTTCACCGTCGCCGCCTTCGCCGTGCTCTCGGCCTGCACGAAAATGTCCTTGAAATCCGGTCTATGCAGTTCTCAGGCGTTCTTACGCTCTCATTTGTATATCGTACACGGTTCTTTATCATTGTCGTACAGAACCACTATGTATAATCACGCTGGTGCACACGCTCAAGCTTTTCTACATGGCAAGTTCCCGGCACGCTAAAAAAACAGCATTATCCGCACCGAGTCTGTAATGCAAGACGCTCAAAGTCACCCGTTTAGCTGTTGCTAGTCAGTCTTGCATCACAAATTTTTCACCCAACAGCAGTTGAGAGTGCAATGCTTGAGAACGCCATATGCCCCGAAGCTCGCGTCGAGCACGTCGTGCTCCGATCCGGGCGGTGAGCTCGTCGACATAGCGAGGCGTCAAAACGTCAGAGGCCGAAGAGAACTGGCAGGTTGTGCTGCGGCACGAAAAACGACCGTGAACGTGGAAGATGAAAATGTTTCGTTAAAGTACGCTAAAGATAAAAATAAATGCGATCCTCATACTAATTTGCACAGGAAGACGACCATACGCTCCTCGGACAGCGTTGGCATTGTAGAAATACTTAGACTCCATCTCTCAGAAGCAGAAAAAATTTTCTACATCAGGCACAATACGATCCACTCAACATCATTACCGCTCCAGAATAGTTGCCATGGTGCTTTTCGTTCTCCAGTGTAGAGGTCGCGCGCAGGAGGAACGCAGTTTCGCTCGCGGTCCGTCCCTTGACCCTGTCTTCTAGGAGAGCGAGAGCTCAACAACTTGAATACAATTCCTTCATAGTTTTTCTCTGTGTTGCTGCAGCCGCTCCTTTGTCGTCCAAAAATGGAAAAATCTACAGCACCTTCGTAGTAGCAATTTACCCGTGGAAAAGATTTTATTCCACAAGTTCAAATCTTCAATACATAGTACATTTCCTGTGTCCAAGCCAACGTGTGTACAGAAAATAGGTTTAGCCTGGCAATCGACTGCCAGCAGCGATAGCCTCCCGCCGTTGCGAGCGTAGTCGAAGTACTGTTCTTGGTGATAAAACTTGGCAACATTATAAGCAATTTCGGTAATCATATTTTTCATCGCGTTGTAAAAACATTGTGATAACAGTTGGTTATTTTGTTTGTGTCAAAGTGTGGCACTGTCAAGCTTTGCGCCAGCCATGGTGACAGCAGCCCTTCAATAAATTACAACCGCAGTAGCTGCTCTGGCACGACCCAAGAATTGGTGCGGAACAAGCGTGGTAGAACTCCTTCGGAATAAAAGCGGCCTGCTTCTTGCTTCGTCGTTGAGAGTCACAGTGTTTGTATGTACATGCAGTAGCCCGACACAGTACCAGCATTCGTGTCTCCTCACAGCCACTGGCTGCCGCGTACCGTATCCGCCATTTTCTTCTGCGCAAACGAGACTTGGTCCAGCAACTCCTGTTTATGGATTGCAAAAGTGTCTGGGTCTGGAAGAATGCAAGATTTGTCATGCATATTTCTCATGGCCCATGATGCCTGTGATGCTTGACCTAGCATCGCAGACTTTTAGAGGTCTTCCTGATGCACCTTTTGCATGAGAAATGCCCTGTCCGTGTAGCACAAACTGTGCGTGTGCCCCTCTTGCTGGTCACGCAATACAAATTTTCTTAGAGTCCAAAAACAGCATGACAAGTTGCAATCGTCCAGACATCCAGGGATATTTGCATTTGATACTGTTTCTGCCGCAACAAGTCCTTTTTCATCTTTTCGATCTCCAACCGCCGGTCTAGGTTGCGTGTCAAATGTAAAAATGTCGGGGTCTCGAAGAGTAATGCTGTTTTTGCATGACACAGAAGGTCCGGCATGGAAGCTCTAGCATCACAGGTTTCGAGACGCTTCCGCGATGCCGAATGTCGTGCATGACAGATGTCGCCCCATTTTGGTGACAGAAAGCGGGCAGCTTTTGCTACCTATGCATGAGAGATTTTTCTGTGTTCTGAAATGCGCATCACAAGTTTGTCTTCTTCCTGACCCAGACATATTTGCAATCCATATTGCGTGACTCCTCCTGCTCCGTTTTCTCGCGCGCGAGCTGATCGATTCGATGTCGTGGGTAGGAAGAAAAAAGATAGAAAAAATTGAAGACCTTTTTTACAAATAATCACTTTGCTGCATAAATAAATTCTGCGGATTTAAAACATCAAACATTTCGATGTCTGTGTACAACTCCTCGCACTGATCGAATAGAAAAACACGAAATTTTCAAACCTACCTTCTCTTTCTTCAATTGCCGATCTAGTGCCACCCGTTCCGCGTTGACCCGCGCGCGCTCCTTTATGACCCGCTCAGACGTTACAATATCTCAACTGTTACAATAGAGTCTGGATTTTGTGATGGAAGAAGTGCATGATCTAGCCAAATCGCACAGGATTGCGCATGACAAGTTCTGGAGTGCCAACCCGCACTAGAATCTCGCGAAACCTGTAATGCGAAAAGCGCAATACTGGGTACGCTCCTCATGCTCTTCATGCAAGGCAAATTCCAAACTCTACTGTGACGTTTGAGATTGTAACACCTGAACAGGTTATATCCTCCGCGTCCAGTTTTTCGCGCTCCTTGAGCTCCTGCCGGTAGTTCGCGTGGTCCCGGTTGTACAGATAGCTATCTTCTATCGCCTTCTTGTCGGCCTCCCGCTCCTGCCGGCGACGCTCCTTCTTGAACGCCTGATAATCCCGGGATTCCAGCAGGTCCCGTTTCCTCGCGTCCTCCCGCTTCTGGTCCATCAGTTGCTTCAACGCGCGCTCTATCCACAGAAGGCAAATCGGTGTCTGGACTGTTCTGGAACATAATTTTTGCAACACGTGAAGTGCTCATCGTAATCTCCTGCGTCATCATCCCATATATAACCTCTGTTAGTTGCAAGCTCAGGAATTTTTCATTGAAGCGCTCCTTTTTCCTCGTCATGCAAAAGCGCGACTTCTCACAAAAAATGACTTATCATGCACGACTCCCGATGTATAGTGCAGCAGTCGACTACACGACTTTGTCCCTGATGTACTACTTATCACCATGATCAAAAATTTACTATAAATTCCATTTCCAGTCCCAGATCCATACTATTTGCGGTGCATACGTTCGTTTTCGGAACGCCACTGCCGCAGTTCCTCCAGCTCTTCTTGCTTGTGCTGTATGGCTTGCTCAGATGTTACAATCTCAAACGTAGTTCCAATAGAATCTGGATTTTGTCTTGCATGAACAGCATGAGTACCATACAGAGCCTTGGGCTTTTCGCAATACAAATTTCGTCAGATTCTCATGGGGTTTGGTGCTCCGAAACTTGTCATGCGCGCTCCTGTGGGAGTAGGCCAGATGTTGCGCATTTTGCAAGACAAATTGCAGACTCTATGGCAACGTTTGAGATTGTAACACCTAAGTGGGTTATATGCTGCTGGACCGTTTTTTTCTCCTGTCGCTTCAAGTCCCACCGGGCCTGAGAGGGAAATCAAATGGATGTTGTGTTTCCTTTTTGGGATTGTCCTTGTCACATTCTCCTTGTCTGAAGCGGATCTCGCATCAGCAGTACTTAATACCGCCGTCGAGGGAAATGAGTCGATGCATATTTAATGTTGGAGGTACTCGAAGTTACATTAGTTTTAGTCCCACATCTCGCAATAAATCATGTGTTAGCCTACAGACAGCACCTTGGATTCCTGGCTCTTCAGCTCTCGCACCTCGCGCCGCATTTGCTCCAATTCGATTTCATAGTCAGGTAAACCGCCGAGCGCGATGCGCCGCGCCTCCGTCGACATCGTGCTGAAGTCTGACTTCGTCGCGCTGATTTTTTTCGGCAAAGTATGTACAGTTCACTGCGTATCCTACTAGCTTCTATTCCTCATGCAACAGCATTCCTGTTCACCGAAAAGGAGTAGAACGGTGTTCCGCACAGGAAAAAAAAACGAAAAAGGAAAATTATCACTTATACCTTCCAAAGCTCTGACCGGCCTCGCGCGCGGCGGGTTTCGGGCGGGGTTGGGCAGTGAGAGGACGTGTGTTCTTCAACAGCTGCGGAGACTTGTTCTGGGCGGCGGTGTTCGGCCGGGGGCGCGAGGACGAGGAAGCAGTAGAAACCGCTGATTTATTTGCGGACGCGGTGACAGCCCGATGGTTGTTCGCTCGCCAATCCGAGCCACTGGAGGGAGCGTAGGACGAACGCATCGTCGGTCCTGTAAGTATAGGAAAGAAGATTTTCTGCATTTTAATCATTCATGCCGAAGTCCTTGAGAAATAAGAGATTCCTCGGATATCTACCAAAAGAAGTCCTGACGTTCTTCCTCTCGTTCTTGCGAGCGCGAGTGGCATACATACAAGTTTATTCTGCAGCTCCAAAAAAACTGGAATTCAGAAGTACCAGCAGACACAGTCGCGCCAGGCCGCTCGATCACTCTTCGTATGGAATGGAAACAATCAGGTTGGATGTGGCCCGTGCAAAAGTCGAACCGTTTGTGCCGCACTTATGCCTATGTGCACATTGAATAAACGTAGTCGACGGAAATCATTTCAGTGCAGGTCTGTGCACAGTTCTATGATAGGAACCAGAACCTCAATATTTTTTTTGAAAATAAATCATGACAAATCAAGAAGGCACAGTGCCCCTGTGATGAAGACGAAGAAGTTTTCTCCTTTCATAGTCCTTGCGGAAGATGATGAGGACACCGCGGAGCCTGGCGGGCCTGGCTGTGGTCCACCGACCTGCGGCTTTCGTCGCAGTTGGAAGTAGCTGTACGCAGAGTGGAGCCATTCGTGCATCTGGTGGGCCACCGGGTGTGCCTGTGGCTCGGGGGATGAACCTGATCAACAGCTGCTCTTTGTTCACATCACTAATCTTCCGGAATTCATCCATTAATCATGCTAATCTCGTCTGGAACTGAAATTTGCTCTGTTCAACATGCCCTCCGGATGATCACGATGAAAGTGATTGCATACTCGTATAATTACCTGACTCCACGTAGTTTCTGACCCTTGAGATTGCCGCGTCGGGGATTCGTCCGCTGTCTACGGCGTAAGGAAACCTCCGCATGTATTGTGAGGAAAAACCCCCCCTCCCCATATTGAAAAGGCATCCGTCGAAAAATTTGCGATGCAGATTTGTGGCCACAAATCATTTTTGTCTTGCAAGAAGGCAAGCGCTGAGGGATGCGCCGCATCATGGATGCGATTTGTCATGCTAGTTGGCCAACAGGGCAGGCGTTTCCAATGCGAAACAGCTAGACCCTTGCGCACCTAAACAGCCTAACAATCTGGCCGCGCTTCCTCACAGCAAGACAGACCTCATTTGTGTACGCAAGTCCAGCATCAGAAATTTCCTTTTGATATGGGGAGGGGGGATTTTTCATATTGATAGCATGGCGTTGATGTAGTGCCCCGGCTTCCCCATCACCCGTCGGGCCTGGAAGTAATGAATTGCAATGAATTTTTAATACCCGGGACAAAGAATACTTATCTTCGTGGGGCTGCAACATGTCATATCTGGTCCAAGATACGGACAACATTCAAACTGCACACTTTTACTGCACCGAGCGAAACAGTTGACGATGTTCATGTTGTTGCCATGATCTTCAAGTTCAACGCTGATCATGATTATGCCCAAAAATCTACTCTCATTTGCAGTCGAGTTAATAGTACAGAATCCCAGTCCCGGCCGGAGACATCCACCGCCAGGGTGTTATCCACTTCCGTTACCAAGCTGAGCGCCGCTTCGCTTTTGTTGTGAGGAAAAATCCCCCTCCTCATATAGAGTGGGAAATTTGTGATGCTGCCTTTTCGTACACAAGTCCGGCTTGTATTGCTAGAAAGGCAAGAGACGCATTTGCGGCCGTGTTTGCAGGCAATTTGTCATGCTGTTTCCCACTTCCAGTTGCCCCCTGTCATGCTGAAGATGCAAGGCTTTGTTCCCACGCCAGCAAGCACTACAGTCTGCATCTTTTCTTCTCTAGCATGACAGCATGATTTGTGGTCACAAGTCAGCAGCACAAATTTCCAATTTGAGTATGGTTTGGGGGCATTTTTCATTTGGATAGCTCCCCTGTTCCACGGCTTTGGATACCACGGGCTGCTCCCGAAATTCCGCGATCTGCTTCACGGAAAGTTTTTCCAGGGGCGCGGAAAGGCCATCGTACGCGACTTTCCGCTGTTCCTTTAGCGCCGCTGCGAGGTCGCCGGGACTCCCAGACTGCAGCGGGCTCGAGCTCGCTGGGGCCACAACCATAGTGGTGTTAAATTCTGATAATGATGTGTTCTATACTTACTCGGTGATGTGATTATTCTCTTAAAGTTCAAATCTATGTGACCTAGCTAGGCACTACAAGGTGCAGTATTGCGGTCTTTTATGCGATTTCAGACCACGAAAGTAGAACCATGATGGCGGAGAATAACCACAACTAGTGACATTGGTATTTCTCCGCCGCACTATACCGATTTATTTTTTTTTGCTTCACTAGTAGGAAGACTTACTTGAACAACACCTAAAAATCGATAACACTGCACCTCCTGCCGCCCCGCTCTCGCATGAAAGAGAAACGGAATTTCGGTCGTAAGGCAAGATCCATCACACGACAGGACGCTATTATGAGCCACGTGGAGACCACAACTTGTGCAGTCGCAGTGTAGCTTTGTACGAACACGAAAGCTGTCTGATCTTCTGCACAAAAAATGCAGACCAACGGCTTGCTCGATTCTCCGCGGAAAGACAGCGACAGCGTAGACTCTTGCCACGCGGAAGATTCATTGGGGTCTTCGTACTGAAAGCACCACCTCCAGCCGGTGAATGTCATTAGATTGGTGTAGCAGTCTGTCAGATGCGTCGCTAGATAAAAATGCCGCTTCGTTCATTCTTTCAGTTATACAGCAAAGGTTTTTGTTGTGCCGGTCTGGCTGCTCGTAAGAAGAACAATTCGAACTTGTTCTTTCTTCGCGTTCCGCTGGTTTTGTCGTTTTCAAGAACGTATGTGTTTCATTTAGATTATTCTACTCGATAAAGCTCTGTGCCAGTACAACGCGTCGACCTGCGCCGCTGTTTTTTGTCGCAAAATATATTTATAACCAGTCGGTACGTCTACGTCCGTCGGAAATAAATAAGCTTAGTTCAGTACTGGGTACTACTTACAACCACGTGCATTCCCATTTCCATCCCTTGCACGTCCTCGCGGTCTATTTGGCCGTCTCGCCGTGTGAAATATTTATTACGAAAGTAGTGTCCGAGAAGCCCCCAAAGAAGGTCCAACATGTCGACTTTTTAATATCACTTACAACTCGGTTTTCACCGGACTCGGTGTGCTGGTCATCGCTTCCACCTGCGAAATCTCCTCGGGCAGCCAGTCCAGTTTCACTTTTTTGCTCGTCTTCGCCACCAACCGCTCCCGGCAGCTCTTCCACACCTGCTCGGAGCACTTCGTTTTCTGCACGTCGGTATGCCTCACAAATGCCGATCTGGCCCTGGGAGAGGTGCCATTTGTGATGCTAACGAAGTAGATAAGCAGACAAAAAAATCTGTCTTGCCTGAGCAACTGTTATAGGTGCCCACTTTCTCTTAGCAAGCAAGACAAGTCGAGCTTCTACTCCTACGGTTGCGGGGTTGGACTTCTAGGCATTATTTGAGGCGCTTACTTCGCAACGCCTGCAAAAATGCTTTGCATACATTCCCGCTCATGCTCATCTATCTGTGGCAAAAGATGCATGACAAGCAAGTGCACTCTTCTGACCCGGCAGACACATTTGCAGTTGATAGTCGATCAACTTCGAGATTTTGCCCTTGGAGTATGAGAGTGCACAACGCCCCCTCCCCCTCATTCGTCATGCGAAACCCCAAATATCCAAGCACTTCCCATTGGCACCATTTGCATGACAGATACCGGAAGCCCAAACAGTACTACACTAGAGCTGCATGAATTTGTCATGCTCAGCCTCCGCGTGTAGTGGTGTTTGTACTGCTGTTCATGCAATACAAATGAGGAGGAGGGGGAGTTGTGCACTCTCATATGGAGTTCAGGATTTTCGCACACGTGGAGAGCACAGACAGAACCGGCTGCGGCACGTCCGATATCCACTGCAAAAGTGATGTCGATTCTAATTGCAACGTTGCATGACAAATCTCGTCGTTTCTATACTGCCATATCAGCAAGACCAGCGTCATGTCGACTCTTTTTGAAGATAAAATTTGTGATGCAAGTTATATTACTAAGCGGCACTTTTGCATTGCATATCGGAGTCCTGGACTTGACGGACCTGCTGGTCAAGCCTGTGTTTCATTGATGAAGAGGTTGTTGATGTAGGTGCTGCAGATATGTCATTGTGCTGCGATGGATCTGTGAACAAATTATGCATGACACTGTGCATAGAAAGATCATCATCTCGATCTCGAAGATGAAAGGAACTTCTGTATTATACCACTGGTAGCTCTTTTCGTTGAGGCGATCGAATTTGGTCTCCTGGGCCTTGATTTTTTCCACCGCGTCTTCGGGCTCGTAGCAGAAGGCCAGGTTGTATCAAATGCAGAAATGTCTGGGTCTGGAAAGTTGTGATGCATGTTAGTGAATAGGAGACACATTGCAATGCGCCGCCAAGCATGACAGATTTTTCCGTGGCTTTGTGTTGCGTATTCCGCATGAGAAACTGCGTTTTTGCATGACAAACCAGAGGACCTCTTGCTGGCCACGCAATACAGGGCTCAGTGTCATGCCAGACTAGCATGACAAATCTCGCACTCTTCCAGACCCAGACATATTTGCAATCCATAGGTTGAACTGCCGATGCTGCGGGTTCCAGACGGTGTTGCGCACGATGGCCTCCACGACCGGAGTATCAAATGTAAAAGTGTCTGGGTCTGGAAGAGTCATGCTGTTTTTGCATGACACAGAAGGTCTGGCATGGAAGCTCTAGCATCACAGGTCTCGAAAAGCGTTCGCAATGCCGAATCCGCATGACAAATCCCTGACTTTGGTGACAGAAAGTGGGCAACTTTTGCTGCCTATGCATGAGAGATTTTTCTGTGTTCTGAAATGCGCATCACAAGTTGCAATCTTCCAGACCCAGACATTTTTACATTTGATACGGGGGCTGGTAGAGCAATTGCTCGTAGTAGGAAATTATCACTTGGAAAACTGTCGGGGTCAGCGAAGCAGTTCTTGTGTTACCAGTCTGTGAAAAATGATCATGGGTAGTCGTACACAGACTGCAATAGGCAGCAGAGCATGACGAGTCTTTGCGCTGCTAGTTTATGTGTTGTAGATTCCGCATGGCAGACTGCGTCTTTCTTGTAACATTCAAGGGGAAGATGGGGATCTACTTTTATTTTCGCGCCTATAATGCATGATCACAGAGCACCAGCGTCAAGTCAGGTCAGACAGGCACGACAAATCCATTGCAAGCTTCCAGAGGACCTCGACATTATATATGCAATGCATAGAAATGGAATCTGCGAGCGAAAGGCTGACGCGAAACCACCCGGGGGGAACAAAAATGATGTCGCCGGGTTCCTGGTTATGACAGTCCACAACTACGCCCCCTCATTTGTATGGTCGATGTTGAACAGCAATACAAAAACACCAGCACGACGACACGTGAAGCCTGTGCATGACAAGAACTTCATCCGGATCGAGTGTAGTTGTACTGTTTCTCATGCATATATAGTGACACAAGGGTAGTACTACAACTACACCTGGACCTGGAACTGTCACTGTGGTGTCTTTCGCATGAGAAATGAGAAATGAGAACGAAGTGAGTAGTTGTGCACTCTCATACTGGTTCACCTCTATGTACTTCTTCAGCCCAAATTCTTCCTTCAACTCCGGGAGCTTTTCTTCGAAAAACATGTACCTGCAAAATTTTTAAGTAACCGCCTATGCTGTATGACACTTAGTCGATGACAGTGTCTTTCACTCATGCAGTCGTCACTGCTGCACCACAAATCTTTATAACCACATTGATTCCTATGAATGAAATAAGTACGCGCTGGTCTGCTGGAATTCCAGGGCCTCGCGAGCCTTCTCTGCGACCTGCTGGACTTCGTCTTCGGTGACCAAGAGCCAGCGCCGGAAGCCATGCAGCAGGACGTCGTAAAACGGCAATCCGTTCTCAGCGTGCAGCTTGTCCCCACTCCCGGACGGCCCAAAGACAAAGTACCGGAAGTCTCCAGCCGCCTGCTGCTTCAAAAAGTCGCTGCCTGGAGAAGATAAAGATTGATAAATGGTTGCAAAAATAATAAATCGTGAGAATAAATTCTTGGTCGTCGTGTGTCTATCGTGTTGTGATTTTCAGCGAGGTTCATTTACTTCTACGCGGGATCAAAAAAAACTTCTATCTGCTCTACGTCGATCTTATACTTTTCTTTTCAACAAGAAAAACCTGTCGTACTACTACCGAATAATTCCAAAACCGTCCCCCGGGAGTTGTGATGAATCAGTATTCAAGAAACTGCTCACATGAATCTTCAGAGAGTACTACTAACTGAGTACCTTCCTTCTTGCCCAAAATTTTTTGCAGCTCGGAGGCAATAACCGCTGAGGAATTTCCCCCGTCAGGCGTGAAGATCCTCTTCGCCGCACGCTCCCAGTCGTGAAAAACGTTGTCGACGATGGGCGTTTTGCATCAACTTCAAATAAGCTTACTTCTGGATGGTCTGGCAAATTGGAAGGTTTGTCATGGTCGTGCTTAATCCTCTGACAACATGATTCATTCTGAGCGCTGTGATGTTCAGGCATGGGCTCAAAATAAAGAAGCTCTGGCCCGTGCCATGCAAAGACGTAGTCTGCCATCTGATGCGGAAAAAAAAATTACACGATAGTACAGTACACAATAAAGAAGTGCTGCATCACCACCTTTCATATAGAGTAGCGTCTACACGAAATGATCCCGAGACGACCGACCAGCCCGAAGAGGAATATTAAGTATTTGCAATTGCATATTTTGGACTTGGGCAGCTTGGTTCGCAACGCGTCCAGTTCCCCCTCCTTTTCCACCAACTTTCGCGCGCTCAGCGTGTGCTCGCAGTGCTCGGTTGCCTGGCCAGGGATCTTCGGCGCGGCCGGTGAGCCCAGGTAGCAGTTGGTCAGGTACCGCGAGAAGGGGATCAGGTTCGGCTCCGTGAAATAAATGCGGTTGCCGACCACCTTCTGCCGTGGCTGGTCGGGCGGAAAGTATTCCAGCACCGTGTTTTTTTCCAGATACTCGTTGGTGGAAAATTGCTCCGCGGTGAACTGCTCGCGCGCTTCCGCAAAGTTCTCGAACAGCGAGGCACCGTATGAGCGTGCACAACTCCCGCTCCCCTTCATTTGTAATGCAAAAACGCAGTTCCAGCCACTGCCTCACATCGCTACCTTGCATGACAGACTTGGGAAAAATCCAAACAGTACGTATAGTCCGCACGCATATTTGTCATGCAAAAACTACATCTCTGACCTTGTCTCTATTGCTGTTCTTGCCTTCAAATGAGGGGGAGGGGGGGTTGTGCACTCGGATACACCGTTCTTCACCAGAAAAGGCTTTTGGAACTCCAGTTTCTTGCCGTGCTTTTTCTCGTAGTCCTCCACACTAATCTCCGTCATCTTGTTCTGCTTCTTGCCCGGCTTGGCGCGCAGCTTCTTCAGCTCCTTCAGCTTGTACTTGCCTGTACTTATTTTTCAAATGTTCAGAAGAAATGGCACTAGAATGCTGTGCTGTCCTATGTTCATCTATCCACAGTGCAATGACTTGGTGCTCTCATCATCTCAGCAGTGGAAGACGGAGCGGCAAAATTAACTAAAGAAACAAGTAGTGGACGAAGCATACAAAAACGCGATATCCATTTTTTCTTTGTTTATCGGAACAACAAATTGCATATCGGAAGATACAAGAATGAAAAGTACCGACAGTGAACGAGACCGCCTTTTCTTTTTTCACGGTTTCTTTCACCGTTATCCTGAGTAAAAACATCCCCACACCAGAGTCAAGACGGGGATTTTGCAACACAAGCCTAGAACTTTTGGGGGTCACGCATCACAAGTTGCAGTCCGTAGTGTAGTGCAGGTTCGCAAGGCCAGCTGCATCAGAAATCCATCTGCTTATCCTGTTTACAGCATTACAAATTCCAAAACACGACTAAAAATGCCTCTCCTGGCGATGCGCATTGCAAGTGTTCCTGTCGCTGTCATTGGAAATCTGCATGACAACTCTGGTGTGGGGACGTTTTTACTCAGGATAACCGTGTTTGCCGCTTCGTTTAGCTTTCTTAGCTGCTCGAGCATGTTGTCCAAAAAAAGGGTCAAGGACGAGTGCATTTTTTCCTTCTTCGCAAATTCTCCGAGTTGGACGGCTTGCTCTAAAATTTCCGTGGTGTTTTCCTTTTTCCCGACTGTCAATTTCGCGTGGATGTTGATGCTGTTCTGCGCTTCTACCGCACCGGGGAGCTGCTGGACCAGCGAAGTTGCTGACAGCAAGGTCGCGGTCAGGAAAAATCCTTTCGAAAACATCTTGTAGTTTGCGGCTCGTGCAGATCTTGAACTACTTTTCATCTTCCACAGGTTTTGGTTTTGCTGGTCTTTCTCCTGCATCATGACCGGGGTCAGTACTTGTTTTGCCTCTACTTCCACTTCGCCAGTTGTACTGATAAAACTTCTTCGCAGGCCAGTGTCAGCAACTACATGTTGTCCACAACTTCGGAGGTGACAACATTGTTCAAGCTGATCCTCATCCTGGTCGGGCCAGAACGTCGCATGATCTACTTGCGGTTCTTCATCTTGCACCAGCTCGTCCCCGGCACAGGGAGGTTGTTGCCTCCAGGAGCTCATCCACATGGTTGTCGTTGCAATATCCTCGTCCCTCAAGAAGTCCTCGCTGCGGCGCGAAAATCCCGGGCGGGACAACTACGTTTTTTGATGCGGCTCGCACAACGTTTTTTGATGTCTTTTTGCCGTCTCAGATAATCAATAACGTCTGGTCGTGCTCGCTAGGATGTAAATTTAGTTATATTGCTTTACTTTGATATTGGTATAGTGATGCGAAAAACGAACTTGATGTGTCGTGCAAATTAGAATGTTAAATTATCAAAGTCTTCATAGTCAAGGAGGGTAAGAGGTTCTACTTCTGTCGCTAAAAGGGTCGCTGAGCGAAAAACGTTCAGGACCATGCGATATCAAAAACAGAAAAGAGATCGTAGAAAAGGAAGAACCGAAAATGAAATCTGATCAGGGAACCTTGCAAGAACTACATCAGCGTAACTACATTGCACAATGACCACCTTTTCTTGTCCACTGTCGTACTATCGACAAATAGAAATAGTACTATGCCTCGATCCAATTTAAAAATGCAGAGCCAAGGTGCAGCTTCTCGAGAAGAAAGCGTGGTGAAGAATTGCGGCCATTCTACTTCTCGCGGCCACGAGATGCAAACCGGGTCCCGGAAAAACGGGGAAGGCGAACACTGGAGTTGCAAAGGCAAAACGCTTTGTCTTGAGATTATTTTTTTATTCTTTGGTTCTGAATCTGTACTTCTACTTACTCGTAGTTTTTCTGCCGATTGACTTTTACTCCCAGTTCCTTGCCTCTCTACAAGGAAGAGGCAAAAATGTCCCGCAGTTGTGCCAAGCATCAAAGACGAAGATCAGAGATGCGGTTTTGTGTTAAGTAATTTCTTCGAAATCACACGTCGCACATCTGACTGGTGCGAGAGATCGTGGTCGTTTCTTTATTGCACTGCGAGACACATCTTCACCACCCTGCACTAAATCATCTCCCTTCGCTGGTGCTGGCTCCTCAGGAGGTCGTAAAAGCTGCTGTAGGACCGATCATCTACAGTAAAACTCACGCACGGCGGTGAGGCCGATCATCTACAACTGCTGCGAAACCTCTCAGAGGCGTCCCTTCGGCATGAGTACCAGCTGCACCACAATCACATATCAAATGTAAAAATGTCTGGGTCTGGAAACTTGTGATGCTGGGTGGCGTCTTATGATGAGGCCACAAGTGCTGGCTCAGCATGACAAGTTTCTGAGCTTCTAGGTGTTGCCTATTCTGCATGACAAACTGCGTTTCTGCATCACAGAAAAGTGGGGCTCTTGGGTAACGTGCATGACAGATTTAACAGTCATGCCAGACAAGCATGACAAACATGCATTCTTCCAGACCCAGACATTTTTACATTTGATATCACAACGCAGAGAATGATTCCGTACGTTTTCTGGTTCCGGTTGGATTTCTGCGCTTGCGCGATATCCCACGAAAAAACTGTTTCACTGTGATGATTTTGCAAGATCTGCATCACAAGTTTGTTACACATGCTACTAAAAATTTCTCATGCGCACTTCCCAAGGGAAAACACGCTGGAAAATCCAATGCCTTGCATGTGTAGCAAGACAAATAGTTTTGTGTTATATTTTCTGCATCACAGGTTCACCGTAAAACAGTTTTTTCTCAGGATACGCGAGTACGGTTGAGTAGTACTGCACTACCTGCTGAAACATCGGCGAACGGCTCGCGAACGAAGCCGCGGCACCAGCGGTTCCGTCTTGCGTTCCCTGAAGGTCGTTTTGCTGCTCATCGCCTGCTGTAGCTCGTGCATCATCTTCGTATCCCCCAGCCATGGTCAAATCGTAGTCGTAGGCCTCTTCCTCGGCGGACCCCTCTTCTTTCGAAGCTGCCGGAACAAGCTTCTTCTGTTTATTCAGATTTAATACTTGTTTCCGCTGCCTCACCGGTAGGGAGTCCTGATACTTCTCCTCCTCCGAGACGGATGAGGACATTTTGCCCGAGGAAGAGGAAGATATCGAAAGGAAAAAACCCCCCTCCCCATATCAAAACGGAATTTCTGATGCTGGATTTGTGTAGACAAATCAGCTTTGTATTGCTGGAAGGCATTGCGGCCAGATTCCCAGCCTAGGTGGAGGCGTTGGGCTCTAGTTGTTCAGCATGGCAAACGGCTCCGCTTTAGGCCCAACAGCATGACAAATCGCCTCCATAATGGGGCGGAAGCATCTGCCCTTGTCTTCTTGCAACATAAATGTGATTTGTAACCTCAAATCAGCAACACAAATTTTCGGAAACATGCCTTTTCAATATGGGGAGGGGGGATTTTTCTTTACGATAGAAGAGGATGAGGCTTTGTTGCTTTGCGACTCGGGTTCTTTCGAAGACGAGGGATTGGACCCGCGGTGAAACCCCGGCGACAGAAAAGCGGCGACGAGATTCAGCGGACCTTGGCGCTTCCACCGGGCGAGCCGCTCGCTCGCGGCCGCGGAAAACGAGGAAGTCGAAGACGACCCCGATGACGTGGAGCGGCCGGGGGGTCGCCGTCCTGCTCTCGCCGAGGACGAGACGGACCGGGTGTCGTCCTGCTCGAAGTAGGCCTCTGGTGCCATGCCTTCTACATCATCTTGTTCCTGGTAGTAGGAAAACAACGGGCGTTCTACTTGGTACGCCGGCGGAGCAGTCTCGCCCTCCCGCTCGCGCCGCATCAGCGCCCGCGCCTCCTGGTCGTCCTGCCGGCGCTGCTTTAACCAGTCCGGCACCACGGTCGCATTGGCCCCGCCGCCGTAGCTGGTTTCCAGAGCCGTCGCCACGCCGGCACCGTACTGGCCGCGGGCCGCGTGCAGGAGATCGTCCAGCGACCGTCGCCGGGCAGCTTTGCGCGCCTCCTCGGCCCTGCGCCGCTCCTGCCGCTCGGCCCGCGTGTTGCGCCACACCACGGACAAGTGGACCGCGACGCCCGGCTTGTTGTCGTAATAGCCACTGTAGCCGTGGCATGATCCTGTGCAAAAGCGATATTATCGCACTCGTAGCAATTCTTGCAATTTTTATGCATGACAAATCTTCTTTCTCACCACGACCCTACCCCATCTTTCAAGTTGGAACAATTTGTAATGCAATCTGTACTAGTGCGATTTGTTTTATTTGCAATGCATAGGTTGCCGTGCAAATAATTATCCGCGGCGTTGTTGTAGCCGCTGGTGCTGGATCCGGCCAGGAAACCGCTTAAACTCGGCGTTGCGTTCCCGGATGCTCCAGTAGTATTCTTAACTACCTCCCCGTCCGAGAGCACGCCCTCGTAGACTAGGGGCGCGGTCGACGTTGTGCCCCCATCCTGGTCCGCGAGGAGTGCTCGCTCCGCGTCGGAACCGCGACCGCTTCCCGCGCGGATCGTGGGCAGGTTACGGAACGACCCCTCGGACAACAGCGCTTTGCTTGGTTGATTCACAGCGTCTGTCTTGCTTGTTTGAAAAGCCGGCGAGGATGAAGAAGCTGTGTGCTCTTCTATCCTGTGTAAAAACGCACCCACGACCCCAGGGTTGTGTCATACAACAGTGCACCACTAAATATGTCTCTCATGCGCAGCCAAATGCATCTTCTTGGGAAGCGTTTCCTAGGGGAGTCCTGGAATTTGTCACGCTAAGTATAAAGTGATTTTAAATCACTAGAACTAGATAGAATTAAAGAGATCATTAATTTGTGATGTCGCGGCTGCACAACTAGCTGAGGATCGCATTTTTACACTACGATCCCAAAATTTTCATGCGCAACATGATATTTTCAAAAAAACCCTCTTCGATTTGTCTAGAAAAATTGCTATCTTGACTCCGGGGTCGTGTGGAAATTAGTTTCCACAGCGGGTAGGATCGCCAACATCTTCTACTTCAGCAGCTACTGCTCCATCGCCCTCTTTCGCTGTCCGCGCAACCAAGAACTCGTTGCCGCTTATTTCCAACTCGGTCGTGGGAACCACAGCTGCGTCCGCTTCTAGAAAACCGCTCTCCAAAATGTTGGAGGACATCATGCCCGATGCGACGCCCGACGCCACACCAGAGTCCAACAGGTCGGTCCGGGAGTCCCGCGTGGATGTGAACCCGTACAACGGTAGGTCCTTGTAGTGCTCCGTTGTCGTGACGCCTTGGTTGGGCACCCGCTCTATCGTGTGCCCTTTCAGCGTCTCCGTTTTTTTCGCCCCGTGGGCCTTCAGGACCACGTCATGGGGTGACTGCGATCGCGGCCGGCTCGTGGAGACGGGGGAGGCGGGGGCTGTCCCGCCGACCGCACCAGCCTTCTTCCTCGCTTCCCGCTGCTCCGGATCTGGAGAGGAAAAGTACTTAACTCCGGCTGTTCTTCCCCAGTCACGGAACTGGCAGTGTAAGTAGTACTAAAAAATCAGCGTGACTTTTTTATGCAAAAATCAATCTCGGACGTCGCCGACGTAGTAGTCACGCACGAAAATTTCGCCAAACTGAGCAGATGTGGAATCTACCAGTGCAGGAGTTTCGGAAGTAGATGATGAATGTGCTTGCAGAAGATGAGTACGCAAGCAAAAATCGCGTCCTGGGGAAGAAGTCCTGGAGTCTCTATTCTTGCACGGGATACATGTCGGTCCTTGCTTTTTTGCACCTTCGCTTCTTGACGCCTGATTCATCGATATTGTGGTCAAAATATTAAATTTTCTGATTGAATATTCCACACACCTCCGTTCTTGCGTGTCGTGTGCTTGCAGGCAAAAATGCAAGTGCCGGCGCTCTTGCAGGAGGAGCTCTACTTGCGCTACTAATTTTCTCTCTTCGAGGGGGAACAAGAACAAACAGAACGGGTAAAATAAAAAGTACAGAACTTTATTCTACCGCTGCCAGTCCTCCCTGTGCGATTGCGCCGCGCGGGCCTTTTCGTGCGCGACCTGAAACCGCTCCTGGAACTTGCGCAGACGTATTACAGTGAAAAATGCCCCCACCCCCACAGTTGTAAGAATTTGTCATGCTAAGTTTCCAGATGAAAACTTTTTGTCATGCATGAAAGAAGTATGAATCTTTCTGATGCAGAGTAAAGTCGTATATCGCATCGCTTGCATGACAAGCGCCGCTCTTGCTGGGATCTTTTGCAATACAAATTTTTGCTATTCACGATTGGAAATCTGTGATGCTGCTAGGTGCAAGAGGGCGAATGTTTCTTTTGGAAAGGTTTGCAATACAAATGCTCCCAAGTTCGGGGGTGGGGGCATTTTTTATTGTAATAAGACGCTTGAAGAGTTCGTAGACCGCCTCAAAGTCCTCCAACAGGTCCAGCACCGTGTCCTTGTGCGGACGGCTGCCTTTCTATGAGAGTGCACAACTCCCCCTCCCCCTCATCTGTCATGCAAAATACCCAATCCACCCTCTACCTCTTGGCACTGTTTGCATGACAAGCTCTGGTAGCCCAAATAGCACTACACTCCAGTGCAAATTTGTCATGCAAAACCGGCATTCTTGCTGATGGCCGCTTGTAATGCCGTTTACACTACACAAACGAGGGGGAGGGGGGGTTGTGCACTGTCATACTTTCGGCATGTGCTTGTAGCCCTTTTCGATCATGGTTCGGGTGACGCCGTTCTCCGTGTCTAGCAGCATATCCTGTGTTAAAACGTCTCCACCCGCCCAGAGCTGTCATGCAAATCTGCATGCCAAAAAAAATTCTCAAGCGGAGCCCCGTGAGACGCATTTCCTCGTCGTTTTTTGGAATTTGTGATGCTCGAATCAGCATGATGTGCTAGATCTGTGATGCTGCTGAACTACCTATAGTATAGGTATAATTATACAATACGAAGACAATAAATTTGTCACGCGAACCAACCAAAGCAGGCTGATTTGTCTAGCAGATTTCCCATCAACATCTTGACTCTGGTGTGAGGACGTTTTTACTCAGGATACAGCATCGCACGAATCTCCTCCTCCGTCTTGGAGCTCGAAAACGGCGTCAGCAGCACCGGCATCAGGTTTCGTTTCAGCAGTTTTTCGCACAGCTCGCCCGTCTTCGTTCTGAAGTCGTTGGTCACCGCTACCAGCTGGGGCAGGAATTCCTGCGACGTCGATGCCGCTTTGTCTTCGGCGTCCAAGGCCTCGACACTGCGAGCCGCGGAGGAGAGTTCCGCCTCCTTGGCCTTCGCGAACTCAGCCACGTCGTCCGCATCGTCTACGGACTTGAAGGCTTCCAACTTTTCCACAATTTGCCGCAAGCTCTGCAGGTCCGCGCCGGCCTTCCGGGCGTTCGTAACCGTTGGAAGTAGGGACATAAAGACTTCTCGGTTCTTGTCGGTTAGTTTACCTAGTACTATAGCGGTTGTTTTTTCTCTTACCTCTGCTTGAACTACGCCTACCTATCATCGTATGGCATTATTTCGCTCGAATATCAAAAACAAAGCATCTGTGCGCGGCACTTAATACAGGAGCACACTTATGTTCCCAGCACCCGCCGAATAGGTACAAACGGCAAGAGTCAAATCGGCGACAATTTTGGTGCGAATATCCTCCACTCTCACCCTCCACTCTCACCTGTTGAAAATCCGAAAAGCCTCGGTCCCGAGTAATCATATAATTGTGTACGCACTCACCGGCCGGTGATCGACGTATCATGGCAGCTCCTAGAGCCAGAGAAGTACATATCAGTACTGACCTTTTTCTCAACGAGACCAAAAATCGATTCTCACACCTTACCCTAAAAATCGATTGCAGCCCTTACCCCGAATTACAACACGACGCGGGTTTTATTTTCGCAAACCCAATAAACTATCCCGTATGGAATAGCAACAAACAAAGTGTCCTGTGCTGCCGCCAGAAATAACCTACGGCTGGAGAGAAGCCGAGGAGAAGGAAAGCGTTAATCCTTATGGGATTGTTGAACCAAGTCGGTACTTTCGTTTGTTTAGAGCGCCAACTTTTGGCACGACATAGGTCGTACGTAGTACCCAGATGCATGGTGCCCCAAAAGGATCATGGTCGAGGTTCGCAGACTGAATTGGAGTCGCTCATTTGTAAATTTGTTTTCATTGCTCACCTTGCGCCAGTACCCGAGAGCATTTTCTATTACTTTAGCTACGCACCACTACAACTAACAGAACGTAAAGAATCCCGATACCGACCGCGGTGCCGGAAGTCGTCAACCCGAAGTATGGAGACCGCAGCTGCGAAATGGATCTCAGGCAAATTGGCATGGCAAATGTTCTTGCGTGCCCTGCCTGGGAGCACAGAAGTTCTTTTTTCGCCGCGTGTAGTAAACTGCGTAGTTGCACTGTTAGGATAGAAAAACTGCCTATCAGTCAAGTCGAGATACCGGTCTACAGTTTTCTCCACATGCATCGTATGAAGTAGCCGTTTATGCAAAACAAGGCACCGCATCGTGCTCGTCGGCTCCCCTTTGAGCATTGCCATCAGGTCTTGAGATCATTCCCACCGCTGCGCATGCCGTACAGATGCTGCCGACGCCGGTGTCGCTGTTGACCCGACCGGTATCGGATCGGAGGATCCAACAGCTTCAACGGCGACCGTGATATTGATAATCCCGGCTGCGGAAATCGTCTGTGCCACCGCCGCTCCCAGTGTGGCGGTCAGGCCCGTGGCGGGGTCGGTTACGGCTGCCTTGGCCTCCTTCATCCGCTCCATCACGGCAGCCACGTCGACCAGACTGGTGGGTTGCGCCGTCAGCTTCACCAGGCACTTATGCATTGCCAATAACTCCGGGGCTGGAATAAACTTGTGATGCTACTACCGTGTGGAAGATGGACGCATTCTTTATTCCGATTACAGGTAAATAAAACAGGCGTGACGTCTTCCCAACCCGCGTCGCTTCATTCGCAGTCCGCGTCGTGAGAAACTGCGTGCTTGTCTGACAAAAGAGGCTGGACATGCTGGTCACGCAATACAGATTGGTCACAAGAACGTCAGTAGACCAACCTTCGTACTACAAATTCGCACTTTCCAAACCCAGATCGATATTTGCATTTGATAGTACTCCACCTTGGCCGTGGTATGGGCGCTAAGCTCTCGACGGCGGGGCACTATGTCCCTTACTGGCGTGAGCGCAATGGTGCCAAAGCCCGTCGGACCGCCCAGCCACTGCACCTGTGCCGCCCACCGGTATTTGTTATCTGTCGCTGCCCCTTCGGCCGCCTCACACGCGGTGCCGGTCGCGAAGGGCTTGTTCCCGGTAGAGCCAGACACCGTGGCGCAGTACGTCTTTCCGGTCGCCTTGTTGGCCTCCACTTTGAGCCGGTGCATCGCCGAGGGCATGGTGGGACTGTATCGAGTGCAACTTCTTATGTCTGGTGTTCTGGGAAAGTGGAGCCTGTCATGCTTCTCCTGTGACACTTCTCTATAGAATAATATGTAAAATCTGTGCTGTTGCACTACCGGCTGTAGGTACAAGAAGCGCACCGTCTCGCGCCAGCACATTGAAGTCCGCGATTTGTCACGCTCACTCGGCAGAAGGAGGCGTTCTTAACACTTTTCATGCGTGACTGTCATCACAATGGTAAGTAGCATCCCGGCCTCATGCAGCACAAATTCACAGATCCAGACTCATTCACGAAATGCCATAGGACCATGCTGAAGGCCATTCGCAGGCTGGTGTCGAAGAAGACCGGCGGCTGTGTGGTCAGCGCCGTCGAACTGGAAAGGTTCCCGTATCGAAAGGAAAAACCCCCCGTCCCCGTATCGAAAACGACGCCCGTGATGCTGGATTTGAGTACACAAATCGACTTGTATTGCTAGAAGGCCAAGCGACGGAATTGTTGCCTGAATTGGAGGAAACTTCTCATGCTGTTACCCACTTTCAGCTGCCTCCTGTCATTCTGAAGACGCAAGGTCTTCGCACGCCAGCCAGCACTACAGTCCGCATCTTTTGGCTTCGAGCATGATTTGTGGTCACAAATCATGCTACACAAATCCCCATTTTGATATGGGGAGGCGGGGCTTTTTCATTCTGATATGCCGGATGCATTGCTCGTCAGCCACCGTAGTTCCAGGACATCCTCATCCTGATCGCGCGGTGAGGAAAATGAAAATGCACTGCAAACACCTCATTCGACCATTCGGGTTTAATGATAAGTAATACGTGGCACAAAAAACTGCATCGCGCAGAACTACAGCCCTACCTACCAGAGCGCAACGGCAACCGCAAATAAGTGGAAAGGCGTCTGTGGAATTTCCAGGAAGTTGTTATAGTGAAGCGCAATTCCAAATGTTAACAGAAAAGAGGTTATGAGGACATGCTCTACGTCGTTCACGAGCCCGTCGCTCACAAATCCATGTCCCATGTGGTGCTACCGTGTCTGCTGTGCATACTAAATCGAGGACACCATTATCCCGGGTCGCGTCTGTCAACGGTAGTAACTCATCGCCATCGTCGTTGGCAGCATTTACCGGCGAGAGTAAGCACCATACCCTTAAAACAAGCACACGCGTAACAAAAATCGTCCGAGAGAGCGTCATTTGTTTTCATCGTAGTACTAACGATGCGGATGCATCACTCTGACATAGTTGCAGTACTTAACGGCTGCAAGGTCGGGGCTAAGCCTAGACAGGATCTAGGTGTTCTCTTACTTAGTTGCGCTTACTTAGCGAAAATTGAGCTGATCCTTTTTCACGAGGACGAGCGACTCCTCTGCATTGATCTGCGTCGACATTGATCTGCGACTCTTCCTACTTCCCCTGAACAACAATGCCAGTTCTACTTCACTAGGCCATACAAGATCATCCTGCAGATCTTATTTGCAACTGATCGTAAAAAGTGGATGTCGAAGTCAGACGGAAAAAACCTTCCAAAGATGGAAAAAAAAACACCTGATCCGGGGTGAGAAAAGCCGTTGTCTAGTATATAGGCTGACCAGCTGAACGCACGAGCGCTGCGCAGCGCGGGTAGTAGAACAACCATTCACTTTCGCTGAGACAAGACACATGGTCATGCTTAGACACACCCGACCACTGAGCGTCGTGGAAAATTTGTTTTTTAGCTTAGCAAGAAGCGACTCTGAAAGGGAAACTAGTTTTCAACCAAAGTAGTCACTTTTGCAACAAGATTCTTCAGCGCGCGGGGATGTGCGCCGGCAACGCTGGAAAAAGATTCTGAGTGCTTTCTTCCGACACTGATACTTCTCTTCTGCGCTCGATACTTGGACTTCTGTCGTCAGGCAGGAAGTACAGAAAGGTGAAAAACCTTGGAAAAGCTGCAGCATCTCAGATTTGCTACTAAACTCCGCGAGAACTCGCTGCGAGATCTAGCCTGTAGAAAAGCAGAAGGATGTCAGAACCACGACGGCGAGCGCTTCGAGCAAATTTTCGGATATAGCAAAAAACTATGCGAAAACTCTTACGAAATGCTGGAGTTTGTGCTGCATATGTGAAGAATATTAGACAAACAACGGACAAGTGTGCGGAAAATGACATCTACGTTCTACGGTGTACTAGAATCGGCGCACATGAGTGCAGCTGCGGGTCAAATAGAAAACAACCTTCGAAAATCGACCGAGCCCGTGGAGGGCCATAGAAGCGGAGCCGTACGTGAACGCTGAAAAGGGCACGGATATTGTCTACATCGGAGGACAATCACGTGCGCAGTAAAAATTGCATATTGCTTCCTGCTAGCGGTAGTGAAACAGAAATACAATCGTGAAACAGATGTGTTGAGCACGTAGAATAAACTGCATCTACCTGTAGACATATTTTTGCTACGGTTTCAACAGTTTTGCCAACAGATGTGTTTTCGGAAAGATCTGCCGTCAGTAATAATCGAGCATCACTGCAACGATGACAAGGAAGTTGTGTTGCGGCAGAGATGATACAATTATAATTTAGGTAGCTAGCATAAAGAAGTTGCCTGTCGCAAGGACAACGGACATTACTGCTCAAGCGTCATGCAGGCTTCTCCACGATGGTCGTTTTTTTTTTCGAAGGAGTATAAAAATGCTGAAACATGGGTTGTTCCGTAGGGCGACGCAGATTCTGTATCACAAAATGCTGCGTCGCGTCTACACGACGAACCGGTGAGAGTGGTAATCGAATAGAAAAAATTGGGAAAATCTGAATGTTCAAGTATCTGAAATAGTCTGATTCGCATTGCAATCGCAGTCTGGTACGTAACTATAGCCCTGTTTTTCTTGCTGTGTCGCAGTTGTAAATCCATTTTCTTATTCTGAACGAAGACTATCGCGTACTAGGTCGTTGTACCCTTCCGGCTTTACTTACTTTCTGTTCCGCACGCAATAGCCTCTTCGTTCTTTTCTCCAAGACACTTGTCGATCACGCTTAGAACATGACCAGGGACGCAACCACCGCGAAGGCTATCCAATGTAAAAATGTCCCCAACCTATAGCGGTAATGCAAATCCGCATGCTGAAAATGAAAACGCTTCTCATGCGGAGCCTCAAGAGTATGCTGCTAGTCGCGTTTCGGAATTTGCGAACGATGCGCAAATAATCAGCAGAATGCGCTATGCCTGTCATGCTGCTGAACGGAGTGACCAAAGCAGCAGATTTTCCATCTTGTCTAGCCGATTTTCCATCTTGACTACGGGGCGGTGGGGACGTTTTTACACAGGATAAAGGCAGCGGCGACGCCGGTGGCCAGGCCGGTGGCGGACGACGCGGCGGTGGCGGACGGGAGACCGGTGACCGCGGCGACAGAGGCGTATGCATTGCAAATAGGTCTGCATCTGGAAAAGGGCAGACGTTTGCCATACACCTTTTCGATGGCCCGCGATGTCTGTGATGTATTATTCCGCCCTGCGCGTAGCAAAAACTAGGCCATTCTCACTGCTCAGGCAATTACAATTTTTTTTTTTGAAATTGCAGCATCACAACTCCCACTCTTCCACAGTGCGACAGACATATTTGCACTGGATACGACAGTGGGCGCGTTGATGGTGTAGTTCCCCGGCAAAGTGGCGAGTTCGGTCGCAACCTTGGACGAAACCGCAGTGGCGAGGTTAGAGTTGACGTTCGCAGTGGCGGTTGCCATGATGGCCGCCGAGGCCGTCTGGTCCGCGGCATCGACCGGCTTCGCCGTGAGTGCCATGCTGTACGACACCCCCTTGGCAGCAACGTGGGACGCCAAACGACGCGGGATCAGGTCGGCGGCCCCAGACGCGGTTCCCGCAGAGAAGTCGGAACCCCAGGTGACGGAACCGCCCCAGTACACATCAGCGGTGGTCGCGCCCTCGGCGGCGGCGCACACGGTGGTCGTAATGAATGGCAACCCAGTTCCGGACATGCTATCGCAATAGGCCAATCCCGTACCCTTGTTGGTGGCGGTCTGCAGATTGCTGATGTCAGCCGCGGCGGTGGGGATGCTGGGGAGCATTATCAAAACGAAAAGCGCCCCGTGGTCCCCCAGGAGGGTGAGATACATTCCTGATTCACACTGATTTTCGCATGCAAAACTTTTCTCTCGCATGAGAAAAAACTGTCCTTCATGTGGTCTTCGTCCAGATTTGAACAATTCTGCCTTTCATTCTCGAGAGCGGCAGCTTGTACAGTCCTCTTTGCAACACAAACCTTTGTCTGGAATAGAATACTAAGTACCATGCAAGGTGGACAGTGCTTCTTTTCACTCGAAGCAAGTTTAGTATTTGCATCACAAAGAAAACTTCTCCTTCCTGGGGTGGGTGCAAGAACTCTTTTCAATGGGATAGAGGTGAACCCAACGGTGCTGGTCAAAACGATCGGGGGCAGGGTGACCGTATCGGTTGAGGTGGTGGTGTTGGTGTTGTTGGTCGACGTGGTGGTGCCTTGGGTCGTGGTGTTGCTGGTGTTTGACGTCGTATGCATTGCAAATATCGCGCTGGGTCGGGAACGAAAACGTAATGATAATATATTTATGATGTTGTTTGTCCCTGCTCCACTTCGTACAATAGTTGCAGTAAGACATCACTGACGCAGGAATTATTCGCATGAAAAACTGCGCATCGGCATATGAGTCAAGCCAGGAAACAAACCTCGGCGCAGCGATCCAACCCCAATCGTGAAGAAGATGTGCATCCCTCTAGAACAAAGTCTGACACTCTTCTAGCGGTAAGAACCCAGAGACATTTGCATTTCGTACGTCAGCTGGCGCAACCATGCCATGTCATCGTCGGCGAAGGAGTATGGCGGGAAAAAAGTTTTAGTTTCGAATGCCAATCACAATCCGACCTCGGTGTGCTCGAACTACAGTACTAAGTGCTTTTTCTTTTCGCGCAAAAACAGCGCGATAGATCCAATACTTCTGCCTCTTTTTCGGAGGTGTCTGTATTTGAAACCTACTCATGGCAAAAAATACATGCCGAAGCACTGGAAAATCATGGATGAAATCGTGTTTTCTCACTGACGTTCGTATCGCATTTCGCAAAATGAAAAACTGCGAAACCACATAACAACAACTGCATGAACATGGTATAATTGGTCCCCCGCAGCGAAGCGGATTGTGATCAATCGAACTGAAAACAAGTGAAAAACATTGGGTACCTCACCACGGACAGCGACGGCCGCGGCGGCGGCAAGGGCGAAAGTCTTCATTTTTGTTTTGCGGCAGCAAGAAATCTACTATACTTCTCGTTCAGATACTTCAGTTCCCTAGAATCAGATTGGATGTATCTGGATATTGGAGGACCTTCCTGGTGACTTGCTTATTATGCCTTGCATACGACTCTATACTGCGACCCTGTTGCGCCAGCTATAGGGGCTATACGTACTTAGTACTTCTTGTGGTTGACAAATGTGTTGGTTTCGTTGAGTTTCACAAGAGGCAGATGACGAAGATGCGAAAACAATTTCAGTGGATGATCCTGTTTGATATTGAAGGAGATGGACACTACTAGTATCGGTGAAAACAGGTGGAAAAGTTCCAGGACTTGTGTTGACAGCGTACCAGGGGACTGTTTTTTCGTTGGGAATTGTAACTGGTGTGCAGTGCAAGAAGCGGGGGAGGGGACGCTATTGGTACTACTAGTGGGACGGGGTCTTCGGTTTTTCAATGTTCACACAGACTGGCAAAATGCAGTTGATAAATGTTTCGCTCTCTCTCTCTCACTATGAAACAACTTCTGTGTAGTACTGTATCCAGAAACAATACAAGCCTCGCTACAACAGACACTAAGGGGCTGGCTAATGTATTGGCAACAAAGACTACTTCAGCGGCGGAGGTATAATTCTTGTCTCGCTCAATAAAATACAGACGCTCATAGATCTACCGCAGACATCTGCAGCATCTGCGTGCACCAACAGTTTTTTTAGGCACAGCTGCAGTGCTGTCTTTATTCCTCGCATTCTGAACATTTTTCTCCGAAAAGGACACACAACGAGACGTCCGTCGCGACCGGACCTCTAGCGAGGGGGCATAGCAAATGTACCGAATTGCAGTCGTTATGCCGCATCGCGGCTCCGACAGAAAGCGCCGTCGTGTTGCAGTCGCTTAGGTACAACTAAAAATCCACTGTATAACGAGGAAAAATCTTACTTGCATCTTCTGAAGATGCGAGCTCTACTGGCTCCAAACTAACTGGCTTTGGATGTCTATGTCACGTCTACCTCTACAGTCTGAAAATAATACTGATTGGCTGGTCTTCAACATCCACTTGGGTTACAGATGTGTAGTAGAGCTTCAAATTGCACTTCCACTTGCCACCTACGTCTCGCGGTGATAATACCAAGACCCCTCGAAGCTGAGCCGGTACAACTGCACTTTGCCGCTGTAAAAGACGTGGTCCGGGGGAAGACCCCCGCTCAGCAGCTTCTCCACCACGCGAAAGCCGTATTCGGGTAGCGCCCGCAGAAACGCGTCTTCCACCGTGCTATCTCGCTGCCCGCTATCCAGAGGGAAAAAGCCGTTTCGGGTCTGGAAGGTGTTTAGTAGATACCTGCGTGGAGTAGTTCTACTTCCCCTCGTAGGTTTCTTCGTGCGAACGGGAGGCGTACCTCGCAGAACAGATCTGGCTTTTTATACACCATTCTTACGAGTTGTAACATCGTCCATTACTTAAAAATTCCTTCATGCGCCTGTATCTTCGCTTCCGCGGTTTATTTTCATGTACAGTTATAGGTTTCGGCTCATGCATTCCTCCAAACCCGGACCCACAGAGCTTCACCGCATACTTGTGTGCAAAGAGGATCTGCACAGAGGTCGGCAGGTGCGTGCACAGGGTCTCGAGTATGGAAATAATGCACATCCTTACTGTATTCCCACGACAACATGACAAGTACTTTGGAAGCATCCATTGGGGCGGAATGAATTGAATTACTGCTCACGCGATGATTCCTACAAGACAAATCCTCCACGCACCCGACCCAGAGTGCAGCTTCTATTTGCGGTCAATATTATCGACACTGCTCGGCCGTGCTGGTGCGCTGAGAGGAAAAAGAAAACTACACACATTTTGTGTTCGACTGTAGTTCTCCCATCAAGCACATACCAAAGAAGCAGCAGGCCATTCGTAAGTGCACTACTATCATACGCAGAACCTGCAAGAACGATGCGATGAATGGATGGGCCCACACCACGTCCGAGGCCAGAATCACATCCACGCCGGCGTTATGCATTGCAAATAGCCCCAAGTAAACGACGTCTGGAAGATTTATTTCGTCAGCCTCAGAGGCTGACGAAATAAATCTGCCTCGTGTATTAAAAATCACAGCACAAAATAACGCACCCTATCTAAGTACTACCTTCCGACGGGGTAAGTAGTCGTTTCTTCGCTGTAGGAAATGCACTTGAAAGAAGACATGCAAATAAACCCACCACGGCTTCATTTTGTCCTGCTCTGCGTGCATCTTTGCCGTTTTTGTTCCCACATAAAACGGCTTGACAAATGATGTCTGCACGATCGTTCCAGACCGCCCAAACTTGGTAAGTACCTACTATTGCAGTTGGTAGGCGCGCGTGAACTCCCGCACGTGCTCCGGAACAACCGGAGCCGGAGCTACACCCGACGACGTCTGGTCCTCGGTAGAAGTGGCTGGACCGTACTGCTTCTTTTTCCACACGTCCCAGTCCAACTCGCGGTACTGGCAGGACCCCCCGGCGTCACGCACGCCCCTCTCGTTTCTCGCCAGGTTCGCGCGCAACTGGGCGCCCACCGTCCCGGCCTTGTCCGTCACCGTCACGTCGTGCCCGCACAGGGCTGCCGCCAGACCGCTAATGCCCGTGCCCGCGCCCAGTTCCAGCACCTTCTTCCGAGGCCGTAGTGGGGTGGTTGTTCGTGAACAAGCTGTGGCTTGTCGTCGTCCTGTGGAGCAGATCGTAGTAGAATTACTACCTCCACCTTGATCATGATCCCGGTCGTCCGTAATATTGCCTTCCGGCAAGAACAGCACACGGTCCGCACCGCCATCTGATGTTGCACCTCCGCTGCGGGAAAAGTGCGTTTCCAAATACTTGGCTAGCACGATGCCCGCGTCCCAGACCCGCAGTCCGGTTTCGCCGGCGTCCGTGGGCGGCTTGCAGTCCAGCAGTAGTGGGCGCCCAGCGACGAAAAAGTCGGACCCGTCAAACCGTGTCGTCATGGCCATCAGCTTGTCACACGTACTCGGCTTATGCACTTCGCAACAAATTATTCGTGGAAGGAATGACTAGTGCATTACATCAAAAGACTGTAAAAAATTGAATCATAATCTAGAGTTGAAATTCGTCAACACGCAACCTGGTCGCAATCTTTACTTACACCATCAATACAACGACAGAACTGTTGCAGCTTTTTCATACTTCTGCTGGTACACCACCCGCGCGTCTTCTACCCCCTCGGCACTGGAACAATCGACTTTCGTACCAGAAATTATAGCGGTACCATCACCGCCTGCTTGCTCCCCGCTGGACCCACCTGCGCGTCCTTGGCCGCCTCCCGGAGGATCTAGTTGTGCCACTGCTGCAGTACTACCTGTGTGTGGCACGACCAGCTTGTCCTTCTGCGCTGCCGGTTGGACACACGCAGTAGAACCGGAGATTTTGCACGTCGAGTCCCCTCCCACTCTGGCCGCCAGGGAGCTGCAAGTAGCAGCTCCGATCGGTTTATTCTTCGGGGCGACAAACCAGTGTGGTGCTCGATGCTGGTAGACGCTGGTGCCACTCCCGTTCATCGACGAAAGTGGTTCTTGAAGTCCCCGGCTCAGACGTGCCAGATTTGCGTCGGCCGGACGAGGAATCGTGGCGGGGCGTGGTGCGGGAATAGTACAACTAACCGGCTGATATTTCTTCACAACCGGCTGTACCAGTGCGGAGGACATGATCAATGGCGTCGTCCCGTAGTGGCTCTTCGGCACCTCCATCGGGGTACCCGTTGTACTTCCGTTGGTGTCCTCCTCGCGTGGAGCACCAGGGAACATCAATGATCCAGCTTGCTGCGATGGTGGGATAGCGTTCTTGGCGGTGTCGGTTCCAGTAGCTGCTTTTCCTCCTCCCGATGGATCATGCTCTACTTGATGTCCTGCTGGCTGTGCCGGCAGGTGTTGATCTCCAAGTGTGGTCGTGGCGGCTCCACCAGCTGTTGCACTTGCCAGGTACAGCGATCCGTATTTCGTCCCCGGCAGGAGCAGTGGATAATTAGTATTCACTCGCCCCGTCGTGCCCGCAGCAACAGAGGGTACTAAAAAGGATGCACCGCCTGCTGATGCGACGCCAACCTGCTGAGACGGTTGCTGCTGCGCCCGCGTTCCCAAGTTCAAGGGTTGGTTCTGGCTCGCCAACACCCCTCCGAGTTTTACCGGCTGCAGGAAACTCGGCGGTCGCAGCCCGAATGGCGGCGCAGCGGCTGCGAGTGAAGTCGTGCTGTCCATCGACGTGGCTCCATTCGACGTCCCGCTCATCTTGCTGAAAAATCTGAAAATGCAATTTCTCGTGTGTGGGCACGAGTAGAATTCAACCCCGTCAGCACACTTCCCCTTCCTGCCCTTGCAAAATCATGGTCATATGTTGCGATAGTCTTTACTCGCGCTCAGCGGAGGAACGTGCGTTCTATCCGTGCTAGTACTATCCGTGCTAGTACTCGCGCTTGTTCATTCTGCAGAGCATCACCCTACCGTCCCTCACTTGATGCTGATGTATTCCCTTTGATTCATGCTGAAAAGAAATCAGTAACCCGTCCGTGGTGTCCACTCCAGGTATCCGAAGATCCGCTTCCGCATCTAATTCATACAATAAACCGACGGTAAATTAATTGGACTAGGACGACCAAAGTCCAATACTGAAGCATCACTTCTGCTAGGTAAAAACTACCCAGCAAATAGGGGCCCCCGAAATAGAGCTCCTGCACCATAGTTGCAGCTTCATTCGCACTGTGAAGTAAAAATATCACCCTCGCCCGCGCGGACCCAATCATGCGGTCAACATCTTTTGCGTTTCTCACTGAACGCTGTTCGTATAATCTCGCCGTCCCTGTCGTAGGTCCTCTGAATTTCTTCATTCTTCACGGTAGAAGCAAATGCAAAAACAGCTAGTTCACGACCTGGCAGATGAAAAGAACTTTGCTTATTTCTCACCCACACGTTCGTCAAGAAACCGGATGTGCTGCTTACCAGTGCGATCTGCGGCAGTATCCTCTGGCGCTTTACGGGTAGTTGTAACCACTGGGCACGTAGTTCCTTTTGCACGATTTGTTGTAAAAGCGCGAGTCTACTACAACGACATTCGCTTGCAGTCACGTAGCTCTGCAGTGCATGATTCGTTGCTTTCGGGACGATGAAAGGCTTGTCGTATAAAAAAGTATACTAAGTTATCGATCCATGATCCGCTGATGTACTAGTTGCTCAATTTTCTAATCAACTGCCTTCACCTTTCAGATAGCCTCCTGTGCAACATCTACTTTAGACATCAGCATCAGTCGCTTGTTCCACGTCCTCCTCCTCCCGCCGTCGTTGTCAAAAGAAAAGGACACAGCTCTATTCTATCTTTCCTTTCCCACGGCGACCGTTGTCCTCGTCCCTTGACCCTCGTGGTCCTCGCGTTTTTATCGCACGATGTAAAAAGTCGCTCTGCTCCTACTTCCCGCGCTCACAAAAGCGCCGCGACCGTGTAAGAGATGAGAAGCGAGGCGACGATCCCGGCAAACGCCTGGCCATGTGCGGCCGCGCCGGTTGGCAGGGTGGTGGTCGTGGTGGTGGTGGTGGTCGTGGTATTGGGCAGGGGCTCGTCCAGGCGGCGGTCGCACGCCTGGTTCTGCAGCGTGTTGCTGTACATGTCGCCACCGCGGGGGCTGGTCCCGTCGCCCGCGTACACCTGTTCGGCGGTGGGGAACACGTACTTCCGCACCACCAGGTCGGAGTCCACCTCCTGCAGGTAGGCCCCCACGTATGAAAGTGCACAACTCCTCCTCCCCCCATTTGCATGGCAAGAACAGCAAGACAAGCAACGACAGCTATGTGGGTTCCGCATGACAAGTCTGCACACCGATGGATTGTAGTACTGTCTGAGGTTCCAAAGTTTGGCATGCCGACACTGCCTAGGCGCAGCATGTGGACTGGGCGTTTTGCATTACAAACAAGGGAGAGGGACGAGAGCTGTGCATTCTCATACCACGAACTCCTCCGGCCGGTGCTGCGTGTACACGGAGAGAAAGTAGTAGTGCGAGAGCAGGTATCCACTGCAAATATCTCTGGGTCTGGAAGGTTGGAACTTGTCATGCTAAATCTGAATCATGCAAAAATCTGTGCTGCATGATTACCAAATGCTGTCCACTTTTGATCAAGTTGAGAGGCAGTTTCTCATGCAGGATAGGCATGATAGTGATCATCTCACGGAGTCTGTCACGCTAGGTCCTCCATTACATATCATATGGGTCATGGAAACCTGCATGACAAGTCTAGCAAAGTTCCAGACCCAGACATATTTGCATTTGATAGCAGGGGCGCGGGCGCAGCCTGAAAAATCTTCACGGTCGTGTCCACCGCGCTGAAATGCCACTGGTTCGTTCCCTCCATCGCCGCCTGCTGCGTCGCGTAGCTGGGCTGCGCGGGCGAAACGGCCCCATCCATCGTCTGCGTCCACACGTCCAGCGCCCTATCCATTGCAAATCTCGTCGATCTGGGTCACTGGAAGGATGCGGCCAACTTGTGGTGCGGATTCTCATTCTGGAAAATAAATATTACGGCGAAATAAGTCTGTGCTCTTGCACAGAGAGCAAAAGATGTTGCCCGACCCGTGTGGAAGAACTGGAAAGAGCATAAATTCCAATGCAGATGACTAGGCATGGAAAATAAGCCTCCGCAGATGAATTTGTCATGCTCTGTGCACATTCCACACGACCTTGTCGCAAATGCAAAAACCGCATGATGACCGGTTGTATCCATTTTCTTCCGGAGGACCCAATCGTATTTGCATTTGATACGCCCGCGCGCCGCCGTTCATTTCCGCGTGGCTTCGTTTCAGCGTGGAATTTAGGTACACCCGCTGTGTCCGCTCGAAGTCCAAGAAGTCCCCGTCCTGTTTCTTACAATGAAAAATGCCCCCACCCCGAAATTTGCGAAAGTTTCTCATGCAAAGTTTCCAAATGAAAGCTGTTTGTCTTGCATGAAAGGACGGCGACCCCTCTTGATGCAGAATTCAGGTGCGCAAGGTATCTTTTGCATCACAGATTCGACTGCTGTTGGGCTTCTTTGCAACACAAATTTGATGAGCTATTGAGCATGGAAAATTTCTGATGCTGATATATGCAAGACGGAGAGTGTTTCCAATGGAAAGGTTTGCAATACAAATGCTCGCAATTTCTGGCGTGGGGGCGTTTTTCACTGCAATACTGTTTCGACACCGCGCTGCCGTCGAAGCCGGCGGCGGCAAAGTCCGGAGACACGTCCTTCAGGTTATTCGGCGGGGTGGACACCGCGTCCCCGAGCTCCTGCACGAAGGACTGCGTGGCGCCTATCCTGATTAAAAACGTCCCGACACCAGAGAGTCCAGATGGGAAATCTGCTAGACAAATCACACAGCATTGGTTGTTTGGCATGGCAAGTTTGTCCTCGTAGAGTTGTCGTCCTGTTTAGCTAGCTCAGAAGCATCAGAGATCTAGCATAGCATGCTGATCCTAGCATCACAAATCCCAAAACACGAAAAATAGAAAATGCTTCTCATAGGGCTCCGCGTGAGAAACTTTTTTGGCATGCAGAATTGCATGACAACTCTGGGGAGGTGGGGATGTTTTTACACGGGATAGCCCCCGCCCGCGCGCTGGTGGTGACCTGCCCGAGGTAAGCCTGCTGCGTGTCGGATAGTAGGGTGGTCGCGGAGTGGTCGGCGGTCACGCAGGAGAGCTGCGTATGCATTGCAAATATGTCTGGGTCCTCTGCAAGACAGTATTAACTTGTGATGCTAAGTCTACACCCTGTAGCAATCTGTGTTGCATGACTGCCAACAGTTGTCCACTTTTGACCAAGTTGGGAGGGAGTTTCTCATGCACGACAGGCATGCTAGAGATCATCTCAAAGAATCTGTCATGCCAGGCCCTGCATTCCAGACCTCATGGGTCATGGAAAATCTGCATGACAAGCTGTCACGCTTCCAGAGGACCCAGACATATTTGCAATGCATACTGCGGCTCCCGCACCAACAACACATCCACCGCGGCGTCCGGGTACCGGAACGAGGATTCCGCAAGTTCGCGGCACCTCTGACAGTGCACAACTCCCCCTCCCCCTCACTTGTCATGCAAAATACCCAATCCACCCTTTGCCTCTCGACACTGTTTGCATGACAAGTTTAGCCCAAAGAGCACTACCCTCCAGTGCCAATTTTTCATGCGAAACCAGCACGACTCTTGCTGACGCTCGTATTGCCGTTCACGCTATACAAATGAGGGGGAGGGGGAGTTGTGCACTGTCATAGTACCCGTGCCAGTTCCAAAAGTACGTCTTTCCGTACTCCAGCTGAAAGACCCCGGACCACTCGATGATATAGCCTGCGCAGCTGCTACAATCTCACACGTTACAATAGAATATGGATGAAATCTGTGATGCAAGAAGTGCATGCTCCAGCCTACTCCTGCATAGAACTGCGCATGACAGGTCCTGGAGTGGTCGTCCCAAGCCGCACTAGAATCTACCGAAATTGGTATTGCAGAAAGTGGAACAGTTTGCGATTCTGTCATGCTTGTCATGCAAGACAAATAATTCCGGGTTTAACGCTTGAGATTGTAAAAACAGCTGAGCAGGTGATAGATGAGGTCCAGATTCTTTCCGGAGCTGGGCAGGCTGGCCATCTTGGGTTTGGTGATGCACGCACTGCTCCGGACCGGGTATCGTAAGGAAAAATCCCCCCACCCCCGAACTTAGGAGCATTTGTATTGCAAACCCTTCCAAAATGAAACATTCGCCCTCTTGCCTTTATCAGCATCGCAAATTTTCCATGCTGAATAGCGCAAATTTGTGATGCAAAGGAGCCCAACAGCAGGCGGATCTCTGATGCAAAAGATACCTTGCGCCCCTAGATTCTGCATCAGAAATGCTTGCGCTCCTTTCATGCAAGACAAAAGCCTTTCATTTGGAAACTTTGCATGAGAAACTTTTGCAAATTCCGGAGTGGGGGCACTTTTCATTGTAATACCGGGACGCCGAGATTTGCGTCCGCGAACCCGGTGGCGACCCCGGCGAGGCCGTGCTCCTGGTGCTTTATCAAATGCAAAAATGTCGGGTGTTTTGTCTGGAAGCAAGACCATGGCACAGCGCAGGGTCTGGGTCTGGAAGATTTCTAGATTTGTCATGCATATTTTCCATGACCCATGATGTCTGTGATGCATGCCGTAGCATCACAGATTTTTAGAGCGCCTTGCGATACCTCTACAGCATGAGAAATGCCCTCTCCGCGTAGCACAAACTGGAGTCCTCTTGCTGGTCATGAAATACAAGTTTTTTCAGAATCCAGAGACAACATCACAAGATACAACCTTCCAGACCCAGACATATTTGCATTTGATATGCTTCCAGGGCGCGCGGTACAGTGCGTTGTAGCTGTAGGCCGGCGTCACCGGCGGGAGCGCGAGTAGGGCGGCCAGGCGCTCCTCGAGCTTCGCGCCCTTCGGCAAAAACCGGAGGTCGTCCGTGTGCGTGCCGCCCGCGGTGCTGGGCGAGGCCGGCAGTTTGGCGGGCAGCCCCGCGTATCAAATGCAAATATGTCTCGGTCTGGAAGATGTCGCGACTTGTCATGCCGTTTTCCAAGCTGCACCAAGTCTGGAATGCGGGGCTTAGCATCACACGTTTCCCAGGCGCTTGGTGATGCCTATTCTGCATGAGAAGTGCCCTCTCAGCATGGCCATAAATGGACACCTTTTGCATGTTATGCAATACAGATTTTGGTATGATCCGCAACGCGCATCACAAGCTGCAACCTTCCAGACCCAGGCATATTTGCAACACATACCGCGTCGAGCGCCGGCACGGCGGCCAGCCAGGCAAACGGCAGCTGCTGCTCCCAGAAGGTGCGCCCGAACATGCCCAAACGGCTGACGTGTTGCTCCTGCCAGTCCAGCGCGTTCACGCTGCAGGAGCACGTCGTGCCCTGCGACTGCGTATCGAATGCAAAGATGTCTCTGGGTCTGGGAGATTGCAAAACTTGTCATGCTCTGCTGAGAGGAGAAAAAGATCTGTCATGCATGTTGCGCTAGTACCGCACTGTTTTTTTTGTAATGCAAAAACGGAGCAGCAGCTTCTCATGCAGCTTACGCAAGACCTAGTCGCCCGGAAACCTGTCATGCGCATCCTCATATAATTGGAGGTTGCTTGTGATCCGCAACTTTGCATCACAACTTTCCAGACCCAGACACGACCTCTTTGCAATGCATACTGCGTCGCCGCGAGGTCTGCATCGCTCGCGTACCGCATCCAGGAGTGCTATCCTGAGTAAAAACGTACCCACACCAGAGTTGTAATGCAGATTTGCAAAGACAGGAAGACCCGTAATGCGCATCCCCATGAGAGCCATTTCCAATCGCGTTGTGGAATTTGTGATGCTATGAACAGCATGAGCAGATGAGCCTGTGATGCGGCTGCACTTGCTAACCTGCACTACACTGCATAGTGCAACTTGTGATGCGTGACTCACAAAACACCTAGGTTTGTGTTGCAAAATCCCCACTCTGACTCTGGTGTGGGTACGTTTTTACTCAGGATAAGTGCGGGCCGATCGTCAGTTCGTACTTGCCTGTGACCACGGGCCGATTGTAGGCTGCCGTCTCGGAGCCGGGCAGCACGTTAATCCCCGTCACGTCGATCGCGGACGCGCCACTGCCGGCGGCGGCCACCGCATTCTCGTCCGCAACCAACCAGGTGACCACCTTGTACTTTCCCGGGTTCCCCACGTAGTGCGTGGTGCTGTACCATGACCTGCAAATATGTCTGGTGTTTTGTCTGGAAACAAGACCTTGGTACAGCACAGGGAAGAGAACGACTTTAACATTTTGAAGAAAGAAAAGAAAAGAGAACTACGTGGATCATTGGAAGATTTGTCATGCACACCTGGGTCTGGAACATTGGAAGATTTGTCATGCACACCGTACATGACCCATGACGTCTGCGATGTATGTCCTAGCATCACAGACTTTCTGAGTGCTTCAGCTTCTTGATGCCTATCCTGCATGACAAATGCCCTATCCACGTGGCAAAAACTGGACTCCTGTTGCTGGCCATGCAACACAGATTTTTTTTAGAATTCCAACATAGCATCACAAGTTGCATCCTTCCAGACCCAGACATATTTGCAATGCATATGTACAGCCAGTAGTCGTACACCGTGGCGGACCGGAGCAGGAAATCTTTGTAGTCGCTGGCCATTATCCCACAGAAAGAAGCAGGCAGGGCAGATTTGTATATGCAAAAATAAACACGCAGAAAAATATGTCATGGGCAACGCCATAGCATTCTGTTTAGGACATGCAAGACAGATTGTTTTGTCTATTTATTTTTGCATTACAAACCTGACCTGCCTGCTTTTTTCTGTGTGATAGCCATCGGGAGTTCCTGCATGCACTGGTTGCTGGACGGGTCGTAGTGGTCGGCACGGTCGGTCGCGTACCCGGACATGACCGGCGAATTCTGCACCCCGATGTTCGCACACTGCTTCGTGTCGGCCGCCGCGTGAAAATACCGCCCGGTTCGGTAAAACGGGTCCTTCGGCTGCAGGATCCCGGCCGTGTTCCACGCGGTCTGGTCGTAGTACTCCTCCGGAGCGAGCGTCCCCCGCTCGATCAGCATCCGCGTGACCCGTTCCAGGTGACTGGCGGTCAGCTGCGGCATATCGCGAGGAAAGATCTCCCCTCCCCACACTGAAAAGGTAGATTTTCGGAAATTTGTGATGCTGATTTGTGTTCACAAATCGCGTCTGTCTTGCAAGAAGGCAACTCCGCAGCCCCCGCCGCATTGTGCAGGCGGTTTGTCATGCTGTCGGACCTACAGCGCGGACGTTTTTCATGCTAAACGCCTAGGCCAAAACCTCTCTACACAGGCTTGATATGGACCTGCAGTCCTGTTCAGCAAGACAGCTCGGATTTGTGTACACAAATCCAGAATCAGAAACTTTGTTGCGATATGGGGAGGGGGGATTTTTCCTTTTGATACGGCAGCCCCGGGCCGAAGATGTAACCGTTGAAAAAGAGGCGGTCGCGGAACCTGGCAATTTCCGGCGTCCAGGCACACAGATACACGTCCTGGTTGGTTTCCGTCACATCGAACTCGGTATTGTAGGGAAAAATTCCCCCTCCCGATATCAGAGAGGTACGCGTCAGAAAATTTGTGATGCTGATTTGTCACCACTCATCTTTTTGTCTTGCAAGAAGGCAGCTCTGCAGTCTCCGCCGCATTATGCGGGCGGTTTGTGATGCTGCTTGGGCTACAGCATAGACATCTGTGATGCCAAGCGCCCACGTCAGAAGGTCGGCGACACCCAGGCACGGCAGCTGTCTGCAGTCCTCTACTGCAAGACAGCTCCGATTTGTATACGCAAATCCAGCATGAGACACTTCGTTTTGATATGGGGAGGTGGGATTTTTCCTTTTGATACTCGGTCCAAAAGTACGGGTGCTCCAACGTCTGCACGCGACGAATAAAAAAGGCCTCCTTCACGTTGCTGATGCGGTACACGTATGCATTGCAAAAGTCTTGTACCATCGTACTAAGCTGCATTAATTGCATTTTACAATGTCGCTTTTTATCACAAAAATTGCAATTTGTAATGCTGATTTAACTAGCTTAAGCATTTAACATTTGTCATGCGAGCTTGCAATTACTATCTACGAGTTCGAATTGCGATGCAATGCCTAACGCATTTTGCGGGACCGAGTACTCCACCCCGCACGAGGCCCGGCCGTAGGCGATGGCGCCCGGGTGCAGCTGCCGCGGCTGCGCGGCACTTCGCGCAGAAACCGATGCTGGCGACTTCTCGTGGTCTTTCTTCGGGCTTGCTTCTCCATCCTCTTCGTGCGACGCTGTAATCGTCGGGGACTTGCCGCCTTCGCTTTTACTTGCCCCCCGAAGATGAACATCGGCCGCACGACTGACCGGTGCCCCTAACGCGCCGGTGGCCGCGGTACTAGCAGCTAATGATACAACCAGCGAGATGATACTTCTGCGAAATGTGGACCCCGGCTGGGACAATACAGAACTCGGCCTTGACGCGGCCCGCCGGCGAAACACCCGTTCTTGCACAGCGGTGGTACCCGACAGGACGGATAGTTCATCGCCGCGGTCGAGCATTGTTTTTTTCAAAAATATAAATTTTTGAGAAAGTAAGTAGTCTGGTGCAGTGTGATGTGTTGTACACTAATTTTTAATCATCCGTATGCGAAGGTTTCGTGCCACATGCTAGTAGCTTCTGTCGTCTAAAAATACCGCGTAGAAGTAAGACGTACCTCGCGCGGCCGCCTCGCAACAAGATCTCTTCTTGATCACTCTGGCCAGCACCACATCAACTCGCTCCGCATGGAAAATGTTGATTTGCAGGACCTTGTCTTCAGTTTTCCTGCAGGACAGACTGACGAACAGGAAAGAAATTAAAACACTCTTGTCTCGAAAACAACTTATTTCGGGGCGCTCTCGGACGAACACCGATACGCGGAGGACAAGTAGCGGCACTTGCTTATCTAATGTGATATTCTTGATACACACGACCGCAGCGAAGAACAAGTGCTGCTTTACTGCTATTGCTGCTCCGGATGTGCTTGCGAATCCGATACCATTTCCATTGCGTGCTGCGCGTTGCAGATTGTATTGGTATTCTTTTCACCTTCACCACCTAATGCTAATCGTTTACTACATTTCCGACACGATATTACAGAGATTACTGGGTTGATTTGTGAATCGATTGAGAATTATCTAGCGGGTTCTACTTTCGACGGCTGTGCCTGACATTATTTTCAAGAACAAGAAGCATATTACAGTATTAATACATATTGTGGAATGACAATGTATGAGGAAATGAAATTTCAAGAACATCATCTGCGTCTTTATTCATTCATATTTCGTAACTCCCGTCGCGGTGGCGCCGGATAGAATCGTCGTCGCGGAGCTTCGCCGCCTCGATGTAGTAATCCTGGTTTTCCGTTTCCACGCCCTCGATTTCGCCCTTGTTCAACTGCTCCGATAACTTCCGGACCTCCTCGTATCCCGAAAAAGAACGTCCCCACCCCAGAGTTGTCGTGTCTTCATTCAGATTTGCAATCAATGACAGGAAATAAAAAACTTGGCACCCGCATCCCCATGCCAGGCATTTCCAGTCGACGTGTTCTGGACTTTGTGATGCTGTAAACAGGATTAGGGCAACCGGCTTTGTGATGCGCCTGTCCTTGCTATTAACCCGCATGACAATACAGAGAAATAGGACTTGTCATTCGTACTGACTCCGAAATAAACCAACGCTTGGATTTGTGTTGCGCATCGCCGCCTTAACTCTTGGGCGGGGAGGTTTTTATTCCACATACCTCGGCCTCCTTCGGCAGCGCTTTTTCTTTCTCCTCACTTCCCAGCAGCGCCTCGCCGCGCGCAAACGCGTTCGAGTTCGCGATGAACTTGGCGAGGTTGCGATCCTGAGGGAAAACGCGGTTCCCACGACCCCAAATTATTCAGCATGCAAATATGCACGTTGCCCAGGTTGATGTGTCTCATGGTGCGCAGCGCATTTGCAGCTCATGCTAGTACTTAATGATCTGGAAATTTTGTGTAACACAAGAACTCGATGAATCAGGATAAAGTAGAAAGCAGCTCGATTTTTTGCGATGCAACTGCAACAGCTGATCCTCGGACTACACGAGATGAAACCCAAAATTAGTTGTCATGCGCGCGTTCAGCGGCCAATACTACTTCTTCGCCGATTGAGCCGCACGCACATGTGCCATCTTGACTCTAGCGTGGGTATTATCAAATCCAGGTTTTCACTCAGGATAGTTGCGTCCGAGCAAGACGTATTCGTCGCGGAGCGTCGTGGAGAAGGCCAGAAACCCGAACTTTTTAAAATTCAGCGAAAACGCGGTCTGGTCGTCGTTGTTGTTGTGGTAGTTGGGGTATGCAGTGCAAATTATATGTCTGGTGCGCATTTCAGATCGCAGAAAAATCTGTCTAGCATAAAAAACAGCAAAAGTTGTCTATCTTTGGCCCTGGTGACGAGAGCGGATTTCATCTCATGCAGAGTGGGCATCGCGAAGCTCTCGAAGTAGTAGAACCTGTGATGCTGGTCCCTGCATAATTCCGGGTCATGCAAAAACTGTATTTTACAGTAAACATCTGCATTCAAATTCATGCAGACCCAGACGGATACTCGCAGTGCATATCGGGTATTCCGTATCCCACGAAAAAAGTGTTTCACTGTGGTGATTTTGGAAGATCTGCATCACAAGTTTGTTACACATGACACAGAAAACCTGGCTGCCATGCGCACTTCCCAAGGGAAAACACGCTTAAAAATCCAATGTCTTGCAGGTGTAGCAAGATAAGTAGTTCTGTGTTCCATTCTATGCATCACAAGTTCACAGTGAAACAGTCTTTTCTTGCGATATTCCGGGTACCCAAGCACCGAGGCCTCCTCCGTCATGATGCGGGGGTCCTCGCTGTGCATCAGCCACTGCTTGGCGACCTGCAGCGACAAAGGCGTTTTCCGCGCCATGATCTATCAAATGCAAATATGTCCGGGTCTGGGAGAGTGTAAACTTGTCATGCAGGTTTTCCAGGACCCGCGAGGATTGGAATGCAGGACCTAGCATGACAGATTCTGTGAGATCTGTCTCACCCCTCTCCCGCATGAGAAAACCGCTTTCAACGTGGTCAAAAGTGGACAGCTTTTGGTAATCATGCAACACAGATTTTTGCATGATTGAGATTTGGCATGACAAGTTGGCATGTTCCAGACACTCAGGGATATTTGCAATGCATATGATCAAAGAGCTCGCGATCTGGTTGCTTTCGACCACCTGCTTGTAGTCCATGTCGGTAAGCTATGAGGGTGCACAACTCCCCCGCCTCCCCCTCATTTGTAATGCAAAGTACCAAACTCCGATCTTGCTCGTAAGCACTGCTAGCATGACAAATTTTGGAACCTCAAATAGTACTACAATATGCACGCGAATTTGTCATGCGAAAGGCCCTTTTCTGTTGTTGCTTGTGTTGCTGTTCATGCCATACAAATGAGGGGGAGGGGGAGTAGTTGTGCACTCTCATATAAGCAGGAACGCGTCGCGCTTGCTCCAGTCCCCCTCCAGCATCACCGTGCGGCAGGCGGCCACGTCGCTCCCGCGGAGGTACCGCGCCATATCCATTGCAAATATGTCTGGGTCCTCTGGAAACTTGTGACGCAAGGAAGGGAATAGCGAGCACACTGTAAAAATGCGCTGCCAAGCATGACAAGTTTTTCCGTGAATGCTGAGTTGTGTACTCCGCATGAGAAACTGCGTCTCTGCATGACAGGCAAGAGGAGCTCTTTGCGGTGACGCAACACAGAGTTCAGAGCGATGCCAGACTAGCATGACAAATCTCGCAACTTCCCAGACCCAGACATATTTGTACTTGATACGCCAGCAGGGGGCGCAGGTCCTTGAGGAAGGAGACCCCCGCATCCGACCACACAACGATCGTGTCATCCTCGGCTTGGACTATCACCCAGACAAAAGCTAGCAGGGCACATTTGTAAAATGCAAAATAAATAGACGGACAGAAAAATACATCCAGGGCGGGCCCACAGGAGCGTACTATGTACTTATTCTCGCATAATTTTTACAAGGACAACGACTGTGATCACTGCTAGCTTTTTTCCGTGGGATAGGCTCCAGCGCCTGCAGAAAGATAAACGCCTTCCACACGTTATTCTGAGTAAAAACGTCCCCACCCCAGAGTTGTCTTCATGCAGAATTACAATCACAGGAAAATAAACTTGTAATGCGCATTTCCATGAGAGGCATTTTCAATCGTGTTATGCAATATTAATTTGTGATGCTGTACACAGGATACCAGGATGGAATTGTGATGCGGGTGTCCTTGCTAACACGCATTACAGTACGGAGAAAAATTTGTCATGCGTGACTCCCAAAACTTCTGGATCTGTGTTGCAGAATTCCCAACTTGACTCTGGGGTGGGGACGTTTTTACACAGGATACACGTAGTACCCCTTTTTCGCAGTCGGCGTTTTGTGGATCGTGAGCGCCGGGTGGCGGTGGTAGTTCAGCAGTGCCTCGTTGCGCTCGACGAAGTCCGCAGTCAGGTGCGTTTCGTTCTGCATACTACTCGTCTGTATCAACTGCAAATACGTCTGGGAGGTCTGGAAAGGTGTAAGTAATGCGAAGTTGTGAACAACGAATCATGTTCTTGCCATGCACAACCAAGCATGAGAAGTTTGTGTTTTTGAGATCAGGTCGAGTGTTCCGCATGATTCCGCATGGCAATAAACTAGGTTTATTTTGCACGACGAGATGAAATAGGACCTCTCCGTGCACGTACCATCACAAGCTGGTGTACACGTATGTCAGACGAGCATGACGAATTTTTCCAGACCCAGACATACTTGATGCAAGGCCTAGTCTGCAACCGCCCCACCTCCACCGCTGTGTCGCTCGAGGTTTTCTGGTCCCGCGCACAGCAATTCATCGCAAAGTTTACGTGGTGCAACTTCTCGTCGCGCAAAAACCGCATGCCCGGCGGGATCAGCGTGACCAGCGGCGACTCTTCATCCTCTGCCGTCGATACTGGTTGCAAGGTCGAGATCCAGGGCGGAGCTACAGAATCCGATTGCACTGGCACGTCTTCTATTTCGTGTTCCCCCATCCTCTCGCCGCTGTCCAAAATCGTTTCCCTTCCCTCCCGAATTGTGCAGCCGGAGAAGAACGGTAGGTGGTCGGAAATGCGGCACACGACACCCCCGCACAGATCCGCCCCGAGGTGTACTATGCGAGAGAAAAAAAGCTATGTAGCATACCACATTTGTGAAACGCAATCTCATGTCTTGCACAGGCACAAGATGACAAATGATGTACGCTATCATGCTGATTTTTTTCTGTGAGATATGCACGCAGACGTGCTTTGCGCGCTCGACACTCGAGAATTCCTCCTCCACCCGCGCGGCGTAGCCGTCGAGGGTGAACCCTCGCACCACCCGCCATCCGTCCTGCGTGAAGGTCTTGCCTCCTGTATGCATTGCAAAAGTATCGTAGTACTCGTAGTAATTTATCATCGTGGACGTGCATGTGCATCATAAACTCTTTTTCTTTTCACGCGAACAACAATCAATGCGCATTACCAATCCCATTTTTCAAGCTGAGGAAATTATTTGTCAGCACGCGATTTCTACTAGTGCGATGGTTTCGCAATGCATATCCTGCTTCCGGGAGTGATTTGTCGTCCTGCCGGTGCGCCAGGTCGTGGTATAAATCGATGACCGGGCGTCGGGGCGAAACGGGTTTCTGGGCCCGCCGTGTGAAATGCAAATATGTCTGGGTCTGGAAACCTGTGATGCTGAGTTGCGCATGATTGAAGCGCTTGCAATGGCAGCCAAGCATGACAAGTTTTTCAGGCACCTGTTGATGCCTAGCACGGATTACAAATCGCGTTTTTGCATGACAAAGGAAGCTCGTCTTTATTTGCTGCTCATGCAACACAGATTTTCCAGAAATGCAAGACACGCATCACAAGTTTCACTTTTCCCGACCCAGACATATTTGCACTTCATACGCCGCATCAGCACAGACACGTGGTCGCGGAACTCGAAGGGATGTATCCTGTGTAAAAACGTCCCCACCCCAGAGTTGTCATGCAAATGTGCAATGACAGGAAGATTTGTAATGCGCACTTCCATGAGAGGCATTTCCAGTCGTGTTTTGGAATTTGTAATGCTGTAAACAGGACGAGAAAATGGCTTCGTCATGCGGCTTTCCTTGCCAGCCAGTACTACACTGCAGATGGAAACTTGTCATGCATAACCCCCAAAACTTGGGGATTTGTGTTGCAGACTTCCCATCTTGACTATGGTGTGGGGACGTTTTTACATAGGATAGGATGCTCAGGATTTTCTTCCTCGGGGGAAAGCGTCCGCTCCCGCTCGCAGTGTCCGGGAGAAAAAGGCTCACACAGTATTATGCAAAATTCTGACCTGGGTAGTTAAGAAGGCCCATAGGATGGATCATCATGGTCAAAATTCAGGTGTGCTTTTGTGGTGTTGTATCTATGTTTGCAGTACAGCTACTGCATGCTAGCTTTTTTCTGTCGCGTACGTAAAATTCGGAGAGAACGTCCTTGCCTCGGTGGTCCACCACGTGCGGTTCCTGCTCGAATAACACGAGGTTCTGCCATTCCCCGTACCACGCTTCAGCTCTGTAGGGGAGAAAGAAGAGGTTTCTTTTGCCAAAAAAAATTTTTGCCGATCACGCGATGCTGCGGTTACGTCAGTTCTTTACATGTTTTTATTTTTCCGGCGGAAAAACATCTTTATTGAAGTTTTTATTTTCATTTTTCTTTTCCAAGACTCCGACTTCTGTATTGATTTTATTTTTCTCCGAAGTTGCTGTTTTGCGTGAGGGCTGCAAGAGGTAACCCAAACGCCGTCTACACCGTCGCGCTTGTTGTCACTTTCTTTGGGAAAAAAATGCAGCACGAATCGAGTTTCACTTTATTTTGCAATAAAAGAAGGAACAACAGACGGGGTAACTATCAAGCCACGCTGCGCTGCAAAAGAACTTCTTAGTCGTTACTGCCTCATCTTCCCCGCGTGACCACCACGACATCAATTAGAGCTGTTGAAGAAACCTCGCATCTTTATTGCTTGCCCTCGTACTTTGTCGCGAAAGCGTTTTCCGAGTCCAGAAAATGTACGTGTGGAAGGTGGGAGGAAAACAGGTCCGCCGGGGTTTCACCGAAGGAAAGGGAGGGCACGGTGTCCGGCACGTGCGCGCCGAACACGACCCGTGGCAGGACGCGCAGAAAGACCGAGAAGGGGAAGCGATACAGCATGCGCAGCAAATCGTCGACGAACGCCACTCCTCGGGCCGTCCCCTGCACGAACAGCGCGGATTTTTTCAGCGTGTGGGGCTGGTAAAATTCCGGCAGCACGTTGATGTCGGCTTCCCAGAAAAAGTCGAAGGGCTTTTCCTTGACGAAAATGTGGTGCAAGGAGAGCCACCCGGCGTCCAAATGGTTCAGCAGGGCGAGCCGCACGTAGGCCAGCAGACTCAGCATGGGCGTGGTCACCGACAACCGCGGAAAGCAGTACTTTTGGTAGATCCACGGATTTTGCTGCAGGAAGTCCTCGAAGGCTTGGAGCGACCAGTTTTCACTGATTTCCTCGGGGGAGGTTGGAGCTTCGACACTACTGGGGCTTTGCGGATTTTCTTTATGCGGGTCCTCGTCGTTTTTGTTAATATTCTCTACTTCTTGCTCTCGTCTATGGTTTTTTCCCCAACTACGTCGGCTCGAAGATGAGAATGATGCTATTTCCTCTGAAACAAGCTCCGCGGCCACGTGTCGGTGCCGCTCGTTTTTCCACAGCAACAACAACGCCTCCCGCACGCCCGCGTGGCACATCAGCGCGAAATTGGGCTGCTCGTAGAGCAGCGCGACGCCCCCGTTGTCCCGCGATCTACGGTATCAAGTGTAAAAGTGTCTGGGTCTGGAAGAATGCATGTTTGTCATGCTTGTCTGGCGTGACTATTAAATCTGTCACGCACGTTGCCCAAGAGCCGCATTTTTCTGTCATGCGGAGACGCAATTTGTCATGCAGAATAGGCAACACTTACAAGCTCAGAAATTTGTCATGCTGAGCCAGCACTTTTGGCCTCCTCATGCTACGCCACGCAGCATCACAAGTTTCCAGACCCAGACATTTTTACAGTTGATATACGGAACCACCGTTCCATAAAATCCGCAACGCGGTGGGTCTTGTCCGCGGTTAGAAGGAGAAAAACGACGCGATTCCGCCGTGCAATGTCCCGCCGCAACCGCTTCTGCAACGCCGGCAGTTGCCACGTCATTTCCTCTTCCTCCGTTTTTATCAGCGTGCTCGTCCTGGGAGTTTGTCCTTCTTGTTGTTCCTGGTGCTGGAATAGTATGCTCTGCAAAAGTTGCACTAAAAACGGCCGCGCACTTGATTTTTTACCGCACAACCTGACAACATGCCGCGTCTTCTGGTATTTTATCTAAGACGATTGGAACAAGCCTCGCTAGAAAAATTTTCGAGTTCATGCTAGCGCGCTATTTTTGATGATAGTGCTTGTGGTTGTGCATGTGCAGTGCATAAGCTGGGAATTAATGAAACCGCCTTCCGCCACGGTAACTTCATTTGGTTCGTTGAGGAAATGCCCCTCGTCATCGAGTTCACGTGCGGACTGGTCCGACCTTCGTGCGGATAATTCTCCTGTTTGACGATTATAAGCGGGTTCTTCTCCCTCAGCATCATCTCCGCTTCGGCGATTGTAGTACTGCAACTCCAACACCGGTCGGGGCAGGTCCAAGCGGACCCGTTTCAACAGCGAGATTGCGTGTTGCAGCCCGAACCAGCGCCACCGGCTGTGCAGCAGCACGTTCACCATTTCCGGCGTGAAAAACTTCGCCTGTTGCTGCCAAATGCGCTCCACGCCGCGGAACACGTCGTTCTCGTTCAGAAGCATGCCGAACGCGCGCAGCGAGGTGGCGGCCGCGACCCCGAAAATGCACAAATTGGTCCAGTAGGACACCGGCTCCCCGTTATTACAGTGAAAAACGCCCCCACCCCCAAAGTTGCAATATTTTGTGATGCGAAGTTTGCAAATGAAAACTTTTTGCCATGCATGAAAGGAGTATGAATCTTTCTGATGCAGAGTCTAGGCGTATATAGCAGCGCTTGCATGCCAAGCGCCGCTCTTGCTGGGATCTTTTGCAATACAAATTTTTGCTATTCACGATTGAAAACTTGTGATGCTGATAGACGCAAGAGGGAGAATATTTCATTTGGAAAGGTTTGCAATACAAATGCTCCCAGGTTCTTGGGTGGGGGCATTTTTAATTGTAATACCCGTCCAGTTGCGTGTTCGACGCCGACTTCCACACTATCAACTGCAAATATGTCTGGGTCTGGAAGAGTGGAACTTGTAATGCTGTCCGCGGATTCTAAAAGTATCTGTGTTGCATGAGCAGCAAGAGGACTCCAGTTCTTGGCACGCGAAGAGAGCATTTGTCATGCGTAATTAGCATCAAGAAGCTCTCAAAAAATCTGTGATGCTAGCACCAGCATCACAGACCTCACGGGTCATGCAAAATATGCATGACAAGCCTCGACTCTTCCAGACCCAGACATATTTGCAATGCATACACACGATGCCGCTGCCAAAGTCCATCGCCTCATCCAGCGACCGCTCCAGCTTCTCCAAGGGAACATCCACCGGCGGCAAAAGCGGGTGGCCGGACAACTGCAGGATGGCCTCGGTGACGGCCTGGTAGGTGTGGCGGCGGAACCGGACCCACTCCAGACTCGGGTGCGGCGAAACGGAGCAGTTATCCAAAAGGAAAATCCCCCCTCCCCATATCGAAGTGGAAATCTGTGATGCGGGATCTGTGTACACAAATCGGATTTGTCTTGCCGTAGAGGACTGCAGAGAGATACAAAGCCCGGAAAGGGGTGGCTTGGGGTACGCACTTAGCATGGCAGACGTCTGCCCTAGTAGCCCAGCAGCATTACAAATCGCATGCGAAATGCAGCGGAAGCCCTGGCTTTGCTCTCTTGCAAGACAGACCGGATTTGTGGCCACAAATCAGCATCGCAAATTTTGAAAAGCACGCCTTTTCGATATGAGGAGGGGGGATTTTTCCCCACAATAGCAGTCCTCCGGAATGCCCTCGATGGTGCTCATTTCCTCCCCCGAAAGAGCAGGACCCCCCGAACTATCTTGATTTCTCGGCAAGGAGGAAGCGGGCTGCGCGGGGCGCTCCAGCAGCTTCTCCCGCTTCAAAAATGCCGCCTGCGCGTGGTGTCCTCAGTAAAACCGCGTGCACATCACGAGATTCAGAAAGATCATGGGGAAAAAGGTAAGTATGCAAAAAAATTTATCGGCTGTTTCGGATGGCTACAATTCTGGGCTCTCAGCATGGTCCAAGTTTGGTCCGTGGAGCCGCAGCACATCGAATCCATCATATTATCCTTATTGGAGCATGATCACAATTTCCAAGATAGCGTTGCACAATGGGTAGAAGAAACATTTTAGGCATGCAGATTTGCCTATACAACTCGGCTCGAGTTCTCGTGGGGACGAGGTTTTTCCTCAGGATACGTGGTCCAAGAAAGCGAAGACCGGCCACCGCGAGGCCATCACGTCGTCGTAGGTAACCTGCACCAGCTGGATGCACTCCAGCACCGAAACACCCTTGTCCGCGGCGAAGCAGGCAATCAACTTGCCCAGGGCGCAGCCCCGCTCCGTGAGCGCCAGCCGGGCCGTCGCGGCGTCGAGCAACGGGTGCTGCTGCGAGTGGTCGGGCAGGTCCTGTTGCTCCGTTTCGTAGTAGGTTTGCACGTTCTCCACCACTTGCTTCTGCAACCGCATCCAGAACGGCGAGCCGATGCAGTCCACGTCGGCTGGAACGGCGGCGCGGCAGGGGAGGACAGAGCATGAAGACCACGCAAAGAGGAAAAGGACTAGGTACCAGCACATCTTCATCAGTTTGTTCACTAGTCCACCCACTGCGGTCCAAGAAGAAGACGAAGAGGAAGATGACACATCATCATTCTGTCGGTGGACTGCGAGGAGGTGGAGCATCTTGGTTACTAATGCCCGTACTTTTTCCGGGCTGGTGTGCTCCGGCGGACCCACCGGGAGGCAGCTGCGACGTATCAGGCGGCGTCTGGCGGTTCGCAGGACCAACGGGTTGTAGTTGAGCACTCCACCGCAGGTCGGTGTCGCGTGCAAGCGGGCGCCGCCGCTGCCGAAAGCTCCCGTCCGGGCGAACGGCGATAGGGATCTGTGATCGGCTGCTTTTGTCCATGTCTGGGTAGTTTTGTCCATGCTGGCGGCCCGCCCTTTGTCCATACGTCGATCTCCACCGGCGCGCGGAGCAGCGGGCAGAAACTTCATTGTTCCCGGCTTCGGTTCCAGATCGCGTCTGGCGCTTTTCGTCACGCACCGACGGGAAATGGGTCGAGCCGCATTGCCCGTGCGCCACACGCTGCGCTAGCAGCGATGTTGTTGAGCAAGTCGAAACAAAAGCTGCGGCAGAATTCTGGTCCTACAACTGGCGTCCTTTTTTATTTTTCATTACCGCGATCAGAATACTTCGATTTGTTGTTGATACCTTGGCCAGGAGGATCTCGTTCCCCTGTTATGATCAGAGAGAAGTGTTGCAACTACAGGTCGGGGGAACTAAAAGCGGGATCTTTTTGAACAAATTGCGAGCGGGGACCAACTTTGTTGTGCTTTGATCAACTATCCCGCGAGCAGGGGTGAAACGGAAGACTGAAACGAATCAGGTGCGGAAACCGCGGAGAGCGAAAAATGGACGCGCTCAAAGCGCGTCCTGGGCTGAAACGAATAAAAAATTTTCGTTTTTCACACCCTCGCGCACTTTTCCGTCCGGAATTCGAGAAATAATTCTCGAATTCCGGACGGAAAAGTGCTGCGTTCTTTTGGTGGCCAGACCACCACAAGAACCACCAGTTGTTTCCCCAAAGGAGCCATTGGTTCCCACAGTACTGTGGGAACCACTGGTTCTTTTGGTGAAACAACTGGTGGTTCCTTTAGGGGCCGGATCGAAGGCGTTTCCGAGGAAAAACTCGGAAACGTCTTCGATCCGGCACCTAAAAGAACCACCTGATCCCGCCACACACGCGGAGGGCAAAGGTGCGCCTTAGCCTCCAGGAGGCCAAGCTGCACCTTTGCAACGCCTTCCGCGTGGGAAGGCGGAGCTCCGCCGCCCGATTTCGTTAGAGTTTGCAATACAAATTGGCCTTCTACCCCGAAGGCCAATTTGTATTTTGCCAGATCCGAAGCAGCCGGGGGGCCGGAGAGGCAAACTGGCCCCCCGTGGCCAGTTTGCATGACAAATCGGGACGAATTTGCATTGCAATTTGCAATGCAAACTCGCCCGAGGTCCGATACCCTTGAGGCGGCTGAGGCAAGTTGCCAGCTTCCGCATTGCAAACTGGCAACTTGCGCACTGCAAGTTGCCAGCTTGCGCATTGCAAGCTGGCAACTCGCGCATTGCAAATTGCCAACTTGCGCATTGCAAACTGGCAATTTGCGCATTGCCAGCCTGCGCATTGCAAGGAGGCAGCTTCCGCGCTGCAAATTGCCAACCTGCGCATTGCAAACTGGCAAGCCCCGCGCTGCAAGTTGCCAGCCTGCGCACTGCGAGCCGGCAGGCTCCGCATTGCAAATTGCCAACTTGCGCATTGCAACTTGCGAGTCTGCGCACGGCAATCTGGCAAACTGCATCCGAGTCGGGGCGGGGCCGGGGCTTTGCGGCGAGAACTTTCCGGAATAGGCAGCCCCGCGCAACGAATGCGCGCGCGCACCGACAGAGGCCACGCGCCTCAGAAGACGGGGCGGCGGCGCCCCCCCGCCCCCCCTTTGAATCCGCCAAATGGTCTCGGGGGTGCGCTTGGGGCTGGCTTTGTGGCGCGTCCCGGGATGCTTTTGGGGTTCCGAGCGGCTTGGGCAGCGGATTCAATGGGGGCGCGGGGGGCGTGCACGAAACTGGCAGCGCCGAATTGGCCCGCAAGGCGGCCGCAGCTGCCAGCCAAGCACGGCGGCCCCGGCCGGGGGCGGGCTGGCTTCGTGGCACGCCGCCTGTAGGCTTTGCCGGCCTGCGGACGGTTTTCGTCGCGGATTCAACGGGGGCGCGGGGGGAGGGTGCAGAGCCGAGAGCCCCCAAATTCTGCCAAGCCTGCACAGGCGCCGCAGGCTCGCCCCGCTGCACGAGACGAAGCCCCCGGGAACTGTCCCAGGCAGCCCGCTGGCCCGCTCGGGCTGCTGACCAGGCAAACCCAAAAGAACGCGGCGCCGCAGGGGACGCCAGGCAGCCTCCCCACGCCGCGAAGCCCCCCTTCCCGGGGGCGGGCGGCGATTGGCAAAAGCGCCGGCCCGCCGGGCCTTGAATAGTATTGATTTACCCCAATTCAATACTATTACGCCCCGCCCGCTCCGAAGGCGCGCATCCAGTTGGCCAGCAGATTTTTTTCAATTTTTCTGAAGGAGCCCGCCTGCTAGCTCCCGAAGCTGGCGAATCTGGAAAGCGCCGGCCCCCCAGGCCGGCAAGCGAAGAAAACAAGAAGGGCGCGGCGGCCCGTTCTTTCGCTTTCAGAAGTTGCGGGCCCGGGGCTTGCAGCTCCTCCAGCTTTGAAGCAAGCCGGGAGAGCAGGAAGCAGCGCGGCCTTTCAGGCTGCACGCAAGAGCGCAAGAAGCTTGGCGCCCGGTTTCCGCCGTTGAACTTTAGCCCCGACGGTATGGCGCGCGCAAGGGGAGGCGTTTTGCGCGCTTTTTCGCCTTCCGAATAAAACGGCTGGCAGGTCTGGCATGCCAGACCTGCCAGCCCAAAAGTAAAAAAAGAAGAAATTTAATTCTCCTTTTTTTAACTTTGGGTTGGCAGCTCTGGCATGCCAGAGCTGCCATCCGTCAATGACGGAAGGCGGCGAGCGCTTTTTTCATCTCAGAAACCGGGCAGCGCGCTCGGGAGTGAGGTTCTACACGGGCGGAATCCGTGTAGAACTGCAATCCTGAGCGCGCTGCCTGCAGTGCAGGTCGCGTGGTACATTGAGGCGAATTTGCATTGCGATTTGCAATGCAAATTCCCCAGAGGTCTGTCGCGCACGCAGCACAAATCTGCGCTGCTTAGCACAGATTTGTGCACTGGCAGAAGCAAGCCGCCCAAAGGGCAAAATTGCAGCACAAGCTGGCCCAAGGAGCTTGGGCTGCAATTCTGCCAGGCCTCCCGCGCCGGGGGCGAGGGAAAGAGCGGACGTTTTTTTTCAAAAAAAATGAACGCCGTCATTTTTATCCGTTTCAGTTACCCGCTTCACCCTGGAGCTTTCATGATCGGGCGTGGCGCTTTCGGATGGACATAAGAGAGTGCGCATGCTAGTAAATGAGAAAAAAAAACTGGAACTTTACCGCCAACAGAGCGCCTAATTCCACAAGACGCACAATCGGCACTACTTACTCCACGAGCGTATACTTCATCCCAGCTGCTAGTCTGCGCGTGCTTCACGGCGACGCGTTTACCCCCGCGCTAGTACCTCAGAGCGAACGTGTGCCCATGACACCAGGGGGACATTCCAAGCGAGCGGGAAAATAAATGGCGGCGCGCCGCTGACGCGGCGGAGACTTGAAAAATGGACAGGGCAGGACGCAGGCCGGACCGGACAGGGCGAAAGTCGCAAAATCCCGCGCGTTGGCTGGCCAAAATTGCAAAATACCGCGCGTCGGCTGGCCAAAATCGCAAAATCCCGCGCGTTGGCCGGCCAAAATTGCAAAAGCCCGCGCATCGGCTAGCAAAAATCGCAAAATCTTGCGCGATGGCTGGCCAAAATTGCAAAATCTCGCGCGCTGGCTGGCTAGGAATGGTGGTCAGAAGCATGTGCCACAATTAACAATGGTGGTCAGAAGCATGTGCCACAATCTGTGGCGAATTCTTCTGACGCATCGTTCTTGCGGGCTCTGTAGCGTGCTAGCGTTAGAAAGTAGAAACAGAGGGCGCCAGGAGGAGAGAGGAAGAGAGGAACTACTTGAGAAAAGTCAGAGGGTCGATGGTAGTCGATCGGAGGAATCAAAGGAATTCGCTTAATGTGTTGAAGCGGGACAATTCTGGAGCAGGAGCGCTTTTCTTCGGTAGGTTCGTGCTATGAGTTTGGTCGAGCGAATCGACCAGGGTTCTACCTGTCTGGCTCCTATCGTCGGAGCGTGTTCTTCGGAAGAAGAAACAGTGCAGATGTTTCTTCGGACGATAGGAGAGACGGGTGGTGAAGAACTCGCGTGCACGGGGATCCTCGACCGATACACGACGGAAATACGATGGACGCACAACGGAACTCGTTTGATGCAACTACGCACAAGGCGGTGCTGACGCACGAGGGCGGAGTACGTCTTAGACGTGAGTGTAGGTTGTTTTTATGTACTTTACGCAACGGACAACGCATAGGTAGCCCGTGCAAACTTTTCCTTTCCTAAAGCGTTTGGTTTGCAACAAGAAATCACCACGGAACGACGTCGGTGTAAGTACGGAAGGTCCACGCACGCTCTGATCGTACAAAAAGCATAGACGCGTGCCCTCAGGTCGTGTTTTCAGTGCAATAACCGCTCGAACAGGAAGAGAAAGCAGCCTGAAGTACAGATAAAAAACGCCATGTACAGTACTGAAGAAAACGCTTCGAAAAAGGACGAAACCCGGAACAACTATAAAAGCACAGCCGTTCTCGCCGTCGCACGCGCTCAAAGATCTCAAATGTAGTGCTAAAGTGCTCAAATGTACCCGACGAAAAGATGCGAAAGATGAACACCTACAGAACTGCTCTGGAAGTCCCTCAAAGCACTAAATTCTTAGTGAAGTCCCGCTTTTTCACGATAGAAATGCTCTAAAAGCGCAAGAATGGGTAAAAAAGTACTAAAGTGTAGCGGTCAAATATGTGAATGAGTCTAACGTGCACTGCGCAGCAACCAAGGCACTAAAAATCCCCTCAAAAAGCACCTACTCAGTGCGGCCTCGTGTTGCAGGATTGTATTTGCCAAGTAAATATCTCGTAGCCCCGTCCTGCTGCACGAGAGCCGCACTCCAGAATTCCGCCTTCCACTGGTTGAACTGCACGCGCCACCCCTCGTCGCACCCGTACTTAAAATTGTCGCACAACTCCACGATGGACTCCAACCGCTGCGCTGCAATCTCGAAATGCGGTACCTCGTTCTCCTGGGGCACATCATCATGATCGTGGTATGCAAGCACAGCGCCATTTTCCACCGAAACTCGGAACGAGTACCCCATCAGCATGATCTGGCTTGGTGGTGGTCTTTCGATGAACGTAGCCTGTACCTCGGGAAGTTCCGACAAATCAGTCCATGAAGGGAGGTCTGAAAGTTGTACTGCGGGGGTCGGGAGTGGTGTAAGCTGGCAAGCCCACTGTACGAACTTTTGTTGCTTGAGTGCCATGTGCACGGTCTGGGCACGGAGTTGTTCTTTCATCTGTCGCACGAGGGAGTACTCATCGAATAACTTGTATCTAGTGCTCCGGTACTGCATTTCTAGCGACCGCACTATTTGGTCGAACGAAGAGACCAGCGATTGCTCGAGTCCCCGCACGCGATCACTCTGTATGGT